TATACAAAAGGTACAAAAACACAATTTTGGAGAAAAAAAGTTTAAAGGCTGTTTCTAAAACCGTCAAAGTTGTAATATTAAGTAACTCGTTTTTCTTTTCTGTAGTTTGGTAGTAAAACGTGAAGAATCCACACTTTGTTTTTATTGTTAATAGTAGTTTGTTTTTATTTATTTATTTGACCGTTACGAACAAAAACTACTGGCAGTTTCCACGTTTGAAATATAGAATTTGACATTGTTGGTTTAGATTTTTGTCTTTGTTAAAAGATATAATTGTTCTAATAAAACTGACATGATAATAAACACCATAAACTAAATTGTATAATGGGGAAAAATATACACAAGATAGGGGAAAAATGGTATCATATTACTTAAGGAAAAAAATTAGTTAAAGTATGTTAGTTATTCTAGTTTTTCTTTTCAACTTGTGAAAATATATTTTAAGCAACATTTTACTGAATCTGTTGAAGTAATAAAAAAGAAAAGAAGAAGAAATAAAACTATATTAATGAGAAAAGCCGAATTTAAGACAATTTTATAGTAAATTCTCTGGATGTATGACTAATTTGTGATATTTCCAAAGTCACGAAAAATACTGTTTTTTATTTGGCAAGCTCATAAAACGATAGTTGAATGGATATTTCTAACCGTCGTGCTTTTGGCATTATTTTTATTTCTTTGAATTTTAGTTTTGTCATCTTTTTAATTATTGAAATGAATTTTGGTATATATTATACAAAATTGAGAAAATTAGGAACCAAATTAAATGAAAATGAGAATTTTATTTTGAAATTTAATTAATAAACAAAATAAAAATGTGAAATAGACAAATAGCCCATTAAAAGCCCATATTAGGTTGCTTATAAATTGGAACGAGAAGGTACGAACCAAAATGCCACAGAAACCGCAAGTGACCAAAACTTGAAGAGAAGAAGAAGAAGAAGAAGAAGCAGAAGGAGGAGGTTGCCGAAGAAGAACAGAAACACACACTCTCACACACAAACGTTTATGTTTCTGATCTTATTTTGAGAAAAAACAGAGAATTCTCCAATTTTTCGAAGCACCATTTCGTTTGGTTTGCGTCGCTTGGTCGAGAGGTAATTCAAAGTAGTAATCATTATTTTTCTTCTATAATGCCAAAAAACTGTGTTCCCTCTAGAAAATGTATTTTATTTTTTGATTTTTACGTTCTCGATTTTACTGAGGATCAACGTTCTCGATGGTTGGATTCAGATTTGTTTTAATATTTTCGATTCATTTTTTTTTTGTTAAAGGATTTCGTCAATATTTTTGGAAATGAAATTCTTCTGTTATTTCTATTGCTATACATAGGTTGATCTGTTATTTTTTTCTCCTCTGTTCAAGGATCTAAATCTTAATTGATTTCTTTTTGAATTACAAAACTATGTTATCCTGAATTTTGAGATTCCATGAATGTCTTGATCCTTAGGTTTCTACTACGTTCTGATTTGGTTTAAAATCAGTTCCATAATATATGGAGTATGAATTAAGTCCTAGAATTGCAATATAAATAGTTCACACCTGTCTTTGTGCAATTGTCTCCGTTTTCTGTTTAGACTGCTCTTATGGTATTAATTAAGTCTAATTTCTTATTTTGTGAAATGAACTTTATCCTTTTTCCAGAATGTATTTTTATCTGTCTCATAAAAGTTTCAACTATTCCGTGCCTCGCTGAAGTTAATGATTTAAATGACTTTTTTTTTCCATTAAAATATGATAATTAATATGAAACTAATTAGAATCACATTTTTCTTGTTTGTGTTTTTGTTGTTCTTCTGTAGAATGAATCCGTTGAACCTAGCCTCCTCAAGCGCACCTCCTCCCGTTGCTAGTGATCTCTTGGCGAAGAGAAAGAGAGGTCGTCCGCGGAAAGATGAAACCTTTGCTACTCAACAAGAAACTCTTCAAGTGACTCCAAAACCGGTGGACGTGAACTTGGTCGGTCAGATGGTTTCTGGTGTGGTCGAAGGATCTTTCGACGCAGGGTATCTCCTCAACGTCAAGGTTAACGACAGTGACATCAAACTGAGAGGTGTCGTGTTCGTGCCTGGGAAAGTCACTCCGATAACTCCAGAGAACGACTTGGCTCCTACTGTCAAAATGTTCGGAAGAGACGAAGAAACCAAGAACCAAACTGATGATGTTCATCAATCTGCTCCTCCTCCTCCTAATGATCAACCAATGGAAGATGCTGCTGTCACCGACATGGACATTTCTGAATCTGCTCGAGCTTTGACTTTGTTGTCACAGGAGAGTAATGGCAAAGAACTTGCGGCTCAAGCAAAGGAGAAGGAGAAAGAAGGAGAAGCTGCGACTCGTCTGGTGGAGTTTTTTCCAACTCCAGAGACGACGGTGGTGACTGATCCACCGAGTCTTGTCTTGTCGGCACAGAAAGAGACTACAGAGCCACAGAAACCTTCCGGTGAGACTAGTGGGTTTGGTCTTATGGTGGAGAAAGAGAAAGTGCCGGAGGAGCTTCAGTTAGAGCTTGGGAACAAGACTGTAATGAGTGGAGAAGGTAGTAACAACAATGGCATCGGTATGGAGATAGATCCTAAACCCTCTGCTTCGAAGAGTGGCTTTATTGCCAATTTGTTTGAAGGAGAAGGCAAGAAGAAGGCAGATTGTGACATGGAAGTAGAAGAAGCTACTCCATCAGTGCCCTAGTTAAAGAACTCTGTTCGGTTGTTTTTATGTAATGGACTCCATTTTGGTTTTTCTCATTTCTTCATCTTTGTTTTAACAGACTTTATACAGTTTTGTTGTTGTAAAACTATTTCTTCTGTTGGCTTATTCAAACTTTTGTTTCTAAGTTCTTAACTCGGGTCCCACCAACTAATTAATTATGACATAGAGCCCACATTGGGTAGATAAGACCATCTCCAACCCCTCATGCCATATGTTATTGCAAATGGCAAAAATATAGCAATAGCATTGGGTTTCTCTCCAACCCCTCATGCCATATATCATGCTATAATTTTTTTCCAACTTATTATTAATTGTTAAAACTACTTGATTTCTTCAAATTTTACAAAGTGAATCATTTGTTTTTCTTTTTTTGCAAAAACAACCAGATATTTTTTTTATTATTATAATATTAAAACAAAATACATCATATTACATAAAAATTATAGAAAACAAAGATTTTAACCTATTGTTTTATGTTTTTTGAATTTCAGTATTTTTAAAAATAAAATTTTAAGTTTATTATGGTTATGTTTTTATATTTCTATGAAATAAATATTATTTATATTTTGAAAAAGTTATGAGTATTGTTTATTTATTTAAATAAATCATAATCAATATAATTAAACTGTTAAATTAAAAGTAATTACAAATTGAAGGACTATTTTATAAATAAAAAAGTTCAATGGCAAAATAGCATATTGCATAATCTCATGCCAAATATAGAAGCAAAAATAGCATGATGCTATTTTGCAATAGCATATGCAATTGGGTTGGAGCAAAAATTATGGCAAAATAGCATATATGTCATATTTAGCATGGGGTTGGAGATCTCTAAGTATGATTTTAGATTTTAGTTGGACTATGCTTTGTTTAAGACTCTCAAGTACATCATTAATTATTTCACTTTCACAAATAATCTATTTACTTCTCTTCAATGTTGATGGAAAAGTAAACTGAAAATAATTCTGTCCCGGGGAATAAATTTAGAAAAATGAAGTGGAGAGGGTAAATATGAAGTTTTCTTTTTGAATTGAATTAAGAGATGTGAATTTTACCAATCATTTACAAGATAAGTATAATAACTTCTTTACCTTTTTTCCAAATACCACAACATTGACTCAGTTTTAGTAAAGTTGATTTAATTCAGATGATCATTTCAGATTTTCTCTTTGTGAAACACAAAAACTGATATTTCTTCCTACTCTAAAATTCAAGTTCGTTTCCAGGTTTAGTGATTTCTTCAAAGTTCTTTCTTCTTCACTCAGATCTGACTCTTCATTGAAGAATGGATTTGCATTTGAAGAACTTGTTTGGGAGGTTTCAGGACCAATTCGGATCAGGTCCGGGTCTAGGACCTGGATCCGGTGCTTGCCTGATGAAAGTTGAAGGTATATCTTCCAACATTATCCAATCCATTTTTAGAGCATCAGCTTCTTTATACAGAAGTGAGCCATGGAAGAGGCTCAGACCAGGTCATCTGTTCGGTGTCCGGGTCGGAAAAGACTCAGATTGGTCAGGAAAGAGACAGCCTTTTCAGTGCGTTCAGTTCATAGGAGGGAATGGTGGTGATATAGCAATCTATATGTATAGATCCATGAACAATGCATTGAAAATGACAGATGATTCATTTGAAACGGCTAGAGCTCCTAATGTTGAGGTTTTAAGAATCACTGATGAGGTTGAGTCACTGATGCTTCCTTGTAACAAGAGAATGGTCAAGTCTCTGTCTTTAGAAGTCTCTGGAGCTGATCGGTTTCCGGTCATCGATGTTGCCCGGTGCACGACCTCTGGCGAGCTCCAGTTTAGAAACCCGACACTCGAAGAGCTTAGGCTTGTGTTTGCTGTGATGAAAGCTCTTTCTTTGGTGCATCCTTTGCTACTGGTTCAAGAGGAGGAGAAGCAAGCCAGGAGATGTCCAAGGATGATAAAGTTTTCACCTTTTATTGAGACTGTTGATGTTCAGTGGCCACCAGAGATGTGCAAAGGACAAGACTTTGTTGCTGTCACGGTTTCGCATCCTCCAGGTCAATCATATGAACAGAAGTCGAAGCAACCGGCGATAATGGCAAGTGAAGATGATGATGATGATTTGGAGATTGTCTCATCCGGTTTCTCCTAAACCCTTTCCGTTCACCTGTGAGGACACTGAGTGTCAAAGTCCAGCAATCTTGAAGACTGTCTAAAGGTTGCAATAAATGTTAGATTAAAAGAAAAACTTAGCCATTTCTAGTGGCAATCGTGTTCATTCCTGTACAAAATCTCATACAATGTGGGGGCTCTAATAGATCATCCTACTTTGCTTGGGGAGATAATCGTTTCTTTTTAGACTTTTTCTTTTTCGGTTTCGGAGTCAATACTTCATAGCTTTGTTTAATTATACACTTAACATCTCTATCATCAATAGGAATCTCTGATACTATTGCCTTTGCACTTTTGGAATCTCCTGCAGCTAATAGAACCTGATACATCCTGAAATACCATAAAACCAAGAAGCCATATTATAACATCACTCTTTTACCAGTAGCAAAGAAACACTTTCTTAGATATGTTTATGAATATCAAATATGAGTTAGCTCGGTTATATAAACCTTGTCCATTGCAGAATCACTCTTATCATTGAGATGAGATAAAAGAGGACTTGCCTTAGATAGGTGAGGACATTGTAAGGAAGTTCTGCAAACTGGTACTCTTTCCATACCGCTAAAGCGCTCTGCTTATCCTTGGCATTGACACAAGCATGTAGAAGAAAATCTAGACATTTTCTTGAAGGACACAACCCAAGTTCTTCCTTCATGAAGCTCACCAAGTCCAGGCCTAGCTTCACATCACTAGGCTCTGTTTCCGCTATTGACCTAAACACCTGATTTCAAACAATGAGATGAAAAAGAGTTAAGAAAATTATGACACACAACATAATCATCCAAAGAATTTTCTGTTTCTACATTTTAAGACATCTCGAGGTTATAATATATCAGTTAACAATAAGAACAAAGAGCACAGACCTCTTCAAACCAATATTCCACAGCGATGTCATCATCCGACAAGTGGTTTTTCGTCTGCTTCAACAAATCAAGAATAGAGCTACAAAAGAAAAGTTGGATGAAGCATGAGATGATTAATAATGATGGAGTCCAGGTGAGCTAAACACAGAGCACGCAAGATACCTTGAGTTATTGTTGCGGACACCAAACACGAGAATTTTGAAGAAACCTTCTATCCAATATTTATATTCATGCAGCTCATCAGCGAGTTGAACCAAAGTTGACAACTCTTCGTTTGAATCCGAGTTTTCCTACAGGAAGATAATTTGTGGTCATTGTAATACGTAATTAGTCAGCTAGTATACGAGAAAAAAAGCATATGCTTAAAGTAGAAACTTACAATGAGAGATATAATGGTTTTTGGCTCTACGAGACAGCCATCTTCCTTCAAATCTTCATAAATACTTAAGGCATCTGTTATTTTTCCATTTGATGCCAGAGCAGATACAAGGACACTTCTCAGCTCATTGCGATCCTTAGCCGGTACGTCCATGAGCACCTAACGTAAGAACAAAGCTTGAGCTCTTACACTAAATTATGAAAATACAGTATATCATTTGAGAACTTTTTGAAAAGAACTTATAGTACACATGCTTACCTGATTTGCCTTCTCAAACTGTCTGCATGATGCATATGCTTTTATAAGGGACATGTAAACGTGCTTAGTAGCTTGAACTCCTGCTTGCTTCATCTCCTCATAATACTTTGAATAAGAAGACACAAATTACGGATTACATTTCTCTCAGACTCCAACTAACAACTAACAGCACAACAAGAGAGACTTGAACGAGGTAAAATATGGAAGTCAGTTACCTCTGCAATAGTCTCCTCCTGGTCACAATAGTTTATAAGATAACTAAAAGTTACGGAATCCGGTTTAACGTCAGCTTCTTTCATTTCCTTGAGGACCATTAAGGCGCTGTTCACTTTTTTCTACAAAACGTGAACAAAAATCTCAGAAAAAAACGACTTAAGAGACAATATGGAGCACACAGAAATGACTATTCATCAGTCAAAAGTTTGCAAATAATTTCAGAGATAAACACCATGATCTTAAGATATATCAACTGAATTACAATAGCTACCTGACTAAGATTATTACTACAATACAACTTATATACAAGACATGCTTTTTTATGTGTTGCAGCAATCTTGTTTCCATCAAGATTTCAACATTAATGGTTAAAACTTAAAGGAATCAAAGGAGAGTACTTGTAAAAGAGAGTTTAAGATATTACCTCCCGGAAATATCCTGCCAATATAGAATTGTACATGCTAGAGTTTGGTGTCAAATTGAAATTCTTCAAAGTGCCAAGCATATTATATGCACCTTTAAACTGCAAGAAACAGAGAGGTTAAGAGCAATTTCTTATGGTTGGAAAACAAACGTTACATCTGTGAGAAACAGTACATTCATACTTATTCTCTAGCGTCTATAAAACAACGTTCACGACAGATAGCAACTGAAGCTGAGAGAATTAGAAAACAAGTTACATCTCTGATTCTTATGCACAAACTTATCAATCTCCTGAAAGTCTCACTATTTGGCTTCACACTCCTGTTGCTCATTATTGAATGGATTCTTTGCACCTGAAACCATGAGTATGAGAAAGACATGGGTGTGATTAACTGACCAGACTAATTAACTGTTCTTTTGGATGTGGAACAGATAATGAAGCCTGTAAAAAAAAAGTAATTGAAACGAAATATGAGGAACATGGTTCAAGCAAAAGGAGGTCCTTACCAAATTAAACTCAAGAATCTGCTCAGTGGCATCTAACAATGAATGCAGGATGTTTGCCGATATAACCAGACCTTCTTCACACATATTTTCAACTACATCAAGAGCAGTGACCACCTACAACGCAAATGAATTATCACTACTCAACTATGAAGAGTACCGAAAACGGAAGTTGAAATCAACAGAAGCTTAGGCATACCTCATTCGAGCCACAAAGATAAGCAACAAGCTTCTCATGGGATGTATATGAAGGCATAATATCTAGTTCTTCATGCAACTTGTTAAAATTCAAAATGGCTTCCTCCACCTTTAGTCACCAAAGTATGTAAAAGCATGAACGGTTATGAACCATCGGCTATCTTAAAAAGAACCGTTAACGACTTAGTGCTACTTATAGAAACTACTCACCGTGGAATTTGGGATGCAGGCTACATAGCTAAATATGAGATTTGAAACTGTCTCCAATCCATCTGCAAAACGTTAAGAAACCATGTTACAAAATGATCGCAAGAGATATAACATGTTAATACCAATGAGTCATCAGCGAGAAATTTTTTTTGGTTTGCATCAAATATGAATTGGTCTCAGCGGACTATACAATGAGTATACGTCCACCTTCAATAATACCATATACGGTAAAACAACACCAGGTTATTTCAGTTATTTTACCTTTACCACAGTCTCTTAGTTCCCATAGTAACTTCATTGCAACAGACTCCAATAGCGATTGTCCAAGGTACCCAAATATGCTTCTCAATACCTCTGGTGAAGAAACTTTTGTTATGTCGACAATCTCTAACAGCTTCTGAAGATTCTCCTTTCTGTCTTTCTCACACAGTGCAACCAAATAATATTCTGTTCAAGAACCAAAAGGTCACTTTAAGAGTGGAGCAAATGAAATCACCAGAGTGCAAAATCGTTATAACAATACGTGCGTACCTTGTAGGACTGATAAACTTATCCCACTATCGTCAACTGTATTACAAAGTTCGTGGATCTTCTCTTCGTCATCGACTTGGATCCAAAGAAGCATCTCATAGTAGACAAGTTTCCCAACAGACTCAGGACTCGCTTCCCTAATAAAACCCTTGAAAATATGGAACTCCTCCACCATCTCCATATCAACCAAGTACTTAAAGAAAGGCCCGTAAGTGCCTTCCTCTATAACGAACCCACGCTGCTTCATTCCTTTGAGAAGCTCAATAGCCTTCCCAATCTCATCAAGAGCGTATCCCACATCATTGCTTCTCTTTGCGTTCTCTATGCAAAGCTGAATCCTTGTGTTGTACTCTTTCTCACCCGCTTCTTTCCCCATCTTAGCCAACACGTCAAGCATGGTCTCAGGTCCCAGCATCTGAACACAGCCTTTCACATGCTTCTTCATAAGATGCGACTGCTTCTTGACGAAATGACCTGTCTGCATCCTGCCACGTGACACCTGTTTAGTCCTTATCGACGGAATTTTGTTCCCAAGCATGTAATCTGTCATCTCCAGTGGCTCTATCTCAGAAGCTTCATCGTCATTTCTTTCCAGGAGACGATTGCTATGAGCAGATCTAACTGAAACAAGAATGAAGTCATTTGATTGATTCAACGACTTGACAAAGCTCATTAACAAAGAACAATCCCTCACTATACATACCATAGAACGTAGAGGAGACCTGACCAGCGAGTGATCTTTCCCCAAAATCTATCAAAAGGGCATTAGAATCATGATGTGACAAATTGAAAGTCGATCACTTTTCAATTCAAAAAACAGAAAGTCGATCACTTTATAAATCATCCAGCGAAAAAGGAGGTACCTTGTCCAGGGATGGACGAATCGATGGAAGACTTAAGCGGCAAGAGAATCTCCGGCAGTGAATTCGAAGACACTGTGTTCATAAAACAATGATCAACGGGAAGAGATCAACGGGAAGATGAAGAATCGGATTCAAACTCATAGCTCAAATCGGAGAAATCTGCGAAGCGTAGAGCAAAGTGGAAAGTGGAAAGTTACCTAGTCCAGTAAAATCCATCTCCAGAGAATCTCCGGCGTGGGCTTCGGCAGTTTTGGCGGCGTCTGAAGCTTTTTTCCCGGCGTGTCTAATCGCTGAGCGGAATAAAGAGCTTAATCTTGACAACTTCTTAAAACCCATATTCACATTGACAAATGTTAAACCAAAGAATCGAGCGTAAGACGATCAAGACCTGTAACGAAATTCCCCAAAAAGGCAAAAAGGAGGTTTTTTACATGAGAAAGGAGAAGAAGATGATGAAACACTCAGAACAGAAATGTTAAACCCGCCGATAAACCCCACGGCCAATATTTCGTGTTCGAGTGTAGTGGCATTAATGTAATTAAACACTGAATTTGAGGGTAATTGAGAAGATTAGAAGAGGATACTGTCATTTCTCTCTTTTTGTACCGTCCTTCAAAGTTTCCCTCTTTTACAATGAAACCCGAATATATAATTTATTTTCTCTGAAAGAAAAAGAATTCAAGAAATTAATTTTAGACAAGTGGTTGGAGATATCTCTCTACAACTTGCGAAGTCGAACCAAATGAAATGAGTGGTTTGTAATAACTGTATGCTCGATATAATTACATAATTGACAATAATATTAGAGTAAGAATAAATTTATAAGATGTTTATCGAAGGGAACCATGGTGTATTATTTAGTGGTCACTAGTCAGTAACGATATACATACTTTATTGTCCAATCAAATTCGTCGCACCAAACTTTAAAGTACTTGAAGAAAAAAGTTTGAAGTAGTGAAGCATTTTTAGCAAGTATTTCTTTTTTGAGAATAGAAAAAATTGCTCCCACTCGTAAGTGAGTGTGTCGACAAGATTGGTTATTTTTCCCAACCAAATTACCGACTTCAATTTCAAGGGTTTTGTTTTTATTTTTATTTTGTTTCATTTATGATAAACTTTTCAAGGTAGACAACAACTTGCTCAACTGGTTCAAGTTGTGGATATAAATAGGAAGTATTAGGAACCAAAATCAATCAATCGATCCACAAGAGGAAAAAAAAATAAAGAGAACAAAAAAAAGGTATGGATTTTCAGACGATTCAAGCGATGCCATGGGAATATGTTATATCCTCTCAATCTCTTAATAGCTACCAATTAACTCAAGAGAATCAAGTTCGTTGGTCTCAGTCTCCAGATTCTCACATTTTCTCTGTTGATCTCCCTGGTAATACTAATTTCTCCGTATATTCATTACCACACAAAATCTTGGAGGTTTTTCATTATGTGTTCTGTTTTTTTTTTTCTTTAATCAGGTTTGAGGAAAGAAGAAATCAAAGTGGAGATCGAAGATTCGATATACTTAATCATAAGAACAGAGGCGACGGAGAGATCGCCGGACCCGCCGGTGATGAGTTTTAAGAAGAAGTTCCGGTTGCCGGAATCGATAGATATAACCGGAATATCAGCTGGTTACGAAGACGGTGTGTTGACAGTGGTTGTACCAAAGATGATTGTTATAAGGAGAAGTTTCTTCATTGAACCTTCTGATGTTCCTGAAAGTCTTCAAGTTCTTGCAAGAGCTGCTTAAATGTCGCTTTCGCTTTTGTTTTTGTTTTTGATTTTCCTTGTCTCATCTAGTGTGGCCTTTGCTTTTAAAAGACTGGATTTTCTGTTTTTAAACCCCAAAAAAGAGAATGTAATTTGTTTTCTTGGTAAGCTAAGCTAACCGTTATGTGCAGTTTATATATTAATCCAAATCCGATGTCTATAATGTCTCAAAAGGAAAGGAATGGGTCACTTTTGATAAGAGTGAACCAAATCAAAGTAATGACTAATATGTCAAATGATGAATAACGTCGTGAGAGGAAATAACAAAACAATCAAATTAGCCACACTATATGCCAAAAGATAGTTGTAGACTAGTGAAATTTTATTTATTTTACTTATACCTGAATAACTTTTCAAAAACGTGGAAATGAATGTTGCGTATGAAATGTTGAAAGGATAGCAAAACGAAAATTAGCGGTTCCCCTTTTATATTTATCATTCAAGTATATATTCGTAAGGCCCTTATTGATCGAACCATAAAGTAACCTTTTAACATCATCAGTTAACAAGTTAATCATTTGTGATCCTTGGCATCCACTCCAGATTGCTTAGCGACTGTACGGTTGGAAATCTTCACAATGGTATCAAAATTCTTACGCTGAGAAGCTCTGCTCGAGATATGACAATCACTCTTCAAACACTTTTTAGATTTCCTTTCTTCACTCCTGTTTATGCTTCCGATCATTGCATCATTATCTAAACAAGGGAATTCAAAAGCAGAATCGTTGTTATTCGATATATTTAGCTAAAACCCTAAGCATAAGAAACTCGATATTAAGAAATGCAAACACACTAGAGATCATTTTCTTTTTTTTCATAACAGCTCAAAAAAGTCATACCGGGACTTGATACAACGGCGCGTGGGCGTAGGATTGGACTGGCTTTGGGTTTTTGTTTTAGTTCAATGCCAGCTCCTCTGATACGAGGCTTGTTCATTTCCGTGGACTCGTTCTCAGACATGGGGACACTTGGCGTGTAGATCTTTGGAATTTTAGCCACATATATTTGCAAATCATCTTCTTGATTATTCTCTGTCCAAATCAAAGAAAGATTATTAAAAATAATAGTTTCTTCTGATTAATTGCATTTGACTGGATTTGCAATCTACAATTGAATCAAAAACCAAGTCAATGCTCCCAAACATATAAGCATAACGGAGTCAACCCTAAATATGATATAGAGAGATATTATTACCAGAGGGATGAGATTGGAGTTGGTTCGAATTCAGACAAGAACCCCTCTGCTTGCAGTTACCAACTTCGCCACCAGCTCTCAGTTTCGGGTACACTACACAATCCGATGAGAAAAAAAACCTTGAATTTGGTTCAGCTGATTTTGATGCATAAACAATTTACAATTGAATCGAAACCGATGGGCGAACAAAACCGGCGAAATCTAGAAAATTTTGCGAGCAAACTCACTTGGTAATTATGGTTCCACTCTCGATCCTTTTGGTATGGAACCGAGTGATTGATCGATTGGTCTGAATGATATTGGCAGTCATCAAAAAGTCCTTTTATTCTGGTTCTTTATAAGGTCAAACTTGTCATGCTCACGTATTTTTTAAAACGAAACTTTTCTCTATTGTCAACGTGTGAAATACGACTCTTCTCTCTCACCAGCCACTGCTTCTTTTCTTTTCTCCATGTGATTCTTTTTTCTTTGTCAGGTTCCATGTGAATTTACCTTGGAACCTCAGCAAGTGACCAAAAACGCTGCGTATAGATTAGGCCTTGAGGCCTTAAAAATTAGGCCCAAAACTAACTGAAGATTCGAGACAAATAAAGAAGAAATTCATAAAAGGCTAAAGGAAGAAGAAGAAAGGATAAAAAGGCAACAACAATGGCGTTGAACGTCATAACTTCTGGGCGTGTATCTTCAGCCACATCTTTGACCTTCGCTTCCACCGTTAGAGCCTTCGTCAAAACCACTCGATTTGCTTCCTCTCCGTCGCATCTTAATCTCCTCAATCGTCCTTCCGTCTCCTCCCCTTCGTCATTTTCTCGTAGCTTCCACCGTGGTCGTATTGTGGCGATGGCTTCCCCTGCTCCTGGATCAGTTAACAAGCCTGAGGAAGAGTGGCGAGCGATTCTGTCTCCTGAGCAATTCAGAATTCTGAGGCAGAAAGGCACTGAGTAAGAGATTTTCTCCCTGTCGATTTCGATCTGGTTTTGTGAAATTCCAGTGTTCTGCTGCATAAGGATAGTGTTATTTTGCATGTGTTGATTCTCAAATGGATTAAGCATTCGACTTGAGATAATTTCGGGGATACAAATATGATGATCTCTGTTCATGATCGTAGAAAATGCCTTAGATATTCTTCTTGCATTGAATTATGATTATTTTTTCTCTTTTGTTGAATTGTGAATCTTCTCATGATGCAATTTCTATGTTGATATATATTTGAATCATTGGGGCATGAAATTGCTGTTATATCTCTCATGAAAATTGTGTTTAGTAAGCGTTTGTGAAATAAATTTGTTACCTGTGTCTTAATTTTGGTTTGCAAAACTGAGTTTAATAACATTTTCATTTGGATTGCTCCTTACTCTTGTGTCATTATTTTGGTCTGCCTTAATGATCTTTCATTGGTTCTTTAACATTAACAGCAAGAAGCAAATAGAGTTTAAGTAGAACTTTCTCTGTGGTTGAAAGATCAGTGAATATCATACGGTGTGAAGTAGAGTTAAACAAGTCCAATAATATCATTATTCTAACTGGTGTTACACATGTAACTGTAGGTATCCAGGAACAGGAGAATATAACAAAGTATACGACGAAGGCATCTACTCTTGTGCTGGATGTGGAACTCCTCTGTACAAATCCGCAACCAAATTCGACTCCGGTTGCGGCTGGCCAGCTTTCTTTGACGGAATCCCCGGTGCCATAAACCGAACCGTAAGATTCCAAATTCAAAAAGACATGATCATTTGGAAATGATTGATTTGTGAATGAGTTTGCTGATACGTTTTTTTTAACTCAGGCTGATCCAGATGGGAGAAGAATCGAGATCACGTGTGCAGCTTGTGGAGGACATCTAGGTCATGTGTTCAAAGGAGAAGGCTTCCCTACGCCTACCGATGAACGACATTGTGTCAACAGTGTCTCTCTCAAGTTCGCACCAGGGAACCCAACAGTGTAAGAATGATCATAAAGTAATTAAAAACTGTGTTGTGTGATGATGCTTCTATGTCGCTCTCTCGTACGGTGTTTCGTCTTGGTTAGGTGAAACTAGTGTTTAGTTTCATCGGCGAGTAATAAAGTCGATTATCTTTAGAGAAAAAATCAAAGGATGACTCGAAGCACTTGATTTACGACTCTGTTTTTTTTTTTTCTTTCTTTTTTTGTCTACTTTCTTCGTTCTCTTATTGATTCTAGTCTTTTTGTCTGTCACTCTATGTCTGTTTAATAATTACTTTTAAAAAGCTCATAATTCATCTGATTGCTCAATTTATGGGAAACCAGGGGATCTCAATCGGTTTGCTCAATCCTGATTGACCATCTTGATTCCTTTGAACCTCAACCAACCTACGCTTAAAACCTATTACTCCGAACAGACACACACATAACAATAAGATTAAGATTAAAAAGCAAAAATATGTACAATGATAGATATGAGCCTTCCTCCCAAGTGAGTTTGTTATGTCTCTAAGTTTGATTTTCCTTAGCTCTTGCTAGTGAGGGTTGAAATTGGGCGCGCCTTCAAGCGTGATGGTCAAGATTTGAGAGAGGAGCTCTTGAAGCTTGGTACTATCTTGAGGCACACCATAAATCCTAAATATGCTGCACAACCTCTCAAAGTAATCCAAGTGATCATAATGATTCTTCATTCCATTTCCCAATATCTTAGAGCTTTTAATTAACCTTATCAAGCTTGTTTTGATCTCACAGGCATTTGGTTTTATGGGAGGAGAGTGGATTGCATAATTAAGCCAATCATAATGAGGAGTATCACAACTTCCAATTGTTGGCGTGATCACTTGAGCTTGGTTAGGAGTTGGTACCAGTTCTTGAGGTTGTGGAGCTTTAGGAATGCTCTTGTGGTTGTCCATCTGAGCCACCTCACATGATCTTGTCTTACCATTTATCTTATTCTTAGTTTGATATCTTGGAAAGCACAAGATAATAAAAGAACACATGTTAGTAACAACAAAAAGAAAAAATTCATCATCTCAATGAGATGAACAAACAAGAAAAAATAAAAGTTTAGGCTTAAATAGATTCAAAATCCTAATGGTTTATGCTAAACCCAATGGCAGCGGCGCCAAATTGAAAGCGGTTTTTTATAGTTCCTTACAATTAAAACCATTTTCACCCAATTGTAGTATAGCTATGGTTCTTTGTCAAATCCAAAAAGGTCAAGATATAAGCATTGGTACCTCAAAAACACCACACTTTCAAATTTAAAGTTTAAAGTTTCGTCTATGTCAAATACTTCAGGTTCTCCATATTCCAGAAACGAGAACATAGACATAATTTTGAAAGGAACTGCAAATTATTTGATATCCAAAAGATTCAAGACATGTATAAATAGGTGGCACTTCAGAATGAAAGAAAGGCTGAAATACCCTTTCCGGTTCACCGAGTTAGTTATATTTCACACTCCCATCCTCCAACCCAATTGTCAGATCACCAGAATTTCATCGATCATTCCTCTCACTCTATCCTTCCCTCACCATGCGATTTGATTTTCCTCTCTTTCTCTCCATTCCCTTTCCATGTCTTGGGATACATCCATATCAGTTTGCTCATTCTTTGTACATAATTTCCTAGAACAACCTCTCGTGTTTTAGGCCGTGCTTTCTGAGCCAAACTATTATTGATTGATATACAATTTGGAATAACGTGAAGATTGTTTCCTTCTTTTTGGTAATCAACAAATGGTTTAGAGCTCCTATAATTAAGCAGTAAAAGTAGGAAACAACTAAAACAAACATGTATATTCTTTTTGGTTGTATTTTCTTGCTCGACAGTCGACAATGACGTTCTCTTTTTTTGTTTTGTTCTTTAGAATATTGCAGGATACTACAGATGTCTTTGGTCTTATAAACATGTACGTAAGGGTACTGCTGGCCGAGTACATCAAGAGCTCTTTGCACATTTTTCTACACAAACCACAGCTCACCGTTGCTTTGGAGGTATCAAGGACCTAAATCACAGGACTTGGATATTGGGGTTCCTATGTTTAAAGTTGAGAACATTTTTTCTATTAGTCCATGGTCTCAACCCGATGTCTTTTCAGCTAACATTTTGCCATGTGCATACCTTTTCTTCCACACACCTCCAACTACATACAAATCGATGATAACAAACGATTGTGGTGACAATAAGCCGCCCAAATGTAACTCAAACTCACGATAAGACTTGTGATGGAAGGTACCAGAGAGGAAGATGTTATTGTGACTCCTTTGAGTCCTTTCTCCCTTGGCATTTCTATCTATTTATTTTGTAGGAGTATTTCAACTCTTTATCATTTTGTTCCCTCTTTAAGGTTATTTGGATTTTCAACAACTCTAAAATACAATCCAGTTTTGCTCTAAGCTCTATTCAAAAAGCAAAAAGCAATCCACAACATCAACAAAGTAAAAGTCTATTCAAAAAGCAATCCTCCACATCAAGCAAGAGGCATTACAAATATGTACAAGCCACAAACACAACTTAGTTTGGAACAAAACCAACAAAAATCATCTGCTGGTTATAAGCTTTAGAAGCTCAATAGCCTCCTTTAGTCTTCTCTCACTCTTTTCTTTTCCACCTTGACCCTTAACGTTCCTGAATTCATACACAAGTTCTTTAGATTAGGACATGTTTATTCATAATTTTTTATTTGGATCTAACCTAAAGTTTGTAGATATGGTTTTTGGTTCACAGTAACAGAAAAATTAGACTAGAAAACGGAGAAGAGAAAAAAACTAACCTTTTCTCGAAGTTTGCCTTACGAGATAGCTCCTCAACTAAAGCCTGTAAACGTTTGACCAATGCAGCAAGCTTTCGAACTGCTTCTAAGCCTTTCTGGCTATTGCATATCTTCTTCAGAACATCTGATGCAATGAAATATGCTTCTTCTTTGTTCCTGAAAGAAAGAGAAAAATTTAAGCAACGCCAGAGAGAGGAAAGACTAAACTTCAATTCTTATCCTACAACTAAATGAAGACCTGAGGAGTTCCCAGAAGATTGTCTGGATGGATCCTTTCGTCTCGATTAGCTCATCTGCCATTTGTGGGTAACGAGCAAGGTGTCTCAAAGTTGAAACCGCATGTTTTGAGACTTCTTGATCAGGGATGCTTCTGCTTGCAGACCGGATCACTGTTAGTAACGTTTTTATAGCTCCAGCTGCCACAAGTTCTTCACAGCATTTGTCAGAGTATTTTGTTGCCGAATCTGTGTAAAGGAGATATATGTAAAATTATCGTTATAGTCGCCTTAATATGGTTTTGTAAAATTAAGGAAGCTGAGAAAAGCTGAGAAACTCACCTAACGTTTCACAAATGTGAAGAATGTTGTGGACCTTTTTCATGCTCAGTAGTTCAGAGAGCGCAGAAAGAAGCTTGTTTATAAGCCGTTTCTTGTCATCGATGTTTGCTGCAGACGTCTGCATTCTCATTCTCAGATCCAGAACTTGAGCCTTTGAGGCTTTGCGTGTAAGATAACCTCTCCAGTGTGACTGACAGATTCAACTTATAGAGTTTAGCTAGGAGCAAAGCGAATTATTACTGAAAGTGAATTAAGACGAAAGTAGCTTTGGTAATATCTTACTTGTATCATGGCAATGTAACGTCTTTCCAAAGAAGTTCTTCGCCTCGCAAATAAACCTCGAACATGGCTCTGTATTATTAAGACTGCTGATTTTCTTCTCACGTTCTGTGAATGGAGAAACCTCCACCAACGCTGCAGTTTAATGACGGAATGTAGCAGTTTTGTCATCCCAAAGCTGTCGTGTGAACGTCTTGAATCGACACTTGGATGGAGATAAGAAGCTCCTACGATAATTAAAATATGGGTTAGAAACCGATGATTCCCTCCAGAAAATAAAATAAAATGTAATCTGCTAAAAAAGTAAGGTACTGAAGAAATGGCTTAAGCACCTTGAAGCCTGCTTCGAACAATTTGACCCCTAACGAACCGTTGAACCTCAGTGGCTGCATGCTTGTAGCGATGAAATGACATCATGCAGTTAAATTTTCGGATAGCACTCTGAATGCACATCGTTGCTTCTTTCAGAATGTAAAACTTCCTTCTCGCCAACCAACCACGGCAAAATCTCTGCAGTTGGTTGCAGAAAGTTAATAAAGCAGAGGGTAACAAAAGAGCAACAAGATTTCTTATCTGGACAAAATGATCAACAGAGAACTGAATAATGGCTTGTACATTAGCAAAACATTGATACCTGAACAAATTTACCTGTATAAGTACAGAAGAAAACTTGTACTTCCAGTTCATTCTACGAGTGATCCATCCACGAACATAAGACTGGATGATGGTAGAAGAGATAACTTTGTCGTTATAACTCCTCCAAGCTAGCTGAATTTTGAGTGCTGCTCTCAGCTCATGATGATGGTTGATTAGAAGCGCTTGATTATGCCTCCTTACAGCTTTCTGAATGACCAAAACAGACTTCCTCAACTTGACGAAGCGACATCGTTCAACAATGAACTTGACATATCTTGCTACAGGTTTTAAGTTGGCTGATCTTTCTGCAGGAATAACAAAACTTAAACCAGAGAGCAACGCATTGTCTTTCACCGGAAATGATTACTCACAGTATGATAATTACCTGATAAATGCAAAGTAACTTCCTCAACAGTTAATTGTTCAAGAACTTCTATACGTTTCACTGACAACCATGTGCGGACAGCAGCTTGTAAGTATTGGATTGCACTCATTTTCTTCCTAAACTCGCAGCGCGCAAGACGCCTCCTAAAACTTGCTTGTATGACCACTGCTGCGGTTTCTGTAAGCAAGAGGCAAGATATATGCTAAAATTAAAATCAAATAGGTGGATAAATTCCCATATTCAGTACTCTATCTACCAAGAAACATAAAGTAGATAAATAAGAACTGAATCCGGTACAATGATACAATCAAGTACCATCTATGATAGTCAGATCATAAAAAGATGATTGTTATCTAAAACAAGCTTATGATGTTGAAGTTTAGAAGAGTAGATATAGAACTTGAATCACCTCGTTGGATATCCGTAGGGCACTTGCTAGACAAGGGGCTTTGGTGAATATGGTTACTTTTAACTTTTTCAACTGAATGTTGGTTTTGGTTGGCCATGTCCTGCCACCAGGCTTTGATTGCCCGGAACCTTTTAGTAGCATCTACAAATAGCATCACACTTTTGACAATCAGGACCAGCGATGCATGTATTTGCTTCATACACCAAATTGTAAGAAGCTGAAAACTCTATAAGAAACTAGGGTGGTAACTATGAGAAACAGATAATAATTAAAGGAGATACAAAAGACTGAAAACGAATGATAGACTTGTGGGATCCAAACAGAACGACTACCATGATAGACTTGCAGGCATCTAAATAAACAGGTCTGGTTCCTCATTTTTAAGATCATATACTTAAAGGGAAAGTAAGAAAGAGATGAATGGAAACCTTCTCCGTTTTCTCTATCTGGTTCCTCATTTCTAACTGCTTCAGAGTCACTGCAACTGATGCGCGAATATCTCTTCTCATGAGCTTGACAGCTAGAGCACAGCAACTTATGAAAGTTTAGTTGCTCCTGAGAAAAGAAGGAATTTCGAAGATAACATGTCAACTGAAAATTTAACTTCCATTCAGAAAATTAACCAAGGAGTTCCAAAATAAAGCTATACCATATTCTCCTTGACAATCAGCTTTGATGATAGAAAAGCCAGCAGTATAATCACACTTTGGTTGCTAACTACTGCATTATGTTCCAGTAAGTCACCAATCTGTAGAACCTATAGAGATCAATAATATTGTTAAGAACTTCATAGGATTAACATGACGCCATACATACAGAATATGTTGGCCTAACTGAAGCAAACAATCTATCTCCAGTAAAACAAAGGGCACGTTACTGTAATTCAGTTTTCATAAAAGTCCTTTTTGTCATTACCGGATAAACTTGAAAATAACTTAGACATTCACAGGCTGAATATCACTACCTCAGGAAAACTTCCCAAAAGTGCTGTCAATTTTTGCGATAGAATGAAATTTTGAACTGCATCATTGTAATCGGTATTGGACATCACTGATTGAGGGCCGTGTCCACCAACAGGATCCTGGATATAAATATTATAAGATACGTGACGAGAAATGGCCTAGGTAAACTTCAATGCAACAAAAGTAATTTGAGTTAAAAAAACATTTCATACCTTTTTGTGAAGACACGCACAGCAAACTTCTCGACGAAAATAGTAGTCAAGCAAGAACCATATCCCTTTTCCATCAACCAAAGTTGCAAAGCTTTCTAACTGGAACTCATACTTCCTGGTAATTGACTGAGTGAAGAGTGCAAGACAAGCAAGTATTGTACATGGTTAGACATATATAACATAGGCAAAGAAAGCACCCACAACTTGAATACGCTGATATGATAAGGTACCTGGATCCAGGTCAAGAGCATTTCCAGAGGACTAGTCATGGTAATTTGATTATTCTGTAGAGAAACCAAAGAAAGACATAACTAGAGACACCAGTAAAGATCTGATTGAGAATCTTCTAGTTGAAAGTACATGTAGGTTGAAAATAACTAACAATCGCTAGAACTTGGAAGTGATTTCGGAAGCAAGGAAATCAAGTGAGCCTTAGCCTTACCTGTTCCAGCCTCTGGACTTTGTAGATTTCCTCAGTCAGGAGTCTCCCATTGATCAAAAGAGGCAGCTGTCCAGTTTAAAGAGCATACATAAGCAATGAAAATCAGGAGATACGTGCAGCAAAATCCACCAAAAGTTGAACAAAGAAAAAGAAGAGACACTCACCTGCAAATGTACAAAAATGTTCCACAGCAGTGAAATAGTAAGCTCTCTGTCACCATCTGCAACATCTTCTGCAGTTATCATTATTCCTTCCTCATCTTTCAACGAAACACCAGCACCCTTCAGATATTGAAGTGCAATTCTACAGTTGACCAAGTTCTTCTTATGATTGTCGGATGGAACCACCATTTTCTGTTTGATCAAAAGCCTCATACACTAAAACTCATGACTGAAATGAAGTTCTTGATAAAAAAATCGATTCAAAGACAAACCATGAGAATGGAGGGATCATGAAGAAGTAGTTGAATGGCTCTGCAGAGCCGCACGCCATCTTGGAGGTCATCAAACAAGTCTCTCACTCTAAATTCATATTCAACTATAGGAGACTGCAAGAGCCATGCCAGTTATTGAAGTGAGTGAATCATCAAGTAATTAGCAATTGAGAGCTAATATAAGACATTTCATTCACTCATAACAATCAAATACCTGCTGATAAGGTATTTTATACCCTATAATCACCAGATGCGCTAATAGATTCCCTTCTCCATGCATAACATCAGAGGGCAAGAATTCTATATTTAAAGCAGAAAATGGAAAATTAGCCGCAATAAACTTGGCATAAGCAAAACTAAATAGCAAAATCCAAGAAAGTACCACATATAAGTTGATGGCTTGACTTTATGCTAGATTTCTCAGAAAACATGAGGGGTGAGCCACCATCTCTCCCATCAATCCCATACTTAAGTGAAAGGCAGCTTTGAGATTTAGCTCTATCGATTACAAGCACGAGCAACAGAATCCTCTTCAAAATCACTGCTCCAAGGGCTTCATAGTAACCTGGTCTGTATAAACCCTCAACCATCTTGTTGTAGGCATATGCTTTAGCAAGGCCATCATGGGAGAAGAACTGCTTACTTATCACCATCTTCAAAAATGCCATTTCTTGATCCGAGTTAACTTCACTATCAGACAAAAACGAATCACCCCCAAAGACGATATATAACCCTAAACGAAGCCAAACTTGGTTGTAGCTCATCAGTGCCTTGATCGCCTTCTCCTTCATTCCAAAATCAGTTACAAGAGGGCATTGTGGTTTCATTTTTATCCTTCCTTCATCGATATTCTGAAAACAAGAACAATAGATTGAACAACGTTAACCATTCTAAATATAATTAGCCAAGAAACAGTAAATGGAAATTGAGAAATGCTCACCTTGGTAACACGGGTCATCACATCAAAAATCTCCTTGCAACTTCCCAGACTCAAGTGAAATTGCATTCTTTGCTTCAAATCATCTAAACTACACACATCTCTCAGAGATTCCCTCAGCGAGGAATACTTGGAATTGGTCAAGCACACGCCAATTTCTGATCTTCTCTCACCACACCAACCTAATTTCCTCAGCCTTTTGGGGCTTCGCCACATTGTATCCACTCCCACAGATTTACTGTTTCGTAAAGCCTCGCCACTATCTCTCTTCGCCTTACCTAAATGTCCTCCGCTACCAGCACCGGAGTCATTTTCGAACGGATCGCAACCGCAAATTTCAGGGTTTTCAAACAGGAAATTGAGCCATACAGTGAGTGATTTAGCAAGAGATCTAAGACTCTTCTCTTTCCTCAACTCAGCCTTGCGAGAAGATTGCGACTGCTGAAGCTCGAACGCCCTGAGCCGCCTCGCCGAAGGCGCGACCTTGGACCGAGACGTATAAGAAGGAACCATGGAAGGACGACGGAAGTTAGAAGAAGAAGATTTCGGAGTTTGCTTGGATGCAGTGAAGAAATGCGGATGCGGAGAGTTACTGAACTTCGGATTTGCAACGGAAGAACGCCGCGGAGTTTTGAAATTCGAAATGTCCGTGAATAACGATGATGGCGGATGACGCGGCCGCGCCGGTGAGGCGCACGGTGGTTCGTTTTCACCCATCAGTGGAAAATCGGAGATTCGTGAGTGAGAGAGAGAGAGAGAGAGAGAGAGAGAGAGAGAGAGAGAGAGAGAGAGAGATAAGAGACGCCGTTCAATATTACTCCACAGAGTTTTGAATTTGAAAATTCGAAAGACTATAATCTGTAAACGGTACACTTCGTCAAAGATTTTTCGCAAACTGTTCCAAAAAGTTGGCAATCTCGTCGCTTTACTTTATTCGATATAAACATCACGCCGTTTTGAAAAGATAAACGCCGAGACGTTTTACGATTGTTTTTCACATCGCTGGCGTCAGTAGCCTTTTATGATTGGTCAGTGTAAGCCACGCGCTAGCTTATTCGTCGAGCTATTGTCACAGATACATATACATACACGATGGGTTTTTGTTTTTACAATATCCGAGAAGAAAGAAAAAAAACTCTGTATTTATCAGTCGTTTTCGTTAATTCAAAGCTTCTGTAGAGCTGATTTATATCCCAAATTCATTCATTGGAACATAGAGACTTCTGGAGATTCGATTTGTTTTTTTGTTTTTTGGGTTTGGTGATCAATTTCTGTTCAATTGCGCATTGATCGAAATCGAATCGATTGTGATTGTGAGGTAGGAGGAAATAATGGCTCAAGCCGTAGAAGAATGGTACAAACAGATGCCGATTATAACCCGGTCGTATCTCACGGCGGCTGTAGTCACCACCGTCGGATGTTCGCTCGAGGTATGTTTAAAATGTGGGATTTTTTACCAAATGTTTGAAGTTTTTTTTTGGCTCATTACGCCTTTTTTTCACCTTCTTCTGATTGATTTGATTAGTTTTTTCTCTTCTGGAATCGATTTGATCCCATTTTCACCGAATTATATTTGACATTGATGCGTAATTCCGGTTTTGTTGAAAAAAATGGATCTTTGTGTAGAATTTTTGCATGCATTTGTGTGGAAATAGGTGGTGGCTAATGGTTAATTTTAGAGCTGAGTGTTGTGGTGTTGTTGTGGCTTATGCTCTTCTCTTTTTCTTAATGTAACATTTTGTGGACCAATTTTTGCAGATTATATCTCCTTATAATCTCTACCTAAATCCTACACTTGTGGTGAAGCAATACCAGTTTTGGCGCCTCGTAACAAATTTCCTTTACTTCCGGAAGATGGGTAATTTCTCTTGAACACTCTTGAGTTTGATACATTATTAGTATTCTGAAAAAGACATTTCTTGGACTATCATTGTTCTATTTTCATATGAAATCGTCTTCCCGTGGATTACAAAGCCTGCAGATAATGACTTGTTGATGGTCCTTTTTGAGTCTTTGGCGATTGATTGTCTTATGTTGTGCTCACTGTATAAATTTCATATCATTTGTAATTTACCTTGCTTTCTCTTATGATCAATGTATTGCAGATTTGGACTTCTTGTTCCATATGTTTTTTCTAGCTCGATACTGCAAACTCCTGGAAGAAAACTCCTTCAGGGGAAAGACTGCGGATTTTCTCTACATGCTCTTGTTCGGTGCAACTGTTCTAACCGGTATTGTTCTCATTGGCGGGATGATACCGTACTTGTCCGTCTCCTTCTCCAAAATCATCTTCCTCAGCAATTCACTGACTTTCATGATGGTAAGTAACTTTTCTATCTCTCAGTACCGCAGTTCCAAACCAATTCTCCAATGGTTTTGAAAGTTTATCTCAAGACCTTCTTGAATCTGTTGTGCAGGTCTATGTATGGAGTAAACAAAACCCTTACATCCACATGAGCTTCCTTGGCCTTTTCACTTTTACAGCAGCATATTTACCATGGGTGAGTTGGTCTTTCTCGTTGTCTTATTGGAGTTCCTTAACTAGAGAGATCATTTTGAATCTCACCTTTCGCCAAATTCTGAAATTTGCAGGTGCTTCTTGGGTTCTCTATCCTTGTTGGTGCTAGTGCCTGGGGGGATTTTCTGGTACACTCTCTCTCTCTTATTTCGATATCATCCATTTCTTCTGCTCTTCCTCTTTTCTTATCCTTAAAGCTTTATCCAATATGCAGGGAATGATAGCTGGTCATGCATACTACTTCTTGGCGTTTGTGTATCCTCGAATGACAGATCGGCGTCCTTTGAAAACTCCATCTTTCCTCAAAGCCCTATTTGCTGACGAGCCTGTGGTGATTGCACGGCCAGAAGATGTGAGGTTTGCTCATGCGCCTTTTGACGAAATCCACCAAGACTGATTCTTGATCCTCCGCAAAAACAAGCCAAGTGTGTTCGGATATAATGTTAAAAAGGGAAGATGATGTAACTCAATCATCGACTCTTGATCGTTATAGCTGTGGATAATGTGGAAGTTTTTGTTAGTTTTCTGTATGACTTTCTCTTGTCAATACAAATGTGTTTTCTTCTTGTGTATGGACGCAAATTGTATACAAAAATCACCGAAAATGTCATTAGATAATCATTAGACAATGTCTCACAAAGAGAATCTGTTCCATTGGTTTAACTACATAACTAAGAAAAATAAGGCGGAGAGCCAAAGACACAGGTTGAAAGCAGTCTGAAAGACTTCGTTTTTGAGTTTTAATTTATAAGTAGTAACGACTCATCTCATCATCATCTTCATCATCCTCATTAATGATGGCACCATCACTGTCATAATCATCAACCTGAAAGTCCTCATCATCATCATCCTCCTCTACCATCATATTCTCTGCTGCATCTCTGTCTTTCAAACCAGTGTTCAACACCACAGTCCCTCCCTGAGAACCCTCCATATCCTTTCTTAGTTTCTCCATTTCCTTCTCCCTTCTCTCTTCTTCCAACTTCTCCTTCTCTGCCTTTCTCGTGTCAAGATCAGCCCTGAAGCGAAAAAAAACACAAAAACCATAAGCATGGAACTTTGCAGACAGATCCTGCAAAGAAAGTAAATGACAGAGAAGAGTGCATCATTACTTGTAAGTCTCCATGTACTCCTCAGAACTTGCTTCAATGGCTTTAAAGAAGTCATCCATTCCAGCACCAGTGATTGCAGAGACACCAACAGCTCTTATATTCCGGTAGAACTCGAACAGTGCAAGGGAGAGACTGTTCGCTAAGGTCGACGTGTACGAGTTATCAGACTGCAACGCTTCTTGAAAAACCTCGAAATCTTCCATCCACTGCTCAAAGAGAACATCACACAAAATGAGAAGGAACTCTACTTGGTGATATCATCAATAGATTCAATACTGATAGATAACCTCTAAAGCAAACTTGTGATCTGCCACATCGGTTTTGTTGAAAGCCAAGACAAGAGGCAACCGAGTCTTGTAGAGAATACTACAAGCGTAGAGCATGTTGCTCATAAAAGTGATTGGGCTTGAGGAACGTGGAGTATCCACCACATAGGTGACCACAGTTGGGAAAGTCGAAGCGAAAGCTTCAGTGATTATAGCCCCAGAGGCTGACCATGTAAAGATTTCAATCTGACCAGGAGTATCCACAAACACATAATCAAGCTGGTCTGCACGTTTCTCAATCACAGAGACAACCTGAAAAACAAACAAAGAAAGAACAATCAAGAAACGAATAACAAAGAGAACCAACCATCATCATGTGACCTGAAGTTATCATTTACCTCATCGAATTTAGTAGCAAACAAGTTGAGTGAAGTGAGAATTCCACCGTTAGGTCCCAGATTATACTGCTTCATAACTTCCTTGTACTTGACTGTGTCTCGTATATCGATGTTGGCAGCAAATGGCAGAGACATTACAGCAGGGTCAAGGTTCAACACATACCCACATTTCTTTGATTCATAGGTTTGGCAGACCAAACGATGAAGAAAACTGGTTTTTCCGCTGCCTACACATAAACCAAAAACAGCTCACATCAAAAACTATTGAAGTCCCTGAAAACACTATATACCTACAGCAAGAACATTTAGTCAAAATGATTATTTTACCTGCCATTCCAACAACAATGATAATGATAGGCTTCTTCTTGAAATTCGAAGATGAGCTCCCAGCACTTACTTGAAGCTTGTCCAATGAGTCAACCAGTTTTTGACTCTCTTCCACAATGTTCTTTATCAGAGAAAAACAAGGAAAAAAACTTCATTTCACTGTTCTTGTTTTGCAAAATCCCTTCTAAAAGAGCAACCAATGTTAAGTACTGATTGTATAAGCAGATAATAAAATCCCAGTACCTCTTCACCAGACGATTCCATGGGATCCATCAGTGACAGAATGCTTTTTCTTGTATGATTTTCACTGCCAATAATCCCAAATACAGCTTATTCAGTTTCATCATCCCAAAAATTTGTTCAATGGAGAAAAAAATTATCACAGAAAACTCAAAATCACGAAGAGGAAGCAAGAAGTGAGCCAATTTTCACAAACCTACTGCTTCGAAAACACCAAACTTTCAAGTCTACAGTTTTTCAAGTTTCTTCTATATCAATTAAGTAGTTCATGCTCAAAATATTTCCAGAAAACGAAAACAGAAACATAAACTTGAACGAGGTTATTTATGAATTGGAACTGCAATTGATTTCGATAACTCAAGGAATTTAACACAAGTGTGATGATGTGGATTCGGTAGCTTAGACTGCTGATTATACGAAATTACTGTTATAATTACAGGTTCGAAGCAATGAAATTGCAGAGAAGAAGAAGAAGACGACGAAGACGAGAGAGAATAGACCTCGCCGTGGACGGAAACAGAAGTTTAGGGCTTTGATTTGTGTGTGAAACTATGACCACTGTACATATGACAATTATATAATTTGGAATTTTCTTCTATTTATTTTTGGGAGCAAAAACAAAAAACAGGCTTCGATTTGAAAAGTCAAGTCCAGGGCCCATTACGTTATTTGACGGACGGAGAAGATCAGCCCATTTGATACCAATGTTATTTCGTGGTTAAATTTTTCATTTGTTTATTAATTTTCGTTTATAAATTGGAAAGATAGAGGCAGGCATGTTTGGTTTAAAAATCACCACACTGAAAATGAAGTTTTGGCCTATAGAAGTTTCTCGTGAAACCAAACAGTGTATAAACAACTTTTATTGGGAAACTAGAAAATATAGCGAATCATAGAGATAAGAAAAGGAGAATAATACTCCTACACGAAAGTAGACAATTTGTTATTTTCAACCAAATATTTTTTTTGATTTTCAACCAAAGATTAACATAACAATCAAACATTCGCCAACAAATGTTAAACATTTCTCGTCCTGACGGAGATTTTCAAAGTAACAGAACAACATTTTTGGATATCAATCCAAGTTTCATATTAGAAATTAGACAAAAAAAATGTTTAATATATAAATAATATCCCACCTAACTAATATGAGGTATTTTGGGAAGGAGTCCAATAGTAAATTTGTGAGGGCTAAGATACATAGACTCAAAGCGGACAATATCATACTAGTTGAAAGGTTAGACACAAGTTTTAAAAGCCCTTTAATTGATATCAGAGCCAAGGTACAAATTATGTGGTTCTTAGTGTGGGCATTACACAAGATGTGGAAAGAAAGTCCTCAAGAAGGTGGAGGAGTCACGAGTTATATGGTTCTTGGCTTGAAAGAGAGAATATTGGATACCAATCCAAGTCCCACATCGAAATATTAGACAAGAAGCATCTAATATATAAGTAATGTTTAACCTAGCTAGTATGAGCCCAATAACAAGTCTGTAAAAATTAAGATACATAAACACAAAACGAACAATATCATACTAGTTGGATGGTTGGATACGGACATTAAAAACCCTTTTAAACATGTGATTTTGAAACGACATAATTAATAAACTAACTATATTATCTTTTCAAATTTGGAGTTAAGTGGACCTAATGCGATGAGCTAGTGTACAACATACATGCCATTGAAACCTCAAAGAAGCCTGAATCCTCTGCCTCAAAGTTGAAAGAAAAGCATTCATTTTATTAGGGACCTATGTATTTTTAAAATCCCAAATCACTTTGACATTAATGACCATTGTGTTTATGCAAAAGATAGAAAACATAAAACCCAGAGAGAGTAAAACACTGCTAGAATCTAAATAATCACCGTTGCCGCTGTTTCTAGGATACCGATGTCTCACCTAGAAAAGAGCAGAACTTTTTTTTCTTTTTGTGTAAGGAAGAGCATAACTTGTTCACCAAAGAATTGCAAAGTAAAACTTGTCTGTTCCACTATCCAGGGTTGGCCCTTTAAATAAGCAAGTAAAGCATCTATTAATCAATTTTGCGAAAATAGATATATTGATTTATTCCCATATGGGATGGTTCTCATAATTCTTCCATTACTTTTTCTATGTGTTCAAAAGGAGAGAGTCGTTATTTTCAAAAGTGAAATAATTCGTTATTTTTTATATGTGTTCAAAAGTAAACAATTCGTTATTTCTAACCAAACATTAACATAACAATCAAACATTCGCCAACAAATTTTAAACATCTCTAGCCTAAAGTCTTGACTAGATTTTCAAAGTAACAAAACAACACGTGATTTAAAACGACATAGTTAATAAACTACTAGACCAAAAGTCAAGGCGGGCTTTTACTACTAAAAAGCTGTAAATCATATGTTTGTGCATTCCAAAAACTCACGCAGATTCACAAACAGCTTTGAGAGTTCCGTATCAACTTCCAACCGGTGGTGATTATTTGTCACGAAGTCCCACAGATCCCCAGATCCGAGTTCCTGAGTCACAGATCTGAGAGTTCCGTATCATGGAGCCCATCCGAGCCCATCCCATCACTCCAAAGCAATTCCTTCTCAAAGTGTGCCATGGCCCAAATCTGAGCCTACCCCATCACTCCAAAGGGAGCCCATTACTCCAAAGCCCATTCGTCATTTTCACATTATTCTGAAACCTAGCTAGAGTGCGTCTCTTACATTGTCCTCATATATATAGGTAAAACCGCACTCCTCTCCGTCGTTCCCATTGAGAATTCGGATCCGGTCAGTATTTTGTATTCACTACTTTTATCTTTAGTTTTTATGAGTTCAATAACAAATCTGTGTGGGTTAAGATACATGGACCCAAAACGGACAATATCATAGTAGTTGGATGGTTGAACACGGACTTGAAAAGTCTTTTTAAACATGTGATTTTGAAACGACATAATTAATAAACTAACTATATTATCTTTTCAAATTTGGAGTTAAGTGGATCTAATGCGATGAGCTAGTGTACAACATATATGCCATTGAAACGCCTCAAAGAAGCCTGAATCTTTTGCCTCAAAGTTGAAAGAAAAGCATCCATTTTATCAGGAATCTATGTATTTTTAAAATCCCAAAATCACTTTAACATTAATGACCATTGTGTTTATGCAAAAGATAGAAAACATAAGACCCAAAGAGAGTAAAACATTTGCTAGAATCTAAATAATCACCGTTGCCGCCATTTCTAGGACGGACCGACACCTCGCCTAGAAAAGAGCATAACTTTTTTTTCTTTTTTGTGCAGGGAAAGAGCATAACTTGTTCACCAAAGAATTGCAAAGTAAAATTTGTCTATTCCAATATCCAGGGTCGGCCCTTTAAATAAACAAGTAAAACATCTATTAATCAGTTTTGCGAAAATAGTCATATTGATTTATTTCCATATGGGATGGTTCTTATAATTCTTCCATTACTTTTTCTATATGTTCAAAAGGAGAGAGTCAGTTATTTTCAAAAGTAAACAATTCGTTATTTTCTATGTGTTCAAAAGTAAACAATTCGTTATTTTCAACCACACATTAACATAATAATCAAACATTCGCCAACAAATTTTAAACATCTCTAAGTCTTGACCAGATTTTCAAAGTAACAGAACAACATGTGATTTAAAACGACATAATTAATAAACTACTAGACCAAAAGTCAGGCGGGCTTTTACTACTAAAAAGCTGTAAAATCATATGTTCGTGCATTCCAAAAACTCACGCAGATTCCACACCCGATTCCTTCCTCTTCTTCTTCTTCTTCACCTTAGAAACTGAATCTTTAACTCTCTTAAAACAGCATCAGACTCAGCGTGTGTGATGGTTCAGACAAAAGTCTACTGGATCGGGTGGTATTGTGCTGAAACTCTCTTTGGTGGTAGCTTACGGAGAATGAAGAGGACTAGTGCCGATGGTAGTACTTCAACCACCTGTAATTTGTGTACAATTTTGTGTTCAGTTAACGAAGAAACATAAACAGATATGAGAAAATAGAGAATTAATGGACGTTTTTTTGTTACTTACCATATAGTAGATTAAGTTTAGAACCGGATGATCAAGAACATCGAGCGTTAAGTCCATGTCAAAAGCTGATGCAGCAACCTAAAGTTTCGCAAGAAAAAAACATTACAAAAACACTTCTATCTGGAAAAATAACTGAAGATAACGATTTCATGTCAAGTGTTCTATCTGAGAGCTTACCACAATGCATCTTATGAGGAAGCAGGTGAAGCAAATGGCTGTCACAGATCCAACCTACAATAAAAATACCATTTCAATTACAAATGCAAATGAAAAGCAACGAATTTGAAAGCAAACACGTCTGTGTTCAAAATATCATATAACTAATCATGTAAGCACATGTAGACATGCATATATATAAAAATCTGAATACCTCATGGAGCTTCTTCCTTCTTCCTTTTGACTCGATAGGGAACCTTCTTAGCATAAAGAACAATCTATAACATACAAACAAATACATGAGAAAAAACATCTCATTACAACCATTGAAGAACTTCCAGAGACATGTGGATATAACAGAAACACACACCTTCCTCCGTACAGCAAGAAGCCTAGTGCGGCGATGCAAGACACAACTAAAAAACCAAGAAAAATACCCCCAAAAATTCAATATAGAGTTTGGACAAGAGAGAGAGATAGGATTAAAGATTGATCAGGGACGTGTTTAGCAAACTTGCTTGACCAGAACAAAGAACCTACCTGCCATGAATATCTTTCCAACTAACTCCACAGTGCTGTTATCATTTATCCAGATGAATACCCAGATCACAACCTGATAGTGAGAGAGAGACATCAATTACGTGTCAAACTAAGTAAATGAGACAAGGACAAGGTAGAAAACATACACAGACTTAACATTTTCTTTAACACTAGTAATGGCAGATGTGTACATATGGATCTCAGGAATCTCAGCAATTACAACATATAAATTTGAGAAAAAAAAAAAAGAAAAGTAAAACAAAAAGAATCAGACATATACCTGAGCCAGATATACGGCCACATTGACTGAGATATAGGTTATTCTCAGCTTATCCGTTGGTAAGCTTCTTGCCTGCACATTTGTGGCAACAACACATACATATTCAGAGCTTGTCTGGCAGATTTAAAAAGAGAGTAGACGCATATCAAAATTTTCTTTGTAGTTTTTTTTACTTGCCTGGTGATATATCTCTGCCCAGAACAGCACAAGCAGTGTGTATGCCGAGAAGAAGAGGAGGCCTGGAAGATCCAAAAGTATCCAGCAAAGCGCCTGCATTATCTCACAAGCAACATTATTTACTTAAAAAGATGCAGCCTTCAACATGCTAAAACCAGACTCAAGTTGACATAAGTTGTGCAAAGGAAGATACAGGATAGACATAAATATCTTATCATTTTTGTTTTCAAAAATATTTTCAAATAAGAACTTCACTCAAATCTTATGCAGACTCTCACCTTGGGATGCACGAGAAACACTTGATAATGAAATCCAAACAGAACCGCACGAACTGCACACAAAGAAAGTCAGAAACACAATTCAAAATGTGCTGGAAACAAAATAAAAACACAAAATCCTCTCATTTGTTTAACGGGAAACATGGATAAATCACCTCCATTGACGACAAAGTTCATAAGATGAAACACCTTCTGAGTGGTCCAGCCATACTCAGGCACTCTCATTTGGATCCTTACCAGTTGGACCTGCCAATGACAAACCCAATTCAGAAAAAGGTCAACAATTGCAACGGATCCGCAAAAGTCTACAGGTGAAAAAAACTCAGCCAACTAACTAAACCCACATATAAAGTATCCAACTTTCCCAATCAAATAGCTTCTCAAGTATTTTAAGTTCCGTGATTTATACAGAAAACGATGTTTCATCAACGAACACGATAACAAAAGTTCTTATAAAGAGGAAAGGCAGGTCAAGCACGCAAGAATTTGACCTAGAACCTCAAATCAACTACCCAGGCCCTTAAATCAAAGCGTATTTGAAAACTGATTCGCGTAACCCCAAAACAAAAATTCAACCACAACATTTCGTGTATTTTCTGGAAACAGAGCGGCGATTTTGAGCGGTTAGAGAGAGATAATCATACTAGAGCAATGGCGGAAACAAGAGCATAAGCTCCACAGAGAGCGAAGAAGATCCCGTCTTGCCAGTGAGTTGACTCGTTAACATCGTTCCACCAATTCGTCATCGCCGTCGCGACGATTTCAGCCATCGCCACCGGCATCATCAGGCTCGAATCCGTCATCCTCCTCGTTATCTGCTATCCTGGCTACGCCGGCAAGGATTAGACTTCCTTATGAGAAAAATCAAAGATTCGCCGAATCGAGCTTGTACGGATTCAAATCCAGGAACCCTAACCAGCTCTTCAGAATCCGAGAGGGGAATTTGAATATCTGCAACCCACAAGATCAGATTGCAGAGAGAGAGAGAGAGAGAAGAAGAAGAAGAAGATCGACGGTTGAGAAAGGTGCGATCTTTTCGACACTGTAAGCTGTCTGTAGCTTCTGGCTTGTTCCCTCACACGTCCTCTGAATTATTTTATCAGCCTAAAATACATAATTAATTTTCTAATTTTGTCTACCCCAGGAAAAATGACATTTTTCACAAATTAAAAGGGTAAGAAAACATTAAAAGATAAGAAAAATATTATTTGGTTATTTTTTCCTGTATAATTTTGGATTTTTTCAATTAAGAGAATCATATTTTTAGTCTTTGTTTTGAACTTATAGTTCTTTTATGGAATTTTGACTTACAAGATTGTACCTTTCTATTGTGTTCATATTTATTGAATTTATTATTTGAATATTTGTTACCCAAAAAAGGATTAAAACAATACACTTTTGTTTTTATATGAGAAGACACATAAGATCTTCAGTGGTATCTACGGATCAGATATAAACTCTACTCATAAGGTAATGTGTTTATTTTTACAAAGTGTCTTTCTGTTGTAAAATGGGATTATATGTTAACTATCTAGTGAAATCCAAATTCAAACACTCTCCACGTACTACTATTGCTGTATATATCTAATCATTTTTTCAATTTAAAATCTATGTTTAGTATTAAATCAATACAGTCTTATCTTTTTGGATTAGTGGTTATCATTTATCAGAAACGGTAAAGATATGAAACACATTTCCATTTTATTATACAGCTATGCTTTGTACGTACAGTACATAGTACTATTATCTCTTTTCGCTAAAAACGTTTTCTTCTTTTGTGTTTCCCTTTATGATCTTTGATTTTAAATTGTTTATCATTTTTCAAATCGTCTAACATATGCCATAAGATATTGTTTTATAACCAGATGGATTAGGTAGGCGGCTTGACCGTTTGAATTTTGGAGACGTGTTGATATGTCAAGAATTAAGTAGACATCAAAAACACGTGTGTACGTATAAAGCTTCGGGCATAAGTGCTCTAAAGTTCATGAAATCATAGTAGTATTCGATAACAATTACGATAAAGGAACAAATAAACGAACGAAAGAAAGATTATGAACAAACAAAGCTGGGGAATTAAAGAGCTGATGAAAGAAACGTGGAACGTGTATATGATAAACAAAAACTTCAATGATTTCGATTTGGAGTTTGGACCGTCCATGTGGCTGCGTCATTTTCCACCTCAAAGTTTCCTCAGAACCAGACAAGTCTTTACCATCCCGAAAACAACGAAGAGATCATTTTAGCAACTCGCTGTAGTCGTAACATAGAGCTATTAAACTAATTGTTTTCCCTTTCTCTTCTTGATCTTTGGATTCTCTGTCTTGCACATGAATGTGTGAAGTTTATCAAGTGACAACTGACAAGTACTATCCAACATTATGATCTCTGAATCGTAGCAATGGCTATTCTCTTCTATTGCACTCCATAAGCTGCAAATGAAGTTACGATTCACTAACTACGGATAACCAAACGAATTCAAGAAGACCATTAACCAGATTCTCTCAGAAAAAATACTGCATATTTTATTCCATCCATAAATCGATTTTCTTCCCTATGAGTTCTAGTCTTAATAAGAATGCTAGCTAGTTCTTACAATCCACAAATGTGGTTGCTGATCACGAAACCTGACATTAGAGAAGTGATCGATATTTGGAGCTTATTAGGCAACTATATATATCATACTATTATCTGCGAAGTCAGAATTTCGAATGGAGCCACCACGTTAACTCTCAGCCGCGGAATTACCGAGATGCCCTTAATAAAAATCTATTATTAAATCTTCTGAATTTCATTTTTTAATTATTTTCATGGTTTCATTTTTTTATATAAAAGTTCATTATTTCCTTATTAAATATTGATAATTATCCTTTTTTCTCTCCTTGAATATAATATCTTATAACGTAAATAAATTTCATTTTTTAATATATTTTTTTTTGGCTAATCATCATTTTATTCAAAAGAAGAAAAACTTATGCCCTATTAATTTATATAAATTAATAATATGTAGAGAAAATCTTGAGGAAACCCTAACTCTTATAAATTTGTACAAAAACCTATATATACAAAGTTGTGACTAACAAGAACGGCCATCTTATTTGTGTTCGTGTTATATCAATATCTGCACATGGTATTAATGGAACCCTAGCGGGTTTTGAACTCAGCAAGCTCTGGAATTGAGTATAAATGAATCTCTTGGGTGTGAAGCTTTGAAATTCGAGTGAAACTATGGATTCTGATACCGATTAGATCATGGGTATTTGAGATGAATGAGCTTAAGCAGGTTTTAGTTTGAAACCCTATCGCCTTTACTCAAAGCAAGATGGATCGAATTTGAATGTATGTATTGCTTGAGTTTGATGCTTTGAAGCACGACTCAGAACTTGGGAAACCTACTGGAATACAGTTTTGGTTTGGAGACTTGCTCAAATATACAACCAAGACTAGGATTAATTATCATCTCTTCTTCTTTCCTTGGCGAAGACTTACTTTCGTAAGAATAGTCTAATCAATTGGTTCTCTAGACAAGTTTCTCTTCATCTTGAATCCTAGAACTCACGTTATTTGAATATTTTTGCTCTGTTTTGGTTTTAGTTAATCCTTATTAGTCGCAAGTACTCTCTCTTTATCTCTTTCTTAAACCTCGCAGGGATATTTTTCTTAAAATATTGGGCATGCATGCTTGAGAGGTACGTGAGTTCTCCAATGTACACGTCTATACCAACATGCTCATAAATGTTCTCCGATCAACTCCTCTCTTTCTTTGCCCTATATATATTCAACATCTTCGTACTATCCACGATCATGTGTTTTAGGAATTCTCGGTGAGGTTGTGTATCATGGAGTGCAGGAAGAGTGAATTTTGTTAAGACACGATTGTAGCAATCTGAGGATGAAAATCAGCTTTGGTTTTAAATGTTACTTCTGATGCTGACCAGGTTAAAATCTTTCTCCTTGTGATGGTGATAATGACTTATACTCTTGACTGTTCCTGTAATTTGTTTGTATTGTTTCCTTTAGGATGATGCCTAACAGTTGTTACTAACTTTTCAAGGAAAAAATAACTTGCAGAATCATAAATGGTGTTCTCACTTGCCTTCCGCTCCTCCAAAAGCTATCACTCAAACATGTATCTTACAAAGTGATGTGTCTCTCTGTAATGCACTAAAAGATCGCGATAAATGATCACGGAGGATTTTGCGTGAGATGAAAGGTAACGACGTGGACACTGTGAACCGGAACACAGTGATATGTTTGCTATATTTTGTCACTGCATCACGACGTAAACTCATCCAGGTCTCCATGCTGGTGCCCAGATACTATGCTATTAGCTACGATCCACAAACGATGTAGCATTGCTTCTCCACAACCTGCTCCCTCTTGAGAGTGAGGTACTGAGGTGTATGTATACTCTCATGATACAAAAAGGAAACATGGAATGCTTAACAACTCCAGTGTACATTCTGAGAACAATCACTTTCAAGTGACTTTAGTAAAGCATAGCAGGCTTATCACTATACTTAACCTTCATAATAATCTATCACTATATTCATTTGTTATCTCGGTCTTAGTAGGTGGTATCTACCGGGTTTCTATGAAGACAAGAGTCATACGGTGACATGGAGTTGATTAAGTACCATAAACTAATTTAACGTATGTTTCATTAGTGTATGAGAATGAAGAGAACTACGATGATGAACACAGGTTACCCTGAAGACGCGCACATATCTACGAGAATATGAACCATCCCGGAATGGGATGTTGACAGTTTCGACGGCCACAAGTATCACTCCTCTGAGCCAGCACTCCACAAGTATCCGATAAAGAGGCTGAAATTAAACAGCGCTGCTACAAACGCCAGGTCATGGGGAGCAAGGTAACAACCATCCATACACTTTTTTGTTTGATTGTTTCTTTTCACTTAAAACTTAAATTCTTTAAATAGAAAGAATATCTAATTAACTAAACTTTCGTCTGGTTTTAGGGGTTTTACGTGGAGCCAGGGCTTAGGCCTTTGTATTGCTTCACCATTATCAAACCTGTAGGTGATTTGGAATTGCATGCGGGATTTGGCCAAACATACCGCGAGTATTTCGCGGAGATGGCTTGCCTCTGCCTCCAGAATACAACCAAGACCACAACAAAATAAATATCGGTATTGTTTTTGTGTCTGGTGTAGGTGAAAAAGCAATGGGTGAAAAAGATTGTTTATCGTCTAAGTATCTGGTGTATATAAATTTCAATAGGGTGGTATGGAGGGTGGGGGAGGGGATGTTATTGTAGGGTTAGAGTTTAGAATGTAGGGTTTATATTGGTGGGTGTAAGGTTTAGTTTTTTGTGCGTTTTTATAATATTTAGTTCTTGAAAAATTGAAGGGTAAAGGTAATAGCTAAACAACTAAATTATTTAATCTTTTATTCAAATCATTTCGATTAATTAATAAAATTGCAAAATTTTAAAATATCATTTGCAATTTTGTACAACAACAGTTACACCAAATTAACCAAAAAAAATTCATTAAAATTGAAAAGAGCTGTCTATTACAACAACTACTACTTTAAAAAAATCTAAAACAATAAAAGAAAATCCAGTACCGCTTTGTATTGTGGAGTTATAGTATACAATATATGGGGTTTATAATGTGGGGTTAAGGTGGAGAGTTTAAATTGATGGATGTAAGGTTTAGTTTGTGGTGCATTTAAAAAAGAAAGAATTATCATGGAAGTATATCAAATTTAAAATCTTTGATTCAAAAAATACATTAACAATAGAAAAAACTGAGATAATTATAGCAAATCCAGAATCAGAAGATAATGACACCAATAGTTTACTAAGATATCATGATTACATAAAGATATAAACTATTTAGCGAATTCTTAAAAAAATAAACTATCAAACGGATACATTGAATATATTATCAAATTAAGAATCAAGAAGTAAGAGAAGATGACAGTAAAAAAGGAGGGGAAGCAGAAGAAGCCGAAGAAAAACCAAAAGAAAAAAATGTAGAAGATAAAGAAGAAGAGAAAAATTGAAAGATAAAGAACGAAAAGAAGAACACAAAGTTGATGAAGAAGAAATCAGAAAAAGAAAAAAAATAAGAAAACCCATAATAAAAAGAAAACAAAATAAATCAGAAAAATACAGATATGACATAAACGATAAAGAAAAATATATAATAGTTGGGTTTAAATTGTTATTTGAAAAATAAAAGTATATGAAACTGATTATTGTATAGTATAAAATATTTTTCTAAAATATTTGATTTGATTTGAATATTATATTATTTTTATGGCCATATTATAATAGTTATTTTTTTTGTTTCAATTGTTTTTTTTAATATTGTGATAATGAAAAAATGTTTTTATTTTAGAAATGATTATTTTTTCAAAACAACTCATGCCCGCACAATAAACTGAAACATAGTACATCCTAATGTTGAAATAAAAATTATATGAAATTATATGTAATTTGGTTAATATAGTGCATAAAGTAGTCTTTCAAAACATTTACTTTAATTTAATTTGAATATTTGTATTATTTTAAGCATAATTATTGAATTTCTTTATATATTTTTATCATAACGTTTTAAATTGTGAATAATTTTGTTTTAGATGATAAGTTTTATTTTTAAAATGATTCATGCTCACGCAAGGCGTGGGCCAACAACCTTGTATACTAGGGGGTTACCCACGCCTAATGCGTGGGGTTATGATAACTTTAAAAAAATTCATAATTAAAATAAATTATTATTGATTGGATATATTATTTTTATATTATTTAGATTAATATCTATTTTGTTTCTATAATAATAAGCATATTTTTTGGATTACTAATATTATAGTTCTTTTTTGTTTTGGAATAATGGATAAATATTTGGTTATTTATTTATGTGTATTATTATATGTAAGTTGTTTCCTGTTTCAGAATATATTAATTATGTGATTAGTTCAAAAGATTATAATGTAATTAAATCTAAAAGACCTTTAGAATTATTGTTAATAAAATTTAGTCAAGGTAAACCTTCTTTAAAATTTATATTAAGAAATCAAATAGCAATATCCATTACATATTGTACTTACAATATATTTATGAAAGAAAAAAAAAATTTAATGCAAAATATAATTCTGCTAATTTTCACCAAAACTTGTGTCTAAAAGCCTTATATTTTAGTTTTTAAATATCAAAAGCCTTAAAAGTAAATAATAATCTCCCAAGCAATATAAAGTAAGGAACTGATTTGGTCAATAAGGAAATAAGAATATCGATTGATTAGCGTATTAATAGAGAAAGCAGCACAAATGTAAAGTGTTTACTTGAACATCAAGAGTTGTGATTATTTGACTTGGAGTTAACGTTTAAAGAGTATAACAGCCATGATCATTATATTACATCTCGACATCTTTTTCTCACAACCTAAATAACAAAAAATAGATTGGTAGATAAATTTAAATATCCTTAGGGATAAAAACATAAAATTAAATATATGTTCAACCAAAATGAAGATTCAAATGTGAGGAAATAAAATCGAAAGTCGGGTATTCCGAAAATTACAAATACAGTCAATCAGAATTTATTTATGAAAGGAATATAATGATGCAGTGTAAGAATAATGGATCGACTGGACTTAACGCTCATTGATGAGTTCTCCAAATGAACTGTTCTCCATGTGACATCCTCAGACTTGAATAAGCAAAAAGATTATGCTTTAAGATATTGAATTGTGTCGCATATCTCAACAAAGTATAAACATTTTCAATGATGGAGAGTTGGTAAATCAACTTACCTTATCAGTGATATTTCCGATGGAGATCCTAAATGTTCTGGAATACTTTCTTAAAAACTACGTTCATATATAGTTTGGTTGTGTGGATTGCCATCTTATCTTTGGTGGTGATAAGAACCTTTAATCATGCTTTGGACTTTAATCTAGGCAGAGCAACGTAAAGGACTTCCCATTTTCGGGCGAGGACTTTAATCCATAGAGTTTAGTCCCATTTTCTCCGCCTAGAATTATCAAAACACTTCGCATCAAGCTCCAATAACAAACAAAGCAATGCAATGAACAATTTCAAAAGCAATGACAGAGTATGAACAATTACCTCCTCAACATGCTGAGCATCTCCTCCAAGCATACAGTACAGATCTTCATTTTCGGGCGAGGAATGTGTGGGAGCTTGACAGATCCACTAAAACGCTTGTCCTTTTGTGGGTCATAGTTCTTCAAACCAATCAGAAGCTCCACTATCTCCACAAAGTTACGTTTTTTTCTCCTCGCTTTTGCCCTTGATTGTTGTGATGGCTTCACTAACAGCCTCACCCTGAAGCTTACTATATATAACCACACAAATCCCATTTAACCAAAATTAGATTATAATAAGAAGACCAAAACTTTTATATGATTCATTGGATAAAAATACAATTTACTCTCTAAGCCATCAATATACGCATCTGAATCAGATAAACCGGAGACTAAAACAATGGCGAATAGAGATCTACATGAAAATTGGGAGAAGAGGTTTTGAAGTACCTCATCTTAAGTTTCTCTCAAGTTTACGAATCTCAGAGCCTGGAAACCACAAAAACCAAACATTTAGATCTCAATTTCTTGGAGCTAACACCTTCATTTTCAGCTATGAACCAAAGTAAACAAACCAGAAACTAATATAATCCGTGTACCTTCTCATCGACCACAATCATCTCCATGGTCTCAACAACACTCAAATACTGCTTCCATTTATTCAAGATCTTGACACGGATCTTCCACTGAGGCTTGTACGGCTTGACAGAGTAGACGTCAACAATCGAAGCCATTTCTGAACAATTAACCAATTAACCGTAAGAAGAAACTATAGTGGTTTTGCTGTAAAAGATGATGAAAATCGATGATGGGGAAGGGGACCCTTATATAGTGGAATGGGTATTGTAATACGCTCTAGGCATAGCCACTTTCAGAATATTCAGTTTTGCTGAAATGGCAAGATCCAATTAATTCGGAATTGATGCGTGGACTCAAAGGTTAGAAGGTAATAGTCGCCCAAATCCTACAATGATAATCGAATAATCTACTCCGGAAATCTAGTTTTAGTAGGAACGAAATTTAGGAAATACAATATCCTAAATTCTAGCTGATTTCCATAAATCCTAATTTATTTTCCCGGAAAAGGAAAACGTGACCAAAAGGTAAAACTACGTGTTTTTGCATGGAAGCTTTGTGATTTTCGTATTAAAGACACTCCTCCGTCAATGTTTATTCTCCCGACAGTTTATTTCATTGAGAGGCCCACGGGTGGCCCATTGCGACTACTTCCAGGAGGCCCATTTCGAGTTAAAAAAAACCGACCCGGGGAAATGGATCCGCGTCCTTTACCGAATATGCTAAAAGAATTTAATTAAATAATTCAAAAAAATGGCAAAAAATTGAGAGTTCGTCACATCAGCAAAAATGCATGGTCTTTAATATATTGTAGGATATATATTGTGTGATATCTTGTTTATTCAGTTATATATTTTCCGTACGGTAATCATGTCTAGAGTAATGGAATCTTAGGTTGTAAATAATCCATCATACGTTATTGTCAATGGAACTGAGTCAACTGACACAGTTTTCCTATTAGGCAATACCTTTTATATTCTCTTACCAATTCGTAAGTATGGTCTATTTTTTGTTCAAATGCCACGATAACCATTTTTTTTTTTTTTTACTTTTGGTGTTTTTAGCAGTTGAAGCTGTAATAAGGTCATAAGAATCATCTGAACTAAATATGGCTACTGAAAACCAGGAACTTCATCTAAAAGTAGCCCAAGGATTTCATCAGAAACAAATGGGTTCAGTAGTAATGATATTCACGAATGCTCTTGTAACGAGAAACATTTGAAGCATTGTATCTTTCCATATATCCGTCCACTAGTAAAGTTATAAACAATGGAAACAACAAAACAATCAACCTTGGAATGCAAAGTTTACTACTAAAAGCATTTTTCTGATATAGAGTTTATGAACTTGTGGAAGCAAAACTCTGATTTAAAATTTATTCACCCAAGTTAAATCTAAAGTTTGGAAATACAAATTAACTTTATTTGTCTTTAGCATACGTACGTCACACCAAACAAAAAGAAATTCCTTGAGCATATATATATTTTTTTCAAAAATTTACACTGGTAAAAAGGGTTCGAATATGCTCATTGACATTGTAAAATGCAACAAATAATTAAAAGGAAAAAGGGTTTGCAGATCTCATTGTCTTTCACCGTGATCCACATAAATAGTCCTCGGCTAGACATGCAAGCCCTTCGCATCACTCTTCATCAAGATCCTATAGTTGAAACCCGGAACTCGGTTCTCACCGGAAACCTCCACCGCCGAGCACATACTCGGTAAATACCTGCCACTGCCACCACGACTCTGCCGCTTCTTCTTTCTCCAATTAGTTCCTGAGAACCAAGAACTCAGCCGTGATGATCGATCCCTTTGTTGAAACCTGTTGGTGTTTTCTTTGGAATTGCCTCTTCGTGCATCGAGCTGGGGACATGCATTTAAGTTTTTGAAGAACTCGATCTCTTTACGTACAAGTGATCCAATAGTTCCTCGTGTCCCTATGGCGGTTGGAGCAGCCATCGATGGAGAGTTTTGTGTGCAGCTTTTGCGTTTCTTTTGTTATATTGATCAAGTGGTAATAAAAGGGATGTGGAGATGCTTGAAGCTAAAGTAATAGATAAAAAAGGGTTTTCTTTTTCTTTTTTTTTTAAATTGTATGATTGCTTTGGTTGGTCATCCATTTCTTTATCAATTTTCTAACTTTTCTTACATTCAAAATCCAGCTAATGGAAGGGTAATTTGTTTATATAAATGTGCTTATTAGAATTATGTTATTATTTTTGGATTTTTTTTCACAATATAAAAACAACAAGAATTATAGTGTTGAGGATGGAAGCGAATAGAGAAGTCGACCGAAAAGTTGTTGCAGAAGGAACAAGATAATTATTCTCTCTCTATATAATGACACAAGTTTGTTAGAGAGAAGACAAAAAATGATTCGGTTGATAACTTATTTAATGAATTTTAAATTTATCAAGAATATTTGAACAATTCAACTTTTTCTTGAACGCCATATGACATAAAAATGACATTTCTTCAACATTTCAATCACATGATAGGTTTAATTCAATTACTTTTCCTTCTATCATGCCGTGGATTAATTTTCACTTAGACTAATTTGTTTCTCTTCTTTTACCATAAAGTCAGAGGGAACATAATAATTATAAACTGCATGACTTTTATCATATAAGGAAAAAGTGATTATAATTGCAGAAAAAAAAAGTAATTATTTGGTTTATTACCCGAAGAAAAAACGGGGCAACAAACCGAAGTAAACCAACAAACCGACCAAATTAATCTCTAAACCAAGTTTCTATCTCGGCCCATATTTCAGATTGGCGCGATAACGATAACGATTCTGTAGGCGGCGCATTACCACCGGCATCAATCAAAATCAACCATGGCTTCGCCGGCGTTAACAACCGGTTACCGGAACCTTACAACGCCGGTATCTCTCCTGCGCACATTAGCATCCACCCGAATCACAACTCCTTTGTTTCTTTCCTATGAGTATCATCACAACATACACTCTCCGCGTTTCATTTCTTCTTCAAAGAGACTCACTTGCTTATCCTTACTTCAAACCGATTCTCACAATCAAACCACACTCTCATCCTCTTCCAATTTTGGGTATGCCAAAAGTTTGATTCTTTTTATCCACTTTACTGTGAAATTCAGATTATTGTTCATTTGGTGTTTTTGTTTATGCCAAAAGTTTGATTCTTTTTATTAATTTCGTTCAAATTTCAACACTTTACTGTGAAATTCAGCTGCTTTATATGTTCATTTCGTGTTTTTGTTTACAGATACCCTGAATACAATCGATTAATGCCATGTCCTGCACATAACATTCCTCCAAGAATTGAGCATATGGTTGTCTTAGAAGACGTTCTTGTGGCTGATTTTATCTCTAAACATTTGGATCTTCCTCCTTTGTAAGTAGTTACATTCGTGTTCTTACTTCTTTAAGTCTAAAAAATCTCATTATGTTTAGGAATGGAGTATATAAAAAATTTCATTCTACGAAGATATGTTGCAGATCTTATCCATTTTGGAGCTGTGCATTACGCTCTTGTAAGCCCTAAACCTCCACCAACTGCGACTCCTGAGCAAATCAAACTGTTTGAACAAGTAACCTCTCCTTCTGCACTAAAGAAGAGACCTTCTATCAAAGGAAAAACTGTTCAAGAAGCTCAGAAAACGTTTCGTGTGACACATTCAAATCAGTATGTAGAGGCTGGAACGTACCTGCGTGTGCACGTCTACCCAAAACGCTTCCCAAGGTATAAACACAATTCAAGAAATGTGTTTAGAAATCGAAAATTTTGGCGATAACCAACTGAACATGATGTTTTGTTTTGTTTAAATTAGGTGTTATGAAATTGATTGGAAGTCAAGGATTATTGCTGTGACTGACGATTATGTTGTTTTGGATAAACCTGCAGGCACTACGGTATGTAAATTCATCCATTAAAAGACTTTCTTCTCAATATTCTTGACCACTGTAGTTGCATTAGAAATCTTGCAAAAAGTGAAACAATGTACATTAAGACCCTTAGTGGCTATTTTGTCAGGTTGGAGGAACAATGGATAACATAGAAGAGACTTGTGCCACGTTTGCCTCACGTGCATTAGGTTTGCCAGGATCGTTGAAAACAACACATCAGATTGACAATTGCACAGAAGGCTGGTACTTGTCCGGCTAATAACTTTTTTTTTCAAGCTTTGAACTTAACAACTTTTTAAGTGAGAAGGCCACATTGCTTTGTTCTTCTTTATCGACAGTGTTGTTTTTGCTAGAGCAAAAGACTACTTCACAAAAGATTACTGCTCTGTGTTCCACACGAAAATACAAGTGAGTTTGCTCTGCTTGCCTCTTTTTTGCTGTACTGTAGAAACAATAAGACGTTTATGCTGAAGAAATATTGCATTGTTATCTATATATCTTTTCAAGAATAAAGAAGTGAAGAAGCTTTATCGTGCTCTTGCTGTGGCACCTCTTCCCAGTGGAATGATCTCACATTATATGCGCCCCATTAATAGAGCTCCGAGGCTCGTATCCGAAGGTAACTTCTGTTTGAAATAATCAAGAAACATGAAATGAAGACATGATTCTGAGTGTATTCCTAACAATGTGAATGTTCTTTGAGGTGGCAGATGCGATCGAAGGCTGGCACTTGTGTCAACTTGAGATTTTAGAATGCAAGAAGATACCTTGGCCTGACGCAGCTACTGAGAAGAAACATGATATTGAAGACTGTGGATGGCCTTCAAAAGAATCAGCTTACGAGTGTACAATAAGCCTTTTAACAGGAAAGACTCATCAGGTTGGTTTCATCATAAACATGAATCTCATTTGAATATGTTGGGAATTTGGGATCATCAAATTGCTGCGTTAAATGGTTTGTTTGTTAGATCCGGGCCCAGCTTGCAGCTTGTGGGGCACCGGTCGTTGGTGACTCTATGTACATGCCAGCTGCAATAGCAGAGATGGTGAGCCCTGGGATCAACCCTTATGGGAAAGGAAAGAAGCATGAAGAAATGGAGGAGAACGATAAGGAAACCGCTGTTGCTGAATGGTTTGATATCCATGGGAAGGAGCCGAAAGTAGGAATCGGTCTTCAAGCTTGTCAAATCTCATGGGAGGATAGTGATGGAGAGCATTTCTATGAAGCTGGGACTCCGTGGTGGAGATGATCTTTTCTATGAGTCTAAATCTTGCGTCGGCAAAGAAGAGGTGAAGAACGTTTTTGTTATAAAGGAATGAAAATGTCTTTCTTTATTATAATAAAATAGCTTTCTATTACATTACTTCCCTGCTTTGTTGAAGACTCAAACAAGAAGGACAACTAAAAGACAATATGGGTCTTCTTCGTTTTTGTTTCAGGCATCAGCATCTTTGGATTGAGCTCTGTTCTTGAAAATGAAGTTCTTGTACCAAGAAGCCGAGAGTCTCGGAGTTCTCTCTAGAGTATCGAAATCGACATGGTAGAGACCGAATCTTGAGGTATAACCGTATACCCATTCAAAGTTGTCTAGTAAAGACCATATGAAATATCCTCTTACATCTGCTCCTCTCCTGTGTTTACCATTAGCTTATGGTTTTAGAATCAGTGGCATAGTTATAGTTTCTCTGAAGTTGAACCATCATTACTATTACCTCATTGCTCTTTTAACTGCATCTAAGTAGCCACGCATGAACTTTATGCTCCGGTGATCGTGATCGTTGTCGTTTAACAATACTCCAGTAATGTTCTCACCATAACCTGCAAAAGTGATCAGATCAAAACTTATCGCCATAACTGCAGAGACTCTCAGACAGTCTTGGCCTCATGCTTACCGTTTTCTGTGACATACAATGGAATGTTTTTGTATCGCTCTGTTGCGTACATCAACACCTTCTCCATTCCTTGAGGATAAACATTCAACTAACTTATACTAGTCTGCACTATTGTTACAAAAAAAACAAGCAACTCAAACATGTTTCAGAGTAATGAATCATATGGTCTAGTGTACATACAGGTTCTCCTAAAGCCAAACCGTCTTTAAGAGCGTTTGTATTGACAAAAACCTTCAGCTCTAGAACCTCCTTTGCCCGGTTCACATTCGGAATGAAGACAGTCTTTCGCGTATCCGCCTGTGTACTGATTAATCCCAATGTAGTCTAATCCAGTCTTGAAGCTTTTGAGATCATCTTTTGAGAATTCAGGGAGATCTTCTCCAAGAATTTCCTGCATTTCTTTCGGATATCTTCCATACACAACCGGGTCCAAAAACCTGCATTTTACACACTACCAATTTTAAAAAAGTCCGGTATTTTGTTTGAAGCGAACCAGAATCTATAAAACCGATCCAGCTTACCAAGTCATATAGAAAGCTTGAGCTCTCTCAGCAGCTAACCTATCTGCTGAAGAATCTTTCCTCTTTGTTCCTCCTAAACCAAGCGAAAACGGTTTATATAGATACCAAAACCAATTTGAAATATCCGGTACGGTTTGGTTATGTTAACCTGATATTTCATTCGGTATATATTGACGGCGGCTAGGTGTGACCGTATAATGTTGTGAACAGCGACAAGTGGCTCACAGTCGGAATCGCCACGTGTGCAGTTTCCGAAAGGCTTGGAACAACGTGACGGCGTGGAACTCCCTGTCCGGTAACTAACAATTACTTGTACGTTTGGTTCGTTAAACGTAGTCCAGAACTTAACTCTGTCCCCAAAGTATCGGAAGCAAATCTCTGCGTAATGAACGAAATCTTCCCTGAGAGACAACAACTTTTGTTCATTTAATATCAGTGTATCATTATGTAACTAAGTGTACTTGTGTGTGCATGCTTATACCGGATCTGAGGACTTAGCCATGTTCCGTATCTAAGTTCGAGTTCTTGAGGAATGTCGAAATGTGTCAACGACACAAATGGCTCCATCCCTGAAAAAATTTGAGCTTCTTTGGGTTTTTTTTTTTTCTTGGTCTTAAGAAAATCTGCCAATTATTACCCCTTTCGAGAATAGCATTGATCATTCTGTTGTAATGATCAATACCTTTCATGTTCACATCTCCAAATCTTCCCTCTGTACACAGTACACACACAAATAAAGGTTTTTGAAAAGACTGAAAGAGAGAGTTTGATATAGAGAGTGAGAAACAAGATTTCTCACTTGGAAGAATCCGAGCCCATGACAACGAGAATCGATAGCTATTAACTCCAAGATCTTTCATCAGATCCAAATCTTCCTGTTCAAGTATAACATCACACAACTTTTACTTGCTAGACACTTATTTAGAGATTTGTATCGAAACAGATCGTTTTACGATTTTACCGGATATCGATGGTAATGATCAGCAGCAACTTTCGCATTGCTTCCATCATCAATATTTCCTATACATTGACACACAAACGCACACATATTTATATAAAGGGATTTTTCTTTTAGAAGTAGGAGAACGTTTTTTAAGAAAACTTAGATCACAATTCACAAAAGAGTTTCATGAGATGTAACTAGGGATCTCAGTGAAAATGTCCCAATTGCTTAGAGATTTTCCGTCGGTTAAGGAAGCTCCTTCATGCTAGCACACAAAAGTAATGTTAAAAATGGAGAGTTTTCAGTTTTCACTAAGAAATGGAGTATAAGAAAAAGAAAAAGTAAAAACCTGGTAAAAAGAAGAAGCAATGCCAAAAAGAAAGTCTTTTGGGAAATGGATTTTTTCTTCTTCGTTGATCTCTCCCAGTGAGATATGATCATCATACATTGTTGATGATGATGATGGTGAGACCAATGTTATTATGATAAAGCATATATAGGAACCAAAGTGAAAACATAAAAATGTATATTGATAATTTGGTCTCCATTAATTTAGAAGCTGTACATTAGTTGAAATCCGGTGCTATTGGTTTAATGATTTGTTATTTAGATTTGTAAATCCACTATGGATTTCAATGGATTTGTAAATGTTTTAAAGTCAAAAATACAAATAATCAAATGCAGTATTTCAAAATCCATCATTCCATATTTAAAGATATCTACATTTTATATAGATTTAGAAACCATACAACAAATAAACCCCTAAATTATTAAAACGTGACAAAACTAAATGATTGATACATTTTAGCCATAGTTGGACTATTATTCCTTCCACCCAGTCCGACTAGGGCAGATGTTAGTTATTTTCAATACGTACTGTTTCCCATAGAGAAGACCAAATATGATTTGTTGATAAATTAATTTAAGGAATTTAAATTAATCAAAGAATATTCGACCAGTTCAACGATATATGACATAAAAATGACATTTCTTTAACATTTAAATCACATGACAGGTATGACGACAAAAAAAAGATAGGTTTATTTCAATTACTTTTCGTTCTTTCATGCGATTCATGCCGAGGATTAAATTCTACTAAGATTAATACAGTAGGTTTCTTCTTCTTTTTTACCCTAAAGTCAGGTAACATAATAATTTCGATCAATCCCACTAATACTGCCAACTGATTATTTTTGATTCGTAGTCATATATAATCTTAAGGAAAAATTAATTACTTTAAGTAATTATTTCGTATATCAACCGGAGTAAAACGGGCAACAAACCGAAATAAACCACCAAACCAACCAAAATTGTTCACTGAACCAAGTTTCTACGTCGGCCCAAAACTATGATCGTCTCGGCCCATATTTCAGATTGGCGCGATAACGATAACGATCCTGTAGGGCATTACCACAGGCCACCGCATCAATCAAAATCAACCCATGGCTTCGCCGGCGTTAACAACCGGTTACCGGAACCTTACGACGCCGGTATCTCTCCTGCGCACATTAGCATCCACCCGAATCACTACTCCTTTGTTTCGTTCCAATGAGAATCATCACAACAAACACTCTCCGCGTTTCATTTCTTCTTCAAGGAGACTCACTTGCTTATCCTTACTTCAAACCGATTCTCACCATCAAACCGCACTCTCCTCTTCCTCCAATCCTGGGTACGCCAAAAGTTCGATTCTTTCTATTCATTTCATTCAAATTTCGATACTTTACTGTGAAATTCAGCTGCTTTATGTGTTAATTTGGTGTTTTTGTTTACAGATACCCTGAATACAATCAAACCACACTCTCATCTTCTTCCAATCCTGGGTATGCCAAAAGTTGGATTCTTTCTATTAATTTCGCTCAAATTTCAACACTTCTGTAAAATTCAGCTGCTTTATATGTTCATTTGGTGTCTCTGTTTACAGATACCCTGAATACAATCGATTAATGCCATGTCCTGCGCATAACTTTCCACCAAGAATTGAGCATATGGTTGTCTTAGAAGACGTTCTTGTGGCTGATTTTATCTCTAAACAATTGGATCTTCCACCTTTGTAAGTACTATTCTTCTACAAAACAGTGTAAAGATCTCATATGTTTAGGAATGTGAGTACATAAAAAATTTCATTCTGTGAAGGTATGTTGCAGATCTTATCCAGTTTGGAGCTGTGCATTACGCTCTTGTGTGCCCTAAACCTCCACCAACTGCGACTCCTGAGCAAGTTAAACTGTTTGAAGAAGTAACCTCTCCTTCTGTACTAAAGAAGAGACCTTCCATCAAAGGAAAAACTGTTAGAGAAGCTCAGAAAACGTTTCGTGTGACACATGGAGATCAGTGTGTAGAAGCTGGAACTTACCTGCGTGTGCACGTTCACCCAAAACGCTCCCCAAGGTAATACACATTGTAAGAAATGTGTTTTAGAAATTGAAAGCTTGGTGGTAATTTAAATGACATGAGGGTCTTTTTTTAATCAGGTGTTATGAAATTGATTGGAAGTCAAGGGTTGTTGCTGTGGCTGACTCTTATGTTGTTTTGGATAAACCTGCAGGCACTACGGTATGTAATTCATCCATTAAAAGACTTTCTTCTCAATGTTCTTGACCACTTACAGTTGCATTAGAAATATTGTAAAAGAACTTACTTCATCTTGTGAATGTAGTTGGACTAGTTTTATTCATTATGTCATAATGGTGATTTGAACTTTTTTCGTTCTTCAACTCCTCACAAAAGCTTGAGTTGTTTTTCATGCTCAGAAATTCAGTGTGTTGATCCTTATTGACTATTTTGTCAGGTTGGGGGAACAATGGATAACATTGAAGAGACTTGTGCCACGTTTGCCTCACGTGCATTGGATTTGCCAGAATCATTGAAAACAACACATCAGATTGATAATTGCACAGAAGGCTGGTACTAGTCCTGTTCATGCTTTGAACTTAGTTGATTTAGCATGTATAAGCGACTAGGTCTCATTGGTTTTTGTTCTTTCTCGACAGTGTTGTCTTTGCTAAAACAAAAGAGTACTGTTCCGTCTTCCACACGAAAATAAAAGTGAGTGTGCTCTGCTTGCCACTATTTTGTTGGTACTGCAAAAACAAGAAGACGTTTTGCTGAAATATGTCATTGTTTTTTTCTATCTTTTCAAGAATAAAGAAGTAAAGAAGCTTTATCGTGCTCTTGCTGCGGCACCTCTTCCCAGTGGAATCATCTCACATTATATGCGCCCTATTAATAGAGCTCCAAGACTCGTTTCCGAAGGTAACTTCGGTTTTGATATTGTCAAGAATCATCAGAACATGAAATGGAATATTTTCTTAACAATGTGAATGTTCTTTGAGATGCAGATTTAATCAAAGGCTGGCACTTGTGTCAACTTGAGATCTTAGAATGCAAGAAGATACCATGGCCCGACGCAGCTACTGAGAAGAAACATGATATTGAAGACTGTGGATGGCCTTCAAAAGAATTTGCTTACGAGTGTACAATAAACCTTTTAACAGGAAAGACTCATCAGGTTGGTTTCATCAGTACTTTCTCCGTCATAATACATGAATCTCATCTGCATATGTTGGGACTTGGGATCATCATGAATGGTGTTTGTTTGTTAGATCCGGGCCCAGCTTGCAGCTTGTGGGTCACCGGTTGTTGGTGACTCTATGTACATGCCAGCTGCAATAGCGGAGATGGTGAACCCTGGGATCAACCCTTATGGGAAAGCAAAGAAGCATCAAGAAATGGAGGAGAACGATAAGGAAACCGCTGTTGCTGAATGGTTTGATATCCATGGGAAGGAACCCAAGGTAGGCATCGGTCTTCAAGCTTGTCAAATCTCATGGGAGGATGATGATGGAGAGCATTTCTATGAAGCTGGGACTCCGTGGTGGAGATGATCTTTTCGAACACTTGCCTCTGCAAATGAGAGGTTAAGAACGTTTTTATATTATAAGGAATGGAAATGTTTATTGGAACTGTTTTCATAAAACAGCTATGACATATATTGCTGCTTTATTGAAGAATCAAACAATAAAATATGGTGGTCTTGCTTATTGTTTCAGGCATCATCATCTTTGGATTGAGCTCTGTTCTTGACAATGAAGTTCTTGTACCAAGAAGCTGAGAGTCTCGGGGTTCTCTCTAGAGTATCGAAATCAACATGGTACAGACCAAATCTTAAGGTATAACCATATACCCACTCGAAGTTGTCTAGTAAAGACCATGTGAAATATCCTCTTACATGTGCTCCTTTCCTGTTTTTACCATTAGGTTTAGAGTTTTAGAACCAATGACATTTAAATTTTGTATGAAAGTTGAAGCATTATTTACCTCATTGCTCTTTTTAGTGCATCTAAGTAGCTACTCATGTACTTTATTCTCCGGTGATCGTTTAACAATGCTCCGGTACTGTTCTCACCATAACCTGCAAAAGTGACCAGATCAAAACTTCTCTCCATAACTGCAGAGACTCTCAGACAGTCTTTGGCCTCATGCTTACCGTTTTCTGTTACATACAATGGAATGTTTTTGTAACGCTCTGTTGCGTACATCAACACTTTCTCCATTCCTTGAGGATAAACATTCAACCAACTTATACTAGTCTGCACCATCATTACAAACAAACAACTCAAAAATGGTTTCTGCAAAAAAAAATTCTTACTTTCATATGGTATATAGTCTACATACCGGTTCTCCTAAAGCTAAACCGTCTTTAAGAGCGTGATTATTGACGAAACCTTCAACTCTAGAACCTCCTTTGCCCGGTTCACATGCGGAATGTAGACAGTCTTTTGCGTATCTGCCTGTGTACTGATTAATCCCAATGTAGTCTAATCCATTCTTGGAGAGTTTAAGATCATCTTTTGTGAATTCAGGGAGATCTTCTCCAAGAATTTCTTGCATTTCTTTCGGATATCTTCCATACACAACCGGATCCAAGAACCTGCATTTCACACTCTAAATTCCAGTTTCTGATTTAAGATGGGAACCAGAATCTTTAAACCGATCCGGCTTACCAAGTCAAATAGAAAGCTAGAGCTCTCTCAGCTGCTAATCTATCTGCTAAAGAATCACTAACCGGTTCAAACCAGTTCGCGCTCATCACAAGACCGATCTTTCCTCTTTGTTCCTCCTAAGAAAGTTAAAACGGTTTATATAGAAACCAAAATTGAGGAAAAACATTCGGAAATGTCCGGTACGGTTTGGTTATGTTTACCTGATATTTCATCCGGTATGTATAGACGGCGGCTAGATGTGAGCGGATAATGTTGTGAGCAGCGACAAGTGGCTCTATGTCGGAGTTTCCACGTGTGCAGTTTCCGAAAGGCTTGGAACAACGTGATGGCGGGTACTCCCCTGTCCGGTAACTGTTAAGTACTTGAACGTTTGGTTCGTTAAACGTGGTCCAGAATTTAACTCTGTCCCCAAAGTATTGGAAGCAAATCTCTGCATAGTGAACGAAATCTTCCCTGCAAGAAAAGAAAACAGCCTTTTTTTCTTTTTTTTTTTTTTAGTGTATCAGTAATCTAAGTGTACATGTGTGTGTGCTTACCGGATTTGAGGACTTAGCCAACTTCTGTATCTAACTTCGAGTTCTTGTGGAATGTCGTAATGTGTCAACGTCACAAATGGCTCCATCCCTGACAATCATTGACCTAAGTTTGCTTCTTTTATCGTTGGTCTTGAGAAAATATATTAATTTTAATTACCTCTCTCGAGAACAGCATTGATGACTCTGTTGTAATGGTTAATACCTTCCATGTTCACATCTCCAAATCTGCCCCCTGCAAACACGAAATGATTTACAAAAAAAAAAGAGTGAAAAAGAATTCAATCAAACAAAGAAAACAAGATTCTTACTTGGAAGAATCCGAGCCCATGACAAAGAAAACCGATAGCTATCAACTCCAAGATCTTTCAGCAGATCCAAATCTCCCTGTTAAAGTAAAACATCACACAACTTTTTCTCTCTAGACACTTATATATAGATGGATAAATTTTGAAATTATTTGTACCGGATAACGATGGTAATGATCAATAGCAACTTTCCCATTGCTTCCATCCTCAATTTTTCCTAGACATTGACACATACATAGACAGTTTTTCTTTTATCTTTCTCTTTTTGAAGTTTTTTTTTTGTTAAGAAAGCTTATATCACAATTCACAAAAGAGTTTCATGAGATGTAACCAGGGATCTCAGTGAAAACGTCCCAATTGCTTAAACTTTTGCCGTCGGTTAAGTAAGCTCCTTCATACTAGCACACAAATGTATAATGTTAAACATGAAGAGTTTTCACTAAGAAATGGAGTAAAAGAAAAAGAAGAAATAAGAACCTGGTAAGCAGAAGAAGCAGTGCCAAAGAGGAAGTCTTTTGGGAAATGGAATTTTTCTTCTTTGTTAATCGCTCTAAATGAGATATGGTCATCATACCTTGTTGATGATGCTGGTGAGACCAAGATTATTATGATGAAACACAGGAACCAAAGTGGAAGCATAGAAAGGTACACGGATGATTTGGTCTCCATTGATTTAAGAAACTATACACTCTTTTTCTTGTTTGTTTGTTGAAGACAGAGACTCTATATAAAAAAGCAAAAATGAGTGGCTATGTTCCCTTTGATCAAAGATATTTCCACCATTCAACTACTTTTGTAATTTTTTTTTTTTTTTTTTTTTTTTTTTTTTTTTTGTAAAACTACTTTTGTAATTTGAGAACTAAATTTTTTGAAAATTTGCAATAATATGTTAGATTTGTTGGACCAGAAATAAACAGGGTGTTCCTTGGCACGCGATTAATTGTTATATAGCCATATAGGCACATGGATCACTTGACGTCTACGTCTACAGAACATGACATTTAGCCTTGCAAGGACCGACAGCGATATTTTAAATTATTAAATACGTGACAAATCTAAATGATTGATACATTTTTTTAGCCATATTGCTTCTTACCGTTGCTTCTTTCTATGCAAAACTCGGATTTTTTTTTTTTTTTTTTTTTTTTTTTTTTGGTTTTATACTCGGATATTACTTAATTTGGATTATATTGAAATAGTCTCGAAGAGACCGTTCAAGAGGTTGTTTCCATTGTTCTGTCGAATGTTGAAAGTTGTTCCACCAAGCCCAACGAGAAGCAGGGAATTCTGAAACATTTTTGAGTTGAAAAATTGATCCGGTCTGTTTGGTAACGGAAACCATTATTTCTGAATGCATGCATGGCTAATGGCTTGACAGGCACGGTAAGGAACCGAGGGTAGGAATCGGTCTTCAAACTTGTCAATTCTCGTGGGAGGACAATGACGGTGAGCTGTGACTCCATGGTGGAGATGGAAAAACACGTCCTGATGTTGATGATCTTATATAAAACTTGCGTCGGCAGATGAGAGGTGAATAGTATTTGTATTATAATATTATTAGCAATGGTATGAAAGTGTCTTTTATTATATAAGATCAAATATTGACCTTCTCTCTCTTCTCTCCTCCAAACTTTTGAGAGAGAGAAAGGATCTTTTTTTTTTTGGTTTTCCATGTTAAGATTTATACCAAAAAGTAAAGGGTTACAAAATTTACAAACTGATAAAGAAACTTACCTAAAAACTTACCCCACACATGTGGAACAAACCAAAGTTTATCATAACGGATATGAGATACAAGCAAAATATGATTCTAGAAGAGAAGGAGTGCCATCCAGCGAAGGGAAGGAAAGGAGACGATCTCGAACCGTGCGGTCCACTACACCCTTCAAGGCATGTATTGGCGTGTTCGTTGTGGTAAAGATCCGTGCATTCCGCTCTCTCCACAGAGCGTAGACCGTGACTTGTAGCAGCAACCTCATCAGCGTGGTGGTGTGCGCCGAGGTAGAAATCGGGGGAAGCAGTATTGTGTCCAGAATGGATGGAAGCAGCGGCTGTTGACTCTGCCCTGAAATTCGCGACGCAAAGAAGAGCCAGAGTTCCTGAGAAAGCGGGCACTCAAAGAAGAGGTGGTCATGAGATTCTTGGTGAGAAGTACAAAGCGGGCACTCTTCGGGGACATTCATTCCCCAGCTCAAAAGCCGATCTCGAGTTGGCAACCTTCTCAGGATCACTAACCAGAGGATGAAGGAGGCTCGTGGAATCTCTTCAGTGAACCAGACCGTCTTAGCCCAGCTAACAGGCAGTGATCGAACTCTCAGTTGCTCCCAAGTTCCCTTAGAGGAGAAGTTCTTTGAATAAATCCCTGAAGGCAGGCGCCAAAGGTAAGTGTCCTCTCCACTGCCTGCTTGAGGAGGAGAGATGGTGGTTAAATGGATTTGCAGAGCCTGCACCGCATCCGACCTTGCATTTGGGAGTCGCCAGTTCCCAAGCTGCACCGCATCAGCCACACGCGCATCCAATCTCAGGCGTAGCATACGAGGCCCTGTCGTGCCCACAAAGTCAATAAGCGGTCCCAGAGTTGTCCAAGAATCCCACCAGAACGCTGCGACCGTTCCGTTTCCAACTTCACACTTCAGAAACGTAGATAGCAAAGGCTTCAACTTGAGCATGTCTCTGATAGTCCTTGAGAATCGAGAGGCGTCTGGGGTGACCCAAAAGCTCCTTCTTGCGAACACATTCTCTCGCAAGGATCTTTTCTTTTGCTTCTCCAATCTTTTTCGGAGATTTGTTTCATAGTTTAATTTTAGTCTTTTTGTACTTTCTCTTCCGATCTAATTCGGATCTTCTCTCCGGCTATGACTGTTTTTTTGTTTCCGGCTTTGTCCGGATTTGCTCTCTCTTCCTCCAGCAGTTCTGTTTTGATTGCTATAATCCCGATTGATTTCTACCAAATCTTTCTCGCTTTTTGCCTTAATCAGTCTTTTTCAAGTATATGAGAGTAATATCTTCGCCGAACTTGAGCCTCGTGAATAGGCTCTAGCCTCGTGAATAGGCTTCAAGGCGGAGCTTCTCGTTACGGGGAAAGTCGGATTGTTCAGGGCAGAGAGTTAGTGAATTTCTGGCTGGTAATCGACGGTTTTCACTGCAGCAGGATCAATTACAGGAAGGAACTTGGAGTCAATGTTTGAGATTGATGATTCCGGGAAGATGTAAAATATATCTCAACTCTGTAGGAATTTCACGGTGCTGGAAATCTCGAGGCAGTGTGCCGGAGATATTGAGGTGGCGTGCCATCCTAAGCTTCAACTCTAGCGCTCGACACGTGGTGGCCATGTGTCTGTTTTTCCTTAATCGGTTATCATGTAATTAGATTAAGGCTGAATTAAATTGTAATGGGTTGTTAGACTTTGCTTCCTGTATTCGGGCCCATTTAAATGGGTCTCTTTAATAAAATTATATGGCTGGCAAAAAAAAAATATATATATAAGATCAAATATTATAATATTTGTATTATAATATTATTAGCAATGGTATGAAAGTGTCTTTGATTATAGGAACTTATTTTCAGAAAGCAGCTTTCTATTACATTACTTTGCTAGCTTTTTCTGCTTTGTTGAAGCATCAAACAACAAAGAAAAATTAATAATATAGGTCTTCTTCCTTTTTTGTTTCAGGCATCATCTTCTTTGGATTGAGCTCTGTTCTTGAAAATGAAGTTCTTGTACCAAGAAGCCGAGAGTCTTGGGGTTCTCTCTAGAGTATCGAAATCGACATGGTAGAGACCGAATTTTGAGGTATAACCGTATACCCACTCGAAGCTGTCTAGTATAGACCATGTGAAATATCCTCTTACATCTGCTCCTTTCCTGTGTTTACCATTAGCTTAGGGTTTTAGAATTAAGACATATTTATAATTTTTCTGAAGTTGAAGCATTAGTATTACCTCATTGCTCTTTTTAGTGCATCTAAGTAGCTACTCATGAACTTTATTCTCTGGTGATCGTTTAACGATGCTACGGTAATGTTCTCACCATAACCTGCAAAAGTGATCAGATCAAAACTTCTCGCCATAACTGCAGAGACTTCAAGACAGTCTTGGCCTCATGCTTACCGTTTTCTGCTACATACAATGGAATGTTGTTGTATCGCTCTGTTGCGTACATCAACACCTTCTCCATTCCTTGAGGATAAACATGCAACCAACTTATACTAGTCTGCACCATTGTTACAAAAAAAAAAAAAACATGTTTCAGAATAATGAATGGTTTATACAATTTCACATGGTATAGTATACATACCGGTTCTCCTAAAGCCAAACCGTCTTTAAGAGCGTTTGTATAGACGAATCCTTCAGCTTTCGAACCTCCTTTTCCCGGTTCACATGCGGAATGTAGACAGTCTTTCGCGTATCTGCCTGTGTACTGATTAAGCCCGATGAAGTCTAATCCATTCTTGGAGATTATAAGATCATCTTTTGTGAATTTAGGGAGATCTTCTCCAAGAATTTCTTGCATTTCTTTCGGATATCTTCCATACACAACCGGATCCAAGAACCTGCATTTCACACACTACCTATTCTAAAATCCGGTATTTTATTTTTAGATGGGAACCATAATCTATAAACCGATCCAGCTTACCAAGTCAAATAGAAAGCTTGAGCTCTCTCAGCAGCTAATCTATCTGCTAAAGAATCACTAACCGGTTCAAACCAGTTCGCGCTCATAACAAGACCGATCTTTCCTCTTTGTTCCTCCTAAAAAAAGGGATAACGGTTTATGTAGAAAAGAAACCAAAACCATTCTGAAATATCCGGTACGGTTTGGTTATATGATATCTACCTGATATTTCATCCGGTATATATTGACGGCGGCTAGATGTGACGGTATAATGTTGTGAGCAGCGACAAGTGGCTCTCTGTAGGAGTCTCCACGTGTGCAGTTTCCGAAAGGCTTGGAACAACGTGATGGCGGGGAAGTCCCTGTCCGGTAACTACAAATGACTTGGACGTATGGTCCGTTGAACGTAGTCCAGAATTTTACTCTGTTCCCAAAGTATCGGAAGCAAATCTCTGCGTAATGAACGAAATCTTCCCTGAAAGACAACAACTCTTTTCATTTAATTAATTTCAGTGTATCAGTATGTAACTAAGGGGATTATATTTATTGGTAGATAGATTATTAAGAATTGTTAAAATATTCAGAAACATTTGTTATTGGTTTATAGATTCTAACAGTCTTAGTTAATCTTAGTTGTACATGGTTTAGTGATTTTCAAAGTCCATACAAAATATAATGTTGTTATTCAAAAAGTTTGTTTTTTAACGATTTCATAAATCCATTAAAATCATTGTTAACTTTAGATTCTCAAAATTCATTATAACAAAATATTTTGATTCATTTTCTAAATATACAAACTCTTTCCAAATCTAATATAAACTCTTTATAAATTTAACAATTCTTAGCTATAAAAATCAATCAAATAATCCCCTTTTAAGTGTGCATGTGTGTATTTATACCGGATTTGAGGATTTAGCCAACTTCCGTATCTAACTTCGAGTTCTTGAGGAATGTCGAAATGTGCCAACGTCACAAATGGCTCCATCCCTGAGAATCATTGAGCTAATTTGGGTTTTGCCTTTTTTCTTGTTTCTTGGTCTTAAGAAAATCTGCCAATTAGTACCTTTTTCGAGAGTAGCATTGATCATTCTGTTGTAATGATCAATACCTTCCATGTTCACATCTCCAAATCTTCCCTCTGCAAACACACACAAAAAAAAGGTTTTTGAAAAGACTGAAAGAGAGAGTTTGATATAGAGAGAAATCTCCCACTTGGAAGAATCCGAGCCCATGATAAAGAGAATCGATAGCTATTAACTCCAAGATCTTTCATCAGATCCAAATCTTCCTGTTCACGTAAAACATCACANTGGATATCTTCCATACACAACCGGATCCAAGAACCTGCATTTCACACTCTAAATTCCAGTTTCTGATTTAAGATGGGAACCAGAATCTTTAAACCGATCCGGCTTACCAAGTCAAATAGAAAGCTAGAGCTCTCTCAGCTGCTAATCTATCTGCTAAAGAATCACTAACCGGTTCAAACCAGTTCGCGCTCATCACAAGACCGATCTTTCCTCTTTGTTCCTCCTAAGAAAGTTAAAACGGTTTATATAGAAACCAAAATTGAGGAAAAACATTCGGAAATGTCCGGTACGGTTTGGTTATGTTTACCTGATATTTCATCCGGTATGTATAGACGGCGGCTAGATGTGAGCGGATAATGTTGTGAGCAGCGACAAGTGGCTCTATGTCGGAGTTTCCACGTGTGCAGTTTCCGAAAGGCTTGGAACAACGTGATGGCGGGTACTCCCCTGTCCGGTAACTGTTAAGTACTTGAACGTTTGGTTCGTTAAACGTGGTCCAGAATTTAACTCTGTCCCCAAAGTATTGGAAGCAAATCTCTGCATAGTGAACGAAATCTTCCCTGCAAGAAAAGAAAACAGCCTTTTTTTCTTTTTTTTTTTTTTAGTGTATCAGTAATCTAAGTGTACATGTGTGTGTGCTTACCGGATTTGAGGACTTAGCCAACTTCTGTATCTAACTTCGAGTTCTTGTGGAATGTCGTAATGTGTCAACGTCACAAATGGCTCCATCCCTGACAATCATTGACCTAAGTTTGCTTCTTTTATCGTTGGTCTTGAGAAAATATATTAATTTTAATTACCTCTCTCGAGAACAGCATTGATGACTCTGTTGTAATGGTTAATACCTTCCATGTTCACATCTCCAAATCTGCCCCCTGCAAACACGAAATGATTTACAAAAAAAAAAGAGTGAAAAAGAATTCAATCAAACAAAGAAAACAAGATTCTTACTTGGAAGAATCCGAGCCCATGACAAAGAAAACCGATAGCTATCAACTCCAAGATCTTTCAGCAGATCCAAATCTCCCTGTTAAAGTAAAACATCACACAACTTTTTCTCTCTAGACACTTATATATAGATGGATAAATTTTGAAATTATTTGTACCGGATAACGATGGTAATGATCAATAGCAACTTTCCCATTGCTTCCATCCTCAATTTTTCCTAGACATTGACACATACATAGACAGTTTTTCTTTTATCTTTCTCTTTTTGAAGTTTTTTTTTTGTTAAGAAAGCTTATATCACAATTCACAAAAGAGTTTCATGAGATGTAACCAGGGATCTCAGTGAAAACGTCCCAATTGCTTAAACTTTTGCCGTCGGTTAAGTAAGCTCCTTCATACTAGCACACAAATGTATAATGTTAAACATGAAGAGTTTTCACTAAGAAATGGAGTAAAAGAAAAAGAAGAAATAAGAACCTGGTAAGCAGAAGAAGCAGTGCCAAAGAGGAAGTCTTTTGGGAAATGGAATTTTTCTTCTTTGTTAATCGCTCTAAATGAGATATGGTCATCATACCTTGTTGATGATGCTGGTGAGACCAAGATTATTATGATGAAACACAGGAACCAAAGTGGAAGCATAGAAAGGTACACGGATGATTTGGTCTCCATTGATTTAAGAAACTATACACTCTTTTTCTTGTTTGTTTGTTGAAGACAGAGACTCTATATAAAAAAGCAAAAATGAGTGGCTATGTTCCCTTTGATCAAAGATATTTCCACCATTCAACTACTTTTGTAATTTTTTTTTTTTTTTTTTTTTTTTTTTTTTTTTTGTAAAACTACTTTTGTAATTTGAGAACTAAATTTTTTGAAAATTTGCAATAATATGTTAGATTTGTTGGACCAGAAATAAACAGGGTGTTCCTTGGCACGCGATTAATTGTTATATAGCCATATAGGCACATGGATCACTTGACGTCTACGTCTACAGAACATGACATTTAGCCTTGCAAGGACCGACAGCGATATTTTAAATTATTAAATACGTGACAAATCTAAATGATTGATACATTTTTTTAGCCATATTGCTTCTTACCGTTGCTTCTTTCTATGCAAAACTCGGATTTTTTTTTTTTTTTTTTTTTTTTTTTTGGTTTTATACTCGGATATTACTTAATTTGGATTATATTGAAATAGTCTCGAAGAGACCGTTCAAGAGGTTGTTTCCATTGTTCTGTCGAATGTTGAAAGTTGTTCCACCAAGCCCAACGAGAAGCAGGGAATTCTGAAACATTTTTGAGTTGAAAAATTGATCCGGTCTGTTTGGTAACGGAAACCATTATTTCTGAATGCATGCATGGCTAATGGCTTGACAGGCACGGTAAGGAACCGAGGGTAGGAATCGGTCTTCAAACTTGTCAATTCTCGTGGGAGGACAATGACGGTGAGCTGTGACTCCATGGTGGAGATGGAAAAACACGTCCTGATGTTGATGATCTTATATAAAACTTGCGTCGGCAGATGAGAGGTGAATAGTATTTGTATTATAATATTATTAGCAATGGTATGAAAGTGTCTTTTATTATATAAGATCAAATATTGACCTTCTCTCTCTTCTCTCCTCCAAACTTTTGAGAGAGAGAAAGGATCTTTTTTTTTTTGGTTTTCCATGTTAAGATTTATACCAAAAAGTAAAGGGTTACAATATTTACAAACTGATAAAGAAACTTACCTAAAAACTTACCCCACACATGTGGAACAGACCAAAGTTTATCATAACGGATATGAGATACAAGCAAAATATGATTCTAGAAGAGAAGGAGTGCCATCCAGCGAAGGGAAGGAAAGGAGACGATCTCGAACCGTGCGGTCCACTACACCCTTCAAGGCATGTATTGGCGTGTTCGTTGTGGTAAAGATCCGTGCATTCCGCTCTCTCCACAGAGCGTAGACCGTGACTTGTAGCAGCAACCTCATCAGCGTGGTGGTGTGCGCCGAGGTAGAAATCGGGGGAAGCAGTATTGTGTCCAGAATGGATGGAAGCAGCGGCTGTTGACTCTGCCCTGAAATTCGCGACGCAAAGAAGAGCCAGAGTTCCTGAGAAAGCGGGCACTCAAAGAAGAGGTGGTCATGAGATTCTTGGTGAGAAGTACAAAGCGGGCACTCTTCGGGACATTCATTCCCCAGCTCAAAAGCCGATCTCGAGTTGGCAACCTTCTCAGGATCACTAACCAGAGGATGAAGGAGGCTCGTGGAATCTCTTCAGTGAACCAGACCGTCTTAGCCCAGCTAACTGGCAGCGATCGAACTCTCAGCTGCTCCCAAGTTCCCTTGGAGGAGAAGTTCTTTGAATAAATCCCTGAGGGCAGGCGCCAAAGGTAAGTGTCCTCTCCACTGCCTGCTTGAGGAGGAGAGATGGCGGTTAAATGGATTTGCAGAGCCTGCACCGCATCCGACCTTGCATTTGGGAGTCGCCAGCTCCCAAGCTGCACCGCATCAGCCGCACGCGCATCCAATCTCAGGCGTAGCATACGAGGCCCTGTCGTGCCCACAAAGTCAATAAACGGTCCCAGAGTTGTCCAAGAATCCCACCAGAACGCTGTGACCGTTCCGTTTCCAACTTCACACTTCAGAAACGTAGATAGCAAAGGCTTCAACTTGAGCATGTCTCTGATAGTCCTTGAGAATCGAGAGGCGTCCAGGGTGACCCAAAAGCTCCTTCTTGCGAACACATTCTCTCGCAAGGATCTTTTCTTTTGCTTCTCCGATCTTTTTCGGAGATTTGTTTGATAGTATAATTTTAATCTTTTCGTACTTTCTCTTCCGATCTAATTCGGATCTTCCCTCCAGCTATGACCGGTTTTTGTTTCCGGCTTTGTCCGGATTTGCTCTCTCTTCCTCCTGCAGTTCTGTTTTGATTGCTATAATCCCGTTTGATTTCTACCAAATCTTTCTCGCTTTTTACCTTAATCAGTCTTTTTCAAGTATATGAGAGTAATATCTTCGCCGAACTTGAGCCTCGTGAATAGGCTCTAGCCTGGTGAATAGGCTTCAAGGCGGAGCTTCTCGTTTCGGGGGAAAGTCGGATTGTTCATGGCAGAGAGTTAGTGAATTTCTGGCTGGTAATCGACGGTTTTCATTGCAGCAGGATCAATTACATGAAGGAACTTGGAATCAATGTTTGAGATTGATGATCCCGGGAAGATGTAAAATATATCTCAACTCTGTAAGAATTTCACGGTGCCGGAAATCTCGAGGCGGTGTGCCGGAGACATTGAGGCGGTGTGACATCCTAAGCTTCAACCCTAGCGCTCGACACGTGGTGCCCATATGTCTGTTTTTCCTTAATCGGTTATCATGTAATTAGATTAAGGCTGAAATTAAATTGTAATGGGTTGTTAGACTCTGCTTCCTGTATTCGGGCCCATTTTAATGGGCTTTTTTAATAAAATTATATGGCTGGCAAAAAAAAAATATATATATAAGATCAAATATTATAATATTTGTATTATAATATTATTAGCAATGGTATGAAAGTGTCTTTGATTATAGGAACTTATTTTCAGAAAGCAGCTTTCTATTACATTACTTTGCTACATTACTTCCCTGCTTTGTTGAAGACTCAAACAAGAAGGACAACTAAAAGACAATATGGGTCTTCTTCGTTTTTGTTTCAGGCATCAGCATCTTTGGATTGAGCTCTGTTCTTGAAAATGAAGTTCTTGTACCAAGAAGCCGAGAGTCTCGGGTTCTCTCTAGAGTATCGAAATCGACATGGTAGAGACCGAATCTTGAGGTATAACCGTATACCCACTCGAAGTTGTCTAGTAAAGACCATGTGAAATATCCTCTTACATCTGCTCCTTTCCTGTGTTTACCATTAGCTTATGGTTTTAGAATCAGACATATTTATAATTTTCTCTGAAGTTGAAGCATTACTATTACCTCATTGCTCTTTTTAGTGCATCTAAGTAGCTACTCATGAACTTTATTCTCCGGTGGTGATCGTTTAACAATGCTCCGGTAATGTTCTCACCATAACCTGCAAAAGTGATCAGATCAAAACTTCTCGCCATAACTGCAGAGACTCTCAGACAGTCTTGGCCTCATGCTTACCGTTTTCTGTACATACAATGGAATGTTTTTGTATCGCTCTGTTGCGTACATCAACACCTTCTCCATTCCTTGAGGATAAACATTCAACCAACTTATACTAGTCTGCACATTGTTACAAAAAAAACAAAAAAACATGTTTCAGAGTAATGAATACATATGGTATAGTGTACATACCGGTTCTCCTAAAGCCAAACCGTCTTTAAGAGCGTTTGTATTGACAAAAACCTTCAGCTCTAGAACCTCCTTTGCCCGGTTCACATGCGGAATGAAGACAGTCTTTCGCGTATCTGCCTGTGTACTGATTAATCCCAATGTAGTCTAATCCATTCTTGGAGCTTTTAAGATCATCTTTTGTGAATTCAGGGAGATCTTCTCCAAGAATTTCTTGCATTTCTTTCGGATATCTTCCATACACAACCGGGTCCAAGAACCTGCATTTACACACTACCAATTCTAAAATCCGGTATTTTGTTTAGATGGGAACCAGAATCTATAAACCGATCCAGCTTACCAAGTCAATAGAAAGCTTGAGCTCTCTCAGCAGCTAATCTATCTGCTAAAGAATCACTAACCGGTTCAAACCAGTTCGCGCTCATAACAAGACCGATCTTTCCTCTTTGTTCCTCCTAAAAAGCGAAAACGGTTTATAGAAAAGAACCAAAACCATTCTGAAATATCCGGTACGGTTTGGTTATGTTACCTGATATTTCATCCGGTATATATTGACGGCGGCTAGATGTGACGGTATAATGTTGTGAGCAGCGACAAGTGGCTCTCTGTCGGAGTCTCCACGTGTGCAGTTTCCGAAAGGCTTGGAACAACGTGATGGCGGGAACTCCCTGTCCGGTAACTAACAATACTTGTACGTTTGGTTCGTTAAACGTAGTCCAGAACTTAACTCTGTCCCCAAAGTATCGGAAGCAAATCTCTGCGTAATGAACGAAATCTTCCCTGAGAGACAACAACTTTTGTTCATTTAATTATTTCAGTGTATCAGTATGTAACTAAGGGGATTATATTTATTGGTAGATAGATTATTAAGAATTGTTAAAATATTCAGAAACATTTGTTATTGGTTTATAGATTCTAACAGTCTTAGTTAATCTTAGTTGTACATGGTTTAGTGATTTTCAAAGTCCATACAAAATATAATGTTGTTATTCAAAAAGTTTGTTTTTTAACGATTTCATAAATCCATTAAAATCATTGTTAACTTTAGATTCTCAAAATTCATTATAACAAAATATTTTGATTCATTTTCTAAATATACAAACTCTTTCCAAATCTAATATAAACTCTTTATAAATTTAACAATTCTTAGCTATAAAAATCAATCAAATAATCCCCTTTTAAGTGTGCATGTGTGTATTTATACCGGATTTGAGGATTTAGCCAACTTCCGTATCTAACTTCGAGTTCTTGAGGAATGTCGAAATGTGCCAACGTCACAAATGGCTCCATCCCTGAGAATCATTGAGCTAATTTGGGTTTTGCCTTTTTTCTTGTTTCTTGGTCTTAAGAAAATCTGCCAATTAGTACCTTTTTCGAGAGTAGCATTGATCATTCTGTTGTAATGATCAATACCTTCCATGTTCACATCTCCAAATCTTCCCTCTGCAAACACACACAAAAAAAAGGTTTTTGAAAAGACTGAAAGAGAGAGTTTGATATAGAGAGAAATCTCCCACTTGGAAGAATCCGAGCCCATGATAAAGAGAATCGATAGCTATTAACTCCAAGATCTTTCATCAGATCCAAATCTTCCTGTTCACGTAAAACATCACACACGTTTTTCTTTGTAGACACTTATAGTGTTATATAGAGATTTGTATCGAAACAGATGCATAAATATATTTTTACCGGATATCGATGGTAATGATCAGCAGCAACCTTCCCATTGCTTCCATCATGGATTTTTCCTATACATTGACACACACACACATAAATATAAACAAATCTTTGTTCTCTCTCTTTTAGAAATTGGAAAACTTTTTTAGAAACACTTAGATCACAATTCACAAAAGATTTTCATGAGATGTAACCAGGGATCTCAGTGAAAACGTCCCAATTGCTTAGAGCTTTGCCGTCGGTTAAGTAAGCTCCTTCATGCTAGCACACAAAAGTAGTGTTAAAAATGGATAGTTTTCACTAAGAAATGGTAGTAAAAGAAAAAGAAGATATAAGAACCTGGTAAGAGGAAGAAGCAGTGCCAAAGAGGAAGTCTTTTGGGAAATGGAAATTTTCTTCTTCGTTAATCTCTCCCAGTGAGATATGATCATCATACCGTGTTGATGATGATGGCGACAACAAGGTTATTATGATAAAGCATAGGAACCAAAGTGGAAACATCGAAAGGTACATTGATGATTTGGTCACTATTGATTCAGAAACTATACATTTTTGTTTTTGTTTTTGTTGAAGACAGAGGCTTTATATAAAAAAAAAAAAAAAAAAAAAAAGCAAAAGTGAGTGGCTATGTTAGATATGTTAATATGGGTGTCTATGTCCATTTACTCCGTCCAATAATGTTATATGTGTCAACTACATATTATATGTGTCTATTAAAGACCATGCTCATTATGGACTATATATTTAAACTGAATTGTTCATTAGACAAAAGAAAACAGATTTTTGATCATGTAAAAAAAAAATTAAATCAACTTTTCACTCTAGATTATGAGAAATAAGTTTGCCCTAAATTGATTTGACCTAGCTTTTTAGGTTCGTTGGACAGCTCAATATCCGCATTTGTCCATTAATGAAATTAGACATATGCAATTGTCCATGTTGGATCCATAATCATTTGGACACGGAAAGTTCATGCACCATTGTCCATATTAACAATTACAGGTTATGTTCCCTTTGATAACAGATATTTCCATAATTCATCTACTTTTTTCCTTTAATTTGAAAATTTAAAACCTTTACCGATGAAAATGGATAAATAATATGTTAGATTTGTTGAACAAAAAATAAGTATATTGTCTTCCTTGGCAGGCGCGCGATTAATTGTTAAATTGGGCACATGGGTCACTTGACGTCTACAGAAAATTAATTAAGCCTTGCAAGGACCGACACTGATATTTTAAATTAATCCATTATTAATACGTGACAACTGACGAAGCTACATGATTGATACATTATTTGAGCCATAGTTGGACGTCAAAACCATTGCTTCTTTTTATGTAAAACTCGGATATTACTTAATTTGGATTATATTGAAATAGCCACGGAGAGACCGTTCAATGGGTTGTTTCCATTTTTCTGTCGAACGTTGAAAGTTGTTCCACCAAGCCCGACGAGAAGCGAGGCAGTGTTGTTGTATTGTTTGATGGAACGCTGTTTCTTACCGTTCACGCCACTGGGCTTGGTAAAGGAAACCGTTATTGCTGAATGCATGGCTTGACAGGCACGGAAAGGAACCAAGGGTAGGAATTGGTCTTCAAGCTTGTCAAAGCTCGTGCGAGGAAAATGATGGAGATGGAAAAATACGTCCTGATGTTGATAAGCGTATCTAAGACTTGCCTAACCAAATGAGAGGTGAATAATTTTTTATATTATAATATTACAAGCCATGGTATAAAACTATAAAAGTGTCTTGTTTACAGGAACTTATTTTCACAAAGCAGCTTTCTATTACATTACTTTGCTAGCTTCCTGCTTTGTTGGAGCATCAAACAAGAAAGACAACAATAACAATATAGGTCTTCTTCCTTTTTGTTTTAGGCATCAGCATCTTTGGATTGAGCATTGTTCTTGGAAATGAAGTTCTTGTACCAAGAAGCTGAGAGTCTCGGGGTTCTCTCTAGAGTATCGAAATCGACGTGGTAGAGACCGAATCTTAAGGTATAACCGAATGACCACTCGAAGCTGTCTAGTAAAGACCATGTGAAATATCCTCTTACATCTGCTCCTTTCCTGTGTTTACCATTAGCTCTAGGATTTTAAAATCAAGACATATCTGAGCTTTCTCTGAAAGTTGAAGCATTATTTACCTCATTGCTCTTTTGAGTGCATCTAAGTAGTTACTCATGAACTTCACTCTCCGGTGATCGTTTAGCGATATTCCGGTACCGTTCTCACTAAAACCTGCGATAAGTGATCAGATCAAAAAGTTATCACCAGAACTGAAGAGACTCAAAAGACAGTCTTGGCCTCATGCTTACCGTTTTCTGTTATATACAATGGAATGTTTTTGTATCGCTCTGATACGTACATCAACGCCTTCTCCATTCCTTGAGGATAAACATGAAACCAACTTATTCCAGTCTGCATCACCATTACCAAAAACAAAACAAAACAACTCAAAAATGTTTTAGAATAATGGTTTTTACAATTTCATATATGGTCTAGTATACATACCGGTTCTCCTAAAGCTAAACCGTCTTTAAGAGCGTTTGTATTGACGAAACCTTCACCTTTCGAACCTCCTTTTCCCGGTTCACATGCGGAATGCAGACAGTCTTGCGCGTATTCGCCTGTGTACTGATTTATCCCAATGAAGTCTAATCCATTCTTGGAGAGTTTGAGATCATCTGTTGTGAATTCAGGGAGATCTTCTCCAACGATATCATGCAATTCTTTCGGATATCTTCCATACACAACCGGGTCCAAGAACCTGCATTTTTCACACTCTTCCCATTAGCCCTTGGCATAATAGCCCGTCCGGAAGAACCAAACTAGATGGTACTGAACCGAAAATACCCAATATAGATTTCTATACTTAATAACCGAACTAAACCCAACCCGAAAATAACCGAACGCCCATGTATATGGTTAACAGGCTGATGGTTAAGATGAGAAATCACAAGTTTTAAACCATCTAGCTTACCAAGTCAAGTAGAAAGCTTGAGCTCTCTCAGCAGCTAATCTATCTGCTAAGGAATCACTAACCGGTTCATACCAGATCGAGTTCATAACTATACCGATCTTTCCTCTTTGTTGTTCCTAAAAAAAGTTTAAAACGGTTTATTCAGAAACCAAATTTGATGAAAACCATTTTGAAATATCCGGTACGGTTTGGTTAGGCTACCTGATATTTCATCCGGTATAAATACACGGCGGCTAGATGTGACCGGATAATGTTGTGAGCAGCGACAAGTGGCTCTTTGTAGGAGTCTCCACGTGTGCAGTTTCCGAAATAGTTGGCACAATGTGATGGCGGATGCATCCCTTTCCGGTAACCCAAAATCAACTGAACGTTTGGTTGGTTGAACGTAGTCCAGAACTTAACTCTGTCCCCAAAGTATCGGAAGCAAATCTCTGCGTAATGAACGAAATCTTCCCTGAGAGACAAGAAAACAAATCTCTGTTTTCTTTTTCTTTTGTTTCAGTGTTTCAGTATATCTAAGTGTACACATACTTATACTTACCGGATATGAGGACTTAGCCAACTTCCGTATCTTAGTTCGAGTTCGTGTGGAACGTCGTAATGTGTCAACGTCACAAATGGCTCCATCCCTGATAATTATTGACCTTAAGTTTGCTTCTTTTAATCCTTAGTCTTGAGAAAATATATCAATTTTTATTACCTCTTTCAAGAACAGCGTTGATCATTCTGTTGTAATGATCAATACCTTTCATGTTCACATTTCCAAATCTTCCCTCTGCAAACACACACAAAATATATATTTTTTTTTTTAAAGATTGAAAGAGAGTTTGATATAGAGAGAAACAAGATTTCTCACTTGGAAGAATCCGAGCCCATGATAAAGAGAACCGATAGCTATTAACTCCAAGATCTTTCATCAGATCCAAATCTTCCTGTTCAGGTGAAACATGACACAGCTTTTACTTGCTAGACACTTATTTAGAGATTTGTATCGAAACAGATCGATGCATAGATTAATAGATAGTTTTACAATTTTACCGGATATCGATGGTAATGATCAGCGGCAACTTTTCCATTGCTTTCATCGTCGATTTTTCCTATATATTGACACACATATGTATATATAGTTTTATTCTCTCTTTTTTTATCTTTTATAAGTTTGAACATTTTAAGAAAAGCTTGGATCACAATTCACAAAGAGAGAGTCATGAGATGTAACCAGGGATGGTTGTGAAAACGTCCCAATTGCTTAGAGCTTTGCCGTCGGTTAAGTAAGCTCCTTCACACTAGCACAGAAAAATAAGGATAAAAATCGAGTTTTCATTAAGAAATGAAGTAAAAGACAAAAAAAAGAATAATTAAGAACCTGGTAAGAAGAAGAAGCAGTGCCAAACAGGAAGTCTTTTGGGAAACGAAAATTTTCTTTTGTTTTAATCTCTCTCAGTGTTGATGACGATGGCGAAACCAATGTTATTATGATGAAGCAGAGGAACCGAAGTGGAAACATAGAAAGGTGCATTGATGATTTGGTCGCCATTGATTTAGAAACTATTAGTTGTTTTTATTATTTTTTGTTGAAGACAGAGGCTATATATAAAAGGAAAATGAGTGGATATGTTCCATTGGTTAGAAGATATTTCACCGTTTGATTTCGAAATTCAATAATGTTAGATTTCGTACAAAAAGATAATAGTGTGTTCCTTGGCAAGATTAATCGTTAAATCTAAATCATGACACATGCATGGGTCACCTGACTTCAACAGAATATGACTATAAGCTTGGAAAGTACCAACCGACAGCGATATTTTAAATTATTTAAAACGTGACAATTTAAATCTAAATTATTGGTATACATCGTTTTAGCCATATATAACTGTATTCAAAAAAGACAAACCGCAATGTTTATTTTTATGTTAAGTTCGATACTTCTTTGATTTGTAGTGAAATAGCCATGTGGAGACCGTTCAAGAAGTTGTTTTCCATTGTTCTGTAGAATGTTGGAAGATGTTCCACCAAGCTCGTCGAGAAGCGGGCTAGTAGTAGAAAAGGGACCAGAACCGGTTGACGTGCATCGGTGCATGGAAAGGAGCCGAGCGAGAGTAGGAATCGGTCTTTTAAGCTAGTCAAATCTCCTGGGACAATAATGATGGAGAGCGTTTCTACAAGCCGTGACTCCATGGTGAAGATGGAAACACGTCCTGATGTTGATGGTCTTATCTAAAACTTGCCTCGGCAAATGAGAGGTGAATAATTTATTTGTTGTTACTTGTTACAATATTATAAGCCATGTTAATTGTGAAAGTGTCTTGTTTATTGGAACTTATTTGCACAAAACAGCTTTCTATTACATATTTACATTGCTTCCCTAGCTTCATGCTTTATTGAAGCATCAAACAAGAAAGACAACTTGATAACAATATGGGTCTTCTTCCTTTTTTGTTTCAGGCGTCAATGCATCTTTCAGTTATAAAAAGTTGTTTAGAGCGAACCTAAATACCCCAAAAAAAAAACCAAAAAAACTAAATACCCAAAATATAAAAATTCTTGATTCAATTAGTACACTGTACACGTTATGTTTTTGTTGAAAACAGAGGCTCTATATAAAAAAGCAAAAAATGAGTGGCTATGTTCCCGTTTAGTTTTAGGTTGATACTTCATTCAGATACTTTTATTATTTGAGAATTTAAAATTTTGACGGATGGAAATTGACAAATATTATGATAGAACTCTCGGACCAAAAAAAGATGGCGTTCCTTGGCAAAGATTAATCGTTAAATCTAAACCATGGCAAGGAGCGACAACGATATTTTTAGATTATTAAAACGTGGCAAAGCTAAATGATTATTGATTAATACATCATTTTAGCCATATATAGATGTATTATGAAAAAAGGACAAACCGCATTGAATACAAGCGGGCCAGTAGTAGACAAAGGACTCGAACCAGTGGTTGACACTTGGCAGGCATGGCCCGCATGGAAAGAAACCGAGCGAGGGTACGAATCGGTCTTCAGGCTTGTTAAATCTGGTGGGACGATAATGATGGAGAGCGCTTCTTTGAAGTTGTGACTCCATTGACCCCATGGTGGAGTATATTTTTAGCAAAAAAAATAGCTTGTATATAGACGCATACTTGTTCATAATTCATGTATAGTGCGGTATGGTTTAATGTCCGGTTTATGTTAGAGGAGAAATTAGCACATTTCCCTGAGCCCGTCATCATTAGTAAAGTTACAAAGCCCAATCCGATTTTAGGCCTAACATCTTCAAGAAAAAGGCAAGACTTGAAGAGAAAGGCACAATCCATGGAGAAATGTAAATAAATCTTCATGCCGACTTAAAGAATGGAAAAAGATCCAAAAACAAGAGGGATTTTCCATATCGCAAAAGAGGAAGTTTTCCATCTCGCCTGAAGGAGAATATTCATCATTCGGCCGACTTATCAACACTATATATTGAAGACCCCCCATGGGGAGAGGGATCCGAAATCATCTAGAATCACTAGGCTTTCACATTAGCTTTTACTCTATCCTCTTGTTCACCATCATAATCTCGCTAGGCTTGTTAGCGAGATCGCTTTCTTGTAACCTTCTTGATAATCTAAGAGTCGAATTAAGCGTTCCAGTTTCCTAAACTCACATCTAAGATAGCCCGTCTTAACGAATGCTATCTCGAATTCAACAGTTTATACTGGTTACATACGGTTTAGATTAATTAGAGTATAGTATGTACATCTTGTAACAACCTTTTTAGCTCTCAAGATCTGAAAATCTGTTTTCTCTCTCAAGATGAAAACACTAATAGTTCATGATCTTATCTAAAACTTGCCTCGGCAAATGAGAGGTGAATAATTTTTTTTCATATTTTTTGTTATAATATTTTAAGGTACGAAAGTGTCTTGGTTATTTTTAACAAAAACAGCTTTCTATGACATTACTTTCCTAGCTTCATGATTTATTGAAGCATTAAACAAGAAAGACAAGAACAACAATATGGGTCTTGCTTATTGTTTCAGGCATCATCATCTTTGCATTGCGCTTTGTGCTGGAAAATGAAGTTCTTGTACCAAGAAGCCGAGAGTCTTGGGGTTCTCTCTTGAGTGTCGAAGTCGACGTGGTATAGACCGAATCTTATGGTATAACCAGATACCCACTCGAAGTTGTCCAGTAAAGACCAAGTGAAATATCCTCTTATATCTGCTCCCTTCCTGTTTTCACCATTAGCTTTAGGGTTTTAGAATCAAGACAGATTTGAGTTTTTTGTGAAAATTAAAGCCTTGTTAATTACCTCATTGCTCTTTTTAATGCATCTAGATAGTCAGTCATGAAATTTACTCTCCGGTAATCATTTAATAATACTCCGGTACTATTTTCACCAAAACCTACAAAAACACCGAGGAAGATTAACTTCTCGTTAAACCGCACGAAGGAAATAATATTTCACATGAAAAGGCTTTTAGTAATATTTAATGGAAGCCCATGAAACTAGACGGTATATGTGCCTCATGCTTACCGTTTTCTGTTACATACAATTGGAATGTTTTTGTATCGCTCTGTTGCATACATCAACATCTCTTCCATTCCTTGAGGATAAACATTAAACCAATTAACTCCGGTCTGCATGATTACCAAAACCAGACAACTTTTCATCTCAAAAATGTTTCAGAATTCGATTGTTTCTGGTTTCTAGTATCATTTGGTCAGTCTACATACCGGTTCTCCTAAAGTTAAACCGTCTTTTAGAGCGTTTGAATTGACGAACCCTTCTGATTTTGAACCTCCTTTGCCCGGTTCACATGTGGAATGCATGCAGTCTTTTGCGTATCTGCTTGTATACTGATTAATCCCAATGAAGTCTAATCCATTCTTGGAGCTTTTAAGATCATCTTTTGTAAATTTTGGAAGATCTTCTCCAAGAATTTCTTGCATTTCTTTCGGATATCTTCCAAACACAACCGGGTCCAAGAACCTGCGTTTCACACTCTAAACCGATTCTAAATTCCGGTATATGGATTAAGATGGGAACCAAAAATTTAAACCGATCCGGCTTACCAAGTCAGATAGAAAGCTTGAGCTCTCTCAGTAGCTAATCTATCAGCTAAAGAATCACTAACCGGTTCAAACCAGATTGCGTTCATAACAATACCGATATTTCCTCTCTGTTTTTCCTATATAAACGAAACCAAATTTTAAAAATGAACCGTTCTGAAATTTCTGGCCGTTTTTATAATTTTACCTGAATTTTTGTCCGGTACAAATTGACGGCGGCTAGATGCGAACGGATAACGTTGTGAGCAGCGACAAGTGGCTCTCTGTAGGAGTCTCCACGTGTGCAGTTTCCGAAATTCTTGGAGCAACGTGATGGCGGGTAAGTCCCTTTCCGGTAACCCAAAATCACTTGAACGTTTGGTTCGTTAAACGTAGCCCAGAATTTAACTCTATTCCCAAAGTATCGAAAGCAAATCTTCGCGTAATGCTCAAAATCTTCCCTGAAAAACAACAATTATTATTGTTATTATTATTATTATATTTTTTTAAGTCAATCAGTCTACGTATCTACTAGGCTACTACGCGTAACATGTGTGCCAGTGTGTGTGTATAGTTACCGGATTTCAGGATTTAGCCAACTTTCGTATCTAAGTTCGAGTTCTTGAGGAATGACGTAATGTGTCATCGTCACAAATGGCTCCATCCCTGACAATCATTGAGCTAATTTATTTATTTTTATCTTCTTCTTGGTCTAGAGAAAATCTGTCAATTGTTACCTCTTTCGAGAATAGCATTGATCATTCTGTTGTAATGATAAATCCCTTCCATGTTCACATCTCCAAATCTTCCCTCTGAAAACACACAAAAAAAAGACTGAAAAAGGATTCGATCAAGAGAGATCAAACAAAGAAATTACAAGAGTCTTACTTGGAAGAATCCGAGCCCATGATAAAGAAAATCGATAGCTATTAACTCCAAGATCTTCCATTAGATCCAAATCTTCCTGTTCATCCATGTAAAGATCAGGAGTAAAATCGATATGTAACTTATGGATTTACATTTAGCTTACCGGATATCGATGGTAATGATCCACAGCGACATTCCCATGGCTTCCATCTGAGATTTTTCCTATACAAATGACATAAAAAGTAAATGGACAAAGTTTATTATGGTGGCTTGAGCGACAAGAATGGGAACAAAACCCTAAAAATTTGAAACTTTTTTTTAGATCACAAAACTCTAACCAGTGATGTTTGTGAAAACGTCCCAATTGCTTAGGGTTTTGCCGTCCGTTATGTAAGCTCCTTCATACTGAATATACATACCGTAAGAGCAGACAAAACTAGTGTCAAGAAAATAAAGATTTTTAACTGAGTATTGAAGTGATAGAAAGATGAATAATTAACCTGGTAAGCAGAAGAAGCAGTGCCAAAGAGGAACTTTTTTGGGAAAGTAAAATTTTCTGCTTTGATCTCTCTCAGTGAGATATGATCGCTATACATCCTTGATGATGAGACCAAGGTTATGAAGCTGAACCTAAGGAACCAAAGTGGAAACAGAGAAAAGTACATTGGTGAATTTGGTCTCCACTGATTCAGAAGTATAGATTTTTTGTTTCGTTTTGCCTCAAGAGTAGAGGTTGTATAAAAAGAGAGGAAAATGAGTGGCTTTGTTCACTTTTGGATTGATAATGATATTTCACCAATTCAGAAGCTATTCTTGATTTGAAAAATTAACAATCCTGACGGATGAAAACTGGCAATAGTATGTATGTCAGATTTTGTTGGACCAACAAAATATTATTTGTTTCTTGGGAATGAAATTTTATACCATGGGTCACTTCGTCTATCAACAATGACTTAAAGAACTGATAACGATGTCTCTAAATTATTAGAGCGTGATGAAGCTCGTCTATCACAAATGATTGGTCCATCATTGTAGCCATTGTTGGGGCATTAAAAGGACAAACCACTTGATTTTTTTTTTTTTTTTTTTTTTTAATGTAAAATTCGAAAATTCTTTTCATTATTTTGAAAGAGGTTGAAAAAGATGTGAAAAGTAGTAGTCAGTCTTAAGTTGTGATAACCAAACAAAAACTAATAAACACAGTTTCATCGACTATATTGTAGTATCAGTACCAGTACCAGAAGAGTGGCTTAATAATAAGTTAATAACAAGGAGTAACAGCATACACTTTGACAGTAGACGCAAACGCAAAGATGTTCGCTTGGGAATGATATAAAACAATTACAGATAAAACGACTTAAAGGTCTATGTCAAATAATGATGGATGAAAACCGGCAAAAGTATATGTTAGATTTGTTGGACCAACAAAATTTTATTTGTTTCTTGGGGATGATCAACTAATTTATTAATTTTATTATACAATGGGTCACTTCTACAGAAAATGACTTAAAAGAATTGAGAACGATCTATAAATTATTAGAGCGTGACTGCGCGATAAAGCTTGTATACCACAAATGGTTGGTACATCATTGTAGCCATTGTTGGCCAATAAAAGTACAAACCACATTATTTTTATGTAAAATTGGAAGAAAAAAATACTTTTAATTAGATTGAAAGAGATGTAAAAAGCAGAAGACAATCTCAAGTTTTGGAGATAATGGCAAACAAAAACCCAAAAATCTTCATTTCACCACAAGAAAACATAAGAAATCCTTAGGTGTAAATTAAAACCTAAGTTTTTATTAAAGGCAAAATGAAACCCTCGATGTTATTTTCGTTATATTACTAAACAGAAAGCAAACACACAGTTATAATAATTAGCAAATGACGCAATTTTGAGTGTTGAACACAAACTTGTATTACAGAAATTTAGAGAAATTAAAACTTACCGTCCCAATTGACTAAAGATCTTCTCAAACAAAACAATGTATCTAATCTTTGTCGCGATTTTGAGAAGAAGGCAAACAGTGAAACACAAGGATTTATGAGTGACATAGAATATGCCTCCACATACAATGCACCAATATTTATGTTGATGTGAAGTGATTTGATGAATCAATTTTGGGTTTAGAATATGATTTGTAGCCATTCAATTCGGACATCCAAAATTTAGGGTGTGGATTGATGATCAAGTTAGAGTTAAAAAGTAGGTGGAAAATGTATTTTACTCTCACTTTCTCTAGTATTAACCAACCAGAGTTAAAACACCTTTTTTGTTGAATTTTTTTATGAAACCAAGATTCCCTAGGATTTTTATGCAATTTTCCCCAAGATTTGATAAACAAACGAAAACTAGTAAACACATTTTCGACGACAATATTATAATATCAGTACCAAAAGAGGTGGCTTAATAATAACAAAGGGTAGCATACACTTTGACAGTAGACGCAAAACACAAAACGCAAAACGCAAAACACAAAACGCTAAGATGTTCGCTAGGGAATGATTAAATAATAACAGACAAAACGCTAAACCGCCACAACCACAACAAACCGATTCTTTTTTTCTTTTGGTCTCCAGCAGAAGTCAATACCCGAACCTCTTTACCCTTTCTTTCTCAAGCCTCTTTTTTGGCCATCCCGCTAACAAACGCGGAATGAGATTAAACGCAAAAAGGTGCGTTCTTGACTTCCTTTGGAGAATCTCAAAAGACTATAAAAAACAAGACACAAATATTACCATGAAAAACTCCTAAACCCCTCTTTTTTTCTCCTCCCTCTTTTACTTCTGTAGACATACAAACCAAAACAAACAAATCAAGAAAATGTGACTATTCAAATAAACAAGGTAATAAAGAGAAAATTGCTTACCTGAAAAAAACTTCGATCAAGCTCCTCCGTCGCCGGCCACAGCGGTTTTGATCCGCCCCACTGTGCATTTGATCAGACTGTTGACTGTAGCCACTGACCCGAGAGAGAGTTTAGCGGTTGGAACAGAGTCAACAAGTATCTGAAACGCTACCGTGAGTAGTGAACCGCAACCACTCCCTTTATTCACCACTTCGATATTACTTCCCTCTCCTCCTCCTTCAGCTCCACCACCGGCACCACCGGAACTTCCTACTCCTTCTCTGCCATAGCCGTCAGGCAATATAGCAAACCCGGATGGTAACAAAGCCACGTAATCTGGATCGCCGCCGCTTAAAACAACGTTCATAGCCATTATATCAACCGGTGCGTATATCACATACGATCCTGACGCGTCCGTACAGCTTTCTTGCAAGATCAACATATTATTGCTCTGCCCTGAGTTTCCGCTCTGTTTAACAAAATTAAAATCAAGAAAGATTATCAAAACAAGAACGCAAAAACAACCTCGAGAATTTCGTAGGAAGAAAAGATTTCTTACATTAACTCGGAGCAAGGAGACAGAGTTTCCAGGATCACGACCATTTGCGATATGAGCCATTTCTTGAACCAAACCTCCGTTCGAAAGTATGTCCCACTGCCAAATTCAAACGCAAAGTTACAAACTTTCGATCGAGAAACGAAAAGGGTTTTTTTTTTTTTTTTGATTTGGCTTACCTCGCTTCTGGAGTTTTCGTCTCTGAGGAAATCGAAGACTCGTTTGGGAGCCACAGGGATCCAGAAAGAAGTAGCGGCGCTCAAGACGATTCCGGGAGGCCTTCCCGGATCATCCATGCTCTTACGGGTCATGACACGGACGTCGTCGGATCCTGTGGTGGACAATGTCGTCCAGGCGTGTGCATTCGACGCGCCGACTCCGCTGCAGAAGCTCATCACCATCCTCTCCGCCAGTTTCAGCATGCTCTTCCTCCCTTCAGGACTCGTTATCACTGTTCATAATTTCAAAAAAGTAAAAGGACCAATAAGTAATTACTCTTTTTCAATTTAGTCGCTGAATTTAGAAATGGATCAAAATGGCCCATCAAGATTAGGCGGTTTGAGGGTAAACTTACCGGAGAGATTACCGGCTGGAATGTTGTTGGCCATGGAACTGGCGAGCCGCTCGCATTGGCGGTCGAGTGTAGCCACCCAACGTTTCGCACCGAAAGCTAAACCGGTATTAACCAACGGTTTATACATTGTGTGAACCGATCCATCATCCACCTCCGTGTGCTCTACCCATGTCACCTTTTAACAAATGCCAATTCTCTTATTTTCAAATATTCAATCACATACAGTAATTTTTAATAATTATCAATTTAGCCCTTTATATTTACCTTGGAGTAACCATTTTGCAATTCTTGAATCAGACAACCAGAGGGTCTTCTTCTGCTTCTAGTGATAGGACTTGGTCTTAGGCTGTCCAAAGAGACATCAACAACCGCCCAAATACCGTCGCTATGCTGCTTACAGTACCTTACAAAGTAATTCTCACGTGTCGGGACGAGCGGTGACGGTACTTGGAACTCTGCTGTCATCTTTACAAACAGCAAATACAAAGATCAAACACAAGACAAATCGATATACACATGATTTAGGATAATAGCTTGTAAAGCAAGTAATCAGATAAATAGGTTTTTCTTAAAGTCTCATACCACTTGTAGTGCCCCGTTGTAGTTTCCTGCAACGCCTGTTGAGAGAACTTCAAGCGTCAATGCTCTTGACACAATCCCGCAGAACACACTAGACCATTGATTCTACATACAAAGAGAGAACATCAAAAGTGTCAAGCCAAAAGATAAAATGTATGGTGAAGTTTGAGATAGATACGAGTTATAAGGAAACAGATTGATACATACCACATCCATAAGAATCTCAACGAGATTGATGTGATTCATTATGACGACCGTGGAGTCTCTTGAAGCTTCTGATCTCAAACCGATAGGTTTCGGTCCAATTCCTCTAGGGAACGTTCTGAAATACTCTTCTTCTTTGAGTATCTCAACCGAGTTATCGCTTGAAACCCACAAGGGATCACCAGTTTGAGCCATCCTCACAAGCTCCTCCATGGCTGCAACAGCTAACTCGACAACCATAGGCTTATCAGCCTCAGAAGGGATCGATACCGACCTCAAGATGTCGCTTGTGTTATACATTTCCCCTACGAAACCCGGCTGGCTACTGTTGTTGTTCCCAAAGTTCCCAACTTCAAGATCAAGCGAGCGTGAGGGAAGATGGTGAGAAGAAGTGAGCTGAGAGAAAGTCGAGGAGTTAGTCAACAATGGCTTCCCTACGTATTTAGCAGCTATTCCAGAGATTCTATCGATTTCTTCACGTAGACGAGCGTTTTCGATCCTCAAATGCTGTTCGTCAAATGACATTTCTCCTATAGCAGCAGGACCACCACAGTTTGGGCATGTTGCGTTGCCTAGAGCATCCTTGTACCTATTGTTCTCTGCTCTGAGCTTGTCGTTGTCTGACTTCAGCATCGCGTTCTCGTGCCTCTCATGTTGTGCCTATAAAGATCACACAATTTCTCTTATTTATGTTTGATCTTAAGAGTATAATAAAGCTTATTAATTGGAATATTTATTATACTCTACGATTAAAAAAAAACAAAATTATAATCTTGGAGTAATATTCTAACAACTAAAAATGAAAAACCATATAAGGTTTGTCATTTATGTAAGCTATTAGAAAGTTAGGCTTACAAGGATCATTTGATTTTTATGATTAAAGAAACCAATATCATTGATGATCAAGGGCTAAGTCATAGAAATGATCAGTTTGAAGATAATGAGTCAATTATCAAAATTAGCATTAGTATACAACATACCTTCATTTGAGTGCGTTTGTTTTGGAACCAAAACTTGACTTGAAGAGGTTCTAAACATAGCTCGCGGCTCAGCTCTTTTCTTTGCTTATCGTCTGGATGAGGGCATTCCTTAAAGAACCTATAAGATTAAAACCAAACAAACAAAATTAATTAGTCCTTAAATCCACTTAAAAACATTAAGGATCTTTTCAAGTGGAGAATTTTCTTACGACTCAAGCTCTTGAATCTGTCTTTGCGTGTGACGGTGGTAACGCTTCTTTTTGTTAGGACGTTGATTAGGATCTTGAAGCTCTTCTTCTAGAGGATTGTCCATGGTGACTTCTGCGCCTGACTTAGTCTCGAAATCGTCTTCTCGGCTCCCGGTGAGTCCCAAATCGTTATCGGAGGTTTTCGGTGTCATATCGAAGATATGATGATGAGACTCGAACATGTTTGGATGATACATGATGATGATGATGATGACAATTGATCCCAAAATGGACTTTGGAGTTTTTGAGCTTTTGATTTTCCTTCAAATCTTCGAGATGATTATCCAAATCATTTTGCGTTGATTTATATCGATTTTCTACTCCAAGTATCTCCCACTGTCCAAAATCAAGGATCAAATGGTCATGTTTATATATACGAGGATCAAAATTAGAAACGGAAGATAAATCTTGGTATTATGGAAAGTTAATTCTTGCTGATAAACAAAAAAGGAAAGTTAATCCTCTAGATATTATGAAACTATACATACCTTTAGTGTTACATATTTATTTGGTCATTTTCACATTTCATAAGTAACCGAAAAGCAAAATCTTGGTCTTTTTCTCTAATTTTGATGGTTATTTATGTCTATACGCTTATGTAAGCATATGTATTCATCTTATCAAAAAGGGCATGGATATAAATGCACCCACTACGTGACATATAACCTCGTTGCATATAAAAAACAAAAAAAAATCGGGAAATTTAAAAAAATGGTACACGAATATTCGGATGAACATTAAAGTATAATGTTCAATAATATTATAAAAACCACCATAAGCTAGACATCGTGATTTTTTAAAACAAGCACATATCTAATATATAGCCACTAGAATATACATACACTGATACACATACGCAAAGCAAACAATCATATTTATAGATAAATTAATATGTATAAACAATGACGATAGAATTAATCTTCAAAGTCACAAGACTGAGCACGTCATCGGATCTACGATTACAAGAAAACGCAGTGGTAGGCAAAGAAGATACAGACGAATAAATAATTGAAGGAAACCCTAATTTTCTATTAGCTTACATATAAGACACGTATCGATATTATCTGGTTGAACCAAAACTCGATTTGAAGGAAAAAGAATCGAAGCCCTGCACACAGATCTCTTTTTGTTTTTGAAGTGTTGTTGGTTTGGTTACTTAAAGTTTTGGATCGAATTTAATGATATTTTCTCTCTCTTTCCCTTTCTCGGCCTACATAAAAGCTAATGAGATAGAGAAATTCACAGGTTACTTAAGCCAAGAAAAAACGTTTTTAGTAAAAAGAAATAAAGAAAGAAAGAAAAACTGCTGCTTCTTGTTTCTCTCGGTGGAATTTATTTAAAATTGACCTATTTGAAGGGATAAGAAAAATATCATTTTCAGTAAAACCTTTTTGGAAAAAGTAAATCAAGGGAAAAAGACAAAAGCTAAGTAATAAAAAATGTGTAGATATTGAGTTAATGGAAGAGTTGACATTAAGTCAATGCCTTTTTTTACTTAACGACTGAGTAAAATTCGTCAAACTCAAACCCCTTTTACACTTAAAACTCCAAAGAGTTTGTTTTTATATGTAACGCTTGTTTATAGATCGTCACAAAAAACAAAAGATACGATTTTAAAAATAAAATAAAATGCAGATCTCTGAAGAAAAAAATTCGTTCAGTATGAGCAAACATGCAATATAGATCTCATTACTCAAAGAAACAAAGACAAAATACACACACACACACACACGCATGTATATATATACTAGTACAGGATATAGAGATCTTACTTTTGGTCACACAATGAAACCCTAGCTTGAAGTCTTCTCTGTGCTTTTTGTGGAGTTAAGGAGACGGATGCGGAGGTATGAGAAAATCAAAATGGTTTCTGAGTGCACCGGTTTATGTCAGCCAAGGCAAAACCGGTGGTTTTCAGGAATTCGCTTAACTCGGAGAGAGATGGTCTCACTATTAGAAAAAAATGGAGAATTTTTGTTGTCAAAGAAAAAAAATGGAGAATTTGATGGAGGAGAAACTAAATAGAAGAGGAAGAAGAGAAAGAGGTGAGGAGAGGAGGATGTGGCAGAAGGAAAAGGAGTTATTGCGAAATGCATAGAGAGGGTGCATTGCATTTATGATTATCGAAAGGTCCATTAATGCTAGCTTTTAGTGAGAGAAAAATTCATGCTACTTATATAAGTATTTTTCTAGAGAGAGAGTTTCAGTTCGTCAATTTTCAAAAATTAAATTTTTTTTCACTGTACCTCTTTGACATCACGGATTCTCGTATGGTAAGAAAAACAACGCTGTTTTACAAAGGAATAACGAACATTTTAAAATTATTGCCATCTCATGGTTATTATATGTTCATGCTTATGGTTTATTTTTCTACAAATACTATATCAGATTAATAAGTATTTATATTTATGTGATGTGTGCATCATATTGGACATTAATTGCATGTGTCCAAGAAAATATGTGTACATATAAATGTGTTGTATGGTTTACACACTCGATCACTTAGTATAATTTATGTCAGTCAACAATGAACAATGCATTATTGAGAGATTCTGATTCCTTGATCAAATTTTATTAGATTGACTTATCTATAAATAATTAGCATAATGTTTGAGCTTAGTTGAATGAATTTATTAAACCTGCAGGTGTTTATTAGTACTAGCTTCATTGATGTTTGCATTAGTGACGAGATTAAGTAGTCTAGCAAAAACATTGTCCGACTCCATTCTTCGATCTCAATTACTGTCACTACAAGAGTGATCAAACAATTTTTTTTTTTATCTCAAAATAGATATATACGATTCAAATGGTAGGCGCAAGTTTAAGATATTTATTAAAGTTTCAAAGTCCATGACATGACATCTCGATCGTCAGAAAAATAACCAAGCTGCAATCAACAAAATTGATAGATTATTAACCACAATATTTAATTGTACATTGCTACTAATTGTCCACCTCTCCATAATTCTTGTCACTTACTTAAATCCCAAATTGATCAATCTAAGTTCATACTCGTATTAAATCAGTACATTAATTAAAAGGAACAAAGTTTATAAGACTTTATATACAAAATAGATTTACTCCAACAATTCCATCCTTTGGCTGATGTCAAACTGAATGTCTCAGGTTGGCTGATAAATATTTATACTACTATTACGTGTACTTTGTATTGTCAACCTATATAATTAAGGGAAATTGCACAAAATATACATAAATTAATTATGTGTGTTTTGTTCCAAAATACAAGAGATATGAGATAACTATTGTGATTGGGACCCACTTTCAAGGAACGAAAGAAAGGGATGAGATGGAAACAACGTAAATTCCAAGAATATCTAAAAATGAATTAAAAAGGTCAAAGTTATATTTAATGGTAGTTTGGATTAATTATTTAATTTTAAAATTGGCCATTCGATTGACTAATGTAGTTGGGGAGCAATATCCATTGTGGACCATGGTCCAAGAAACAGCTCATACATTACGATTTACATATACACACTGATTCAGATTTCAGACACCCATGTAATCATGCATGCATACACATATATACACATGTCGTTATGTACCCATCGACGTATGTACGAAGCCATACAATATTTTATATATATATATGGTATGTGCATATGTATATATGTAATAAAGTACATATACGTCTATATATAGATTGTCAATGTTCTCTAAGTTTACCTCACTTATTTATGTGTATGATATTGGATATTAAGCTATTCTTTTTTTTTCATATACTACTTATGTTTTTAACAAGAAGATGACAAGATTCACTTTTACAAGCGCCCATACTCGTTGATACATAAACATTTACAACCGTGTCTAAAATATCTAGAATCTTCGTGGGTTTAAAGAATGAAAACCTATTAACCACTGTAACCATAACTTTGAAAAATCATACTGCGAAAACCCAATTTCTTAAAAAACACAAAAAACACATTGAAATTTTTATTTTGTAAAATGGAGCTCTCGAAATATTTAATAAGTTGGGGTCCTATGATCCTTTATCACGCACGACCCTGCACATATATACGTGTTTATACAATGGTCCAAGATCATCTCTTGGTTGGAAAAGGTTGGTTGACACTCGTCTTATATAGAAAAGGTTGAATTTCTGTTGACATCTAGATTAGACAGTATGCCTCATTTGGTCGACCCTTCAGAAAGTTGTGAATTCAGTTGGAAATGGCCTAAATTATAGTTTGATTTTATTTATGTTCGAAAAACCTATACATCAAAATTGTAAGACTATTTAACTAATACCGAAATGTTTGTGTTCCATTAGTTGTGTTTAGCGGTTGACCCTTATATGAAGGTTTAACATTTGACAGACTTAAAAAAGTGTAGTTGATCGAGTTGCCTAAAAACCGATGTGAAAATGAATATTTCATCTTTGAATAAATCGATGATGTGTGTTGTGTGGAGTGGTGCATTACTAGTAGATGTGATCTAAACTATCTACTCATTCATCCAATCAATGATTAGTTTAGTATCTATGAAGATTAATAGCTGACTATCTCTTTTTTTTTCTTGCACTTGTCGTCTTCCTCGTGAATTTTCAGATATCATCGCCCGTTTTCTAATCGTTATTTTAAGTTTGATTATAATATTATAGTATGGATGTCGAAGAAATTAACTTATTCCGTTAAGTATGCTGATCATGTGATATTAAATTTTAATTGATTATGCACCACTGTCTGATTCCCCGACTTGAAGTTACTTATTAAATAGTAATACAGAAACTATAATACGAATTAAACGACAGCGTATCGTTTGAAATGCTTTCTGTTCGCACAGAGCCAGCAGCGTTCTGCGAATGCCAGCCACCGAGAACCCGGTAGGTAGTTCAGTTTGTCTACATAAAAACGACAGGATGTGTAAATGGTGCATTGAATTAGACAGGTAATTTTATAGATATGACGAGGGTAATTAGGTAATTTAAGGGAGTGTAAACGCCTTGGAGTTGTGGGGACGTCATCTTCAAATAATACTAGTGGGAAGAGTGACTTCTGCTTACCAACTAACTCATTTATTGCCTTCAAAACAATTTCTTGGTGTCATTTTTAAACACCAAAATCCAAAATCTAATTTCAGAAATTTTATAACACTTATTCAGAACTTTATGTCCAGTGAATGATTATTTTCAGTAATTTGGAAACAAAGTTTCAGACAATGAATCATGTCTCAGTTTTTGAATATTAGCACATTTTATAAACTATGCATCGTTTTTTGCTCTTGTTATTTTCTTTGATAAGCTTTAAGTTAATTAGGTGCACGCAGTACTTCGGAATCAATAAAAAAGGATTAGTCTATCGAATAAGAAACTAAACTTACCATTCTTAATTATAAGTTATGAAATCTATATATCATTTTTGTAAGCAATTTAAGTTTGGTTACATTTGAAGAAGAAACCAGTACTAGTCCAATATTGGAGATAAATGCTAGCTAAAAAATTACTTGCAATAGATTTCTTGAGTGTGCGTATAATCTGAACAAGAATTTTCACCTACTTTACGAATATGATTAACACTTGTGCCTTTAGTTTGATCATTATTCAAATAATTTTCTATTTTTATGTTAAAACTTATAATACACGATTTTCTAGAAAGTAAATTTTTGTCGAAATCTAGTAATGTGTATAAACTGTAAAGTAGAGAAAGTGAAAAAAGTTTCTTAACTAGTTTGGAGTTGACTAAATATAGTTCCGACTCGATCATGTACTATCGTGTCTCCACAATTTTCGTCTAAAAACATCGGGCCGTTAAAGCCTAAACCCTCATGTCCTTTGATGACGTCTCGGGCCACTTCATCTTTGCACTATGTTTCTTTGTCAGATTATATGTCTTCTCAATTTTTTACATGGCTACATGCAGATTATGTATCTTGTAAGATTGTACATGCCTACAGGCTACAGTATATCAATTTGTATGATGTATGTACGTATTTGGTAAGAATAAGATGACACGAGTTGGCAATTTGGGCTTTTTTAGCAACCAAAAGCATCACGTTCGTTTCTTGGCTTTTGATAAAGAGTATCATGTTCTTTTTTTTTTTCCCTCTCTTTTCTGGATGTGGCTCTATTATAAAATAAAAAGTTATTAATCATAAAGGCTAAGTATGTATACATACACTTTCTGATTTCTGTTGCATCAAATTAAACTTGAAAACAAATTAAAGAATGTTTTTTTCTTTTTAGGAAAAAAGCCTACACCAGCATTCATCGAAAGAGAGAGAGAGAGTTTAAAATAATTAATTTCCTAATTTTGCTATCAAATTTAGCCTAATTTTATTCATTCTTCCTAGTAAAAAACCATTTCACCAATCTAAATAAACTATAACTATTTTTTTTGGTTATCACACAAATTAATAATTCCTTTTCTGTACTTCTTTCTATAATGTACATAGAAGTTCCAATCCCAGGACTACAAACAATAACTTTGAACAAAAAAGAAAACCACGACAACTACCAAAAAGAGACACCTTATGCATAATACGTAGCACAAGCTTTGATTTTTTTGTTTCATTGTATTTTTAAATTTACCTTTATGCATTAGAGTTTAACCGAGATGTTGTTGATTTATACGGAGACTTAGATAAACCCGAAGATTTTGGAGATAGTTTGGATCTTGGTGATGATGTTGAAGATTGTTTCTTTCTCCTATTCTTGCTCTTAGTATGAATCTTGGATAGTGCTAATGGAATTGGAGGCACATCTCTTAGCCTATCCGATACAGATAGTTGGCTTGAGCTCTGATCAAAATCTGTATTCAAAAAAATATAGACAGCTCCACTAATTAGTTAACTCTAATTAAGATTATTTATACACTCAATCGAATTAAAATGTAACAAGAAAAGAAAGAATACCGGGGGATGAAGAACCGGCGAAGAAAGAATTTGAATGTCGTGCATGACTAAAGGATGATGCTCTTGGAGATAAAAGCTCTGTTCCTGCCTTAAATTCACTCATCTTCACCCCGATAAACAAATCAAATTTGAAGCAAACATCATCAGAAAACTAATCACTAGGCGTGTATATAATCTAATGGATATTAAATCTGGCTTTATGTTGCAAGTAGAAATAACAAAAAAAAAGGAGAGAGAGAGAGAGAGAGAGCTTACCCAAGCAGGAGCACTGCCAGAGGAGCCCTCCCAGCCAACATGAGCCACATGTTTTACTTCTGTTGGGTGCCCAATTTCGATCTCTCTTTCTTTCACAACTGTTGACCAAGTTAAATGATATCATCATTCAATTTCTGTTTTCTTGTAACATATTAATCACATAAAAACATCTCCAATATAATTGAATGCTCTCGTATAGTAGTAGATGAATAACATGAACCACATTGGCTAAAAAAAAAAGAATCGGGAACTGGTTTTGGTGTGAGGCATAATTGAGCTTAAGAAATTTACATTTTTATATCACAAGACCAATTCGTATAAGTAATTTCGTGTTTAGATTACAAATGCAGTTATAAATCTTGATTGATCATATAAGATTATATAATGGTGTTTAAAAAGATTATATATCTAACATAAAAATTAGATGGGAAAATTTATACCAAATATTTGAGAGATCGATTTGAAGCTTTTGTAGATGCCCTTCATCTTCATTGCCATTGTTGAATGTTTGATGGAGAAGATCACAAGCCAACCCCAAAATGTTGTGAATGTTTCTATTGTAGGAAGCTCAACACAAGCACTATACCTTATCAATTACAAAAGTAAGAAGAAGAAAAAGAATATAATAAAAAGTAGGAAAAAAGGGAAGGATAAATATGCATGTGATGGTATCCCATGGAACAACACTAGTAGTATTAATCTATGAGACACTCAGTTTTTCAACAATTTATTACCCATTTCATAAACATAGGAACATATTAGTTACCTATGAATACTGAACTTTTACCTCCGAGACAAAATTACAATCTGAGTCTCTGAGCCATAGTGATCTCATCATATTGTTATGTATATACCGATGATTTATTTATTGTGAAGAGAGAGAGTTTGCATTGAGATCAAAAGTACCTGAAGATTACAGGGATTGACTCTCGCTTTTTGGTTTTAATGTGACGGACTCTCGTGGAAACAAATATGAGAGAAGCTCTTCTTTCATTTGATGGAGAAGCCTCTCGATGAATATTCACAAAAACATATGCGTATTATGTTCTCACTAAGCAAACATATAATTTCCCAATTAGACAATAAAATATCAAGCTATAGCCAAATTTAGAGAATTATTATGGTGAAGATGAATGAAAGGAAGAAGAAGTATGGCTTGATCGGGCAAGAGAAGAGAGTGGGGAACATGACACTACTTGTAGTATCCAATCATATATGTTAATAATTTATTCAACCAAAAAGAAACTAATTAATATCTTCGTTTATTTAATGACATTGTCAGAGAATAGGTAAACATTGCGTAGTTGTACTATACATAGAACATTGTTCTTACCTTTTTTGTTTTGGGAAAGTATAGAATCTGGAACACGTCTATGATAGTCAATTGCAGACAGTTGTCTAATGCATGCATGTTGGGTTAAACAATGCAACTTTCATATATTTGTTCAACCCACGTTTTCTGTTTTACAGTTCTTCGATTCTAATTATAATTTTCCTTAGCTGTATACACATATACGAGTGTAATACCATTAAAGATTCGATGAAAAGCTGTATTTTAGTGAGGAAAAAAACATTTTCATTTTTAGAAAATTATAGAAGCAATGTAATAACCTATAATGTCCGACAATTATGAAACGATCGAACAACTCTAGCCAATGGTGGTGACACAAACAATTAAGGAATACAAGCGCTCTGTGATTGACTTGAATTATTTCATCAGATTTTTGTTTGAAACTAATGTGAAATATTACAAACCTATGATATATATAAACTTGTTGTTGTGAAAACTAACCACTCGTAGATGGATTGTGAAACTGATTTTTAGATTTTTTAAGTTAAGCTTTGATTTCTCATGACTACGGTTAACAAACAAACAAAAAGTCTTTATATGGTCTAGAAACATGGTGTTTTTTTTTTTTTCTCTTAACATTTGCAATGTCGAGCATGTTCTTCTTTACATATGTTTGATTTTCTCCTCTTTATATCATTTTCTAGTTACTAAAACAGAATTATTGATTATTGCTAAAACCTCATACACTGATCAGCCAAAATAGCCAACACCATAATGATATCTTGCAATCCAAGTTATCTTGGAAGCTAAAATACTTTAACAGGTTTCACTTTGCCAAACAAGACTAGGGCAAGAGTGAAGCTTCTCTCACTGAATTGAAAATGATATAAATCAAACTACAATTGAAAACACAAATTTCAGACATAGACAGAAGCAGAAAAATAAGACCTTAACGTTATATGAGTCCGAGAGAGGATCAAGTTTGAAGACCGAACCAGACCACTCAATTTTCCCCCAAACCTCTCCTCCCTCGCGCTTCTCCACCGAAATCTCAGCAGAACGAAGCTCCAAACTCTCAGGATCATCTTCAAGCTGCGCGCTCCAGTAAATGACAAGGTTCCCAGTTGATGAGTTTACGCTAAGTCTAGTGATATCGTATATGACCTTGGTCGAGGGCAGACCCCACCGATGTCCCCAACCACATAGATGGTCTTGCAGCTCTTCCAAACCCTTCACTTCCTTCCAGTCAAGATGATCACACCACAATATCCTCCCGCGAGTACCACGACAGTACAAGTCTCCTCCAATGTCGCACCAATCGTTTCTGCTCCCTGGCTTAGAATCTATGTCTCCATACCCTACACCTCGACTTGGCGCCATGCAGAAGCTTTGTCCAGCCTCATCCACCAGACAAAGCATCTTCCCATCATTTGTCACCACACTATGTTTGATATCCCTCGCGACAAGATGATTCTCCACAATACCCGCAGCTGGTTTCATTAACGAGGACGTCCACGTTTGGGTCTTTGGATCCAATACCTCGAAATTATCTGCCCCGTTGGGGCAATCAGCGACTCCTCCAAACACGTGTACCTTCCCTTCTAGGAGGCCTGCCGCTGCGGAAGCACGAGGCGTATTCATGGACGGCGCGCGTTGCCATGTGTGAGTGAAACAGTCGAGGAACCATACATCCGATATGGGTTCGCCGTACCTTACCCCACCGATCACGTAGACCCCACCATCCACCGCCACGAATGAGGATGAATGCGGAGCCTGACGACGGTTCGACGAGATCGGGCTAAGCCGACGGTTAGGGTTGAGGATGAACCAGCGTGGGGTTGGTTCAGGAAAGATGCGCAAGCAGACGTCGGTGGATGCCTCGAAGCAACCCATCTGCCATCTCAAGTGGCAGAGCTCATAGGATTTGGCGATATTGCGGTGGCCCTTGGAGGTGATAGCTAAGGCCGCGAGGTCCGCTCTCGAGACCTGAGCCAGGCAGTTCAAAGACACTTCGTTTGGCAACGACCATAAGAACCCAGTCGGCGACGGAGACGCCTCCTCATTCGTCTTCTTCCTCCTTTTATTGAGTGGTAGCGATTCGGAGGCGTTACAATTGGACATCGTCAATCCCAAGTCATGACAACGCGAAGTATCTTCAGGGGTTTTATTTTATAGTTTTTCAAGTCCAAGTTCAAGTTCGTATATTTGTGAGGTATAGGATTAGATTTTAGATAAACAAGTTATTCCCCTTGATTTTAACTGTTTTGCTTTTTCCTTTTTTCGGCGAAAACTTAATTTCCTCTTTTCTTGTGGTTGATGGTAACAATTGATATACAAATATGAAATATGGATGGATGTTGTTAATAGTATATGCTAATAGTAATAGTAATACATATTACACTTAGGATTAGTAGCTTTTTTGTAAGAATTTAAACAAAAACATAAGATAATTAAATACAAAGTATTACGTAACAATTTATGCGCGCATTATTAGTTAGATAGTGTAGTTACAAATAATGGGGGATACCACATGCTATTATAAATTTATAAGTAACAACAAACAATTGCCAAACGAGCGATCACTAGAGAAAAAAACATCTGATCAGCTATTTGGGTCCCATTGTTAGGAGAATATTCAAAACCGACCCATCTATATTGTTTATTGCTGCCATCAAATACCACATCTTCTATCATAATACAGGTAAATAAATAGCATTAAACTGATAAAATATATTTTTATAATTTTTTAACAGTACAAATAGACATTTACGTAATTACGTACTACATGAACATACCATCAACTGTATAATGTTTTGTTTTATGGCACGAACCTTCCATTTCCTTAATACTTAAATGAACAGAGACAATAGTACTATAATAGTCCCTTTTCTTATTGTTAATCATTTTATGTTGGACACCAGCTAAAATTCGGAGCCTCACAGAACCTCATGGCTATAGTAACCACATATTATTGTACAGTATCTTTTTCTTTTCTTTCTAACAACTACAATTAGAGAATATGACGGTGTAATAGTGGTCCAACTCCAAGACGAACCCAACGAACCATAACAGACAAAAAAGTCTTCGAAATAAAGCAAAGTGCATGGTCTATAAATTTTTATCATATAATAAAAAAACAATTAATGTATACACAAGAAGGTAAAAATCAAAATCGAATTTCTACTTTGAATCGTTACAAGGCAAGTCCGAGTTCGATCGATTTGGCTTCCGATACTTAAAGAAGTAAATCAAAGTGAAAACCACAAGAAGCGCAACGCCGGAGATGCCGCAGATTATGCTCGCCGCAAGAAACACGTGCCTCATCACGTGATCGCGTCTGTTCCCAGCTCCGTCTCGCCACCAAGAATCGTCGTCGCCGCCGTCTGCAGCCGTAGCTTTCGGGAGGAGCTGAGGGTGGGAAGGGGGAGGAGAAGAATGGGAATCTCCGAAGAATGACATCATTTTTCCCGGCGGTGAGTGAGATTCAGTCGGTGGTGAGCTGAATTGATACTGTAGACCATGATCGGACGGTCGTAAGCCTTGGGCGAGGGATTTTCCGGCGAAGATGAAGAGGAATGTTACTGTGAGTGGGAAGATCGACGCCGATCTAACGCGGTTTAAGGAGAGAGCCATGTGAGAGAGAACTTTATTTCTTTATTTTTCTAGTTAAACTGTTAAACTAGTAAGCTTTATGTGATGTGATGAGTCCAAAAACGACACGGTTTTCTCTTGTGGGGTTCATAAATAGCTGGAGTATTTTCTAATTTTTCATCATGGAAATTCACCTATGTTTGATAGAAATAAAAAGAAGAGTGATATTGGTGAATACCAATGGAAACTTTGAAAATTAAGTTTCTACCCATGACTGTTTTTAAATTAGGTAGACAGGAAAGAGAAAAAAAATAAAACCTTTAATATCCTTTTTATTTTATTTATCTACAAAAATGTCATTGATCATAAACTGTTCATTAACCACCGGTTGACACTGTTTATTGATCGGTTTCACTGTTCATATAAAATCATCGACATTAATCATCTAAAAATAACTATTTACTTATCATGGTAACAAATAAAATATCATAAGATATTGCTAATTTATAGTAATATTATACAATTGACATGCTAAATTAGTTCGCACGTTATTAAAATACCATGTTAACCAAATTAGCATGACATAAAAACATAAAAATATTTCGGATACCATAGTTATCATACCGACAATTATCATGTTAACATAATTAGTATATTAACTAACAAAATAATTATCGTGTTAACATGATTATCATGTCAAAAATTTATTAAGCTAATAAAGTTATCATATCTTAGGGAAATATGAAATATAAAATTAAGAAAATTACCTTGTTAACTCAATTAACATTTTATGAAATTACAGGTTTAACCTAATTATCATATCATATGAAAATATAAATTATAATGTTAACTGAGTTATCATTTTAAAATACATAATAAGTTACATAAAGTTATATTGGTACCCCAATTAACCAACTAACCTATATAACTCACCGTCAACAATCTTACCTGCTAGTGTTATCATCACCGACGTTTATCGATATTATCGCCTTTTACACAACAGTCACCACCGTCGTCTTCATCATTGTAGATTCAACCGCCATTGCTGACTCCCTCCTCCTCCTCCTCTTCTTCTTCTTTCTTCTCTTCCTCCGTTTCTGCCTTCGCTGGTTTCTTCTTCCTCCTTTCTTCTCTTTCTCTGTTGCTGCCATCGTTGGCTTCTTCTTCCTCCTCCTCTTCTTTTTCTAGTCTTTCTCAATTTGTGTTTTTTTTTTCGGTTGTCAGATCTACTAGAACAGAGACCATATATATTTTACTCCCTCCTTTTTTAAAGATAAATTTTCTAATTTTTTCACACAGATTAAGAAAAAGTTGATTTTCAATCATTAGTGCATAGATTTCTGCAATAAAACAACTTTTTATAATTTTAAACCAATAAAAATCCAACAAATACAATCAATGTTTCTTGAAAACTGAAAAAATGCTTCAAAAAGGTAAAAAATTTATCTTTGTGAAACAACACATAATTGCTAGAAAATTCATCTTAAAAAAACGGAGGGAGTAGTACACTTGATTCAGTTAGAAATATGAAAAAAAGATCTTAGTTTGATCGATTGATAAAAAATCAGATCAGAAGAGATTGGTGATAACAAAGGTCATCGGAGGAAAAAAAAAAGCAGATCAGAAAAAAACAAGAAAATAAATTAATAAAACAACGAAAGATTTAGCTGAATAAAGTTGAGGAGTTTTGAGTAATTCCCTTTTGTTGAGCACTGTTGAGAATAGTGTCAGAACCTGTCAGTTAATTTCAGAAGTATTGGTGGGTAGTTTGTGCTATTATTCTAAAAAGAATGAAAACATTAGGAAAACAACTTAAATGAGAAAAAAAATTGATAACGAATAATTTTTTTTTTTTGATAAAGGGCTTTCTGACAAAGAAGATTCCAAGTCATCAACTCTTCTTAATCGTGAAGAAATGAATAATTTTCTGTTTTGTCAAGTATTTATTCAATTATTCAGTACTAAATCTAAAAAGTCAAAACAATTAGTATAGTTCATAGTTGTTATTGGTGACAAAACGAGTAAATCTTTTTACTAAACTGAGTGGACGGTTTTATTTTTAGTTTCGAAGTTCACATTTTTAATTTATTTTATTAAAAGACTCTTTGGCACCACAACTCATCATTACGGACCAATATGTTGGTTTTAACTTTTAAGTAAAAACCCGATTATGTCATTTTTAAGCTGTATCTATAATTCATTCATGCATGTTAAGCTATTTATAATTTGTCAGAAAGGCCAAATGAAAGTTTAATGGAGGAACAAATTAATCTGCAAGAACAACAAACAAGATTTAACTGTGACATTTTGATCTCGTTACAGAAATGATGTCACCAGTAGAAACTCTAGATTTCGTCGTTAATTCAAATTTTATATTTCATAGCAATAAAAATGCTAGCTCTCATGTACATAGTACAGTACTTACGAGTTAAAAAACTTACATACCCAGCCCACGGCAATGTATTAGTCCACTTAAGCCCATTATCACATCATAAAACTAAACAAGTCAATTAACATGATTTGAGGTCTTGGGTGTCACTAAATGCATGTAAGGTGTATGAAATAGTTACTATTAATTTATTTAGAGAATCATACATAAATTAAACTTGCTGTTGTGAAACTAACCAATGATAGAATATTGTGAAACTGATTTTTAAAGTTTTTAGGTTCAATTTTGATTTCTCATGTCTCTACATTTAACAAAAAAAAATCTTATATGGTCTACAAGGGTAGTAGTTTTTTCTTCTTCAACATTTGCAATCTCTAGCATGTTTTTTTGAGTTTCTTCCTTTTCTATCATTTTCTAGTTACTAAAACAAAAATAATTGATATCTGATTACAGCTATATATGTAGGTGTACTAAATATGTACTAAATCACATCAAATATGTTGCTGCTGAGGAGGGATGGATTTTCTCAGTTGGTAGAGATGGTGGATGGAAGAAGATTTTGGAACCTCTTCCTCTTCACTATCCTCAGCCTACATATGTCTCCATAGGCTCACATGTCTTCTACCTTGCTGGATTTGAAAAAGGTTGCATGATGATTGGAAGTTTTGATGTGGTTTGTGAAGAAATCAGTCTCATCCATGGTCCAACGACTGCTAATGGAAGAGGAAGAGTGTTGTCCAATTACAAAGGCCAGCTCTCAGTTTTTTGCATCACCAAGCAAGTCAACTTAGAGATATGGTCGAGACAAGACAAGGAGTGGACAAAAAGGGCTTTCATTGTCCCTCTTCTACTTCATCTACATCTCCATGGCATGAGTGACTTGGGAGAGCTTCTGCTGGCTCCAAAGAAACTCAAATTCCCTCTGGAAGTCATCTACATGGACGTAGAGAAAGAGACCAAGAGAAGCTTCACGATAAACAGAGGAGAAATGGAAGATCAAATCCCTCTACGCTGCACATGCCAGATTTTCCCTTCACAATTGGAAACTTTTGGCGCTTTGAAAGTGTTATGGGTATCCTTTGCTTCTTGGTGTGGTTATTATGCCGTTCTCGTGTAGGTGTTCCCATCAATGTCCCTGAGATTGTGTTTTTGTATTCAATGCTTGACTTTCAGTGGCTCTGAATGTTGCTCAAATCAGCTTTGTGACTAGGAATATGTGATTGGTATCTCTGTTTGGATGTACATCTAAGAAAGCTGTTTTTCCTACGGACAAACAATCTACAAAATTAGTTTTGAACAAGATTAGCTGTTTGAGGTTTGTAGTTTAGTTTCTCAGAAGCTTGTGTAGTAATAATCTACAAGAATCTAGCTTAAGGTATATGAATCTAAATCTGGAATTTATCTGAGACAGTTTAAAATTTGATTGGAGAGTGGGTTATTTCATCAGCAAATTTCGTAGCTGTAACATAATCAATATTCAGGAGAGAAGAGAGTGGCTAAACCTTGATCAACTGTTATGTGAAGCTTGTCATAAGTGTAAGGGTGCACCTTCTGAAAGCTTTTAGTCAAATCACACAAATGAAAGATGGTTTCAGGTGACAAACCTTTTAGATTATGAGATATATATATGGTGGTGATCGAACATGACAACTAAGTCCAGGAAGCCATACTGCTCATGAGACAATCAAGGGCAGTTTAAGGATTTTTTGTGCAAGTAAACAAACCCCATGAAGGCCTCTTGATGGTGCACAGCAAAAGTATAACTTCAAGTTTTGTATCAGGTCCTTGGTCCTTGTTACTGACTAGCTGCCGATAGCTATTAAACATATTATCACCTGAAGAGCCTGCATACACAAGCCCGTCGTGGAGAGGACAAAAAAAGAAGCATATGTTTAACTCAACAAAACAGAGCATCTGATTAGAATCATACAGTCTAAAAGTAATTTAACACCTACAATGCAACATTTGCCAAACTTTTCAGCTAAAAGACGTACATAGAAGTCAATATCAGCCACTAAACCTGAAACAAATATTTGACTATTTAATTTAATACAACGCATTAACAATATAAACTCAGCAAGCTCAGACACTAGTGTCATTGACAAATAACTTTTTTCTTAACTCTGGGAGTAACTTAGAACACTTGTGCATACCCCAAGAAAGCATCAAGACAGAGAGGAATCTGGTAGTCCCTTGTGAGATAATGGCCACATCTACAGAACGTTTATGCCCTGCCAATTTAGAAATATATATAACGTAACATTGAGAGCTGATTACTGAAGAAAAAGAGAAAGTTTCTGAAGGGATAAGAGTTTGAGTAGGACCTTGGATGATGGAAATAGTAGCACTATTTGCAATTTTGCACAGCATCGGTGCCCAACCGAGTCCAAAATGACTTTATCATGTCATTACCACCAGTTCCTGCGATTCATGAATAGAAACCAAACCGAGTAAAAAGATGCTGCTATAAGTTTCTTATGCACATGACATCAATTGTTTATTTGCAATTTTTCTTGTTTTGCTTTAATTTTTCTTCAAATTTTACATAAATTTTTTATTGTTTCAAAAACACAGTATTGTGCAATGCTTTCTCTGTTACGTTCCATGTTCCATTATTGAGGTCAGAGGATGCCAAAAGGTAATAATAATCTTGTTTACTTTGTAGGATCCTTTGACAAAAACACTAGTTTCTAACATGTTCCATGATTTAGGTGCTGGAGCAACTAAACGTGTTTTCAGAAGATGATATTATAGAAGCTTCCGAAGCCCTTAATGATGTATGTGTTTGATCTCATTGTGTCTTTGATTATTATCATAATAAAACATTTCCCACTACGTGTTTGTACATCTTTTTTATTTTCCAGATTCCAATGAAGCAGCTATACTCTGAAACTCAACATCAGCCATTTCTTATTAGATTGTCTATGGGAAGTTACCGATACATTTGAAGTTACATCGCCAAGATAGTTTGTATCGTATCGGATTATTAAAACCGATTTGACTATGATTATGGTTTTGATGTTTTATTTCATTAATAAATGACATTTTTTTTAGTCGCTACTTAGTTACTACTACTTATTACATGTTCGAATCTGACCATGTATAACGTTTGGCGTCATACGTAATTGCAATATGCATGTGATCTTTTACCAATAAGAAATATATGCATGTGATCCAAGTAGCAAAAGAGGGGGAAAATAAAAATTCAGCAAAGAAGAAGACGAAGCACACCAAGCTTGTATTCTCGAGAAAGCACAAGAAAATGAATAAGAAATAAGAAACAAGTGAGCTCTTAGACCATCTCCAACCCCTCATGCCATATGTTATTGCAAATGGCAAAAATATAGCAATAGCATTGGGTTTCTCTCCAACCCCTCATGCCATATATCATGCTATAATTTTTTTCCAACTTATTATTAATTGTTAAAACTACTTGATTTCTTCAAATTTTACAAAGTGAATCATTTGTTTTTCTTTTTTTGCAAAAACAACCAGAATTATATTTTTTATTATTATAATATTAAAACAAAATACATCATATTACATAAAAATTATAGAAAACAAAGATTTTAACCTATTGTTTTATGTTTTTTGAATTTCAGTATTTTTAAAAATAAAATTTGAAGTTTATTATGGTTATGTTTTTATATTTCTATGAAATAAATATTATTTATATTTTGAAAAAGTTATGAGTATTGTTTATTTATTTAAATAAATCATAATCAATATAATTAAACTGTTAAATTAAAAGTAATTACAAATTGAAGGACTATTTTATAAATAAAAAAGTTCAATGGCAAAATAGCATATTGCATAATCTCATGCCAAATATAGAAGCAAAAATAGCATGATGCTATTTTGCAATAGCATATGCAATTGGGTTGGAGCAAAAATTATGGCAAAATAGCATATATGTCATATTTAGCATGGGGTTGGAGATGCTCTTAATAGTATAATCTATTACTTAGGTTGTTCTGTTTTTTTTTAGTTTTATCCGTCCGATTAATTTTAATTAACGTGTTGGTAATCTTTTTGTGGCAAATGAGTAAGAAATTGTTTCCATCTTTTTGCTGGATTTTATTGGAGAGTTAAAATTCTGTAACGAGGTTAAAATTCACAGTTAAATCTAGTTTGTTGTTCATGCAAATTAATTTGTTCCTCCAGAAAACTTTTACTTGGCCTTTTTGACAAATAAAGATAGCTTGACATGCATGAATTACTTATAGATAGTTTTCTTCAAATAAAAAAAAGACTTATAGATAGTGACATAATTGGTTTTTACTTAAAAAGTTAAAACCAACATATTGGTCCTTCATGATGAGTTGTGGTGCCAAAGAGTTTTTTTAAGAAAATAAATAGAAAATGTGAATTTAAAACTAAAAATAAAACCGTCGACCCAGTTTAGTAAAAAGATTTACTCGTTTTGTCACCAATAACAACTATGAACTACACTAATTGTTTTGACTTTTTAGATTTAATACTGAATAATTGAATAATGCTTGACAAAATAGAAAATTAGATGTTGCAATCTCTTGCATGTTCTTGTTTATGGATTTTTTGAGTTTCTTCTTTTTAAATAATTTTCTAGTTACTAAAACAAAAATGAATGATATCTGATTACCAACTAGATGTACTTAATTTGGGCATTTTTGAGATATTAATTGTATCTCATGACTAAGTGCTAGCTACCAACTTGTGATGGTATCTTGATAAGCATAAGAAATGGTTTTGCAGATGAATAAGATAACGAAAAATCTGGTATTGAAATTCCAAAATGACAGAATATAAAAGATGATGAACAACCACACAAACACCACACCAACAATGGGACCAAAATATTTGATAATGTGTTTTCATTAATATTTCTTGTACTATCTAGCCATTATTTGTTGTTATATTATATAGCATGTTTTTTTTTTTCTAGTGATTGACTATGTATATAATAATAATACATTTTTTGATTTGTAACTACTATCTAATAATTCTTGACAAAGCGGACAACAATTTAATTTCTTCTCTATCAAAAATAGTTGGATTAGACAAATTATTTTAGTGGCTAGGCCACACGCTACTAAGCTTACAAAAACTCAGTTATATCCACACTTTTTTCTTGTTGATCAAAAAACAAAAATCCACACCTTTTCTTTTGATGAGTACTCTCTTTTGTTCCTTAGTTAATCACTTTTCTTAAGAATCATCTCTTTCCACATGTTCTTAAGATTGTGAGTCAAGTTCTTGGTTTGATCACCTACATCAAAACACACAAAATGTAAGAAAAACGTAGTAGTGTGATTCTTCGTCAGCTGATCTTCTATATTATTTTTTCATTCTAAACCATGTTTTAACTTACGAGTCAAGGAAAAGGTCAAACAAACAGAGTAATTGATAGCGCATAGCCATAAGCACAAGACTAAAAAGAGCTGCAAAATAGCCACCAATCTTCAGCCAAAGAAAAATGTGAATACTAACAAAAAAATGTGATGAGTTGTGTTGCTGTGGTACTACTAAAGAGTCTTTAAAGAAAACAAATTAAAAATGTGAACTTGAAATTAAAAATAAAACAATGTCGAAAATAATTATTTAAAAATAAAACCGGTCATTTCAATTTAGTAACCAAATGTTTACTCGTTTTGTAACACCAATAACACACTATGAACAATACTAGTTTTTTTTTGTTTACTTTTTAGATTTAGTACCGAATAATTGAATAATTCTTGACAAACAGAAAATTATCCTTCAAAATAAATTCATTTCTTCACGATTAAGTGTTGATGATGACTTGGAATTTACAAAAAAATTGAAAAACACTCCAACTCATTATGAACCCCACAAGAGACAACGGTGTCGTTTTTTTTTTGGGCTCATCACATCACAAAAGCTAACTTACTAGTTTGACTAGAATAATAAAGAAAATAAAATTCTCTCTCACACATGGCTCTCTCCTTAGTTTCTACTACATGTTCGAATTTGACAATGTATAACGTTTCATTTTTGGGGAAAGTGAAGGATGACTCTCAGATATCAAACAAACCAGTGAACCAAAGTCAATGGCCCAAGTCATATTCCTTTTTAAGATACATTATTAAGATTAAAAAAATAACCAATCTTCAAGTGAGGTTACGGGTAGGATTCGAAAGATCAAGACCTGTTTGTGCTTCATTAACATATATGCCTTAGGGACTAAAAATGTCACAAGGTCCATCCATGCCTCCATGGGATGAGTCTCACTAATATACTCTCTCCATTACAAAACTATCAAGAAATGGAACAATTTCTCTGAACATTAAAACTCTTCCACATGTTAGATTACCAAAAAATGAGGAGTTTTTAAGCAGTTAGTTGACAAAGCATTTGATGTCAAGCAGAAGTTTCAGGAACATCCTCAGCTGGTGACTGGATTGGTTTTTGAGCTCGTGGTGGTGGCTGTGGCTTTGGTGGTGGTGGTGGTGGTCTCTTTGGTTTCGCCTTATTGACTTCCTCAGATTCAACTTCAAACTGCATGATGGAACAAATAGCTACACACGTTAACAAAGAAGAAGAAACTATGCAAACGTATCGAAAGTGAAAAGGTCCAAACAAGGAAACAAACCTTGTAACCACAGCCTGCGAGACACGCGTGAAAGCATTCCTGAGATTTATAAACAGCAAAACATGTAAAAACAAGTCAGATATCGTTCGGCCTAATGGTCTATATCTGATATCTCTGTTTAAGGAAAGGCCTTTTCTTTATACCTCAGAGTATTTGGCAGCTCCAGGGGAACGATCGATATACGCGCTCCATGGTCTGTCTTTGATCACAGGATCTTTATAGCATATCTCACTGCAGTCTGCTATACCTATAAAAGAGTAGACTATTACACCAATTCAGTAACTTAAAAACCATTAACCAAACAGAGGAGATATTTTCATGAACATATACAAATGTATGAGACAAGTTTGGTATGGTTCTATGATGTTGATTCACAGTGAGGACAAATGTATCTGCTCCTCAATTCATTATGGATTTCAGAGATTAAAAAGAAATGCTTACAATCTTCCCATGTGTCACTATCAGCATCGCATCCCTTTTTGCAGAACACTCTCCCTGCACGGATACATGATTCTCATCAGTGCCTAAACTGATGATACAGCGTTTAAAAAACAAAGAGGAACTGCTATCCTCCAGAAAGAGTGTTATCTATATAGTATGAAGGATAAACATAAAATCGGCTAGCTTTTGTGATCACAAAAAGAAACTGAGAGCTTTCATCCGAAACAGCCAAACAATCATCAATGCAGAAGCATCTATAATATCTCTACTCGAGTCTTTTCCTTCAAATATTTTTCTGTTCTTAAGCAGTAACTTCTTCTTAACATCTTCCTCTTTCGCCTTCAAATTTAACCATTTTCTTAATTACATGATAGAAAGCTAAGAACTCTGAAAAATCCCCCTTACGTAGAATCGGTAGAGATGTTCCAAATTCTTTCATTTTCATTATTCAACCAAGAAGCAAGAAGGTGTTCTTGTATACTTGCAACTACAAGTCTACAACCATTAATTGCCTCGGGACCAATCTAACCAAAGAAGTGATCATTCTCCTAAATGTTCAATTTGAAATGGGAATGCGCCAACAATTGATCAAAGTTCCTAATTCAATTCCAATCAAAGAATAGAAGAAACCATCGGAAGACAAATGGACTTCTGAATCATCCATTATTCAAGATTTCAATCAACAATCCGAATCAATATCAAAGGAAAATCCAAATGATCAGCTATAACATACAATTCCTAAATTGATTCTCCACTGAGAGATTCTTATCATCGATAACAAACGAGCACACGAGCATAAAACTGAGCGAGCCATAATCGATCGAATCAAAATCAATTGAGAGATACGTACAAGGAATCTGCGTAAGTGCTGCATACTTATGCGTGCATTGATTCCCACACGGCGGCGTCCATTGTTGCGGTATCATCTCTTCCTCTCTTCCTCCGCCTTCACTCTCTCTCTCCGTCCGTCTCTCTCTCTACAGCCGAAAATATCGCGGACGCCATAGAAATGGAGCTGAGACTTTCTTTATATAGCAAGGGTGATTCCGTCATTTAACAGTCAAAGCGCTCTAACAATCGAACCGGTCGGTTCTCTATATCACCGCCTGATACCGGTTATCGAATCAATCCGGTTATTTCCATAAGTTAGCCGACTCTACTTTTTTTGTCTTCATATAAACTCGTAAACCTCCCAAGGCCGTCTCATTCTGTTTCTCCCCGTCTCTCTTTGGCTCTGCTCAGTGCTTCAGTGAGGCGATCGAAATGGAGTACAACGAATACGAACAGGATCCTCCTACTTATATTGAGGACGATGACGATGAGGAGATTACCCAGGAGGACGCTTGGGCCGTTATATCTGCTTACTTCGAAGAGAAAGGTCTCGTTCGACAGCAGCTCGATTCGTTCGATGAGTTTATCCAGAATACTATGCAAGAAATCGTTGACGAGTCTGCTGATATCGAGATCCGACCTGAATCCCAGCACAATCCTGGTCACCAATCAGATTTTGCCGAGGTTGTTTAGCTGGATTTTTCCTCGATTTTTGTTATTCTAGGGTTTCTTACGGGAAATCGAAATTCTGTGTTGGGTCTATCGTGTGCTTGTGGCGGTTTTTGAAGTGTTTCGGTGTTAGCATCTACAGCTTTGTTGCAATTAGGGTTTGCCGTTCTCGAGTAGCTGATACTCATTGATGGCATAAGATTTATCGCATTCAATGGTTGAGCTTGTCTCTTTTCAAGTCGGATTTATTGATTGAAGATTGGTTGATGCTCAAACCAGTTTTGGCCCTAGGAAAGTGTGTTTTGACAAAAAAAATTTGCTGCACCTGTGCTATGAATATTTTCCTGCAAACGATCTATTAGAGCTTGTACAGTTTTGTTGCAGTTAAGGGCTGCCCTTCTTGGGTAGCTGCTCCCATTAATGTCCCGACCCGAGATCGTTTTTGTATTCTAAACTTGAGCTTTTCGTTTTCTCAAGGTGTATTTTCAGTGGTTTCGATGTTGGCTAAAGCTCTGATTTGACCATTTTATTGCGCACAGTCTATTTTAGCATATATTGCTCTGTTGCAATTAGTGTTTGCCCTTCTCGGGTAGCTGCACCCATTGATGTCCGAGATCATTGTTGTATTTTATGCTTGAGCTTTTCGTTTCTTCAAGGTGTATTTTCAAAGGTTTTCAATGTTGCTCAAATCAGTTTTGGCACTAGTAAAATGTGCTTAGTATCTTTTTTTTTTTTTTTATGTACCTCTGATAAACCTACTTTTCCTGCAGACAATCTACAAGATTAGTTTTGGACAGATTTATCTGAGTAAACCCATGATGACGGAATCAGATGGAGAGACTGCCACCTTGTTCCCTAAGGCTGCAAGGTTGAGAAACCTCACGTACTCGGCTCCTTTGTATGTCGATGTTACCAAGAGAGTTATAAAGAAAGGGCACGATGGTGAGGAAGTGACAGAGACGCAGGATTTTACCAAAGTTTTCATTGGAAAGGTCTGTAGACTTGGTTTTTGTACAAAATTTTGTAAGCTGCATCTGCTATACGGTTTTGAGAATGTAAATGTTTTCTTGTTGTTTGATATTTTGCTAGGTTCCCATCATGCTCCGGTCTACTTACTGTACCCTGTTTCAGAACTCGGAGAAAGATCTGACAGAGCTGGGAGAATGTCCTTATGACCAGGGTGGATACTTCATTATTAATGGCAGTGAAAAGGTTCTTATTGCTCAGGAGAAGATGAGTACGAACCACGTTTACGTCTTCAAGAAGAGACAGCCAAATAAATATGCCTATGTTGGTGAAGTCCGTTCAATGGCTGAGAACCAAAATAGGCCTCCAAGCACTATGTTTGTGCGTATGCTTGCTCGAGCAAGTGCGAAAGGGGTAAGAGGAACCTAATAGTCTAAACTCTCTTCAGTATCCTCAATATTTTTCTTTTTATTATGGAATATGGTAAATAAGTTACATTCTGTATTGCAAATGGATGCAGGGTTCATCTGGACAGTACATTCGTTGTACTCTTCCATACATCAGAACAGAAATTCCTATAATCATAGTATTTCGTGCATTGGGATTTGTTGCCGACAAGGACATATTGGAACACATTTGCTATGATTTTGCCGATACCCAGATGATGGAGTTGCTAAGGCCTTCCTTGGAAGAAGCTTTCGTTATTCAAAATCAGCAGGTATCCCCCGATCCTACATTTGGTTAATGAAATTTTCTGGCTCTTCTTATGTTGGGTGCTTGAAGAATAGATCCTGCAATTTGTTGATAACTTTTTTTCATATTGCTTCAGGTTGCACTTGACTATATTGGGAAACGTGGTGCAACTGTTGGTGTAACCAAGGAAAAGAGGATAAAGTATGTGATAATATAATGCATTATGATCTAAGATGTCAACTATTGAGATGCTGACACTGGAGATTTGCAATTGCAATATTATCATTGCAGATATGCGAAAGATATCCTTCAGAAAGAAATGCTTCCTCATGTAGGAGTTGGGGAATTTTGTGAGACGAAGAAAGCTTACTATTTTGGGTAGGTGTTTAGCTCACTCGTGTTTCTTGTGGATTTCATATGTTTCTGTGTTGCTCATATTATGCTATAACCCGTAGGTATATCATACACCGGCTACTGCTTTGCGCACTTGGCCGACGTCCAGAAGATGATAGGGATCATTATGGTAACAAGAGGCTGGATCTTGCTGGACCCTTACTTGGAGGACTGTTTAGAATGGTTTGTTACTGGCTCACAATCATACTTTACTGGGAAACGTTCAAAGATTTTAAGTGTCAGTATTTTTTTTTTTTTTCGGACTGACCTAACATTTTGTTAAATGCAGCTGTTTAGAAAGCTAACAAGGGATGTGAGATCTTATGTTCAGAAGGTCCGTTACATTGTTACTCTTTCTCGTTCCAGTGACTTTGATCGTAGCTTGTTATTCTGTGATTGGAAGTCTAATTCGTGTTGTCTTAACAGTGCGTTGACAATGGCAAAGAAGTCAATCTTCAATTTGCCATTAAGGCTAAAACAATTACCTCCGGCCTGAAATATTCTCTTGCTACTGGGAACTGGGGTCAGGCAAACGCTGCTGGCACAAGAGCTGGAGTCTCTCAGGTTAGGATATTTCTTTGCTTCTGTTATTCAGCTCAATAAGTTTCTTGATATGTGTTTTTGGATTATAGTTGTGGTCTTTAATGGTTTATTGCATGATTTACACGGTTCTAAAGTCTTTGACTATCAACAGGTTCTAAATCGGTTAACATATGCTTCAACTTTGTCACATCTTAGGCGTCTCAATTCTCCAATCGGGCGTGAAGGTAAATCCTCATTTTTTTCATGCACTTATATTTTGTCTCAGTGTATCTGTTAGTGCAGTTGGCGTATTTTAGGCATGGTTCTCTTTATATCAGTATCCTTGCAACTTGCGAGTTAGATCGGCTTTTAGTTCTGCTTTTTCCACCTGAATCTTAATTGAGTCTCATATGCCAGGAAAATTGGCAAAACCAAGACAACTGCACAACTCACAGTGGGGAATGATGTGCCCTGCTGAAACACCTGAAGGACAGGTAAAATTATAACATTTGTAGATATAGGGGTGTTTCGTGGTTGCATTTAATTCCATTGCTCATTGTGGTTTTGCTCTGCCAGGCTTGTGGTCTAGTGAAAAACTTGGCGCTCATGGTCTACATAACAGTTGGATCAGCTGCTTATCCCATATTGGAGTTTTTGGAAGAATGGGGTACTGAAAATTTCGAGGTCTGTAGCACTTCACAGTCGGTTTCTTACTCAGTTTCTGCCACTTCGTTTCCTGTGGTTTCCTCAAGGTCTTAACTTGAATGTAGGAAATATCTCCATCTGTTATACCCCAAGCCACAAAAATCTTTGTCAATGGAATGTGGGTTGGAGTTCATCGAGATCCGGACATGTTAGTGAAAACGTTGAGACGTTTGAGAAGAAGGGTAAGCATGCAATTTCTTTCACGTTTCCAAATATTTTAGTAAATAAAAGGCAATAGAAGTAACTTATTGCTTTTTCTCTTGCAGGTTGATGTTAACACTGAAGTTGGGGTTGTTAGAGATATTCGTCTCAAAGAGCTCCGGATATACACTGATTATGGCCGTTGTAGCCGTCCGTTGTTCATTGTAGATAATCAGAGGCTGTTAATAAAGAAAAGAGATATCTATGCTCTGCAGCAAAGGGTAAAACTCTCTAGTTTCTGGTCTCAGAATACCTTTTATTATAACTGTATGTCTGTATCGTACCAATATCTGTTTTCGTAACCCAGGAAAGTGCAGAAGAAGATGGTTGGCATCATCTAGTTGCAAAGGGCTTTATAGAGTACATAGACACAGAGGAAGAGGAGACGACTATGATATCCATGACTATCAATGTGAGTAATATAATGTCTGAAAGTTCAGTTTATGATGTGAACGAGTACACATGGACTCGTGGTACACTGATTTGCACAGAAAACTCAAATCATTACCTTGTTTCAGGATCTGGTTCAAGCTAGACTCCGTCCTGACGAGGCATATTCTGAAACTTACACGCATTGTGAGATTCACCCGTCTTTGATTTTGGGTGTATGTGCTTCGATCATACCATTTCCCGACCATAATCAGGTTTCTCTCTCTTTAATTGACTTGTCTATGACAACCAATTTGGGTATGCAAGTTTCAAGTTTATGCTAACTAGCTCCTGTACATTTTCTGCCACTTCTGTGTTTCGATGAATTAGTCACCCCGTAATACATATCAATCTGCTATGGGAAAGCAAGCAATGGGGATTTATGTCACCAACTATCAATTCCGCATGGTATGTTCCAGCCTCTTAGTTTGTGGTCTTTTCCGACAATATCTTGTTATAACACTGCATGGTATAATGATATTAGTATTGTTTTGTTTCGTCAACCAGGATACCTTGGCATATGTTCTCTACTACCCTCAAAAGCCTCTGGTTACAACAAGAGCTATGGAGCATCTTCACTTTAGGCAGCTTCCAGCAGGAATTGTGAGTTATTTTGCTAGAAGTCTTTAAGAATTCAGCTTTTACTCTTCTATCAACTCTCTCAAATGTGGTTTGTCTCTTCTTGTGTAGAATGCCATTGTTGCCATTTCTTGCTATTCTGGATACAATCAAGAAGATTCTGTCATCATGAATCAGTCTTCAATAGATCGTGGTTTCTTTCGATCCTTGTTCTTCCGGTCTTACAGGTGAGTATTCCATACTTGTGGACATTTGCTTTCGGTCTTTCCATTTATTTATAATTCAATCTCTGTCTGCTGGCAGAGACGAGGAGAAAAAAATGGGGACACTTGTCAAAGAAGACTTTGGGCGCCCGGACAGAGCAAGTACAATGGTAGCCAATTTGACATTCACTGTTCATATTTCTGTGGTACTTGTTATAAGTGGAGTTTAACACTTGGGGTTTCTGCTTTAGGGTATGCGACATGGTTCTTATGAGAAACTGGATGATGATGGTCTTGCACCTCCTGTAAGTATATAACTTATTGTTCCTTTAATGGGTTAAATCTGATATGATTAGGCGGTTAATGCTAGCAAGATTTTCATACAATTTTTTCTTGTCTGCTATAGGGTACTAGAGTTTCAGGAGAAGATGTCATCATTGGTAAAACAACTCCAATATCTCAAGATGAGGCTCAAGGACAATCGTCAAGGTACACTAGACGTGATCATAGTATAAGCTTGCGACATAGTGAAACTGGAATGGTGGACCAGGTAACTTTGCTATTTCCTTGCAGTTAAGAGTTTACAAAGTTTCAGGACTGAACTATGGACCTGGGGTTCTGAAAGCTCTCTAATTCAAGTCCTGAATTTCTTGTAGGTGTTATTGACTACAAATGCAGATGGTTTGAGGTTTGTGAAAGTGAGGGTTCGATCCGTTCGTATTCCTCAAATCGGAGACAAGTTTAGTAGTAGACATGGTCAGAAGGGAACTGTTGGCATGACCTACACACAAGAGGACATGCCTTGGACGATTGAAGGCGTCACTCCTGATATCATTGTGAATCCACATGCTATTCCGTCTCGAATGACTATTGGACAGCTAATTGAGTGTATCATGGGAAAAGTGGCAGCTCACATGGGAAAAGAAGGAGACGCGACTCCTTTCACAGATGTCACGGTGACTCCCATTTTCCTTAGCCTGCTTTGTTCGTTAGTTGTGGCTTAGTAAAAAATTTGACCAATGTTGTGTCTTTAGGTGGATAATATAAGCAAAGCTCTTCATAAATGTGGGTACCAAATGCGAGGATTCGAGAGAATGTACAATGGTCACACGGGAAGACCACTCACGGCTATGATATTCCTTGGACCGACGTATTACCAAAGGTTGAAGCATATGGTTGATGACAAGATTCACTCGCGTGGACGAGGTCCAGTGCAGATCCTAACAAGACAGCCAGCCGAAGGTCGATCCCGTGATGGTGGTCTCCGTTTCGGAGAAATGGAACGCGATTGTATGATTGCGCATGGTGCTGCCAACTTTTTGAAAGAGAGGCTGTTTGATCAGAGCGATGCGTATAGGGTGCATGTGTGTGAAACCTGTGGGCTTATCGCCATTGCAAACCTGAAGAAGAACTCTTTTGAATGCAGAGGTTGCAAGAACAAAACAGATATCGTTCAGGTACGTTTCTCAAATTGTGTAGACGATATTTTATCTCCTTTCATGCTGGATATTTCTGATGGAATTTCATCTAAATCTTTTCACAGGTTCACATTCCGTATGCATGCAAGTTACTCTTCCAAGAGCTCATGTCAATGGCAATTGCGCCACGGATGCTTACTAAACACTTGAAGTCGGCTAAAGGCAGACAGTGAGGAGCTTTTTGCTGTCTTGTGGTTTTTGAACTTTGTTTCTCTTTTGGTCGTAGCTTTGTAACCAAAAACTAAACTACAAATCTTGTGTACCGTTAATATGTATTTCTTCTGAAAGTACGAGATTTTGGTAATACTCATCTGGTAACAACAAATTTTAACCAATGATAGTTTGGTGGAGTGAAATTTGGTGGTGAATCTGAGCATTAAATTGAATCCTGATCGAGGACTACATACCATTCTTCACTAGCATGAACTTTTGATCAGTAAGCAAAGAAAACTCAAAACCATAGCGAATTCATGGATTACAGCAGAATAGTACTATAACATGACTACATTAAACGAAACCAGCAGATAGAGAGACAATGAGTGAGAGATGAAGTAAAAAATCAGAGGTTTAAGGTTTAATTTGTAATTATCATAAACCTTAGAAAAAACTTAAAATCTGTTACTCGGAATCGAACCAGAGACCTTTTATTATTTTCATTTTGTAAATTCGCAGTGTCACAGTCGCAGATACTAAGCCAGTTTCCGCCGCTTTTAACCATCCTCTTCGCCGGAATCGATGAACATACTAAGGCGACTTCCGGCGAATTTGATAGCAAGCAGATATTACTACACAAACAGAGTGAAAAAGACAACACTTTACTCCAAAATCAGTCCTTTAGGAAACCCAAAATCAAGCGTCTACCCAGAACTCCAAAACTGGGTCCATTCCGGGAAGAAAGTCTCTGTCGCCGAGCTTATCCGCATCGTTCACGACCTTCGCAGACGCAAACGCTTCCTCCACGCTCTCGAGGTAAGGCTTTCACGAAACTCAAAAAGCTCTTCTTTTTCCCTCTTTAGCTTACCGAGAAAAAAATCCCCCGAACAAAATTCTTTTTCAGGTCTCAAAATGGATGAACGAGACAGGTGTATGCGTCTTCTCTCCAACAGAGCACGCCGTACATCTTGACCTCATAGGCAGAGTCCACGGATTCGTATCCGCAGAAGAGTATTTCGGAAACCTCAAGGAACAATACAAGAACGACAAGACTCACGGAGCGCTTTTGAACTGTTACGTCAGGCAGCAGAACGTTGACAAGTCTCTCTCTCAATTTCGCAAGATGAAGGAGATGGGTCTCGCTTCTTCCTCTCTCACTTACAACAACATCATGTGCCTCTACACGAACATCGGCCAGCACGAGAAAGTTCCAGGAGTTTTGGATGAGATGAAGGAAGAGAATGTTGCTCCGGATAACTACAGTTTCAGGATCTGCATCAATGCCTTTGGTGCCATGTCTGATCTCGAGAGGATTGGATCGATCTTGCGAGATATGGAGAGGCGAGAAGACATTACAATGGACTGGAACACTTACACTGTTGCTGCGAAGTTCTATATCGACGGTGGTGATTGTGAGAAAGCTATTGAGCTTCTGAAAACGTCGGAGACTAGATTGGAGGGTAAAGATGGTGAAGGTTACAATCATCTCATTACGCTCTACGCTAGGTTAGGGGACAAAACAGAGGTGTTAAGGTTGTGGGGTTTGGAGAAAGAGGTTTGTAAGAGACGGATAAATCAGGACTATCTTAGTGTGTTGCAGTCTCTTGTGAAGATTGATGGTTTGAGAGAAGCTGAGGAAGTGGTTAAGGATTGGGAATCATCGGGGAACTGTTACGATTTTCGAGTCCCGAGTGTTGTGATTCGTGGGTATGTTGGGAAAGGGATGGAGGAGAAAGCAGAAGCGATGCTTGAAGATTTGATGAAGAGAGGGAAAGCTACTACGCCAGATGCTTGGGGACTTGTGGCTAGTGGTTATGCAGAGAAGGGTGTTTTAGATAATGCTTTCAAGTGTATGAAAACTGCTTTGGGTGTAGAGGTTGGGAACAGGAAGTGGAGACCTGGGGTGAAGCTGGTTATGAGTGTTTTGAGTTGGGTTGGGGATGAAGGAAGTTTGAGAGAAGTAGAGAGCTTTGTTGCATCGCTTAGGGATTGTGTAGGTGTGAACAGACATATGTATCATGCTCTTGTCAAGGCTGATATAAGAGAAGGTGGAAGTAACGTTGATACTCTGTTGCAGCGCATGAAAGACGACAAGATTGAAACCGATGAAGAAACCACTGCAATTCTCAGCACAAGAAGTCTCTTCTGAGAGTTTGTTCTTCTTGCTTGATGTGATACCAAAAATGTCTTATGACACAAAAGGATTCATGAATGTGAGAAGCTCAAGAGATGAGTTTTGCTTCAATATATTATCTTATACTGTCAAAGTCACTCTCTAGACTCTGATTCACAAGAGAATCCTCTGTTCTTGTTCAAATGCCGTTTACTCTCATATTGAAGCAAGAATCAGCAGAAAGTAAAATTGTATTCGGCAATTTCACAACTTGGTAACATTTTTATTGAGTTTTATATTCACTCTGACAATTTGTTTCCCCACAAACAAGAAACTCTATAAGCCAAAAATGATAAATAGACAAGTGAATTGTATGTCTACAAAACCGTGTTTCTATATAACGTCAAGAATCATTGGTATCGTGTGACTCACCAGTTTGCTGTAGCTCAACGACTTTCTCATATCCGACATTGTCTCTGAATCTCTTGGGAATGAAACAACGGCCACCGAACTTTTGCTGCAAGAAAACAAGAGAAGCGAAGAGGAATCCGATGCAGATGATAATAATATCCCATGCCGTGGAGTAATAATCCATTTTGGGGTTCGCATAAATGTACGACCAATCAAGAATCTTCCCGTAGCTGCGACTTCTGTACAGATCATAAGCATGAGGAAGCAATCGAACAACACTGTTTCCAACGTAAAACGAAGCGGCAAGAGACTTTGACTCCGAGTTGCTGAATCCGTTGAAGAGTATCTGAGGAAGGAGGAACGCGTCAAGCATCAAACCTCCGTAAGATTTCAGATCTTTCCACAGAGAAGGACGTTGAAACGAGCGTTTCAGAGTCACCGGACGGTACAAGAGATTCCGTGAGCGCGGTTTCCCTATGTATACCATTCTTTTAGGAGCTCTGTTACGGTTGACTAACCAAGCAATTAGTCCACCGGTGATGTAGAGAGGTAAACAGATATAAGCAACCTTCTTCTCTGCACTCCACACGCCTTGATGGTGATTACGCTCTTCGGTTTTTCTAGCAGTCCAAGCTAGCTGGAGAAGACGACACTCGAGTAAGAAAGCAATCATCGTCACTATCCTCACCACAATCTCTTTGGCTTCAAGCCATCTGTCGTTCTCGAAGAACAAGCTCTGCTGGTTGTGGCTGCTTTTGAAGAGTTCTTCGAAGTTCAATAGCAGAGGAATCATGTGGCCTAGTGTGAGAAGTATCAGCATTGCAATGGAGATGAAAGGAAGCGCTTCTTGGTGTTTCTTCATATGGTAGAGTTGCATCCCAACAAAGAGACATGACAACGTATTGGATATCAGAACCATAGCAACCTCCAAATCCATTCTCCAAACAGATTCTTTGGCTTGATGAACATAGATCGACCTCGACGTAACCTCCATACGTCCAACATAAAGCGGATCCGTCTTCTCCCTTGTGCTTTCGATGGTTCCTTTCAAACGATCATCGCTATTCGAGTCAATTGGAGAAAACTTGATCTTGATTGCAAGACTGCAATCAACACTCTCGTTTCGCATTGCCACTGTGCTCTTTAGCCTGACTGATTGACATCCTACCATGCATAGCTCACCTGTATCCTTATCATACGTTCCCTCTGCATAGATATCTCCACGAGATTCAGATACCGGAACCAGAAAACGGATTCTGTAAGTGATGTTTGTGAAGCTTCTGGTGACACTGTTGACATTCATAGGGACTCCAGCTAGCCCAACCGGTTTCCCAGGCATCAAAAGATCTCCCACAAATATAGGGCTTGCACGGGCTGATCTCAACACAGTACCTCCTCCAGAATATCTCACCGACATGAGAAATATCATATCTGAAGTTAGAGCATTAGGGTAAGTCTTTCCTTTGCTTTTGGTGTGACTCTTTCTAGCGCCGCATAGCTTACTCACTCTCTCGCTCTCTGTATACTCATATCTCAGTCCAGGGAAACGCCACAGAGGAATGTTTAGGCTCGAGAGATCAATCCTTCTGAAGTAGCTTGGATCACTCTCTGCTTTGCCACTCCAAATCTCCCCAACCACCGGAGCCATGTTCTTGATCGACAAAACAGACGGAAATCTCAAACTTAACCTCAGTGAACAATCACCAACCACAGCATTACTCAAAGAATCAGAGAAATTCAAGATCTTGCACGCAACACCACAGAACCTGTTCTTCTCTACATCCCAAGCTCCCTCCGCAACCATTGTGGTGCTCGGATCAAACGGAAACGACCTCCTGATACTGCTTTCGTTGCTAAATGACAAAAGCATTCGCATCTTCTCACCGTCACAAGGAAACGATAAGAGAGACATGAAACTTGGTGCGTACTCTCCATCATCACTCCCCAAAGGACTGCAACTATGGTTGATCCCACAATCCTTTCTGTACATCAGAGCAAACGTATTATGGCTTATACTTCCAAACACCTTACACATTCCTCCCAAAACACTCTCTAACGAGAAACTCTCTTCACTATTTACCCCACAATCCGATTTCGATTCCTCTAGCAACTTATACTCATAGCTCAAAGGAGTGTTTCTTGCACCAAGAATCGAAATTGTTCTGAAATCGCTCTGGTTATTCACGATCTCTAACACTCCTTTAACCAAACTTCCATAGATATTGGATTCGTTGGTGTAGTTAAGCAAGAGACGAGCATCAAAGGACTTGTAAGTACCTTGTGCAGAGAGGACTTGCGTTGATCCGATCATACAGCCTTGTCCTGTAGACTCCGACCAAAACCCGGCGAAATCGAAGCTAGCTCCGCCCCAAGGGTTCGTCGGAATCATGCGTCCTTCGATCTGCGTTACTTGAAGCTTCCCTTGACCTGAATCGCCAGCGTAATTGGAGGAAGAAGCTGAGGTTCTGGAGATTTGTAAAGTCAATCTGGCCTCCACCTTGTAAATTTTCCCACCGCCCAGAGTTTTGCGGACCGATTTGGGTCTAAACCTAGCTGAATTAAGGTCGCCATTCCGTGATTGGTTCCGATTGAAGGAGTCGCCGCCGGAGAAGAAGCCGACATTGAATGCAAGCGAAGGGCGGTTGAAAGCGGCCGAGTGGGAAGGATCGATCGGAGACTCCGGAACGATGTGGTTGCATTGATCGGAGTAAGTGATTCGTGGGGATGTGAAGGAGTGAGGATTCACTAGGGATGAAACGGTGAGTGAAGTTGCAGAGGTTAGAAAGAGTGAGAGGAGGAGGAGGGAGAAGAAGAAGAAGAGAGAAGGGCATGATCGTAAATAAAGGAATTGAGAAGGGTTGTTTGAAGATGAAGAGGGCGGCCGAAAAGTCGCCATTGTTACGAGGAAGTGAGAAACTTTTACATACTCTGTTTCTTCTTCCTCCTCCCTCTTTTCCGCGATTTCAAGATCCGCTTGCCTTAAAGACTTTTACCTACTTAACACTTTTCTAATAACTTCATTTATGAGAAGTTTATAATATTAAATAAAAATGAATATTTTTTTAAGGATATGTTATCTAGCATAAAAAAAAATAAAGATACAAAAACAAAACAAATTAAATATACTTCAAGTGTACATGTTTTAATTTGTATATATGAAACGAAAGCTTTTGCTAAATCACCTAAATATGTAAAACCATTTTGTCTAATTTGATTGTTCTTTTGATGTTGAGCAGTGATTTCAATCGATCTAGGGACCCTTTCGTTATTCGTTAAACAGACTAGGGCTTGGCCCGTGCGATGCGCGGGTAATGTATATTACAAATTATTTAATCAGTATATATTTAGATTTTCAGAATTATTACATTATGTTTATATAATTATATCCTTTCTAAACTCTATTCCCGCCGGTCTAACCGGGAATTGGACACTATCCCAATTTGAGTTTAATTAAAAATCACAATTGCAATTGAAACAAAAGAACCAGCCGGCTTGCTCAAATAACTAACTCCGGCTTTTTGTTATACACTCTAGAAAAGACTAAAAACTTCTAAAAAGTAAAACATGTACATAGTTATTTTAGAAATTTACAAAGGAGCATCCGGAGTTTCTGAAAATTCAATTTTGACCGCTCACTTCCTTTTATCTTTGATATTTACCAAACTAAAATCCAATTAAAATTCCTATGATGTGCGGGTCGTGACTGTTACAAAATTTTGTTACTTATATTTTAATTTTTTTTTTAAAATTTGTAAATACTTTGTCTTTTATATTTTTCAAATATGTTAACGCCGATATAAATGTATATTACTACTTATTTTCTCTAAAATCAAATTCCTTAAAATGTTTTCCATGTGCCACAAATCAATTGTGGCTAATTGCAACACATTGAAAATCTTATACCCTAATCCTAAATTAACAAACCAAACCCAAAATTCTAAACTTAAAGCATAAACCCTAAATCATAAACTTTTATTCTAAAACAGAAACAATAAATCAGAATTAGCAAAAAAAATTAAAAACTATTCCAAACCCGTATATCTAAGTTATTAAATCTAACCCTTACATGAAAAAGAAATATAACAATTATAAAAATCATACTTTTTGTACGATTATATATTTATCTAGAATGATTATATTTTCTTAACATTTATAACAAATTTCAAATAAAATCATATCATAAATCTTAAACTGTATATATATCTAAAATTCATAATGTACACTAATAAATAATTTCAATAGTACTCAAATCTAATTTTCGAAATTACAAACCCCAAATCCCTAATCCAATACAAAGCGGTTTATGTTTCTTGCAACGAAGTAACGAACACACATTTTAGTAATTAACATTACACTGTAAAATTGAGAAAATATAATTCGACCGAATATCTCAGACAACATTGTAAATGTTACACATTCTCATCTCGTAGTCAGTACCCACTGACTCTAGACATTAGAGTTTTGAATTCTTTTTGTATATACTTGAACAGTAAAGCCCAATGGGCTTGTGAGAGCAGAATTTTCCGTGACACTGTCGTTTTGCTTGGTAGTCTGAAATCGGGTCAAACGCCATTTTTTGTTTCTTTCTCCTAAAAAAAAATCAAACACAGGAAAAAAGCACGAGAAGCTACTCTACGACTACGATTACCGACCGCTCCTCGCCGTCCTCATCCTCTTCACCCCCAATTTCATCCCTCGGATGGCGGTGGAGATAAAGTCTCTCACCATTTCTGACGACTCTAGGCCGATGATTCTCTTCCAAAAGTTTGGATTCACTCAACTGGACACGTTAGCGTCTCTGTTTCCTCCGTATCAGTAGCGTCCCCTTCCGCTGTTTGACTGTTTCGATCCCGGATCCGCTTCTCCAGGTGGTCCTCGAGATCCATCAAAACCCTAACTTCTGTGTACTCGATTCCCCGTACATCCTAGATCTCTTCACATTCCGGGCTCTCTCTCTCCTCCGCCGGGTTCTATGTACGAACACTTGTATACGGTCATTTCTCTGATCGAGTACTCTCTCTTCTTCGTGAATTGGGTACCGGGAACCAGTATTTCGATGAAGGTCCGAACAGAGAAGTATAATCTAGATCCGAACGGGTCAAAGGACTACCTCCTAGTCGGGTCAACCCGATTACCCGGATTGTATCTTTTCAACGCCGGCGGGGATTAAGCGTTTTTGTGTAAGGCAAACAAAAAGGTCAGGAAGTCAAAACGATTTTACTTTGAATTTAATGTGTTTGTTAATATTTTTTTTTTAATTAAAGATATGCCACGTGGCAGAAATCTGGAAAGAGATATAAATCAAACATAGAACTAAATACAAATACAACAAAAACAAAAACAAAAAAAAACATTTCAACGTTATGCAGAAGGTTTGACATGAAATAGGAAACAAATAGAATTACATTTATAAATGCAACAACACATAATTAAACAATAACCAAAGTGGAAGCTACTTATTATTTTTTTATGTTTCAGTAACGGAACAAAGTCAAGGCTTTGTTAAAGTGTGTTGCTTTGGCTGCAAGGTACTCTTCCCATATGAAGCGCCGGTAGATAGGAGGATGGTCCTTGTCACCGGTCAACGGACCGATCTGGAGGTTCATAGGTGGGCCGGAGAAATATGCAGCTGAGACACGGTGGTGCGTCTTGTTCACAACCGCACGGTGCATCGTACTTTTGAATCGTCCATTGGATATGATGTGAGACAAATCTCCCATTATAACAACGAGGCCACCTTCTATTGGCTCCACTCCAACCCATCTCGACCCTTCTTCTTCTGGACTTTGAATCTCTAGACCTGACCAATGACTTGGTATAATTTATCAAATTAGATTAAATATACTTACTACAAATATATCGTATATATCAATTACTCTCTGTCTAAATTTAATTTTGTTGATATGAATATTTGGGTGTCATATGTAATGTAAGTATCAAATTTGATATAGACAACTAAAAATAAAGTAAATGAAAGCAATATATCCTTTTTGAATGAAAAATGAAAGCAATGTTGTAGATAAATAATTGAAAAAAGGGTACTAAAATCTTAATCTTTAACCTGGTATATTGCCTTGGTAGAGGATGGTGAGTAGGGAGGAGTCGGTGTGAGGAGCTAAGCCCATGGCTAGATGAGGGTCAGGGCAAACCGGGTAGGAGTTCAACTGGAGAAAGGATTGGAGTGAGTCAGTTCTTGAACCGGTGATGTCCGTTACATGCCATCCCAAGTCTTCATGTGTCAGTCCTAACGAACCCATCAACATGCTTATTAGTCTACGGCTTAGATCACCCATCGCTTTCTGATACTCTTCCATCACATTACTGCATTTGCCACACACACACACAAAAATTAAAAGAATATCGTTAATTTCTTCTGAATATAGTGACAAGAATTCCTCAATTTAGAATTACTTATCATGTTAATGTGCAACATAGCAAAGTTTGCTTACTTTACAACCTTAAGTGTACAAAATGAATCTTTATGTAGGGAAAATAATTTAAAATGTCATAATATTATCATTATGTATACTTGAAGACAATATTATTCATCTATATATACTAGTCACTATGAAATTCAAAATATAATAAAATTTTGAGTTCACCAGAATTCGGTATGATCATCAGGCCATAGGAGTGCAGCGTGACGTCGAAGAGAGGAACCCATAACAGAGAATCCCTCAGACCACATGAGCTTATCATAGAACATAGATATTCGAACCACACCGTAACCAGTGGACTCGTCGGGTGATCGGACGGCTAGGATCTTACGATGCATGGGTAAAGAGAAAAGCCTCTTCATTCGGCATTCAACGTTTTTGAGTAAAGAGTGTGGGACCCCATGTTCTGTGATATGAAACACACCCCATTCCTCACAAACATGTCGTAGTAGCCCTTGCTCGGCCGGTTTGGACAAGCTGATGACGGGAATGGGTCGGGTGATGAGTTCGGGTTTGGGTTCGTGTTTGGACCAGACGTGAGAGTCGGGTAGGGTTTTGGTGATGGCGAAGTCTAGTGGGATAATGCGGTCACGGTTCACGGGGTTGTTCTTGAATAGCTGTGTTACCGATGAGCTCATGACTATATGTTTTTTTTTGTTTGTTCTTTGTTTTCTTTTGTGAGGCTTTTGATGGAGAGAAACATTATAGCTGGAGCACAATATATAGAGTCGAGAAAGAGGTACACATGTGTGTGCTTATGCAGAGAAACAATCTCTTTTTCTTTTCTTTCTCATTTCTTTCTCTGCATCTTTATGTTATAAATATGATTAATATGTCAAAAAAGAGATATTTGTCGTATTGTACATATCAATAGGCAATAACTCTATATCTTTTTGCGGGTATTCAAATGTGCTCTCACGAGAGTGTGAAACTATCAAACTAATAGACTTAATAGTATAAAGATCACGCATTTCATTGGCATCTGACTTATCGACTATTGTTACTCGTTAGCAACTAATAATCACAATTCACAAATACTCTTCGAGACGAGTTTTCATGAAATTCGCTGCAACCTAAAAGGCTAAAATATTGTGATGGACGCTTATTACAACATACTCCGTAAACTTTAAATGCTCTAATTTATAACTGATTGGAGTACTTGAAATAAAACATCTATAATTAATAATAATGGAAGCTCTCTTAGTCTTGATAATAACTGAATTTTGTGATCGTAATACACATTTATTACATAAGATAGGTTTGCATTGTTTAGCTTTGGTGCATCATACATGCGAAGTTGACTTTTGTTGTACCATAAAAATATATACATATATGCGTACATACATATAGAGAGAAACAAGTGTTCAAAGCTATAGTTATAAATTAGAGCATTTAAAGTTGTTCTCTCCATGAGTCTTGTCTAAACAGCTCAGGTGCTTTGTTTACGATTCAACCATACACAACTCTAACATACACGTGTGCCTCTCTTTTGTCCTTTTCCCCTCTTCTCTTAATTCTTTTTTGTCGTCTTTATAGTCTATTTCCACCTTTGTGCCATGCATGTAGATTTACAACTTTGTCGACGATGGTGATGAAACTCTTTTTTGTTATATCAGTCATTAGACAGCTCTATTGATAGTACAACTGCACAAGTAAAGTTCGAGAGAAAGCAGTGGCTTTAAGTACTTATTAAAGCGGATTCATTGGGCTGTATAGCCTATATCTCATTTAAAACGGAACTGATGGTCTATGCTCTAGCTCTTTTAAGTTCTTAGATAGTCTTTCTTAAGAGTTTAAGACAATCGTATTGTCAGTTCAGTTCAGTTTTACATGATCTGAGTGCAGATCACTTTATTGGTGTTATCATAGTTATATCAATTAAATAGATTTAAACTGATTTATGTTAGCATTCTTAATTAAAAGACAAAAATGTTGCTGGACCTTGTTCATCAGCTTTTTTAATCGTATTTTAAAAATAACTTGGAGATTCCACAAATCTTTGGAAATGTTCACATGACTTCAAAAAAATTCAAAACGCTTCGAAACATTCAGATGCTTTCGAATATTAATTTTACCAAATTTATAGAAAAATAAATAAATTGTTGTCTATAATATACTCCCGATATAACATGAAATAGTTTCGGTAAAATAAAGGTGTTTATCCTGTTAACCTTAACAAGTTTTTGCAAGCTTTTGGATAATTTCACATGAATTTTCTGTTGAAACTATAGTTCTCGTTCATCATTTAGATTGTAAGAACTAAGAATTCTGACAGTCGTGTTAAGCCAAGTCGAAACTCGTACAAACTTCTAATAATAAAGATTTAAAGGTTTACAAATATGATTGTTTATAAAACAAGTATTCATGATCAACCCAAAAAGAAATTCGATAGAAATGGATCATTACAAAATAAATGATTTGGACCTTACAATCTTACATGATATTTGTAGACTACAAAAGATTGCAAATGCATGTTTTTGGTTTGGCTTGTCTATTAAAAACGTGTTTTTAGGAAAATTGTGGGTATTGGCCTACGACGAGTGGGCTCATAATAAGAAAAGTCTCGAAACTTTTTCCTATCTAACTAGGATTCAGTCGTCCCTACTTCGCTTAATATATGTGGGAACTTCAAGACATTCTCTTGACTTCCAAATTAGATTGCATTTTATCTAGTTCTACTATGCCTAAGATGTTCTTTGATCTACAACTTACACACCACCTTCAGATAAGAAAACTAGAATGTTGATGATTTATGACAACGTTAATATGAATCAATCTGCTATATAAACTTCTTCTTAATCACTTTTTGTACATAGAGTTTGAAAGCAAAACTCAAGACATTAATTTATGCCTGGATCTTATTTCAAACGCCACATATATAAGAAACATTTTATGTATATGTATATGTTTAAAAGTAGTTTTATTGTTATAAGAAACATTTTTAGAAGGTTCAGGTGATAATAAATTTGAAAGTTATATTTGGAAATTTAACTTTTTTTGTTGCATAACCGTTTTTTCTTAGTTTCTAAATGAAGCTATCAAAAATTGCTAGTTTATGACATAAATTGTAAATAATAATCAACTAAAATAAAATTGTTTACAATTCTAAGAGATTAGAATACGCGAATGGGTGGGAAATGATATCATCTATACACTAAATAGCAACTTGCTAATTCCGAGACCTAAAGAAAAAGAAAACCCAAAGTTTGATAAGATGAATGATTCGACTAGATAATTCACTGTGCTTATAATATGAGTATTTCTATATACAGATTTTGTCGCATCTCATATTAGAAAGAATATCAGATATGTATAAGCCGTCTTCTCCTATCTAGTCTAATAAATTAACTCACCGAACCAAAGTAACATGGAAGTCATAAGTCTAACATCAGCCATTTTGTCATCAACTCTTCTTCTTATCCTTTTAAATGTCAAAAGTAATAAAATATGTATTGACTTCAGAAACTACAGATCGAACAAGAAAACAATACATATTTGTGTGTTCAAACAATGAGCAAGTGTTTGAAGTTTGAACCAAAGGAAAAATATAAAATAAAAAACAATGAGTAAATGATTTTGTTTCTAATTAGGTGAACCAAGATGTATGAGGTGGGCGATAAGCTCCCATGTTGATAACCACAAGGACGTCGATTTCGTTTTACATAAGCTCTACCTTAAATCTTTTGATTTTATACTCATTCCAGCTAATTAATCTCCAAGTTGCTCAGAATTACAACTTTCATGTTTCTATAAATTAAACTTTTAATCTGTCAACAAAACAGAGTAGATTATTCCAAATTAAGCGTTTGTAGCTTTTACACAAGCTTATGAAATAACATATTCTCAACTTCGAATCGTATTTGTATTTTTCTAAGATGAAGTATACCTTATGTTGTGATTCTAATTTCAAAATAAAAATTGCATACCAACCTTAAATTATAATACGACTTTGATTTAGAGAAAAAAAATGAAACCATATAATCTGATCAACCAAAAGGTATTGGTCTAATAGCATACAGTATATTGAATGGGGATGGATCTAGGTCATTGATGAGTCTACTCTACGGATGTTCACTGTTATCTTTAGTTTTTGCTTAATTGTAAATACATGTATTAAATGGCAAAAAGATTCAGTTTTGTATTTTTATACACCATTGGGTATATGGTATGATCCTGTTTCGACATGTCATTCTTCAACTTATACATAGTAATGTGTAAGCTGATAAAACCATTCACTGAACCAAGACAGTAGTTAATGTAATCGTCGTCAGCCAATTTTTCCATTTATTGCTTCTTATTCTTATCTTTAAAATGTAAAAAAAATATATATATATATATATATCTATCTACTGACTTCAGAAACTACAGGAAAACAAAATACAAAAATTTCTGTATAATTTTCCAAAAAAAAAGAAAACTCTATGTATGAGTTTGTGTGTATGTATCTGTGTGCGTGTGTGTGTAAGTTTAAATATTGAACAAGTTGTTTTTTTATTTATTAGTTAGGTGGATTAAGATGTATGAGGTTGACAATAAGCTCCAATTTGATAACCTTAGTATGTATTGATAACCACGACGATGTCATTTTTGTTTGATCTAAGCTCTCCCCTATATGATTTGATTTTATATTCATACAGTCTAATCTCCAAGTTGCTGGGAGTAAATAAAGACTTTTATGTTTCAATAAGTATCCGAAATCTGTCCACAACATAGAGCGTGTTTGTAACTATATTCCGAAGAACAGCTTTTAGCTTTCTCACTTCTCCATGATATATATGTTGATATTAATGCAGATTCGTCGCGCGTTTTAGTTTTACAAAATCATCCATTTTCGTTACTTAATTTCTTTGTTTAAAAAGTGTCGGTTTGGTATATCTTTATACTATATGATTATCGCTTATATAAATCGATAAATAATCAGACAAATTCTTCATACAGTATATAGCATGTGCATGGTCTTATTTAAATTATTATCATATGTATATTGCACCTCATGTTTTTATATTTATGGTTACCTAAGGTCCGAAGGATATTCTTAGTCGTACTATGATTAACTAATCGACGATGTCACTCAAGAGTGATCTCTAACTAAAAAATATTCAAACAATGTGGAAAACAAATGTCCATGTATTCAATAAGGAAAATAAATAAAATAACGCAGAAGCAACTTGCTTTGTTTGCTTGACAACTTTAAGAATATTGGATTATATATTATGAAGTTGATACGCGGTATACAAAACGGAATAGATAATTAGAAGCGCTTATAATATATTGACCATAAGCACTTTGTCTTGATCCAGTGGTTTACTAACTAATCACACATTTAATTACTTGTTTAGAGAACTGTTAGCCGAAACGCCAAATTGCAGACGGAAGCAAAGTTTGAGTTGTGGAATCAAAGTCAAAGCTGCCACTTTTGTCTTTAGTAACTTTTGTTCTTATCGTCCTTGCAGTTTCCACGTAGTAGCCGATCACTAGAAACACAAGTTTTTTTAAGAAAACAAGATCGAGCAAAATCGTAGTTGGTAATAAATATATACAGTAGAAACTCTATAAATTAATAATGTTGGGACTATGATATTTTATTAATTTAGCAAATTATTAATTTATCGAGAGATAATTTGAATTAAAAACTTAGTTTGGAACCGAAAAATTATATTGATTAATCGAGTTATTAATTTATCGAGTATTAATTTATAGAGTTTCTACTGTAAATATGATGCCGAATATATACTGTTACTGTATATAGTTTACATTTTACAGTTACATGGGAACAAAAGTTGTACCAGACTACCAGTTAATATTCTTTTTAGATAGTAGTAATAGCATACATTAATTAGTCTATTAACTTAAGAAAAGGAAAATACTTAATTAGTCTATTATTTACTTTTTAGCCACAACTAACCTTAGTCTATTAAAATTATTTTTAAAAATATAGTCTGCAAAAGTTTTGATTTTCTGAATGTCGCTTTCGTTGGAAGACATAAAGCTTCTTGGTTGGATGAATCTAAAAGTGTTCAACGTATTTTTGGAGAACAGCTTGCATATAAAAATATCCTTCAAGTTGCCACTTGATTCCCCAAATTGGCTGCTTAATTAGCAATTTAGCATATCTCAAAATATAAGTATTAAAAGTTTAATAAACGTCACTTGTTAGTCTTTTTAAGATATAATATATTACTATATTTGTCGTTATCTAGAAGTTGGTGGTTGGCATTTCACTTTAGGGTCCACGTTAATTTCGTGAGAAACCTTTAACGTGTTTCTTTTGAGTTTTTCCTTCTAATTGTTTGCTTAGAAACAGGCGGGAACTAAACCAATTTGTCACTACGTATTCCTTAATATTGTGTTGTGTACTTATTCATGCTAGGTTGTAAAAACTTGTTCTACTTATATTATCAACAATCATCGCACCGGATCGATGATTCGAAATGATGAAGTTGTGTTATATGAATTTGTAATATAGATTATAAATTTTTTGGGGTATGTCATTTTCAATTTTGTAGTATTTAAAATAACTTTGTATAAAAAGGTTGTAGTAGGCTAAAATTTTAAGAGTGGGATTGATCGGGTCAGTAAAACCTAACCTCATTTGCCATGCTTTTTTAAGAAAAGTATGGGGTTATATCTAGTATGATCCGTATATTGTCAAAACTCATTGAAAAATAAACTCAATATGCCAAATTTAGCATTTTTATGTATTTGAATTAACGTATATCGCAAACTCAAAGAAAAAATAAATGAAACAGTAAAATAAGGGTCGGACTAGACCAGTTTGGTCTATCACAATACCTCTAATTTTACCATTTTAACTGTGAAACTATATTTTGATCATAGTCCAAAGTTTTCGTCCAACAGACCACAACCTTTAACGCTTTCAACATAGTGTACACACATGCACCACATACGTTACGTGATGATTTACATAAATATCTTTTGAAATTAATCTATTTTAAGCTAAAAGTAAACGATTACCAAAATAAATGTACTACACCATATAGAAATATATATCAAAATTTTCAACGATGTAACTAATCATGAGAGTAAATAGCATTAAAGAAAGGTCTAGCGAGAAGAGAAGTTCAAACTGCAGAGGTTGAAGTCTGAAAGAAAAGAAACTAAATTAGAAAGTGAAATAAAATTTGTCAAAACACAGAAAGTCAAGAACTCCACCTCTTTTTAGGAACTAGGAATTTATATAGCAACTCTTGATGGCTCCTATTAAAAGAAGGAATCAGATTATGCAACCCAATATAAAGATCTTTAGTAGTGGTTTGTTGACTAGTAATTTTATTTTGTGGGCAAAGTAGGTTTTAATATACCGACGATATATATTAACACTTCAAGTCTTCAATAAACGACCGGTCCGTGAACATCTAAATCAAGGTATGTCCTTTTAAAACTACCATTGTTCTACATTTAGTGTTTAAACGTAAATTTGTTCTGAACCAATATGTTGTAGCTTTTCATCAAATTAATTTAGTAATATGTATCGTTATGCTGGTTGAGTTTCGGACACTATTAGAACTTGTTTTTTCCAGCCATTGCAATGTAGTAGAACCTAGATAGATCACGTGAAATTCGACTGGCACAAACAAGATTTACCAATTCTTCAGATAATGGTTAGATTCGAATTTAGATTAACTTTTTATATATACTTAGAAGAATATATATAATAATAATTCACGGCGTCTATGGATCTGGACATTAGGATGTAAAATACAATTTGGATGTATTTTGTATTTTTGAATCACCGAATTGGTATTAAAGTTGTAAATTCCAATACCAAACATGTTTGTGTTTATCTAACTAGTAAAACACTAAAAAAAATAGAGTTATATGTTTGAACGATAAACACAACCGTTATACACAAAAAGAAGAAAAAAAGTTTTAACAAAACAAAAAGGAAATACCAAAACGTCTCAACAGATTGGACTTAAATTAGGGCTTTAAACTAGGAATAAGAATGAGCAATTAAGGTGAAGATTAAAATATAAGTTAGGAGTGTGGAAGGTCGCAATCAAAGACAGCTACGGAGGAGGCGTTGCGTGCTTGAAAGAGACACCAAATCCCCGTTTTAATGGGGAACAAACTTACTTTCACTTTTTCCCCACTAATTTTTTGTTTTGTTTTTTATTTATTTACTAACTCAGTATTTACTTATTATTTTCCTCACGTTTTTATATGATTTCAGTCTCCTCCAGCAGCCCTCCAGGTGTAACTGGGCACACATTAAGCTTGGCTTACCTTTAACCAGGTGTTTTCCTTTCTTTTATATATTCCTCTTTTATACTAAATATTTTTAAATATTGTTGGTTTTAGTTTCCTATACCTATTAGTATCAGTATACAGTAATAGGAGTGCTATTTCTGTTCTTTTTTTTCCAAGTATATTTAAAATTCTCAAATATAATTTTTATTCAACTCTTCCAAATTTTTTATATTGAATAGAAAAATGTTTGATAAAATTATCATTAGGATATCTCTCTTATCAATTTATCTACTCATGTAAGTATATAAACTAGTTGAAAATACCTTCAGTAAATTTTAAATACCATAATAATTAATTTTAAAATTCTGTTGAGAAAATCCACCGAAAAGATATATTTTTTGGCAGCCCGTTTCAATCTTTTTAAAAAGAATTGATTAAACTAAAAAACCAGAGAAAGAAAGAGACGTCAGACAATGGATCTCTTCTGACTCAAGTTTCGTTTTAGCTCTATAAATAATACATCTCTCCTTCACACTTTTAACGCAACTCAAATAATCTCTCTTTCACTTCCTTTTCTCTTCTTCACTTTCCTCTCGAATCTTCTTGTATTTCGTTCGTTTTCGTCTCCTTTTTCGTTCAAAGTTTGCTTCTTTCTTCTCCATCCTGGTTTAATTACTCTTTAACCGAACTCTCTCACTCTGTAAAATCAATACCATCTTAATCTCTAGGATCAAGATAAGGAATCTTTTTGAATATCCGCACACGAAACCGTATCGATGGATCAAAAAGTACGACAACTTGACGTTTGCACTCAAGACGGAACCGTTGATTGTCACGGAAATCCAGCAATCCGAGCCAAAACCGGCAAATGGCTCACTGCTATTCTCATACTAGGTTAGTCTATCTTTTACAGAACAGAAACTGCTCTTCGTCTTAATTAGCTTTGTGTTTTTAGATTTTCTGACGAATAGGGTTTTTGATTGATATAGTGAATCAAGGACTAGCGACGCTTGCGTTCTTTGGCGTAGGAGTGAATCTGGTTCTGTTTCTGACGAGAGTGATGGGACAAGACAATGCAGAAGCTGCCAATAACGTCAGTAAATGGACAGGAACTGTTTACATCTTCTCTCTCCTCGGTGCTTTCCTCAGTGACTCTTATTGGGGACGTTACAAGACTTGTGCAATCTTCCAAGCAAGTTTCGTTGCAGTAAGTCTCTATTCAACACTTGCTCTGTTTTTTTTTGTTTAGGGTTTGTTTACTTGAGCCATAAGTTAACATGTTTATAAATTTGGTTACAGGGGTTGGTGTTGTTATCTTTATCTACTGGTGCTTTGTTGCTCGAACCAAGTGGTTGCGGTGTTGAAGATTCGCCGTGTAAACCACACTCGACGGTCAAGACGGTTCTGTTTTACCTATCGGTGTATCTGATCGCGTTAGGGTACGGTGGTTATCAGCCGAACATAGCTACTTTTGGAGCTGATCAGTTTGACGCAGACGATTCCGTTGAAGGACACTCGAAAATCGCGTTTTTCAGTTACTTCTACTTAGCACTGAATCTCGGATCGCTCTTCTCGAACACCGTCTTGGGTTACTTTGAGGATCAAGGGAAATGGCCGCTAGGGTTTTGGGCGTCTGCTGGTTCTGCTTTTGCGGGTTTAGTACTTTTCTTGACTGGCACGCCAAAGTACAGACATTTTACGCCTAGAGAGAGTCCTTGGTCTAGATTCTGCCAAGTGTTGGTTGCTGCTACAAGAAAAGCCAAGATCGATGTGAACTATGAGGACTTGAATCTCTATGATTCAGAGACTCAACGAACCGGAGATAAGAAGATTCTTCATACCAATGGCTTCAGGTAGATAATAGCTTTTATCATCTCAGAAACTATCTTCAAGATCAGCTTTTAAGTTTCTCTCCTTTTTGTTTGATGCAGATTCTTGGATAGGGCTGCGATTGTTACAGCTGATGATGAGGCAGAGAAGGTGGAGAGTGGATCGACTTATGATCCATGGAGGCTCTGCTCGATTACTCAAGTTGAAGAAGTGAAGTGTGTGCTAAGACTCTTACCAATCTGGCTCTGCACCATCCTCTACTCTGTGGTTTTCACTCAAATGGCTTCACTATTCGTCGAGCAAGGCGCGGCGATGAAGACCAACATCAGGAACTTCAAGATTCCAGCTTCAAGCATGTCGAGTTTCGACATTCTCAGCGTCGCCTTCTTCATCTTCGCTTACAGGCGGTTTCTCGACCCTCTCTTTGCAAGGCTCAACAAAACAGAACCCAACAAAGGCCTCACTGAGCTTCAGAGGATGGGGATAGGGCTAGTGATTTCGATCATGGCGATGGTATCAGCAGGAGTCGTGGAGATATACAGACTGAAACATAAGGAACCTGAAACTTCTAGCTCGGTTTCAAACTCGAGCACGTTGAGCATATTCTGGCAAGTACCTCAGTACATGTTGATAGGTGCATCAGAAGTGTTCATGTACGTTGGTCAGCTTGAGTTCTTCAACAGTCAAGCTCCAACAGGGCTAAAGAGCTTTGCAAGCGCGCTATGCATGGCTTCGATATCGCTAGGGAACTATGTGAGCAGTTTGTTGGTTGTGATTGTGATGAAGATCTCTACAAGAAGTGACTTGCCTGGTTGGATCCCTGGGAATCTCAACAAAGGACACTTGGACAGATTCTACTTCCTTTTAGCTGGTCTAACCGCAGCTGATTTCGTGGTTTACTTGGTCTGTGCAAAGTGGTATAAGTATATCAAGTCTGAAGCAAGTTTCTCTGAGCCCATGACTGAAGAAGAGGAAGTCTGAGTCAGAGCTAAAAGAGTTTTGGGTTTTTTTCTACGCTGTGAAGCTTTGGACAATAAACTGTTCAAAGCTGAGCCTTGTTCTGTTATATAAAGTGGTCTTTGTGTGTTCTTTTTTCTTTCTCCTTTTAATACTCTTGTGCATAGTTTTGTTGCTCTTAATAAAAAGATTGTTGATTCCACTTACAGTTACTGCAACTTTTTCTCTCATATTATGATTTTGGCTCATGTGATGAACTTTGCATCAAGCAAGGTAAAAATTTAATAGCACATTAAGAATTACATTTTAATGTTGAAATCTTGTGTAAAAAAAAAAAGGAATTGTTAATGGTAAAAACTGCAGAAAAAAAACTGCACAAAGACAAACTATTCAACTAACTTTGCTGATTTCTACTGAGTAACATACAGCCTGAGAAGAAGAAGTCTTGTCTGTCTGGTACTCGGTTATCACTCGAGCTCTTGCTTCGACTCAGAGTTTCTGATAACATCATACAAAAACCATGACTCGCCGCCACACATGTTGTTACAATAAGAGAGACGAGCAGAATCTCTATCTGTCTGATTCACATTTGGCGAAGAAGAGAGAACTTGTCAAAAGAATTTGTCTTGCTAAGCTGTTTTTTTACCAATAGACAATGGAACTTGAGGAGAAATGTGTTTAGTTTCTTCAGATGATTTTTCTTTCAAGAGTATCTTCCCGAAGATGGCATCCGTTGCATAGACCGTTGAAACTCTGGCTTAAAACGCTTGTTTGACATCCCTCCGAATGATCTAAACATCAACAAGAAAACCAGTTTTTAAGAAAATGTATCAACTAAACATAAATCCATTTCGATAATCAGAGATATAGATAACAAACCTTGGAGATCCTTGTCGTTTATGCGGAGGAAGCATCGATCTCACACTAGACAGTGCTCTCTCAGCAGCCTAAAGATAAGAATCATCAGACAAAGGGAACAATGGGATCAGAATAAACCGAAGTATAGGATTTAGTTAGTTAGGTTACCTGCATTCTAGCTTCGTCCCATGTTGATCCAACTCCTTCCCCTAAAACTCGCCCATCTATTTCAACCTGAAACATAGTACAAAGAGAATCAAGAGGGGTCTGCATTTCAGATACTTCAAACCGATTCAACCTATGAAGAACATGTCATGAATCTTTCTCTTTTAATTGAAATTTCTCTCTCTTTCATTTGGATAAAATTAACACGTCTGTGTTATAATCCTCAAAGGTGTACGAACCTGAGCATGTAATTCATCTCTGTGGACCATGTCAGATGGAACAGGACGCTGAGATTGAAAAGCCATCTGAAAGCCCTCCGATGCACACTGGAATTAGGACAGATATCAAAGATGAGAAAAAACGATATGTGGATGTTAGCAACCAATGTTAACAGTTTCAAGATTAAGGAGATGCATACCAATTCCCTGAGCTCAGTAATGGAGCCGGTGTGCCTCATTGAGCCTCCTAACCTCGGATCTGTAGGTCTAGAGGAAACTGGCATCGCCGTTTCATCTCTGGCAAATGGCTGGTTATCAGGCGTGCTTGCATTTCCCATAACGTTGCCATTAGTGAAGGGGCTAGCATCCCTGTGGCTTGGCCCTGGTTCGCCATTTGTACGCGACATATAAAAATCTGCAGGAAAGTTGTAAAAACTCAAAAAATTTGGAATCAAACAAAAACAAAAATCCAGGGATAGAGCCTATTCCTAAAAACAATATCAATGAATCCAGCCAATATTAAATTTAAACCTAAAAATCCAACAAAGGTGTCACGCTTATAACGGGAAGGGACCCACATTGAAGTTCTAACAACATCTGTTGATGTGATATCTTAACATACAGACACACAACCATCTGTGGTGGCACTTCTCATACTCATTGATACAAACACATTCACGAGAACCAATAATGTCTCGAATTAGCATCTCTGCAGACAACTTTTCAAGCACGAGTAAATCATGAGTAAGAACGTCTTACCAGATAAGTTCTGGATAGAAACTTCAGCAGCCTTGTGCAGGGCTTCTCGTCTCGATTTGCCAATCGCTTCTCCAATTTTTTTACCAGAGAACCAAACCTGCAAAGAAAAACATGGATTAAATGTACAGCTGACACAATCAACAAAATTAACTATTCTAAGGGAAGGGAGGATCTCAAAGATGTGACACAATTGCATAGGTTCCACCAATATTACTCAGAGCATACAATATCCAAGAGTGAAAGATTGGTAATTGCATACAGATAGAAGTTTAAGAGCTATGTACCTCAACAGAGAAACGCAACTCTGTACTAGCAACCAAACCCGGTCTGTACTCCACCTACAATGTCATGGAATGTTTAAGGAAATTAACAAATAAACTCACGAATGGAATTGATGGTAATCATGATGATGATCACAAACCTTAGTTCCTAATTTGGTAGCAATCTCATGTAGAATTTCAGCATGATTCTCTGTTGCTGAGACATTTCGTCCATGTATGAAGTCAGGATCACTGTTCCTAGAAGAAGATTGATTCCAAGATGCCTCTTCCCCTAGAGAGTCCATTCCAAAGTCAGTAATTTATCTTCAGAACCAAATGAAACAAGAAAAAATAACTGTGATGCCTTACCATAGAGAGGTTGAGAGCCTGGTAGATTGTTGTTTGACCGTAACTGTTCATCTCTCTGGAGCGTCTGCGAATATATGACAGTGAGCACTAACAGCATAATGATCAACGACAAAATTGACCAAATAATATTAGTGGTACCTCTTTTGGTGGCCTGCGAGTCTCATGAAGCATCCTGTCAGATTGAGTTGAGTTATCAATCTTAGAAAAATAGGAAGGATGGCGAGGCCTTTGCTTTTCCATTTGTATCATTTCAGAATCCAACGGATATTCTTTGGAGACTGCTCGACGAAGTGGAGCTGGATTTATCTCCTCCTCAACAGGAAACCAACCATTTCTTGGCTGCACATTTGAAGGTGGAGCTTGAACTGGAGTTCTCTGAGGAAATGGAGGTTCACTTGGAGCAGCATCTCTACTATCTTGTCCATGCTGCAATATGAGGAGCCTCCTCCTCGTATCTGGATCTAACTCTGATTCAGGTACCTCACCTTCCTCTCTAGCAGGAGAATTCTGCAAGCTTGGTTCTGAAGGAACCAACTGTTTAGCTATTAATGTCGGCTGTTGAATCTGACTACTTGGAAAGGCCATTGCTGATGGTTGTGGTGTTTGATGCACGACTGGTACTGGAACTGAAACAGAAGAAGCAGAAGCCATGGGGTACTGAACGGGAGCAGCTAACCTCGGATCTATTTTTGCCGCCGGAAGGACAGCTGAAGATGCAGAAAGTGCCTCCTGAATAAAAGGGAAACATGTATTTATCTTCATCAATGGGCAGAAAACATTCAACAAGAAGAAATTTTTACTGGAGTTGGCATCTTTAACGGATCACTGCAGCAACTTTGTAACAATTGAGCCTAAATATGTAATCACCTTCAGTCTTCTTTCCACTTCAGTATCAGCCATTCCGTCAAAAGTAAGTGGATCTTTGTTCCCATTTGATCCTGATGTTTCGTCCTATATTGAAAAGAGATTGAGTTACTAGGAAGCAATTTAGAGAGGAAGTAAAATCTACATTGTAGCATAGAAACACAACTAACCTCCGACACCAAGTAATGGCTGACATCAGGAGGAGAAGGAATGTCCTCAACATCATTCTCATACGATATTTCAGCAATCCTTTGTAGCAGGCTATCATCGAAATCCCTGTTACCAAGTTTAAATACAATTTCACCGTCAGAATGTACTAAGGAAGTACCCCTGATCTAGTAGATATGTCAAGGAAACAAAAGCCTTTTTATCAAATAAATCTTACCTGAAAAATCCACCTCTGACACCGCAAGCAACATTTCTGGCAACACACAGCACTGGTGTTGTAGCCGCCTACAGAAAAGGAAACAAGCTATATGAAACACCATTCATTTAAGAGATTCAAGACTATGGGCCCAAACCAAGCCCACAAAGACCCTTGTGTAGAGCTCACGGCAAAAGCTAGCGTATGTGTTACGGTGCGATTAGGTTCTTTAAGGCTTTGATTTGTTTCCTTCTATATGATGTAAGATTCTTTGGAACAAACATTCATATCAGATTTACATGATTCTGCAATTTTCATAACTGATTTCAACCAGAGTAAAATGATACTTACTTCAGCTTGAGGAGAATAATAGGGAGCAAATGCAGGAACAACATGCACCCTCGGCTGATCCTTCTCATCCCAAACTTTCAGCCGATCATCAATTACCAGTGCCATCTTTGGATGGCAGGTTCTATCGAGAAACACATTGAACAGTGATTTTTTCAAACCTGTGGTAGTTAAGTACAAGCTTGTAAGAAACGGTACCATAATGAACAACAAAGCAGTTATATAATTTAATAAAAAGTTTACCAGGTTTCACACAAACAATGCGAGCCAGCAAGTCATTTGAGCTTATCAAATTCCCTTCTGGGTCAAGGAGCCTCCACATCTCCAAGGCGTAATCTCTTTCAGCCATCGTGCAAACATATACTTCAAACCGCTTCCGCCCTTTTGCTGTCAAATATCTTCGAAGTTCTTCCCACGAAGGCCTCATCCTCACAAGAACACTTGTATCACGAATCTGTGTGTAAACATAAGAGTAGAGTCTCAGCCACAGGTGCTCAAGAAAGGAACAAATGAAAACATTATAACTTCAAGACTTGCATACCATTGGATTAATGCGAGTCAGGATAATATTCTTCTCTTGCAACCTTATCAGAGGGCGAGCAATAGGCGGATGGTTGTCAGACAAGGCAGGAACAATCTCAGGCTGCACCTTAATCACCTCCCCGTTTTCAACAACCTGGTCACTTTCAACATACTGCTTCAAAAGGTTTTTGTCATCTTGGTAACGCTTCAACTCGGCCACCATAACGGCCATGCGTTGAGGGTCCACCTCGTTGTTTATCCTGCGCTGCAACACCTCAATCCTATCCTCAAACGAGCGCATGGTGTTCGCCACAACGAGGGTTTCATCAAGATCAAAGACAATGCCAAGGCATCTAAGGTTCAGCATGACAAGACAGGAATCATAAATTCCAGAAGCAACAGTGAACGCCCAGAAGCAAGGACGCTCGTTCTCCACATCTTCTGAGTACATGGCAACCAAATGGAGCTCTTCCTCACCCAGGAGCATTACTGCCGTCTGCAAGAAACAAACAAAAAAAATCCAAAATTCTCAAATGCAATCTCGTTAAGCTGTAAACAAGTTAATCCACTCAATTATGTAACCACACAAGATTCATAAAGGCTCAAAATTGATGCAACTCTGACATTAAGGAAGTCAAATCATCACCCAAAACCCCAAATTTCATTAAGTTTAGTTCATAAAATTCAAGTCTGAGTAGGGCTTAACGGTTTTTCACAAGGTATATAGTTATACCTTGTTCTCCCTGAGGCAGGACGAGTAGAAGAGATTGAGTGGCTTCTGATCAGGATTAGATGAAGCTTCCAATTTGAAACAGAGACCGGAAGATGAAACTGTAGTGAGTACTGAGAGAGGAGGACATCTCTCGCTAGGTTGAGAGAAACGGCTAATTCTGATTCCAATCTTCACTTGCTCCATTACTTCTCTCTGTTTCTTCTTCCTCTGCTTCGTCACATCGTCTTGCTGCTGCGATTCCTTTGGAGAGTATATCTCCAATTCCCCAATTCTCCCATCTTCATGGTACAGTCCTACTCTATTATTACTGTACATATCTTCTTTCTCCTCCCTTCTTAGTTATACAGATCAATGGATGGATGTCTATTGTCTCAACTCTAATTCGTTCATCAAAATCTTTACTTTTTCGTTTCCCGGTTGTCCCTTACCCTGATTGATTTGATTGAATGATGACCAGTCCAAAGAAACAAGTTTTTGAATTGGATCCGAGTTTTTCTTAAGCAGGAATCTGGGAAAAGGAAGCGATTTGATAGATGGGTAGAGGAAAAAGGATGGAGATTTTAGTGTTTGTTTTTTTTGTATATCTTTAAAAAAATTGTCCCTTTTGAATATAGATCTGTGAGTAACCGTCTAACCGATGGTGAATCAAACCCCTAATTCTTCTTCATCTTCTTTCTCCGATGATGAAAGATGAATCTGTTGTTGATAAGGATTGATGGAAACTAGGTTTTTGTGGCTCTTTGTTTTTCGTGTTCTAAAATCAGGAAGCAGAGGCGATATTGTAAGAGAGAAACCCTAGATCCAGAGATAACCAAAGAGTCAGATTTGTGAATACACATTAGCAGCCCTCGTCATTGGGTTTTTAAAGGCAAAACACGAATGTCCCTTCATTTTTTTAACCATTTATTTATTTTTAATACCTATTTTTATGATAATCAAGAAAAAGGCCTGAAAATAGCTTGCGTATCAACTCAAAATCCGTTAAAATTCTGCTGGTTCTCGACTCAAACCGTACTTTTGTGGTCATGTGTACTTTATACTCTCGTTTTCTGATTCCCGATGTAAGAAATTCAGATACTAGAAAGAATGCAGAAGATATTTATTTTTCATAGAAGAATGTTTTGGCTAAACTTTACTTTAGATTTTTGTTACAAAGTCAGTGAACTTTGATTTACATAAATAAAAATTGTTACTATATATAGTTTAAAAATCTAATAACGGTTTTTCAAAAAGCCGTTACGTATTAATATTCGTGGTTTTTCTAATTAAAACTTTTATGTTATTTGTTGATATGTATTTCTCTTTACGCAATTTGTTTCCGAATGGACTTTCCATTTTGGTTAACTAGGTTTATTGGACATTTTCACAATTGTTTCCGTACAACTAGGGCCAAATTCTTATATTTGAAGATTCTGTAGAGGTGACGACGCCGTTTCATTAACGAATTCAAGACTTTAAAATTTAATTTGGATAATAAAATTAATAAGGGATACAATGTTATAATTATACAGTTTTCTAAATAAGAATCTATCAAAATTGAAATCCAAAACTAAACTGACGAAACTAAAGTAGCAATATACCAGAAAATATAAAAACGATAGTTTAAATGGTTTTAGTTGTAGTACATTCCAAAATCTTCATTTTCAATTCTTGCTATATCAAATAAAACGGATTTAAAATATTGGTTGACCAAAATTTGAAATATGAATCGATGAATTTGAAACATGGATCAGTGAATTTGAATCTTTTCCACGGTATTCAACCAAAATTCATCGAATTAGTTTAAAATTTTTAATTTGAAAAACTTTATTACATAGAAAATTATGTGATTGTTGACCAATTGTCAAAATTAGTATATATATGAGTTGAAAATTTTGTTTTGTGTGACTAGAGGTGCAAATGAATGTACATGTAGAAAAACCAAATATGGTGGAATTAGACTTTTCGCTAAAATTCCAAAATCTACATAACTAATAAGGCTTGGACAATCTCCAGTGACACGTGGCACTCTTTTTTTTTTTTTTTTTTTGCCTAACACCAAAACGACGTCGTTTTGCGCTTTATTTTTTTTTTTTTTTCGTCTTACACCAAAACGACGTCGTTTTCGTATTAAAAAAAAAAAATCTAAATCAAAATTATGTGTAATGCTGTTCGTTTTGATGGGCTTGATTATTTATCGGACCTCTTCGTTTCCATGGTAGCTTTAAATGGGCTTACTGGCTAATTAGCTCATTTCATTTCCTTTTAAAAAGGATTGCAATTATTATTATCTATGAGTCTGTAGGATAATAATCAATCTATAATGATTGTTAGTATAAGGAAAATTAGAAGAACTCAACTCCAGTCGATAAATTATTGTATAAAAGAACAAAAAACATATGAAACTATTCACTATGAGTCTATATAAGATTTCACGTAAATAACAACTAAATTTTAAAACTATATGAAAAAAAACAAAATGCAAAACTTACAGAATCTAATATATTCGAGTAAAAAACAAATGATATATTCGAATCTAATGTTCTGAATAATTAAATTAAAAATATTTGGTTTAATAAACCCGCGCATTGCGCGGGTTCTCTCCTAGTTTTCTATAAAATTAGTGGAAAATAATTTCAACTACTCTGTTGTAAATAATTGAATTTGGGTGCAAATGGTAATGCATAGGTAGAATAAACGGAATAAAAGGAATATTGGTTAGTGGAATAGCAATTAGAGGAATAAGATAAGTTAGGGCCTGATTGGTTGTGGTTGTAACTTTGAATCTTTTGCTGTAGAAATTATGCTGTAGAATTTTTGGCTGTGATTATAGATTTTAGTGTTGTAAGATTTTTTATTGTAGATTGTGGCATTAAATACAATATTAAAACAAAAAAATAAGATATAGAAATAATAGATTAAAAAATAAATGTTGAAAACATAATAAGGAAAGAGAAAAGAGAAAATTCTAAGAGCACTTAATTTTGTGCTTTAGAAAAATTGCTTTTCAAAGCCACGGAATTTCCATAAACAAAAAAAATTGCTCTACATTTCAAAAATGGAAAGAAATGCAATGAGAGCTTGATTGGTGATTTTGGATTGTTGTACAGAGATTTAGTGCTTTGGAGAGCAATCACACTTCCTATCAATCATCCTCTTAATGTGAGTTGCGCTAGTTTTTATTCCTCTCATTATTGGAAGCGAAACAAATTCAGCAGAATAAAAGTTATTTTTCATCTTTTTAGTGGGTCCTACATAATTTAGCGGAATACTATTTTTTTGTTAAATGGTGATTTTTTAGAGGAATGTAAGGGAATAATCAATTCCATCTAATTTTATTCCGCTAATGTGTCAACCATTTGCACTCTTTGTTCATATTCATGCTAAAAAATAATTATCTACTATTTTGAAGAGAAATTAGTAGAATAAAAATATTCCTCAATCATATACCTTTTCCACAAATTTGTATTATACTCATTTTTATTCCACGAACACTCTCCTATTTTTTTTTTTTTTTTGAACTAGGTCGATCAATCAATGTATAAACTGAAATAAAATCGCTGTAAAAAAAAAAAAAAAACTGAAATAAAATGTAACTTCTAAATGTCCAGGGCTCCAGGCCCAAACGATGATCAAATCGATCAGCCATGAACCGAAAAATTATAAACTAAACCGAATTGTGCCAAACCGAACCCAAAAGAGGATCGAAGATAATTATACCATTTCCCAGTGGACTCCGCTCGTATATATGAGCTCGATATCCTTCTTCTCCTGTGTTGTTCTCTAACTCTCTTCCCATCACCGACTCCTGAGACTTCACCCAATATGACCGCCGAAGCAACCGTCGTTCACAATAACGGCGTCGCTCTCAACGGAGATGCCTCAAATGGTAACATTACCGCTTCCTCTAAGAAGTCCCGCGAGAGCGACCGTCGACGCCGCAGGCGGAAGCAAAAGAAGAACAACAAAGCGTCTAAGGCCGATGTAGAAGAAGCAGACGTTTCCGCTACTTCTGAGTCTAAGGAGAGCGTAGATCCGCAGCCACAGGTCAGCTTTGTGCTCTTTTTTTCTCGCACTCTATTCATGGGATTGAGTTTCTAGGGTTTACAAAGTTTTTGTGATTGTTTTGCGAAATTTTGATTCGTATTGATTTCTGTTTCTGATTTTTGTTCTCTGATAGGTGTCTGAGCAGATTGTGATAGAGTATGTTCCTGAGCAGCCCGAATTTGAAGATGGTGACGATGAATTTAAGCAAATCTTCGAGAAATTCAACTTTCGGGAACCTGTTGCCTCTGAGGTACGACTCTTTTGACTCTTTGGCGTGACTGAGAAAGTTCAGTAAATGCTTGAACCTTGACAAAACTGTTGTTGCTTGATTATAGGACGACGCTAAGAAGGATGAGTCTGGGGAGAAAGAAGATGTAATGAAGAAAGCCAATTCAGATTCAGATTCAGACGAGGAAGAGAAGGATGACCAACAAAAAGAGAAAGGAGTTTCTAATAAGCAGAAGAAGGTCTAATCTCAAAGCTAATTATTACTATCTCATGACATGGTTTCCTTGCATTTTATTAGATTCTTAAAATCCTGAGTTTCTGTTTTCTCAGCTTCAACGGAGGATGAAGATTGCTGAGCTGAAGCAGGTATCCGCTAGGCCTGATGTCGTTGAGGTAAGGATGCATCTATATTTTGTCACAAGTTCCAATTAGGGATATTGAAAGCTGTATCTGATGTTTTCGTTTGTCCCTATAGTTGGTACCTGTTTGTTTGCATCTCTCCGGAGTAACATCTCAACTTTCCTTCATTCATGACCACCTTACTCTGCATTCATATTCTGCTGTTTTCATCATTGAACTATAGGTTAAGAATCACGATAGGATGCGTGAGTGAGTGTTTCGTATAGTATATCAGTTTGATCTTTACAGATTTGATTATCCTCTAAGACCCTAGAATTTCACCTTTTTAAATGTTTACATGTTATGGTCTCGGTTGCATCGCATCCCATATCTTTCTAAGGGAAATCTGAAGTTCGTTGTGTAGCTCTCTGTAATTTATTCCTAACTTCTGTTTTAATGTTTTCAGGTCTGGGACGCTACTTCAGCAGATCCAAAGTTGTTGGTGTTTTTGAAGTCGTATCGGAATACAGTTCCTGTTCCAAGACATTGGTCCCAGAAGAGAAAATATTTGCAGGTTTGTGATATTTTAAGTAATGGTGCTGTAGTTAATAGTTAAAAATATGTTTCTGTGATTTGTGGGTGTGGCACATAGGGGAATGATATAAACAGGGATAGAACTCGTCATGTCAATTAAGTTTCCTTATACCTATATATGTGCTTCTTGCAGGAGAACGTCTGTGATAACCATGGAGCCTGGACTTGTAGGTGTAACCGAAGAGGATTCTTGATTATATTTGTCTATATATGAATTCTGTGGTGCTTAGGTTTTGTAGACGTTTAATTCTTATGAGAAAAATGTTTCATGTATCAGCTGGGTGTGGGATATTCCCTTTCTAAGCCTCTACTTTTTGTTTTCGTATGCATTTTAGTGATCTTGCTTTTAGATGCATCTGGTTTTGTAGTACTCTTAGGATTCAGTCAAGTTTCTTTGCATTTAAGGCTATTATATTGCTTGCTTTCTATTTCGTAAGTTGGTGGCATCTCAGCGGGGTTTCAATTTTGCAGGGAAAGCGTGGTATAGAGAAGCAGCCATTTCATCTTCCTGATTTCATTGCTGCAACCGGGATTCAGAAAATTAGAGAGGTATCTTGTCGAGGACCACATGATTTTACTCTTCTGTTTACCTGCACATACATCCTCTGTGAGAGCTAATTCTTTTGTTTGTTCTTGTGCAGGCTTACATTGAGAAAGAAGATGGTAAAAAGCTGAAGCAAAAGCAACGGGAGCGTATGCAACCAAAGATGGGGAAGATGGACATTGACTACCAGGTTTACCTTTATAAATATTTAGTTATCTTGTTCTGAGCATTTGTTGGTATTCGTTGTATAACTTATAACTGAATATATACGTTCTTGTCTCAGGTCCTCCATGATGCATTCTTCAAATACCAAACAAAGCCTAAGCTGACAGCTCTTGGTGATTTGTATTTTGAAGGGAAAGAGTTTGAGGTACTTCCTTGTGACAGTTTTTACATCTTTATCCATTATTACATTGCATGCTTTTATTGCTTTGTGTACCTGAATCTAATTACAATCATATGGGAATTAGATTAAACTGAGGGAAACGAAACCAGGGACTTTGTCACGTGAGCTAAAAGAAGCTCTTGGCATGGGTGATGATGCTCCTCCCCCGTGGCTAATTAATATGCAGGTGAGTTTATTGTGGCTTGTCTTTATGATTATTGAAATTGAAATGGAGTTAATCACCCTTTAACCCTTCTTCCAACAGAGATATGGTCCTCCCCCTTCTTACCCACATCTGAAAATTCCTGGTCTTAACGCTCCTATTCCAGTTGGAGCTAGCTTTGGTTATCATCATGGTGGCTGGGGGAAACCTCCAGTTGATGAAGTAAGTATTTTATCTACATTCTTCTTTTAGTTACTTTCTTTGCCATTTGTTAACATTTTCTTGGGTTGCTTCACATTGTTTGTGTTATATAGTTTGGGCGTCCGTTGTATGGAGATGTCTTTGGTGTCCAGCAACAAGACCAGCCAACTTATGAGGTAATTGCTCTCATCTCTCTCTGTTCTTCTCCTAAGTAATAATAGCATATAGTACTCTGTTTCAAAATTCTGTATGAAGGAACCCAGCTAAACGAGTTGTTGGTGTGGTATTACATGTGAATTGAAACTACAGAGTTGAATATTTTGCGATCATTAAATTTGGTGACATAATATGATGGTTGTTCTTTTATAATCATCTTAGGATGAGCCTATTGATAAGAACAAGCACTGGGGTGATTTAGAGGAAGAAGAAGAAGAGGAGGAGGAGGAGGAGGAAGAGGAACAAGACGAGGAGATGGATGAAGAGGAACTAGAAGACGGCATTGAATCGGTGGATACACTGTCAAGGTATTGTTTTGCCTTGAGCTGTATACATTGGCGATGTGAATTTGTATTTGTTTGCTTATCATAGAATATAAATATGAGACTGAATGATATTTTTCCCCTTCTTTTCAGCACTCCAACTGGCATAGAGACACCAGATGCAATTGAACTTCGTAAAGAACAGAGAAAGGAACCCGAGAGACCTCTATATCAGGTAGGAGAAGACCTAATTTTGATATTTCACTGTTAACTATAACTTTGGTTTGGTTCGGTTCTGTAATGCTGCTCTTTTTTAATTCTGAAGGTGCTTGAAGAAAAGGGAGAGAGTGTTGCTCCTGGAACATTGCTGGGAACCACTCACACATACGTTATCAAAACTGGTACTCAAGACAAGACGGGAGCTAAAAGGGTAAGCAAAATATGTGCTTAGATTACCACCAATGATGTGATTATGAGAAATGCTGTTTTATACACTTGTTAGCAAATATTATATGGCTAATTGTGTGTATTGGACCAGGTTGATTTGCTTAGAGGGCAAAAGACAGATCGTGTGGACATCAGTTTGCAGCCAGAAGAGCTGGACGCGATGGAAAATGTTTTGCCTGCCAAGTAAGCACTTTGTTGATTGTAAATCCCTAGATGAATTCGTAAAAGATAAAACTGTAAAATAGTTAATAAACGCTTCGTTTTGACTGTTTGAAGGTATGAGGAGGCAAGAGAAGAGGAGAAACTGCGCAATAAGCCAGAAGATTTCAGTGACATGGTTGCTGAGGTAACGGACTGTCGATATATTTCTGTCTTTTAACGCTAATATGATATGTATGAATGCGGATGATTAACCTTTAACTTGGTGGAACTGTGTGTTACAGAATTCGAAGAAAAGGAAGCGTGACAAGGAAGGGAAGAAAAAGAAAGATTTCAAGTTCTGAGGTAGCTTCCGGTTCCATTGAAGATGGAGAGAGAGCGAGATTCATGTTGCAGAGAATGTGTTTGGGTTTACATAACACTTTTAGAGGGAGTTGAGGTAGTAGAAATCTAAATGCTATGGATTCCAATCTGTGTGTTTTGTTACCTGCCTGAATCAAAGCCTGACTAAAACTCTTTACTAAGAAAATACTGAGAAAAATCGTCTTGTTTCGTCGTTTTTGTTTAAATCGTCCAGAAAATCTCGTCTTGTTTGGGGAGATTCCTTGTTTTTGATCAAATTTATATTTTTATAGCAAAATATAAACTATGTTCTACGATCATAAACTAGGTGCTACGACTAAACATGATCTGTTTTTACATAACACTTTTAGGAGACAAATGATTTGACAACACGTCATTCTAGCAGAGCAATAAAACGGTGACATGTGGAAGGATACGACGGCCAATAATGGTACTCCTTTCCCCTACCACATGACCATCATGACTTTGCCTCTGTTGACCATCCTTCCAAGTTTCAACATCTCCTTTTCTTCTCACTGATTAATCAATTTTTTTTTTACCAATGGCTTTTCTCACTGATAAATCAATCATCTTCCAAAAGTAAAACTATCAATTCAAAAATGGCAAAAAATTGACCAACTTCATAATGTTAATATAAAAATTTAACATTTTTTTAACAATGTCAGTGTCGCTTTAACACCTGTAAAACAACTGAATCTTGGTAGGACGTTATCAAATATATTAAAAATTGATATAGTGTCTCTTAAGGTTGAAATGAGAGAGATTTAGCTTTACCACATATCAAGCCCCAATCATATGTGTGTGTGTGTAAAGGCCTTCCAGGTTTTAAGCTTAGTCGATTTAGCTGTTACAATGATTAGTGTTTGCAGTTTTGCTTGGACCGAGTTTTTCGTGTTGAGTCTAACCAAATATAATGGTGAATAGTTATCTTAGGATTTCTAGTTTTAATAACTACTAGGTGATTCTCATGCAGCACTAATACTTTTTAGATTTTTAAAAATATTATTAGGACAAAAAAAAAGTTTATTATATAGCACCACAGAAATTAAGTTATTAAACTGTTTCAAATGTAAAAATGTTTCAGATTCCCGCGTTATTACCTAACCAGAAATCTTTCGCATAAACACACACATTACTCTCGAGTTTGATAGTTTCATTTTTTTTTTAATTTTTATATAATTACTCTGAAATGAAAGTTTGAATTGGATACTTTTTTGCATTTTACAATTTGAATTCAGTCATTACTTTTATCTCTATTTTCCAACATTTGATTGCTCTTTCTGCACAAATCCATTTCATGTTTCCCATTTAAAGACAAAGTGAATCCCTAAACTATTTCATATTCACAAATAATTGATTGATGAGCTTTTTGCACCAAAGTTCACTCCTGTGCATCTGATCAAACACATGGAAACAACCCATTGAAAATGCTCCATTCAAACTCAAACTCCACGTTCAGCAGGAAAACTTCTTTCCCAAATATCACATCTGTCGACATTTTTTCTTCTTCATAATAATATCATTATTCGTTTTCCAAAAACTCAGATCATGCACAGATTTGCATTTTCTTTTTTTGGCTTCTTCTTAATTTTTGTTTTTGTCTTCATGGTTTATGTTTTTTTTTTCTTGTTATTGGGGCTCTCTTTCTTTTTCACACATAAAAAATCAAATGCGATTTGCATTTTCTTAAGTGATTTTGAGATAAAAAAAAAAACCTTTGAAAGCATGGTGACATTTTCTTCTCGATGATGGAAATGTGATTGTATGAATGGGAAATACCCAATTAGATACTTCCCATGCATATCATAATTTCAACATTATTTACCACCACAGAAGATCTTTATTACATAGTGGTTGTTAGTCAATTTTATAAAATAATATTTAGATCTATTGTAATCAAATTGCAAATAAAATCAATCTAATAACATATGGTTGAGTACAGATTTATATAGATTAACATATACCCGTAAATGAAAAGGTTTAAATCTGTTTGCTCCTGTCTTTCGGTTTATGGGTCCTATCATGATATTAACGTATCTCTCACATTCCTAAGTACCTCAGTTAACTAACAAACTAACTAACTAACCAACTGAATTATATAAATATGATTATTTGATTAATCTTATAGTCAATTAAGAATATTTAATTAGGTAAAAAAAATTATACATTTCTAGTAGAAAAGTGTATCCAAAATGGCGGGGAAAACGTTTTGGTAGTTTATAACCGTACAGAAGAGATAAAAAGCAGTCTGATTCGAAATGACCCTACCCGGTAAAAATCGAATAACATGATTGCTTAAATTGCAGACTTTTTCTTATTTTTCCAGAGTTGGAATCCTATTTTCATTATAATGTAAGTGTCTAACCCTAAAACAAAGATTAAGTAAAGTGTAAAACCAAACGAATCTGGATGAGGTTTGTTAATTTTTTCCAGAGTTGGTAGGGTATGATAAAAAAAACCAGAGATTTAAATTAATGATAAAACCAAACATAAACAAATCAAAATCGAACCAAATCTACAATTGAATCTAAACCGATTTCGAGTCATGAACCCGTGACAGACACAACACAGAGCATGAAGCAGTAATCCACGTAACCACGTTATACCAAATCGGATTCTGGAACTGAAAACCACAAGAACTTGGGATTACCTTGGCCTCTCTCCATTTCCAACTTCTTCTATTTTTTCTTCATCATCTGTAAAAGGACTTCTTCATGACACCAACATGGGCAGTGAAGCTATCATCGGCGTCCTGGATTCTGGTCTCTCTCTCTCTCTCTCTCTCTCACACACACACATTAGGTTAGTAACTATAGGAATATGGCCAGAGTCAAAGGCAGTCAACGATCAAGGCTTTGGACCAATACCTAAGCGCTGGAGAGGAAAATGTAAATCAGGAGAATGGTTTAACGCCACAATTCATTGCAACAAGAAGCTAATAGGAGCCAAGTACTACCTCAAAGGCCTACTCGCCAAGGTTGGAGGGACATTTTCAACAGATCAATAATCCCAGATTATAAATCTGCCAGAGATGCAAACGGCCATGGCACGCATACAGCCAGCATAGCAGGTGGCTCGTTCGTCCCCAACACCAGCTACTTCGGTCTAGCCGGAGGTACTGATATATAGCCCACACTGACATTTGGATTGTATTCACCACAACTGTTAACTTAAGAGTCAAGGTACACATAACTTGTTTACTACCTAACTGATGTGAGATTCTTTTAAGGTACGGTCCGGGGCGGTGCTCCTCGGGCCCGCATAGCTTCGTACAAGGTATGTTGGAACGTAATGGGAGTCTACGGAAGAGGAAAAAGATGCTCAACTGCTGATATCTGGAAGGGCTTTGATGACGCTATACATGACGGAGTTGATGTTTTGTCGGTTTCTCTCGGAACGACTATTCCTGAGGGTTCCGAGGTCGATAATGTGGCGGCTTTTCACGCGGTGGCTAAAGGGATTCCGGTTGTGGCCTCGGCGGGTAATGAAGGGCCTGGTGGTCAGACTGTTGTCAATGTTGCTCCTTGGCTCTTGACCGTTGCTGCAACTACTCTCGACCGGTCTTTTCCTACGAAGATCACACTTGGGAATAATCAAACCTTGTACGTAAGTTTTGTGCCCAAAAACAAAAAAACTCAAATTGGTTTTGAGAAAAGTGGTTCCAAGTTTCAATACCTTTTGACCAAAAGCTCAAATTAGTGTAGAAAAAGTACTTCAAAGTTTTGACCTTTTATCACCAAAAACTGAAATTAGTCAAAAGTTTGGGTATTTTATAACTTTTTCGTTTTTTTTGTTGGTGTCTAATTAGGCTGAATCTCTCTTTACTGGACCGGAGATCTCAACCGGTTTAGATTTCGTGGACTCGCGCAGTCACGACGATAGTGTTGATGTGAAGGGAAAAATAGTTCTTTTTTACGATAAGGTTACTTCAGTTGCAAGGAACGGAATGGGTGTCATCTTAGCACGAAAGCCCGACGATAATCTTTCTCCATCCCATTCTTTACCGTTAGTCTTCACAGACTACGAGACTGGAACCGACATTTTAGAATACGTACGTACCACAAGGTCCCTTTCTTTAAGCCAAAACAACTCTGTTACTTATTTCTTCATATATACATCAATCTGACCCGTCAAGCCAACAGATCACCAACGGAGAGAACTGAGAATAAGTGCGGCTACTACACTAACCGGTCAGCCTGCAACGACTAAGGTTGCTGCATTCTCGTGTAGAGGCCCTAATTCAGTTTCACCAGCCATTCTCAAGGTGGTTTATCAAAACAATGTTGTCTCTTAGTTCAAAAGCTGCCAACCTTTTTGAGTAAACTTATTAAATAATTGGTCTCTTTTTTTTTCTTACTTTTGTAGCCTGATATAGCAGCTCCTGGTGTGAGTATACTCGCGGCAATAAGTCCGAAAAATCCTGATTCGCACAACGGATTTGGACTCGTTTCAGGGACATCAATGTCGACTCCTGTTGTTTCCGGAATCGTAGCTCTCCTCAGATCTCTACACCCTAAATGGTCTCCTGCTGCTATTAGATCAGCTTTGGTCACAACAGGTTCTTCTTCGTCCCGTCCTTCTTCTTGTTGTTGTTCATCAACTGTTATCCGACTGATCATATTTCTCTTGTAGCTTGGAGAACAAGTCCATCCGGAGAACCCATTTTCGCTGAAGGATCAAACAAGAAACTTGCAGATCCATTTGACTATGGAGGAGGACTTGTAAACCCTGAAAAGGCTGCAAAACCAGGACTTGTCTACGATATGGGGATCAAAGATTACACCAACTACATGTGTTCCGTGGGTTACAAGGACTCCTCTATCTCTAGTGTGCTCGGTAAAAAGACTAAGTGCCCAACTCCTAGGCCATCAGTTCTTGATTTCAACTTGCCTTCAATCACAATTCCAAATGTTGAGCAACAAGTCACTCTCACAAGAACCGTAACCAACGTTGGACCTACCAAGTCAGTCTATAAAGCAGTGATCGAGTCTCCTCTCGGTATAACTCTCACCGTGAAACCTACCACACTCGTGTTTACTTCAGCTAAGAGAGTGCTCACTTTCACGGTGAAGGCTAAAACGAGTCATAAAGTCAACACTGGCTACTTCTTCGGAAGCTTAACATGGACCGATGGTGTTCATCATGTCAAAATCCCTGTCTCTGTTCAGACAAAGATCATGGTCAAGCCGTAACAAGACTGTCTAAGAAAATAAATGCTCTAGATCGATTCCGTGTAATAAAAAGAGCCATATGATGCTCTAATGGTCTTTGTTGTTATGTAATTTGATGCAAGTTTTCAGTTCAAAATGTCGAGTCAAGATCACTATGATAAAGACAAAAAAAAAAAACTTAAAATCTCTGACACAAACACACAAATTGAGAAAACTGTAACGTTTCCTCATTTATTCATCACACACTCATAATATTACGCATATAAAAACTTGCTACGATCGAATCGAGACAAAAGGATCCTTATGATCATCAACTATAGCTACAACAACATAGCAATATATAATCATCATAATGACTATATATTATAAAAAGATGGGATTTTTTTAATTTATTTTTAACAGTAAGCGATACACTTCCTCTTACAATCCATGGTGCATCCACCTCCGCCGCCACCACCGCCGTATCCTTTCCCGGAGCGGCTAAAAGAGGTGAAACACTTGGCCGGACACCTCAGCTTCTTTCCACGACAAGGTCCTCTCTCTCTGCAAGTCACCGTCGGCCTTACCACACCTCCTTTCCCGAATCCGCCGCTCGGACCACCGAACCCTCCGCCGTAACCACCGCCGACTCCGTTCCCCGGAAACCCGTTTCCGAATCCGGGTATTCCAGCAAATCCGGATCCGGGTATACCGCCGAATCCCACACCATCGTTCCCGTTCTTCTGACGAGCTGATTCAGCTGCAGAGACGAAGATGACGATGAGAAGGAAAGCTAAAAGGATCGATTTTGTAAACATTTTTTTGGTCTAAGTGGGTTTGTTGAGGAGATGGTTAAAAGTTTGGTTTGAATATAAATAGAGATGGAGCATTAAATTGGGGGAAGATATGAAATACAGTTAAGGCATTGATTCGTGGACTTTAGTGTGTATGATCACTTTAATGCCGCACTTTGCATGAAAGACTCTTGTGTCTCTCTCTCTCACTATCTCAATATCTCTCTATGACTCTATCACTTCCGTAACTAGTTGAGACACTGTACAAAAAAATATACATCACTTGGCGACATTTAATTTAAGCATGTGTTGTGATTCAAGTCGATAGATCTTTTAAACTTTAAATTATGTTTTTAAATCTTGGAGGGCTTTTGACAGATGTTTTCACGATAAACCAAGGATAAAAAAATCTACCGAAAGTTGGGTGAAAGTCGATTAAGTTCAAGTCTACTGATTAAGTTGGGCGAAATACTGAAATTCAATTCAGGAGAGATTTGTCAATGGATTTCCAAAGTCTACTGTATTGAGATTTTATTTTTCTTAACAAATTACCCATCGTTATGATCTTTTATAATTTTGTTTATTTATGATCTCTTTTTCTTAAGAAACTATCTAGCAAATTATCCCCATGGTTATACATTCAATTTGTGTATGGTGTTAAACTGTTAATAGTCATATTTGTATCTCTATTTATTACCAAACACAACCAATTACTTAGCAACTGTTTTATATTTCACAAAAGAAACTTGTGGTGGTAATAATTTAATCTGCTCCATAAGGCCCACTCACTCATTAATTCAACCCAACTATATAATTCTAGTCATAAATCAAAATCTCTGCAGGTCAGATTAAAAACATTTTGTGTCCAAGGTTTCAATAAACCCAGGGTTGATTAACTAGACTCCACATTAAATTGGCTTTGTTGACAAGTTGGTTCATCACACAGACTTTGTTACTCCTCCTCTCTGTATTGAGGACCCACCATAAATATATTCATATGAAAGAATAAATTAGTTTTTATATATTTGGATAAGAGTCCATGTATGGTTTCCACTTAACTTTTACGACCAAATTATTGAACTTCATTGACAAATTTGGCCAAGTAGGCTACTAGTTACTCTAGTTACTAGTTAGATTCACCTGTGAAAATGAATGGTTTTATTTTGTTATTTGTGTGTTTGTTTATATTGGACCAGTACGGAACTCAACTTTTAATGGTTGCACACATCACTATTATAGTATTATGTGAAGACAAACCACATAATCTTTCTGTCAGAATACCGTAAAACTAAAGCATGAAAGTTAAAAGAGTAAATTACAAGTGAACAAGTTTCTCAAAGAATGGCAATTAAAGATGGTGTGGTTTTGACTTTTGTCTCATCGCATCTATCCTCGACTTTATGATAAGTTTTTTCATCAAACCGGTCCAAAATCGACCCATAATCCGGTTCAAGCCTAGTCCTGCTCACCGGACACTGCTGAAAGTTTTGAGTGGTCCTTGCTGCACAGACCATGGAGGTCGTTTGTTGTTCTCCTGAAATTTAACACAGTAAACAAATGATTGATTCATCAGAAGATTACTAACTCAGATGTCGAAATGTATATCTAGTCTTTCAAACAGTTTTCAGTTCACAAAGTAATAGGATTCAAGCAGACACAATTGCCTTCGTCCACATGATGAAACACAAAAGGATCAGTATTAAGGGTTTTAAGAGATCAAACACCAAAGCTTTTAGCTTTATCCATCACCGAAGAAACCAAAACAAAACCAACCATGTATACGTGACTGGAAATGGAATTTAAAGCAAAATTGGAAGGTCACATACGCTGATATCTGTGAGAGAATTGCAGGAGGAACATCTAACACATGGAGCTCCATAAGGATACATCAGCAGCAGTTTGCAGTTACTGCAATTCACCTGACCAACCTGGCAAGCTGCAAACAAAGAACGACAGAGTCCAAAACCGATAAGAGGAGGAGAAAAGGCATTTTCATCAATTTAAAGAGAGGTTGTTTGTATATAGGGAAACAATTAATGATGGACTAGAGACGAGTAATTCTTAAACTATCTTAAGCTTGGTTATAACTTTTAAGATCACACAAGTTCACCAAAAGTGGTAACTGTAGAGGATAAAGATCACATAAATGGTCTATAAAAAGAGCAATTATGATGAAGAATCCAAGCTTAAGTTAGTTCTTGTTTCAGCTAAGCTATCATTCTCATTTGAATGAATTATGAATCTACATACAATTCTCAGGAGATTTTACACAAGAGACAATGGATTTGAGCAATGTTGACTAAGAAAGAAGTGAAACCAACCATAAAACATAGAGATATATCACTGAGCGTTCCCAAGATTCTTCATTTTGGCAGTTTCATTCAAGTCAACAAAGATTATTAACAAAAGCTTTAAGATGACGAGTAAGAGATAAGAAGCCATGGAAGGACCTTCAAGAACGAGATTAACAGTCTGGCAGCAGGAGCATTTGACGTGCTTGGTTCCTCTTAGATACGAAAGTAAACGCCTGCAAGATCCACATACCATTTGCGCCTTCTCTGCAACTCAAAAGAGAAACAAAATATGCACAACAATCTTCAATCATTCGCCAAAAATCGACAATGGGTTTCCCCAAAATTTACTCAAAATCGCAAATTTGATTGAAAAACCCTATTTGCGTAGATTAATAGAATACCGGGAATTTCGGCGGTGGTAGTTGAGGGTTTTACGGCGGCGGTGACGGTGGTGATCGGAGGAGGAGAGAAAGGCGGAGGAGGAAGAAGAACGGCAGATTCCCATCCCGGAGGTGGACCTTCCTCCTCTTCTTCTTCTATTACTTCACGGTGATTCAGTTCTTCCTTCTTCTGCGTTTGAATCCCTTCCATCACGCCTTCCGTCTCGGCTCCGGCGAAGATCACTCTCTCTCACAAAATGATAGCCAAGTTTTTAAATTTTAACTCACAGTCCCTTTTCTTTTTCTCTTTTACTTTTTAAACTTTCCCAGAGCGTTGACCAAGAATTGACCTTTTTCTTTGACACACAATACTGTACATAACAATACAATCAATACTTGGGCCTAGTTCAGCCCATTTAGTTTTCTTGCATATGAAAATCAAGGAAAGGAAAAGAGATCAACACAAAACTGGCTTCGACGTTCCTAGGGTTTGTAAAAATCCATAATGAAAAATTTGGAGCAGCAGTTCTCGGAGAATCTATCAGTCACCTCCATAGATGAAACACAGTCTTCCAAGCCGGTAAGAGAATACTACTCAGTCTCGATCCCAGTTGATCGATATATTCTCTAGACTCCCTAGAAAGTCTATAGATAGGTTTCGTTGTGTATCGAAGTTCTGGGGATACATACTCTGTCGTCCTGATTTCACTGAGCTGTTTCTAACCAAGTCTTCCACTCGTCCACGGATCCTTTTCACCGTAGAAGTTAAAGGCAAGTTATTATTCTACTCTTCACCTCAGCCTCAAAATCCAGATGATAACTCTACTCTTGTAGCCACACGTTATGATACGTCTTTTCCCAAATATGTTCCATCTGATCGATGTTCTACTGTCTGTGGATTGGCCCTTCTTCATAGTTATATTAAAAGACAGGGGCGGGTGTTTTGTAACCCTGTCACGGGAGAGTTCATAACCTTACCCAAACTGCTTCTGAAAGACAAAAGCACCTTACCCCAAGTGAAAGCTAAGAGTAGTAACCCCAACACAGAAGCGAAAGCTAGGATTTCAAGAATATGTCTTGGCTATGATCCGATCAGCAAACAGTTCAAAGTATTGTGTGTGATCTCATCACGTGGTGGAGGACCCAATACTCATCAGGTTTTGACATTGGAGTCTGGAAAACGTTTGTGGAGAAGGATCGAATGCCAGTTTCATTTTACGGAGAGTCATCGTATGTTTGATGAAATATGCATAAATGGTGTTTTGTATTTCAGAGCTAAGATGAGACAATCTTCTGTGATAGTTTGCTTCGACGTTAGGTCTGAGAAATTCAGCTTTATCAACTTAGACAAAGACATGGGAGGAAAGAAGGGTTATTACGCTTGTGGTGAGATGATTTTGTTCAAAGGTAAATTAGGTATACGGAGGGAGAAGATTATTGGAATTCAGATAAAGAACTTGTGTTGTGGGTTGTAGAAGATGCTGGAAATCACAAATGGTCAAAGCATACCTACAATTGCCTCGTTTAAGCAGCAGTAAACGGTTTGTTGGAATGACTGGTACAGGTGACATTGTGTTCTTGTCGTTCCCGTACGACGACCGATCAAAGCTTTACTTTGTTTACTTCTTCAATCCCGAGAGGAAAACCTTTGCAAGAGTCAATGTTCAGGGATTTGAAGAGTTTGAGAATCGTATACTATTGCATCTTTCTAGACTATGTGGAGAATCTGAAGTTTATGTAGTTAAGTGTGTTCAATATGATTTCATATACATTATTTACTTGAGGTTTTATGTTTTGGATTTAAACTCTACTTTATGATAATGTTCTAAATTTTTGATTTCAGCTTTACTAGTTTTTAAATTTGCAAAGTGAAAGTAAAGCCTCTTGACTTTTATTGAATCCTATGCATAACCAAAATTCAGGTCTGAAACTCTCCCTGAGAGTACCAATGAGATTGTTCTCCGACGAAAATATTCAACTCCTCTGATTTTTATTCTTTTGCAAAAAAAAAAAGGGTCAGTTTTCATACAATACACAAACATGCGGACCTAAAATGGAATATATCGATATAGGTGTGTTAGATTTGATGTGTAACCACGAGGTTAGCTATGTTCATGTTTGGATTATGAAGAGTTCTTGGAGTGGGACTAAGCTGTTTAGAGACGTCTTAGTACTAACTCCCTCCAACCAATATATGTTATTTGTGTATAGAAGATGTGTGCTCCTTCTCTGTAGAGTTAGTTCCACGACCAAAACACAGCATAATGTAAATGAGTGAATACAGCAATCGTATGTGTATAAAACTCTACGTACACATGATTCCTATATCTTATGTTCTCTGTAGGTAGAACTTATCTTTTGATGGGAATGAAATACAGACCCACGGCTTAAAGAAGAGATGTCTTGCTCTAGGAACAGATTGATTGGCGAACTAGTATGTATAGAGGTTTTTATCATTATGTTAATGTTAACCCTATATATGGGTCTTATTCTCTTGTATCAATAACACAATTCAATAATATATTTACCCTTCTATAATATTTGTCATGGTATCAGAGCAGGCGATCTTTGAGGATCAAGTTTAAAGCTTCCGCATGATGACTGAAGAAGAGTCCGACGATGATGATCGGACGTAGTTTGTGTTCTTACTGCGTTACAAAAGTTTTCTTAATTTCCTTTTCTTTTTTAAGTTGGTTTTTATATTTTATTAGTAATACGTGGTTTTTGGTTTTATTGCTGATTTTCTTTTATTTTATTTGTTTGATACAAGACTTGAGAGTTATTAAGATAATCTTCTGATTAAGGGTTGTGGTTTTCATGGGTTTATTAGTTTAATTTTTTGAGATTGATTCTTAAGTTTAGAATTTCTCAAATTTTCTTTTTAGTTTCTCCTATTACGGGGGAGTTTGGTTATGGGTTAGGGATTTTTATTGGAGCGCTCATGTTTTTAGGTCATTTATTCTTAGTCCAATTTATGGGCTGTCCGCGACAAGGACGATTATTTGTGGAATTGCAGGATTTTGCTTCCACGGGATGTTATTATTCCCTTTCTTTCAAGACCAAAGACGAGCATGTTCCATCCCTATTGACTTGTATTGCCATCCTCGACATGATTGTCCACGACATAGGTGTTCCGCATTGTGACTGCAGATTTTGCGTTTCGCGTCCACCTTTGTCGTGCGGGGGAGTATTGGAGATATCTTGGTGAGCAAGGCGAACCAAGTATTGTGGGCCATTGAAGCCCGTTTATGAAGTGAAGCCCGTGAAGCCACATGGAAGAATATTCTAGAGAAATCCTATTGTGATAAGGATTAGGAAGATTTACATTATTTGGTGTTATCATTATGTTAATGTTAACCCTATATATATGGGTCTTATTCTCTTGTATCAATAACACAATTCAATAATATATTTACCCTTCTATAATATTTGTCAAACAAATCCGTAATCAGAGCAATGAGATGGATTAGAGTCATAGAGAAACATTAAAACTGAACATGAAACAAATCATAATCACCAATAGAATAATATTATCAACCTCATTATGTATGACTAACAATCTTATACAACCAAACACAACTTAAGGTGTAACTGAGTGAATATAGTATATGTATGAACTCTTTTGAGTCTTTGTATGTTGCTACATACGGTTTTTCTTTTATTTCAAGTTTGAACCAGTTTTGCAACATTTCTTAGCGGATCAATTTCGCTATGCTTTTGTTCAATTTATAAATTAATAAGAAACGAAGAATATAATTAATTTACAGGACTATAAATGGTGAAATGCAATTGCTCCAAGAAGTTTTATCGATAGCACAAGATTGATGTGTTTATATACTGCTGAGCTTTTGAGGGATCTAAATTTTGGAAATTCAGAGTGTTGTTCCGAGTGTATGAAAATTCTACAAGGGTAGGTTAGGTTTATTTGAGTTTGAGGAAACAGCTTATTGTAATGGAGAAAATAATCTTGTGTTGTGGGTGCTAGAAGATGCTGGAAATCACAAATGGTCCAAGCAGGCCTACGAATTGCCTCTTTTTAGCCGCAGCAGAAGGAAAGGGTTTGTTGGAATGACTGCTACAGGTGACATCGTGCTCTCGTTGTCCGGGTGCAACGACGGATCAAAGCCTTACTTTGTTTACTTCTTCAATCCCGAGAGGAAAACCTTTGCAGGAGTCAATATTCAGGAATTTGATGAAGAGTTTGAGAATCGTAATACTATTGGCATCTTTCTAGACTATGTGGAGAATCTGAAGTTTATGTAGTTAAGTGTGTTCAATATGATTTCATATACATTATTTACTTGAGATTTTATGTTTTGGATTTAAACTCTACTTATAATAATGTTCTAAAAAAAATTATTTCAGCTTTACTAGTTTCTTGCTCTTGCAAAGTGATAATAAAGCCTTCACTTTTATTGAATCCTATGCATAACCAAAGTTCAAGTCTGAAACTCTCTCCTGAGAGTAACAATGAGATTGTTCTATGACGAAAATATTCAACTCCTCTGATTTTTTATTCTTTTGCAAAAAAATAAACCAAAATGCGGTCAGTTTTAGATATGTGTCTTTGTTTGATGTGTAACCACGAGTTTAGCTATGTTCATGTTTGGATTATGAAGAGTTCTTGGAGTGGGACTAAGCTGTTTAGAGACGTCTTAGTACTAGCTCCCTCCAACCAATATATGTTTTTAGTGTATAGAAGATATGTGCTCTTTCTCTGTAGAGTTGTTCCACGACCAAAACACAGCATAATGTAAATGAGTGAATACAGTAATCGTATGTGTATAAAACTCTACGTACACATGATTCCTATATCTTATGTTCTCTGCAGATAGAACTTATTTTTTTATGGGAATGAAACACACACCCACTGCTTAAAGCAGTATTGTCTTGTTGTAGGAACAGATTGATTGGCGAACTAGTATGTATAGAGGTTTCTGTAGCACATGTGCTAAATATCCATGTTCCTTCTTTTGCTTTTGATAAATGAAAGAAGTAAACCGAGAATGTGATCAGATTGATTGGAGAACTAGTAGGTATAGTAGTGGTGTATCATGTATGTATAGAGGTTTCTGTAGAACTAGTAGTTTGTACAAAGTTTTCTAACTCACTTAGTTAAAGGTTGAAATAAACTAGGCGTTGGCTTAAAATGCATGGATAAATGATCGATGGCTTAAAATGCATGAATAATGGTGACAATAAAATTCAAGTGGATTAGACAGACTAGAGTTGGATTAGACAGTAGCTACTAGGCCTGGGCATAATAACCGACCCGAAGGACCCGACCCGGAACCGATCCGAAAAAACAGTTCTGGGTACTATCCGTTTAGGCCTAAATCACATGTTGGTTATTTTTCTTCTATACCCACGGTTCTCGGGTCGGTTCAGGTTATTACCCGTTTACCCGTGGGTACGTACCCATTTAGATCCGACTTATCTTCTTTGCTCCTTAACTTTGAAACTTATGTCTTGTTTTTTCTTTTGTTTTTGGTGTTTTAAATTTTGAATACCTGAATATTTGAAAATTCAAAATTCAAACTTGTGTTGTGTGGTTTTGTCTTATTAAAATCTGATGAAGTTTATTTGGATTTTTATGGTTCAAAAGTGAGAAATTTATGGTACAAATGGGTTAAAAACCCCGAAAAATACCCAAATCCGACTGATATCCGAAAATTTTCCGGGTATTTCACAGTTATTTACAAACGAGAACCGTTAGACCCGGAACCGAAAAGAACCGACCCGAAACCGACCCAAAATTGTAGCGGTTCCTATTTGGATAAATAATTTAAATAAACATTAGACCCAAAACCGATCCAAATACCCATTATACCCAGGCCTAGTAGCTACAAACAAAATGCCCTAAGCTTACAAAAATTCACTTTTTCTCGTTGACAAAAAAATAGAAAAAAAATACACTATTTTGTTCATTGGTTAACTATCGACACCCTTCTTCAGATTGTGTGAGTAAGGTTCTTGGTGTTTGATCACCTACATATAAACAATATAAAAATGTGTAAGAAATAACAAGCAAAAACAGTAGTAAAGAAAGAGAGGAGAGAAGATTAAAGTTGTGCAGTAGCTGTCCTTGACAGTTTGCTTTCAACATTTATAGCCCCATGCATTTATGGTCCACCCAATAGGATCCCCGAACAGTGGTGTGATTCTTGATCATGACATCTTCTTCGTATCTAGATTTTGGGAATCATTCTCTTCTCTTCTGACAAATTGATGAGAGTAAAGAACAAAAGTGTTTAGGAAGAATAATAATAGACTCTCATGAAAATAATGTTACAAGATGCATAAACTTATATAAAGATCAAAGCCAACTTAATTTCCTAAACTAATATGAAATAGATATATTTAAGATAAAAGCTAAGTTTCCTAATCTTAGATATTGCCAAATATCAATCTTCTAGATCCTTCTTGATTTCCTTATCTCTGACATGGTCGATCTCGTCAATCTTCCAATACCCTCCCGCAATCTCATATGTAGTAACACATGTGAGATTGGACAAATCTTCAAAATATCAGTGTTATACTCGGCTGTCGAGTAATCGACGTTTATACCCGATCGTAGGGTTCTTCAGCGGCATATATACCTGGCCGTCAGGTCAATCGGCTACAAACCCAGCCGTTAGGTCATCAACGACGTTTATACCCAGTCGTAGGGTCATTCAAGTAGGAAGGGACAAAACTCGCGATTGCGATGTCCAGAAGTAATTCGCAATTGCGAAAGAAAAACAACTCATAAAGATGAGAAGTCGGATTAAAAATAATGTTACTCACGAGGGTGAAAAGAACATCACTGAAACTGAACGAACCCATCGATAGATTCATGAACGATTCATGTGCATAAACCATCAATAGAAATCTTGTGCTCCAAGTAAATGGCAATTGTGGTAGCCAATAGAAAATCAACATGCTCAATCACTGACCAATCAAACAAAACGATCCAAAGGAAAGGACCACGTCTCAACAACTCGCGCTTGCTTTTTTTTTTTTTTTTTTTTTAACAATAAGAACATTCCAACGAGATAGATCGAGGAATAAGATTAAAGGAAGAAATAAGATTAAAGAAAGATGATAAAATTGATAGAAAATCATATAAAATATTCGAATCACCCACTAGGATTAGGATCGAATGCTCTGATACCATGACAAATTGATGAGAGTAAAGAACACAAATGTGTTTAGGAAGAATAATAATAGACTCTCATGAAAATAATGTTACAAGATGCATAAACTTATATAAAGATCAAAGCCAACTTAATTTCCTAAACTAATATGAAATAGATATATTTAAGATAAAAGCTAAGTTTCCTAATCTTAGATATTGCCAAATATCAATTTTCTAGATCCTTCTTGATTTCCTTATCTCTGACATGGTCGATCTCGTCAATCTTCCAATATCTTTCCACCTCCTTCTTCAGATTCTCACTAAAGACTTTGTAACTCTTAGCCAAAATGGTCCTTTTTAACCTAGGCGAGGAAAAAAGAGAAAAGTAATATTAGTCACATGCATATGTACACTGTTGATGATGTAAAGTATTGACATTACCTCAGGGTGAAAATTGTCATTAGGATCCGAGTCTGGGTCAACGTTGAGAAGGTACTTGGCAGTGTCCTCCTGTTGCGAAAGCTTGCTGGTGGGACATGTCGCTGGGGAGTTTGCTCAAAGTGACTGTCAAAATCCTCGTTGTCAGCTGCAAGTAGCCTTCTGCCCAAAAAACTGAGCCTGGCCTTCTCTTGCGCTTCATAAGTTTCAACTACTTGATTGTTCATACGAGTAGAGTCGAAATCTTTCCAGTGGTCTCTCTTGGCAGCATATCCCTCTTCAACATTTTTCCTGATTTTGTCAGGTGAGGGTATTAGAAGTTGGTTCCTGTACTTGGCCCCAACTTTTCTGGGCCTCTCCATACAGTTCTTGTTCGTGTGTGTCAAAACACCACAGCTACATCAAAGAGAGAATGAAGAACGTTTAACAAGCACAAAGAGAAAAGTTTCTCTTAAGTTAAGCAGAGAGAAAAACGTTTAACAAGTCAAGAACTTTCTCTTAAGTCTTTTGTTTTTTTTTGTTTTTGTGCAAATAACTTTCTCTTAAGTCTTAATCAACGCACAAATCGTCGCTTTAAGTTATTTATGACACTAACACGTTTTGGGCTGTATCAATAATTTTGAATATGAATTAGACCAAATGTATTTGGAAATAGGTAATTAGATCAATCAAAGCATGAAAACTAGGCTTTTTAACAAAAAAAAATAAAAGCATGAAAACTTTCCAATATTTTAAAATTTTGTAAGGTTAAAATTAGAACATGGTTGTTTTTTTGTTAAAAATTAGAACATGGTTTTGATATGCTGCTAATGGTTCTTGTTCCTCTCTCGAAGTGTAAATAATAATAATTTAACATTTTACCCAAAAAGTAATTAATTTGAGGAAAAGAACGAATAGAATTAAATATGCATGCACTGAGAGACATTTGAATCTTGCTGCAGTCAATAAAATACCAAATTAGAAAGAAGAAAAATGAATGAAATAAAGTTGTACAAAGTTTGCTCCTGGCCCCTACTTTTCTAGGCCTTTCCAGCATTCCTTGCTATTGTGTGTCAAAACACCACAACTACAAAGAGAGAGAGAATGAGAAGCAGAGAGAGAGAAAAGAATAAAAAAAATGGAAAAACAGGAAAGATGATTTACTTCTCACATGCTCCTTTTTGAAATTTTAGAGATATTTGGGGTTTGACAAGTATTTTATCAACAGCAGGACATGACTTCCGTTATTGAATTGTCAAAAGAAATAATGAGAAAAAAGTTTATACAAAGTTATTGAGAAAAAAAGAATGAAATAAAGAACGAAAAGTTTATACAAAGTTATTGAGAAAAAAAAGAATGAAATAAAGTTTATACAAAGTTTTCTAACTCACTTGGTTAAAGGTTGAAATAAACTAGACGTTGATTTGTTACAGGAGTACCAACGAAAGTGTATTTTCTCTAAAAAGTAGAACATTTAATATATGACACTGTGGCAAAAATCTTCCTAGAAGTGTTTGGTTCTATCAGAGGAGGAATTAATGTGAATCACATACTCAGTCTATAACGGGTAATGATATTATTATGCATTAAAAAGGGAGATGGGGACTATGCATTAGCTTCCTTACCCATGGTTTTAAGAGAGATCAGATTATGCGAAAATCACCCTAACTTGTAACTAGACAACACTTGGTTTGTTTATTATAGCCATTAACCTAAATGAGAGAAGATAGTACACACAAAGTCACCCACAAGCAAAACCTATGGTCTCCATTTTGAGAGCTCACTACACACTAACACAAGGCAAATCTTACTGAGCTTAAAATATAGAACGTTTTGATCTAGAGACCTGCTTAAAATGTATGAGCGTTAAGAATAGAGAAGTTTGATTTATGGTATATGTGACACACATGGATTAAAACGGGAGAGGGAACTATGCAAAAAAAGACTTGCCAAAAACCTTGTATATAGATATGGATCTCACGCACAAGTGTACCCACGGTTTAAATTGTATAGCCTCGAAAAATAGAAATTACACACACCACAAGTTGAAATGGGATGTGGGATTATGGAAAAGATATTCTTAAAAGTCTCTGTTTTGGGAGCTCATACACATGTTTGCTTATCTGTTTATGGGAAGGAAATACAAACACACACGGCTTAAAGAGGAAATGAGAAATGGGAAGACGAAAGAGAGAGATCTCAGAGGAAACTCACATTGATCATAAAATGTTAAAAAAAAAGGAAGTAGTACTGTCTAAATCAAAACACAAGTTACATTCAAGAAAAGTTCGAAAGGGCTTCATGCACTAGAGAGCTTTGGTTTTGCAGAAAATATACGGTTAAGAGTGGCCGCCAACCGAATCCCGCCTTGCGCAAGTCTCTTCTCTAGAACGGGTAACCGAGAGAGAAAATACTCATCTGCAGAAAAGAAAAGCGAGAGACAATCACAAGATCAACACATGCACTGCATATCAGAAAAGCTAAGATGATCTCGTTTCAGAGTGAATGCTCAGAGAGTATCTTATAGTAACAGTATACCTCCTAAAGTAGTTCCTGGGGTTGCATTCCTATAAGCATACTTGCAGGCAAGTTTTATGCTTTCCGAAGCATACCTTAACACAATCAAAGAACATACATATAGAATCAACAATGATAGCTAGTTAGCTACAAAGAGCAAATTTCATAATACATAAGTATAGAGATGCTTACTGATTTGGACAGGCCGTTTGTTTATGTTTACATGACTCCCACGACTGAACCTTATGTGACCAGCGGTTCTATATTTAAGACGGCAGTTAAGAAGAATGTAATCACTTAGATATGGTTACAGACTTGCTGTGTGCTGAAGTTGGATAAAGAAAGTAGAAGATAGTAATAGTACCGTTAGTTTGGCTTCAAGGGATTGAATCATGAGTGGAAGACTTGAATTGTAGTATGTTTTGAGAGCAGTTTCAATTATCATGTTGTCCCACACCTTTCCAAGTCAAAATATTGTTTCCAGTTCCGAGTCAGGAATTAAAGATACCCTTTTTGAGCATCAATATGATCTAAATAACAAAACACTTACACGGTGCAAATTTGTTTGGTTATGGTACCAGTTGAGTATTATCGTGTTACCACCTAGATCTCCAGGAAAACCAGTATGCAAGGGCTGTGAACAAATCAAGATCCACATAAAAAAACTAGCCATACTCTGTCTGTGGTATTGTTACTTAACATTAATCATATGATAAGGGATTTAACCTGATGGATGTCTCCCATATAATGTGATAAGAACATGAGAGCCTCTGTCAAGTTATCTGCAAAAACAAACAAATTAATGGAAACATACAAAAAGAGGTATCAGGTTCAAGTAAAATGCAACTCACATGAGTGGACCAGAGTGTGCAAGTTATCAGAAGCTGTCATAAGTTGCTTGGTGTAATTGAAGATTGCTCCTGTCACACATACGTCCTTTTGCTTATGACTGTCGTGGCAGTCCCCTTCACATGAGAAAGAACAGAAGATAGATTTGAACTTAGCATAAGCAAATATGTATCTACAATGGGAAAAACAAAATGTATAAGAAACCAACGACAGTATTCGTAGTTGCATCTGTAATCAGGTGTGTTAACGTAGTGCAAAGCGCTAGTCCAGTCCCATTCCGAGAATCGTTTGATCTCATCAGGCCATGAGCAAACAGATGCTAGATCTCCTTCTGCTGACTCAGGCAGAAGTTTTTTCACTGCAGCTACAGTCTCTTCCTCAAAGTATCCCTGAGGATTTGGAAATTGAAATCTCAAGAAAGATTTACATTTTTTCTCCATCCTAACAATAAGCTCCTAGTTCTAAAGCTATCTTGCTTAAAACACTCTAAAACATCATAACCATGAGAATAAATCTCCTGGTCAGATATGATTAATTAAGAAAAATGGTGACCTCGGCTATTTTGCAGACAGTGTAATGACCATCCTTGCCCCAACATAAAGCTCCATGGACAAGCTGTGTAAGCACGATTACACTCGCAATGCACAGCCTCAACGACAGTCTCATTCTGAAACACCATTTCAAATTTCTTTAACAATCACAATACGTCGGATCAATCTAGTCTACTTTGCCAGACAAACACTGTATGAAGCAAAAGTGGATTTATCGTAGAACCAAGATTCAAGCAGAAAAGAAGAAAAGTCAACGAATTACCTCAAAAAGCTTTGAACTTTACTCTCTGCTCTTTGCCTCTTTGATATCGGATTGCTTTACGCTCTCTTTCCATTAAAAAACAGGACGAATTCTTCAACTTGGGTTTGTTTATTCCCCACGTTTGATTTGTTTAATCAAATTCTATGAAACCGACAGTTGCATTCCCAAGTTCCTTCCTTTACAGTTTCAAATGACTGAGAGACTAGCACAAACTTCACGCATGAAGCTTCGAAGAACGAGCACTTGGATTCTCTTTGATACAAACCAAAGCAACCGCCTTTAAAATCCATTTGCGCCATTTCTACAAAACAGGATTGCTCAAGATCTCCAATTATTCGTGGAACCGAAACTGGATGGGTTTCCTCTAAAAGCCTACAAAATCTCCTCAATTCGCAAATTTGATCAAAGTTAGACCACGAGATTAAGCTAATGGTTAACAATTGTAATCCTAAGATCACAGAAAGTTCGCATAGTCGATGTGTTGTTAATCGGGAATCGTTCTTCTTCCGTTGCCATTTGAATGCGGTTCGGTTCGATTTGGAACTTTGGTGGTTTGGAAGAAACTTTGATTCGGTTCGATTGACAAAATTCGATTCGGTTCATGTTAAAATTAGAACCGACAAAGTTTTCGTCCGGTTTTTAGTGATTTCGGTACATTTCGTTGAATTTTGGTTGATTTCGGTAGACTTCGGAATGTCGGTTTACCTATGCAGATTCTCAAAACCAATACACACACTTTTCACTGTATAACAAAAAACGCGCGATTACATTCTTTTAAAAATTCGTTATACGAACATTATATTTTTTTTTTGTTAAAGGATTTGTTATACGAACATTATTATATACAGTACTAGAAAATATAATTAGAGGTAAAAAATGAATGTGTCTTTTGAGTTGACAAAAAAAAAGTGTCTCTAGCACTACAAGAAACCATCCGTATTATCACGGCAGTTTCGGTGGAAAGTTGGTGAGAAACAGTCTTTAACCACCAATTTCTGACCAATTTACTCCGTCAAAAAACGCTGGTCAAAAATTGAATTCCGTCAAAAATCCGTCAATTTTTTTCCACCAAATAATCTCCGTCATAAATTTAGCACCGAATCATCCGTCATAAATTTATCACCAAATAATCCGTCATAAAAAATATCCGTCAGAAAGTGGTGAAAAAACATTTTCACCACTTTCCCACCAAATTTGCATGATCCATTTTTCACCGAAATTTTAATGGCTTTTTAATGAAAATTAGGCTACAGATTTGTGACCGAAATTGTTTCACCGATTTCACACCAAAAACTGAAGTTATATTTGAATAGATAAGTTAATTACAATAATAAATCCACCGACATAAGTTCAGAGTTTTCAAACAAACAGAAAAAAAAATGAACTTGAATAACTAATGATTCATTTTTGCCCATCATAATCCACTCTTGCTTCACCGCTGGTACCTAACTTCAAAGAAACAATCTGACACTGAAGACATAACACAAACCATGTTGTTTCATTAAACCACTCAAAGCTTTTCATTACACATATGAATCACACAAAAAAAGATAGAAACGCAACATAAGACTCACAAACCAAGAAGAAAATGTACATATGATTTCAAAGAGCAAAATCAGACACTCAAACTGAGAACCAATACACAGAGACAATGAACCAACACAATCAAAGAAAAACATAATCTAAAACTGAAGACATAACACAAACCAAGATGTTTCATTAAACCACTTGAAACTCAAAATCAGATATGATTACCAACAAAAAGATAGAAAAGCAAAATCACATATGACTCAAAAATCACATAGAATATGTACATATGATTTTAAAACCAAATATCACTAGCAAAATCAGACATTCAAATTGAGAAGCAAACTCAGAGACAATCAAAGACCCACACATTCAAAGAAAAACACAAGGAACTTTGAAATTACCTGCGTTTTAGTACTCTTGCGTCTTATCATCTTCATTGTCATCATTTTCTTCATGTCGCTTCATTTTCTTGTTCTGCTTGAGAGAATCAAAATATATTGATTGCAGTTTCATTAAAAAAATATCTGATTTATACCTGCTCTTTTGTGCTCTGTGATATCAAAATAGAGGAGTGAAGTGAAGAAGAGAGTTTTGCTTCAAAATAAGCTCTTTCCTTCGTCATTGGCCATGATTCCCCAATACATCGAATATACGGAAGTGCCTGTACAAAGATAAAAGACGCAAATAAAAAATCAACCAACTAATTTCTTGAAAAATCAAAGCTTGTTCATTTCCATGGAAGTTAATGAGCAATATTCTCTAGATTGAAGCTATGACAGACAAAAATGTGCAGACAAAAATGAATCATTTCGAGCTACAAAATTAGGCCGAAGATATCAACTTTCAGAAAACAGAGACAGATATTGATAGTGATAGGTTTCGATGAAAATCAATTGAATCTAAAAATGATTATTGATTGCGTTGAGAAGGATTTTAGCTCAAATACCCATCACTGAAAAGCTAGAAATCGATTCCATTTGCAAAAGATAAACCCTAATTCCTAATCTGAAAGTTAGACCAGCTAACCAGAGTTTTAGCTGAAACAAAGGGAAAGAGACACAGTGAGATTGCCATCGATGGAATACTCACCGATACCTAAATCGGTCAGTAAATGGTGAAAACTCGGTGACAGCTGTTTTTCACCGATGTTTTGGTGGGAAATTCGGTGGTAAAGTGACTTGTTTTCTTGTAGTGTAGCAAGGTTCCGACAGATGTTATCATATCTTGGTATGATCGAATTGGTATCTATATGTCTAATCGGATACGACAGTTCATAATCTTACGATGTGATCCACTAATAAATAGAATAAAACTTAATTCGAAAAGAAATTGATGTTGTAATGTTAAAAATTTTGAGTGACACATTATAATTTCTCTAAAATCAGAAAGAGAATAACCTTACAATATTAGATAGATCTTAAAGTTTCAACACATTTCCATGTCAAATCTAATATTTGCCTTCAAGTTTTTTTTTTTTTTTTTTGACGTCGAAAGCTCCATGTATTGATTAAGCCGTACCGATTTGGTTGGTCGGGACGACAGTGTTTACATGGGAAAAGGAACATCCTCGTGTACGAGCCTCTTTCGCAAGAGCATCGGCACGGAGGTTTACAGAACGAGGAATAAAAATAATTGAAAAAGTTTGAAAAAGGGAATGAATAACAGAAAATTCATCAAACTCTGAGACCAATGATGGCCATATTTCGCCGTCTTCAATAAGGGTAACTAGTTGGAGGCAATCAGATTCAAACCTCATTGAGGTATATCCCATTTGCCTAACCATCTTCATAGCCCATATCAGATGTGAAATTCCGCATGTAGAGGTGACAACACCTGCGGATTTGCAAAAGAACCTGTGACCCGTGAGTCTGCTTCGAGCTCCATAACAAGACCCCCTCCAAAGAGATTCGTCTCATACACCCAAGATGCATCTACCTGGCATCTAGGATATATGACGTTTTGATTTGGGAGGATTGGGGGATTATTCTTTTGTGTCTCATCCAAAGCTTCAGCAACAATCTGTGCGACAGTCCAAGCCTCTGTTTCCGCCATCGCTTGCTGCAACGTATCGAGAGGCATGATATCTTTGCCTTCGAAGACCTTCTCATTTCGCGCTTTCCATATGAACCACACGATCCAAGGGAAACTTGCTAGTGCTTTTTCTGAGTCCCCACCTTCGTGAGCTCGCCAAAGAAGATGATCGAGATTATTAAACAGAGCGTTACACGGGAAGATCCCCTTCAAGTTTTTCTGGTCAAATCTAATATTTATAAATTCATAAGATTTAGATATCTTTAAAATTAGAAATATGGATTTTGAAATACCAAAGTTTCCTTTTCATTTGATTTTTTGTGTATTTTTAATATTAAAACACTTCCAAATCCATTGAAGTCCAAAGCACACTAAGTAATAAATTGAATTTCAAAACTAGTATTTAAAAATTATTGATGAATAAAGGTGAATTTTGACAAAGATATCAACAAATCCAGTAAGAGAGGATTTTACTTAAATTTCAAATCTATTTAAATCATTGAACCAATAAATTCCCCTTTTTCTTTCAAAATCTTCTGGTGAAACCATTACGTCCATTACACTATAAAAAGCCATGAAGATTAGTTAACTAACTTCATCACTAAATAGATCAAGAAAATTCCTCTATGAGAATGAAGAACGTTTCCTTTCAACTTTTGTTATTGGTTTCTCTTCTTGTTCTTGTCTTTCGTAAGCAAAATTTACTTTCCACTCTGTAGTTAATTATTTTTTGTAAATCTTCAGTTTAATACCTGGAATCATATTTTTACACAATTAGAAAGAAAGAAAAAGTTAAGAATATGAAAACTTATGCAATGAAAAATCCATTTGTTAGGTTATGTATTCGTTTTCTTAAAGTAAATTTTATTTACTTAGGTAAACAAATAATCTAGATCAGAGATCTAAAGTTTATGTGAGATGGGTTCTTTTTAATGATGGAACGGGGCATAGGGAAAGATATCGCATTATGGAGAAAATAGAAAACTCCTTTTCTTTTTTTGACATTGCCTGAGATTAACTTACATGTATTCCTGTTTGTTTGACTAAATTAATATTATGATTATTTTCACATTTGAAGGACACGATCTTGTGGATGGTAGAACAATGGATACTAATAGAATCTCTCACGACAGACCTTGTAGTCCAGGGGAACCACATTGCGAAGAGAAACAAGGTGCCGCAATAGATTCTCATAGATTCGTCGCGTTGTAGTCCAGCGGAGCCACATTGCATACCCTGTAATCCAGTGGATCCAAAATGCAAAATTCATAATGCTTAGATTGGTGGAAAAAGCAACTTGTAAAATGTCTGAATGTCTAATAAAACTTCGTAGGCTTTATCTAATTCAGCAACCGTGACATTTTGATACGGGTAATCTCAAGTGTTGGCTTTATGTTTAGATTAAAACATAATAAAATTTAGACAGATTTCCCTTACACAATAGTAGGACTAATTTTCATAGCATACTTATAAGAGAAAATCACTTAAATTAGCACTCATTCAATAGGATATAGTCGTCCATCCCTAGTCCAAGTTTATTTATCGAAGGTATATGTTAATTAAGGATATAGTCGTCCATCTTAATCATACAAGCTAATTGTGGTAACACAAAAAGAAAGTATAGTGGTAAAAGCAAGTTAAAACCTTTCTTTGGATCAATATTAGTGCTCCTTTCACAAATCACAATATGATGAGTCTCCAAATATTATATTCTCAACTCAAAAGACAATCTCGAATTTTCTATTTATATATTCCATTTTATAACAATGGATATTAAGAGAATCTCTCATGACACACTTTGTAATCCAGGGGAACCACATTGCGAAGAGAAACAAGGTGCCACAATGGATTTTCATAGATTCGACTGGCGTTGTAGTCCAGGGGAACCACATTGCATACCCTGTAATCCAGTGGATCCAAAATGCGATATTAATAAGGCGTAGATTGGTGGAAAGAGCAACTTGTAAAATGTCTGAATGTCTAATAAAACTTTGTTCTCAAATATTGGCTTTACCAAAATATAATTTTCAAAAAAGAAAAGGATTTTTATATAAGAAAACAAAAAAGGACGAATTATCTTTAAAACAAATAATCTAGATTATTAGTACTTGGTTCAATTGGTAGATGAGTAGATCAAGTGAAAACCAAACAGGCTAATTTGCGGTTTACTAAAAACTCACCATTTCTAATTCGGTTTTCTTCTGGTAATTTGGTTTATTTGAATTTTGCTCCAAATGTTGGTTGAGGCTACAACCGGATTTTTCCTATATAGGTTCCTTGGGTAACACGCTAACAGATTCTCTATTCCGAAATGCAGATGGTGAATCTTTATCACATACAGACCAGTTTTGCAAAGATCGATCAAAAGCTCTGCAGTATAATCACATAGGTGATCTTGTTAAAATGAGATATTCAGTGGAAGAACCAAGGTTATAGCATTCCTCTATGATGTAAAGCATTGGTTGATCACATATTACATTAGTAACGGGAATGATTGGTAATCTCTCACCATTGTGATAGAGAAGATACCGTTTTAATAACTGTTTTTTTTGTTTATAAACTTATTTTACATTCAAGTTTATTTATCAAAGATATATCTATATTAACTTAAAGCAGCTGGGGCCTCTTAAGGTGTCCACATCAGCGTTTATGTGAGTGTTTACGTTTTGCCACGTGGCACTCCTAAATTTTCTTCAAACAACTTTTTTCCCAGAAAATCACGTCTTCTCGCCTCCTTCTCTTCTTCGTCGATCGCTTTGACGAACTCGATTCCGCCCAGCCGTTACAGGCTACCAAATACGGTGGGTTTAGCTCCATCTTTAATGTTCCTCGCTATTTAATTCCCTTCTTCTACTATAAATTCCGAGCTTCCCCGTTCGATTTACGGATTACCACAAAAACCCTTTCTTCCCTGCCCAGATTAGTAACCTCCGCTCCGACGCTCGCCATGGTTCACGGGTAGCCGTATCAGCATCTTCCCTCCTCCATCAGTTTCTAGGATTTAGTATTTCTTCGTCTAATGGTGTTCGGCTTCATTTCTCTGTTTATGACAAGTATCTGTATGCACTTGATCGGAAAATGGAAAACGCGTGGACATATTCACGCTTCTCCTTGATCAGAAGGTACATCCCAAACTCTTTCGCTCCACCATTCTCTGCAGGAATGTGTCCACTTATTATTTGTCGATTCAGTTATCTGTTTTGTTCATTGCCGATTCCTTACTTTCGTCTTCATCTTCCATTCTAGAGTATAATGGCTTCATCGATCTCATTCGGAACTGAAACCCTCCTTTTGTCTTCTAACATTAGTTTTGAAAGTGTTGAAAGAGTTCTATTATAATATGGCTATTTACCACTAACAAATAATTCTGCCCATGTATTTCCCTTTTCTATACAGATCGTTGTCAAGTTGAAAAAAAAAAAGAACAAGGTATGTCCTTCTGCTCTCTTCATCAGTTACAAGAACACTTTAATTTATTATAATTTATTATATTTTACACTAGTTCAAGTACCTTATTGGTAGAATTAGTCAGAAAGGTCTTCAAATTCACTCAATGATCACTTGTGGTGCTACTTACTATACGAAAACTTTGTAACTTTTTGTACGACGGCTTGCTTTTCCAATTGTAGGGGAATGCGTTTCTTATTCTTATCTTCTACTCACTAATCTAAGTTTTTGGGACATCTGCATTTAGAGTGTTTTAGTAAATCACAGCCTAAAGGACAGGAAGATTCATCTAGAGTTTAAAGCAGCTTCAGCACCTGAAGTAGGTCATAAACATCAAATCGTTTCACTCAATGTTTGCTGTCAAAACCAAAATTTATATGAATTTATTTAACTTGCTTGTCCGTAAAAGCTGCTGCAAGGCAAATGGTGACGACAAGGACAACACTGAACACTGTAGTGCAGGAGAAGTGGAATCTGAGCTTGAAGACGAGAGGGTCGTAAAAAGGAAAGTCAACATTGACTTGGTTGCAACACCCTGCAAGAGAGAGAGACTTTCAAGGGGAAGCAAGGAGGGATTGAAAGATCCACCAAATCAAGAACAGAGAAACCTGATATCACTGCAGCAAATGGAGTGGTAGACAAAGACTTGGGTCGTATCGTGAAGACGATTAGATGTTTAGAGGAAGGTGGTCATATAGACAAGAGTTTTAGGGAAAGGTTTTTGACATGGTATAGCTTGAGAGCTACTCACCGACAAGTTAGAGTTGTGCAGCTCTTTGTTGAGAAGTTTGACCTAGGTATGTATGTTGTTTCATGTTCTTATCCTTTAACTATAAATGCTAAATTATAAGTATTTCTAATTCCTTCAAATGAACATAATGGTAGGAAAACTAACATAATTTTAGAAAACATTACTATTGTATATTTGGTTTTCTACTTTGACAAAAAAAAAAAAGATATTTGACTATCTAATTTACCCCAATTTAATTTTTCTTCTTTTAAGGTCTAAGAGTTCTTTACAAAAATATTAAGTGAATGGTGTGCACGATTCTACATTCTCAGCGTACTCTCATTTTCGCTGTACTCTCATTTTCCCTATTGTAAGATTTTTAAGTAATTTAAATGTGATCACATTCGATAAATGAAGTTTCAAGTTATACTGATAGGTAATGTAAATGATGTGGATTAGCATTTTATACGGGGCATTTATCCTATTGACTTCATTGAGACAATGAGACCATGTATGTTGAGAGATCATAACTTTCCTTTATCTTTACTGTTGTGATCTCTCCTCCTCGCATAAACCATTGTATCCATCCAAATTTGCAAACTTTAGTATTGCTTCCCGTTTTTTGTTTGTTTCTTTGGATCCTTTCGTTTTTCAAAATTTAATTACGTTTTCTGTAATGCTTATCATAGTTTTATTTTATTATACTACATATTTTAATAAGACGTTTTTCTGTTTTACAGAACACATATTTTTCTTAAGTACACTTCAATCTCACATATTTTCATTTCCATAAAATGGGTGCTTTACATATGGACGTTCAACGCGTACTATTATTTAAATTTCACATTATTCATCCTACATTTTAGGGTTCACCTCTTACATGTAGTATTACTTGGATTTTAAATTTTAACATAAAAAATGTTACAACAAAATATCCATTCAAATAAAAACCATAAACAAATACAAAATTTATAACAGAAGACCCAGGCGTAGCCCGGATATCCCCTAGTCTTAAGGATATAGTCGTCTATCTTAATCATACAAGCCAATTGTTAGTGCTCTTTTATTGAGGTGATGAGTCTCCAAATATTATATTCTCAACTCAAAAGACAATCTCAAAAAAAATATTTATATTCCATTTTATCCGAAAAAATTTGAAATTCTTGGTAATTTCTTAAAAAAACAGAGTACAAATGTTATAAAGAATTTTTCTATTGTAGTACTTCCTTTAGTCTATCAACCAGAAAACTATGATTCCAATCCAAAGAAACATCCGACACGTGGATTTTAATGTCGGAGACTATTTACGATGCCTTTGGAGTAGTGATAGTACGAATATCAATTTATTCACACTTAAATTGGAATTCGAATTTGATAATAGAAGGTCAGCCAATCTTTTAAAGTAAATTATATTCTTCAATATACGGTTGTGGTCAAAATTCCATTCCTTTTCTTGCTTGCATGCACTAAAAAAACTAAAACCATGCATGCAAAACTTTAAATTTAAAATTCAACTAAAATAATCCACACATTTCACTCTACATGTTCCTATAAATACCTTCATCACAAGTTAGGGCTTTGACATGACAAACTCACAAGATTAGAGCAAAGATGAATAAGAAATGAGGGAAAATGATGATGATGATGATGAGTCTCTGGTCGTATCGGAGGGTCTTGCATGGAAGAATGGAGAATGAGGTTGAGCCAAGGATGACTTGCCGATTTGATCAAAGAATCTAATCATTGATTAATTTTGGTGTTCGGCAAGTTGACCTTGGCTCTGTTTCCTTCTCTTCTTTTCGATGCCAGACTCGGAATACTTATCTATATATATCATCTCCATCAGACTTTGTAATTTCATTGAAATGTTCTTACAAGTAATTGATGCATATTATTACTGTTTGCTCCAAATGGTCTCTTCTTCTTGGTAAATGTGGATATTTCGGTTTATGGTTTGGTTTATAAGGTTTTAGTGTTTTCATCGGTTTTACAAAGATTGATAACCAAATAAAACAATTTGTAATTCATTCTGATTTTGGTTTGATGTGATGCAATTTTGACCTGGCCTATATTTTTGTTGTTCAGTCGGTTTTAGTTAGAAAACTAATTTAAATACTATGATCATTGAACGTTGACTCTGTCTGTGTGTGTGTGTGTGTGTTAGACAACGGATACATAAAAAACATTAATATCTCTAACGTACCTCCATTAATGTTGTACTCAAGATGCTTTGCTTAACTCAAGGCAAAGCCTTGGCGAATCAATTGGGGGACAATTTAAAAACTATAACCTTAATTAATGTTGGCTTTTGCTACCTTGTTTGAAAGAATTAAAGACACTTTCACGTTGTTCAAAAAAAAAAGACACTTTCACTAAAAAAACTAAAGAACAATAGCAATGCATTAATATAACCTTAACAACCATTACATGAGAGCTGAGAAAGATAAGAAGAGTGCCTGCTTATCAAAAGACAAGTCTAGGCCTCTTTTTGTTTAGTTTCATGCTCTAGGCTCTAGCGAGCTTCGGTTTTGCAGAAAAGATTCGGTTTAGAGTGGCCGCCAAGCGAATACCGTCTTGTGCAAGTCTCTTCTCTACAACGGGTAGCCGAGAGAGGAAATAGTAATCTGCAGACAAGAAAGAAATGTGAGAGAGAGATATCAGAGAATTGTTGCATATTAAGAAAAATCTAAGAAGATCTTGTTACAGAGTAAATGCAAAGAAGAGTGTATACCTCCTAAAGTAGTCCCCACTGTGGCGTTTGTGTAAGCATACTTGCAGGCGAGATCTATGCTTTCAGATGCATACCTAAACAATTCAAGAACTTAGGGAATCAACAATGGCGATATAGGAAAAAGATCTGTTAACTTAAACCAGAATCCTCTCCTATAACTTTTACAGATCATTCTTTTTGACTTTTGTTTTTGCAAATGACATTCATGGCAAAGGAAAAATTATAAGTTAAAAATATGTTCTTACGGATTTGGGCAGGCCTTTTGGTTGAGTGGACATGACTTCCACGAAGGAACATCATTTGACCAGCCATACTATTATTAAGACAGCGGTTAAAACAATCAGTGTCAGTTGAGTTATCTTGGATATGGTTTTAAAAAGTAAGATCATACCTTGAGTTTGGCTTGTAGAGATTGAATCATGATTGAAAGGCTTGAGTTATAGTATGTTTCACGAGCAGAGTCAATTATCATGTCATCCCATACCTTCACAATTAAAGAAATTACGTGTTTTTTTTTGTGTAAGTAATAAGTTGGATCATTAGAAAGATTATAGAGGACAATATTCTCTTGATCTCGTAACTTCCAAAGATTATATCCTTGAGGAAAGATATAATGTTTTTGGCATCATCAACATGATCGACAATGAAACACTTACGCGGTGCAAATTAGTTTCTTGACTGTACCAATTGACTTTTACTCTGTTACCACCTAGATCTCCAAGGAAACCTTCATGCAAGGGCTGTGAAAACACAAAAATTAAAATCCACAATAGGAATTAGCCATACTCTTTTTAAAATAATGTAGCATTGATTGCTTATAACTCAGAACATCAATTGGTTTCTAATATGATTAGGCAGAAGGGACTAATTAACCTGATGGATATCTCCCATATAATGTGATAAGAACATGAGAGCCTCTGTCAAGTTATCTTCATAACAAACAAAAGGACTAGTCACACTATGCTCTACTGTAACTCATACACAAATTAGTAATCTGAAACATAACACTAAATATCAAACTCACAGTGGACAATACTGTGTGAGTTTTCAGAAGCAGACAATAGCTGGTTTGTGTAGTTGAAGATTGCTCCTGTCACACACACGTCTTTAGGGCAGTCCCCTTCACAGAATCACATAAAACAAAAAAACATAAATTATTTCAAAATGGTAAAACAGTAAACGTGTAAGAATTTGACAGAAAAAGGATATTAAGAGAATTCCCACTAGAATATTCGTAGTTGCATTTGAAATCAGGCGTATCAGCAAAATGCAAAGCACCAGTCCATCGCCATTGTGGGAGCTTTTTGATATCATCAGGCCATGAACAAACAGCTGCTAGCTCACCTCCTGCATATTCAGGCAGAAGTTTCTTCACTGCAACTACTGTTTCTTCCTCAAAGTAGCCCTAAGAATTGAAAGAGAATGTTCCTATCATCAGATATCACACAAAGGTGGTGTAGATTCAATCAAACAGAGTATAATTTAAAAAGAAAAGGCCTCCTTCTGTCCTCTGTCTTAACAATACATTATTAAACTGATGTTCAAGTATCTTATAACACTCTCTCATGTACTAAAGTTCTCAGGTCTAAAAATCAAAGAGAGAGCTAATTAAGCTTAGGGAACTAATTTAAACAAAATGATCCACCTGAGCTATTTTGCAGACAGCGTAATGACCATCGTCTCCCCAAGAAAGAGCTCCATGAATGAGCTGTGTAAGCACAAGTATACTGACAACCCACATTCTCAGCGACAAACCCATTCTGAAAACAGCTTCCAGTTATAGACTAAGAATGGTTTTTTTTTGTAGATTTGCACAAATGAGAGAGCTGGATTCAAGTAGAGAAGAAGGAAGTGAAGGGTTTATCTTACCTCCAAAGCCTTGAAGTTTGGGGTATTTTGCCTCAGATTCTTTATTTTGACTTTCTCTACTCTATACTTCCACTCCACAGCTCCACTGATGGATACTATAATATATGAAACATTTACACTCTGACATGACCAATTAACAGAGATTTTTAACTGACATGCAAACAACGTGGCCCACTTTTTTTTCCCTTCCCAACCACATTCCATTAGTAACTAACACATACGTCCAAGAAAAAGAGAGGATTTGTAACTTGCTAAAAACAATATGGGAAATGGGCAACAACCAAAATCGTATCTACAATAACGAAAAGACAAAGAAAACAAAAAACCATTAATGTAGGGTAATAAAGAATCCAACAAATTCTACAAAAACTGAGCGCTCCACGACTTTCAATACACAACACGTGAGGATGATACAATTTTTCTGGCACTTTTTTTGCATACGAAAATGGGTCAATATCTTTATTTTCAGTTTTCAAGTGCCTCAGATGAAACACAAGCTTCAGTTGATTTACTTGATACACATTGAATATGTGCTGTTCCCCTAGATGTTTAATAATAGATGACAGTTTTGGTTACTACTTATTCTAAGAACAATAGCATCCACATAAACTTAACTAACATGACATGACCTAATAGAGTGACTGCATAATGGTTCTTGTCTGCCTTGGTTTCATGCTCCAGCAAGCTTAGGCTTTGAAGAAAAGATACGGTTAAGAGTGGCCGCCAAGCGAATCCCACCTTGTGCAAGTCTCTTCTCCACAATGGGTAGCCGAGAGAGAAAATAGTCATCTGCAGAAACAAACGTGAGAGAAAGCCCTAGATCACAGCATTGCATACAAGTCTATATATATAACATGTATTGGTAAAGAAAGCTAAGATCTACAGTTTCAGTGTTGATACTGATTTTCCAAAGTTCACTCTAATTGTATTTCCTAGAAACTTTCGAGTTCAATGGTGAAGAGAGTATTACCTCCTAAAGTAGTCCCTGGAGTAGCGTTCCTGTAAGCATACTTGCAGGCAAGTTTTATGCTTTCAGATGCATACCTGAACCGTAACAATGATGTAATTAGGAAAACACAGTATGACAGCTAAAACTCTGCTATTCGATCAACTTTCTACATATCTAAATGCAAATTTTTGTCTATAATTTATTTGCGTTTCTTGGTTCTTGACAGAAAAATGATGCTTACGGATCTGGACAGGCCGTTTCGTTAAGTTGACATGACTCCCACGACGGAACATCATTAGACCAGCCGTGCTATATTCACACAGGAGTTTAAAGAAAATAATCAAAGTGAGTTGTTTAGTTATAACGTACTGGCATTGGAGATACATAAAGAAAGTAAGATCGTACCGTAAGATTGGCTTGAATAGCTTGAATCATGAGTGGAAGACTTTTATTGTAGTATGTTTTAAGAGCAGACTCAATTATCATGTTGTCCCAGACCTTCATCATTGAAATGATTCTTCTTTTAGATTTTGGATCATTAAAGAGATCATAACAACACATTTTATTCATCCGCTAACTTCCAAAAGTTTAGATCATTCCAGTTACAATGTTAATCTAATCAGGAAAGATAAACTCTTGTTTTGTTAGTATCAATATGATCAATAACAGAAACTTACATGGTGCAAGTTTGTTTTGCGACGGTACCAGCGGACTGTAATCGTGTTTCCACCTTCATCTCCCAGGAAACCAACATGCAAAGGCTGTGGAGATTACATAAAACTCAAGACAGAACTTATTCTAATAAGACTCATTTGAAGGACAAAGCATTTTACCTGATGAACGTCTCCGATATAATGTGATAAGAACATGAGAGCTTCCGTCAAGTTGTCTGCAGACAAAAGACTAGTCAGTGCTCTATCCTCCAAAGAACTTAAGCTATCAAATTCACTAAAATCTCACTCACAGTGGACTATACTCGGCGAGTTTTCATAAGCCGACATAAGTTGCATTGTGTAATTGAGAATGGCTCCAGTCACACACCGGTCTTGATGCTTATGAGTATCGTGGCAATCCCCTTCACAAAAACATAACATACATACAGATTGAACTTTCGGATGTTAACAGAGGTTTTAAAAAGGTGAGAACTTAGGAGTCAGGGGAGATTAAAACACACGACAATACTCGTAGTTGCATCTGTAATCAGGTGTATCAACATAGTGCAAAGGGCTAGTCCATCGCCATTGCCAATGGTGTTTGATCTCATCAGGCCATGAGCAAACAGATGCTAAATCTCCTTCAGCGGATTCAGGTAAGAGTTTCTTCACTGCAGCTACAGTTTCTTCCTCAAAGTAGCTCTAAAAATTTGAAAATGGCGTTATCAGAGAGATGATCATCAAAAAAGGTACTATAATCCCAGTTAAGAGTATAGTTTCTAGCTAGATTCCACCACAATAGTAATTTTGACAGTTGTTAGAGCTAAAAATTTGATCTTCAAGCATACAAACATCAGAATTTGGTAACAAAGTTGTCATTTTTTCATAAATCACAGTGATTTCAGTAACTTGTAGGGTTCAGGCTCAGAATCTAAATTAAAAAAAATCCTTTCAAATTTGACCTCGGCTATTTTGCAGACGGCGTAGTGACCTTCTTTGCCCCAACAGAAAGCTCCATGGATGAGCTGTGTAAGCGCGATTACACTCGCGATCCACAGTCGCAGCGAGAAACTCATTCCGAAACAATTGCAAAGTTTCGATTTTTCTAAAACTGCGTTTGTCGAATCAACGATTATGATGCTCAAGTTTGCAAGCAATTGGTTTCTATTTCAGTTTCGAAATTGGGTTTTATCAGAGCGATTCAAAACGAGAAGTCAAACTGTCAAAGTCTTGGTCTTGGTTTTTTTGCCTTTACTTCAGTAATTGATTTAGGGTGAGTTTATGGAATAACCAAAATCGAAACTAAGGTAAAAGTGTTGACAGATTTTGGTTTAATTACAACTTGCAGATTTTTAATCTGTAAAATTATCATTCTTGAGTACACAACACCAAATTTAGTCGAATATAAATAAGTAGCCATCTGATATTATATGTTCCATAGTTACAAAGTCTTTCTTTTTGATCGAAACAGAGATACATAAGCCAATGAACAAACTCTTGTATATATATCAATGAACACAATCCACCAGATTTTTATTATTTATGCACCATGATTCTCGTCTCAGAACTCATTTCTCCCTTTGCAGAGAATCAAGTCACAAGCAGAATCTTGCCAATATGATTACTACTCTCCATAAGGCTATGAGCTTCTGCTGCTTGAGCCAATATCAAATACTTGTAAATCACCGGTTTCACCTTCCCCGCTTCTATCGCTGGCCAAACATTCTTCTCGACTTCCGCTACAACAACCGCTTTGTTTTCCGCTGTTCTTGGTCTTAGCGCAGCTCCTGTAAGAAGCAAAACAGATCAATAATTTCAATAGGCCTCAAATTTGATTCTGAGAGATAATTGATTGGATGTGTGTTAAGTACCTAAGACAGTGAGACGCTTTGGAAGCAGACTACTTAGTTTTATATCTGCATTGGCTCCTCCCATTAAGCCGATGATACATAACCTTCCATCGAAGTTTAAGCTGTCGAGGTTTTTCTGCAAATACGGCGCCCCGACGCAGTCCAAGATAACATCCACACCTTTCCCATCGGTTTCTGCTTTTACCTTAGTGACAAAGTCCTCTGTTTTGTAGTTTATACAAACATCAGCCCCGAGCTCTTTGCAAGCAGCTAGCTTTTCCTCACTCCCTGTTAAGTTTAAAGAAAATGAGAACATTGTCCACGAAAGAAAACATGGAGGTTACCGACAAATGAAGCTTAGAAGTTAGAACAAACCTGCTGTGACGAATACTCTCACTCCTAGATGTTTAGCAATCTGAATTGCAAATGTCCCAATCCCACTTGAACCTCCATGAATCTAGTATTAACTATCAACATTAGCGAGGAGATAGACAAGAAGAGACAAAATAGCCCGAGAGAGAATACAAAGGAAACGCTGAGTAATGGTTTTAATAGATGAAGTATCTAGTATCGGTTGGACAAGGACCGGCTCCTAACAATCCGTAGAAACGTTGTAAGCTTGTTATACAAAGGAAGAGGAGAATCGAAATACCAAGAATGATTCACCAGCAGAGAGACGGCCCATCATGAAGACAGTTGACCAAACAGTGCATGCCACTTCAGGGAAAGCCGCCGCATCTTTTAGAGAGACTCCGTCGGGGATTGGGAGGATTTGACCAGCAGGTACAGAGACTTTCTCAGCGTAACCTCCTCCAGAAAGAAGAGCACACACCTGAGACAAAACGAAAGAGAGAAAGTCAGAAATGTAATCCAAAACATCAACTTTATAATTTCAACAGCAATGCACTGCCATAAGCTTATGGTGAAACTTTAGTCTCAAGTGTACTAAAACTTCAGCAGCTAAACAGATGAAAACGAATTGCAACCATAAAAAAATCTCTGCAATTCTACTTCATATGTTCTGTCACTGAATCCTAAATCACTAAGAGACATGAGTGTGAGCACTCAGCATATTCACTCACACCAGTCTTAAGTCAAAGCTCATAGATTCCATGGAACTTAACACAGAGAATCCAAAAACCTAAAACCCCAAATTAAGTATGAATCCCCAATTTCCAGAAACGAAATCAAAGGAATATCTCTCTACCTGATCTCCGATCTTCCAACGAGAGACGCCATTTCCGACGGACTCGATGGTTCCAGAACATTCGAGACCAAGGTAAGGGCTTGAGCCAGGTGGGGGAGAGTAAAAGCCAAGTCTCTGGAGAGTATCGGCGCGATTCAGAGCAGTGGTGTGAACTTTAATGAGAACCTCACCGTCCTTCACTTGTGGGTCTTCTACTTCTCGGAGTTGCAGAACCTCCGGCGCTCCTGGCTCCGAGATCACGATCGCCTTCATTCTCTCCGTTACTTGTTCCCCGTCAAACCTTCTCTCTCTTTTTTGTTCTCTTCTTCATTTTTCGCGCAGAGATGCATTTAACCAAATGTCCCAAACTTTAACGGTAAAAGTAAAAAAACTTTGGCTTTGATCGGTAAGTGAGTGAAAGGAGTACTATGCGGTAATAAACAATTTGAAAGGAGTACTTGATCAAAGAGGCAATGTTCAAATTGCTTCTTGTTAAAAAGTTTAACAGATTTTGGTTTAATTCCAAATTGCAGTACACAACACTAGATTTAGTCGACTATAAAGAAGCAAGTATCTGATATACATATGTACCCATAGCTACATAGTCTTTCTTTTGACCAAAACAGAGATACATAAGCTAATGAACAAACTCTTGTACATCTATGAACACAATCCACCATGATTCTCGTCTCTGAACATGTCTCCCTTTGCAGAGAATCAAGTCACAAGCAGAATCTTACCAATATGGCTACTGCTCTCTATAAGGCTATGAGCTTCCGCTGCTTGTGACAATGGTAAATACTTGTAAATCACCGGTTTTACCTTCCCTGCTTCTATCGCTGGCCAAACATTCTTCTCGACCTCCGCTACAATAATCGCTTTGCTTTCCGTTGTTCTTGGTCTTAACCTAGCTCCTGTAGGAACAAAACATACCAAGATTTTCAATAGGTTTTGATTCTGAGATATATAACTGATTGATTGATAGTGTGTTAACTGTTAAGTACCTAAGACAGTGAGACGCTTTGGAAGAAGACTACTTAGTTTTATCTCTGCATTGTCTCCTCCCATTAAGCTGATGATACATAACCTTCCATCGAAGTTTAAGCTGTCGAGGTTTCTCTGCAAATATGAAGCACCGATGCAGTCCAAGATAACATCCACACCTTTCCCATCGGTTTCTGCTTTCACCTTTGTGACAAAGTCCTCTGTTTTGTAGTTTATACAAACATCAGCCCCGAGTTCTTTGCAAGCAGCTAGCTTTTCCTCATTCCCTGTTAGTTAAACGAATATGGAAACATTTTCAACAAAAACATTAAAGAAAAATGAGAACATACTGTTATCGAATAGTTGAAGCTTTAGAACAAACCTGCTGTGACAAATACTCTCACTCCTTGATGTTTAGCCATCTGAATTGCAAATGTCCCAATCCCACTTGAACCTCCATGGATCTAACATTTCCAGCAACTATCAACATTAGCAAGGAGATAGACAAGAAGAGAACAAATTAGTCCAAGAGAGAAGACAAAGGAAAAGCTGAGCAATAGATGAAAGTCTCTAATCTAATATTTCCTGTAAATGGATTGGCTCCTATCAAGCCGTAGCAACAAGAGAAGTGAATTACCAAGAGAGATTCACCAGCTGAGAGACGGCCCATCATGAAGACAGTTGACCAAACAGTGCATGCCACTTCCGGGAAAGCCGCCGCATCTTTTAGAGAGATACCGGCGGGGATAGGGAGGATTTGTCCAGCAGGTACAGCGACTTTCTCTGCGTAACCTCCTCCAGAAAGAAGAGCACACGCCTGAGACATGAAAGAGAGAGAGAGAGAGAGAGAGAGAGTCAGAAATGTAATCCAAAACAGAAACTTTATACTTCAAAAATATCGCCAATTTCTACCTCAAATGCTCTGTCACTGAATCCTAAATCACTAAGAACATGAGAGTGAGCACTGAGCAGCATATCTTAAGTCAAAAGCTCATAGATTTCATGGAACTTAACAAGACACTCAAAAACCTAAAAACCCCCAAATTGAACGAGTATTAATCCCTAATTTCCAGAAACGAAATCGAAGGAATATAGCTACCTGATCCCCGATCTTCCAACGAGAGACGCCCTTGCCGACGGATTCAATGGTTCCGGAACACTCGAGACCAAGGTAAGGGCTTGAGCCAGGTGGTGGATGGTGAAACCCAAGTCTCTGGAATGTATCGGCGCGATTCAGAGCAGTGGCGTGAACTTTGATGAGAACCTCATCGTCCTTCACTTGTGGGTCTTCCACTTCCCGGAGTTGCAGAACCTCCGGCGCTCCTGGCTCCGAGATCACGATCGCTTTCATTCTCTCGCTTCCACGTCAAACCTTCTCTCAGAGAGAGAGAGAGAGAGAGTACTTTGAAGATGTACGTTAAAAAAGTAAACGGTTTAAATTGGCGGTTTAAACTGTAAAAGTATTTTCATGATTTATGATGTGATTACCAAAAAAAAATGACAATAAATCTCTTTGAAGAATTCCATTATGGAAGTAGAAATATACAGAATAAAAAAAAATGGAAACAAAAATCATGAAAGTGAAGCCTCTCGTATAAGTTGTGCAAATTGTTTTTCTAGGGCAACCAGAAGAAGAAGACAGAAAACGATGCAGGCTCCAATGGTGATGGCTCCACTGGTAAGAAATATTTCTCTGTTTCTTTTTTTTCTTACTTGTTTGCCAAGAAACTGTATATATATTTCTTGGTAGTCCTTTTATATGCCCCTCTGTAACTTTACGAACAGGAGTGCTTTTTGCAAGTGAAACCCGAGCTCAAAGGTTGGCACAAGATGTGTTCTAAAATAGTCGAAGACATTAGTGGTAAAGAAGCTTTGAATTCGAGTTGAGAAGATGAGTAATTAAAACTGTATTGTTAATTATTTTTAATCATGATAATTAGGTGTTTCGTTCTGCATTAAAAGGCTTCTAGTAGATCCCAACTCTTGGATGTATATCGATTTGATGCATATAACTGGCAAAGTTGATCCTATAGTCTTCATCAAGAAGTTGTATAAAGCGAGAACTTACGCTATGCTCAAACGAATCGAGTATGGAAATGAAGAGAATCCAGAAGAAACTCGGAAACCTAATGATCACTTCATGGTTTTATATATTTCACAAGCTCCTCTCTGTCTCTCCTTTAAGTTCCAAAACTTATCGTAGGTTTTGACTTTTGATGCGTGTTTTTGGCTTTGTTTTGCAGACATGTAATTTCGAAATAAACATATTAGACGAAAGTTGGTATAAGAAAGTCTTAGTGGCTTTGAAGACCATCCAAGGTTCATAATTTTTCTCTCTATTATCAGTTTCTGCATTAAAAATTTTAGATTTTTTTTTTTAAAATTTTATTGATTCGTGGGCTCTGAAATTTCAGGTGTATCATTAATCATAGATGGACAACAAAATAGTGGATATCTACGTGGGAACATTGAATCTGCAAGGCTCATGAAGATGATGGCGAAGGCGGGCATCGAATCATGGGCAATGAACTATGGAGTCATGTATAAAAATGCAACCTTGAAGACACTTAAGCCTTCTGCAAAAGGAACCGAGCAGGCAGAGCCAGCGAAAGACAAAGAGCCTCCTCCTCTAGAGAATGTAAGTACATCAAAGCATTACCAAGTCGTATACAAGAAGCCTCGTGGTTTTAAAAGGTTCTTTTGTTAATGAAATGACCAAAAGAAAAGAAAAAACACTCATCATGCATGTGCGTGTGTGTTTATCAATCATCTTTGCCTACTAATTGATTGGTAAACATTATAATATTTTTCAAGAAACCATTAACAAATCTGTCAATGAAGTCTATCTTAACTTGTTGGAGTTTGTGAAGGGGAAATCTTAGGTGAACCAATTTAAGTGAAATAAAACACATTTGTTGCTCAATAGTTCTACTTTTATCATTACTACTACTACTACTAGCCGGGTTATAAACCATTGCTTTTCTAATTTCCAATATTGTACTTTTATCTAATGCCAATTGGTAACTCTCTCTACTATTAATGAATCCATACATGCTGTTTTGTCTTGTCTGTTACGTAATTGACTTATAAATCAAACCCTACCCCTTCCACTACAAGTTTGGTATCAACATTCAAGTTTATTAAACCAATCCAAAGATGGAAACTCGAGAGGCTCTTGTCTACACTCTCATCCACTTGACTTCAGGGAAAGCCGCCGCATCTTTTAGAGATTTACCGGCGGGGATAGGGAGGATTTGTCCCGCAGGTTACAGTAACTTTCTCTGCGTAACCTCCTCCAGAAAGAAGAGCACACACCTGATACCAAACGAGAGAGAGAGACTCAGAAATGTAATCCAAAACAGCAACTTTCAGTAGCTAAACAGATGAAAACGATTTGCAACCAGAAATCTCTCCAATTCTACTGCAAAGGTTCTGTCACAGAATCCTAAATCACCAAGAAACATGAGTGTGAGCACTGAGCAGCATTTTCATTCACTTACACCAGTCAAGCTTATAGATTTTCATGGAACTTTACACGGAGACTGGAGAAGAAAAGTGTTGACCAAATATCCCAAACTATAGCGGTTAATGTAAAATTAGTCGGTATGGGCGGTAAGAGTAAGTGGTAGGAGTAATACACTTATTGCAATACACAACCGCTTTTATAAATGTAAAGGGGATTTGGTTAACTGCCTCAAAACGACCGGTTCAATTATTTCGTTGAAAATTTAATTTGCGGCGAAGGCAAAGATCTTTTGCCTCCTAAATACAAAAATCCTCAATCTTTTAAGATTCTCTTGACTTTTGAGGATTGAATCATATCATAGTATCATACCGACTTCTTTAATCGTTTTAAAAAAAAAATTATTAGAGACTTTTCTCTTCCCAACAAATCCAAAAACGTGTGAACGAATCACAGATTAACACGTAGATCAATGCCGACTTCGTTTATGCAATCGTCGCGTCTCACGTGGTATTGGTAAACCCAAATCATCTCATTAGCAGGACCCACGTAATTCCTCCCTATGACACCATCATTAATGGCGGTCTTCTCCTCCCTCTAAGAAGAGAGATCTGATTCTGTTCACGCTCTCACAGTCTCATCTCGCTTCTTCCGTTAATTCTTCTCTGGTTAGATCCTCTCACCCTCTCTCTGTTTAGCTCTTATGTTTTAGCTTTGATCAGATTAGATCGCATTGAGTCTTTAGCTTTGAATCAGTATTGGATTATTACTAAAAATCGAAAATCATCCTTTCAAATTAATGGGTCTGATTGGGTTTAGGGAGTTCATCGATTCTCGATTCAATCGTGTTGCTCCAATCGATCAAAAGTTCTGAGCTTTTTTGTTTTCTCGGCTATATCAATCATAAAAAATTGAAAATTGTTTTCGGCTAAATTAGATACTGATTTGATACGGCCATATCTCGTTGCTCCTCGTTCGCATTTACATGGCATGAAAGTTTGCATTTTTATGAACAACTGATGAATATGAAAGAAATCGCAGCAAAGATCATATAGTACTCAAATGCCTATCTTCCGTAGAAGGCTAATGTGCTTCAAGTTTGATGTGAGGCTAATTTTAGACATTAGGGAAGATTCATTCACATGTATAATTGATTATGCAAAATGTACAAGCTTTGATGGTTTGTGTATAACTTTTGTGCAGGTAGTTTGCAGGGAACAATGATGGACCTAACGCAGCTGAAGCCTCCACAGATCACTTTTTACTGCTCTGCATTTTCAGTCGTGATCACAGTTTATTTGACGATACAGCTTGTATCGCAGCATCTCTTTCACTGGAAGAATCCAAAGGAGCAGAAGGCGATACTCGTCATTGTCCTCATGGCTCCAATCTACGCCGTTGTTTCTTTTATTGGTCTGTTAGACGTCAAAGGAAGCGAAATCTTCTTCCTGTTTCTTGAATCCATCAAGGAATGCTACGAAGCACTCGTGAGTGTGCATTTTCTTCTACCGTTTGTTATCTTCAACATTAAGTAGAGAACACTTACTTAATACTCGATTTTGTTTTTGGCAGGTCATTGCGAAGTTCTTGGCGTTGATGTATAGTTACTTGAACATATCTATGAGCAAATTCATTGTGCCTGATGGAATCAAGGGAAGAGAGATTCACCATACTTTCCCAATGACTCTTTTCCAGGTTTGTCTCTCTCACTCTATCTATCTTTCTTCTATTTGGCGGCTCTTTACCCTTGTTTAAAGCTTTGTGTCTGTTGTTTTGACAGCCTCATGTAGTCCGTTTGGATCATCGCACTCTTAGACTTTTGAAATACTGGACATGGCAGTTTGTTGTCATCCGACCTGTGTGCTCGATCTTGATGATAGCTTTACAGTTAATCGGGTTTTATCCTTCTTGGTTGAGCTGGTCATTCACTATCGTTCTAAATTGCTCAGTCTCGCTTGCCTTGTATTCTCTTGTGATTTTCTACCACGTGTTCGCTAAGGAGCTTGCGCCTCATAACCCGCTCGCAAAGTTCCTCTGCATCAAAGGAATAGTCTTCTTTTGCTTCTGGCAGGTAAAGTAAAACCTCTCAAAGCAAGAAACTGATAATAGAACTCGTAATCTTTTGAAGTCATTGAGAGAATATTGATTGGATTGGTTTTGATTCTGAAACTGCAGGGAATAGTACTTGACATTTTTGTGGCAATGGGAATCATAAAGTCTCACCATTTCTGGTTGGAGGTGGAACAAATCCAGGAAGCTATACAGAATGTGTTGGTGTGTGTTGAGATGGTTATCTTCGCTGCGGTCCAGAAGAATGCTTATCACGTTGGTCCTTATAGCGGCGAGACCAAGAAGAAACTTGATAAAAAGACCAAGTGATCTTTGGTCCGCGTTAGAGTGAAAAATGATTGGTTTATACTCTTTATAAGCCATGTTATATCAAAATATTGGTGATGTTGTATGGTATATGTTGAGGATAAAAGAATCAAAGCTTTTGATTTTGTGGCTATGATGATGTCATTTTTCAATTGGTACCTGGAGTTTGGAGACTGGAACTTTTGCTTGTCATGAGAATAATGTTAAAATTTAGATGATATAGACAATAATGTTACACTTGCCTCAATTTTGTTGTTGACAGAGTCACACACATGAACACATTCTCATTACTTTCTCTTTGTCAAGACTCGGGTTGCCTAAGATATGGTTATGAATATGGCTATGGAAACGAGAAAGAAATGGATATCCAGAATTCTTGTTTTCGAAATGCAACATGTAACAATCTTTTTACCGTTATCATGAAATGATAATTTTTCTCCATTTTTTACTCTGTCCTCAATTGTTGTTCAGTAAACAGTTGTATATGACTACATGAGAGATATTTTTATGAGATCACTTTACTCTAATCAGTCATTCGTGAAAATAAAAACATACTGCTTTTGAAATTTCAATATCTGTTACTCTAAGATTTTTTGGTTCAACAGATAATTTTATTTTGAGTTTCATGATTTGCTTTGTAACCAATCAAATTCCAATACAAAAATTCTGGAATTAATTTTTACCGAATGATTGCAATAATAATTTATTTAAAAGGTATGGATAAAAAATAAAAGCGCACGTAAAATACGGGAAAAGTGTGCGAAAGGACAAGACAGCGTTTTCTGATCATCACAACTCCAACACGCAGCCCTCCGATTCACCTTCCTCTTCTTCTTCTCGAAATCTGTGAGCAGATAGCTTTAATGGTGGCTCTCTGCTCGAGCGATTCTCTCTGAAACCCTACTTCTTCTTCCCACCGATCCTCTTTTTTGTCAACGCCCTCAGGTCAGCTTTTTAAATTTCAACTCTTTTCTCCTTCTCTCTCTCTCACCACTATTTCAAATTTCCCTGCTTTAAGATTTCAATTTTGGGTTTAATCGCACGCGTTTTTCAAAATCGGTTAAAAAAATTAAAAGATTTTTCGTTTTCGTCGCGAGAATCGATGCTGATTGATTCGTTGATCCAGACAGAGTTCGTTGCCCGTCGTGTTGTTGAGATCATACCCGCGTGAAGCTTTCGTCATCAAATCATAAAGAGCTCTCTCCTCACACGCAATCTCACCTCTCTCTCTCTCCATCTCTCCAATCTCCATATCTTCTCCTCTAATCCGCTCAGATTAGTTCGCCAATCGATATCCCCCAACTTGCTTCCTGTGAGTCTCTCCATCTCCCTCTCTCTCTCTCATCATTTCCCCATATATAGTTTGATTTCGCTTCACTAGACCAAGAAATTTGGGATTTTTTAGTGTCGGCTTAGCATGATTTAGGGTAAACTTTACTGGGTTTCTTCAATGTCTTCTGGTTCTTTGATTCGACTGTTCTTTCTAAAAATCTGCTAAGCTTTTTGGCTGAATGATTCCTCTCTCAGGCTTCGCCACTTTTTGAGATTTGGAATCTGGAAGATCCATGTTTTCTTCATATGAATTTGATGATTTCTATGTGCATTTCTCTGTTTTACATGTTAAATCTTCTGAATCTGATTTATTAACTTTGCGATTGTTGATATTTGATAACAGCGAGGAAGCTTTATTTGTGCCTTGTTTCGTTCTTTGCGCGTGTCCCATTCTCTTCTCCATAGTTCTCTTACACTGATAAAAGATGGAGGTCAAGTTATGGAACGATAAGCGAGAGAGAGAAATGTACGAGAACTTCGCTGAGCTCTACGCCATCATCAAAGCTACTGAGAAGCTCGAGAAGGCTTACATCCGCGATCTCATCTCACCATCCGAATACGAAACCGAGTGCCAGAAACTCATCGTCCACTTCAAGACGCTCTCAGCGACGCTCAAAGACTTGGTCCCGAGCATCGAACGGTTCGCGGAGACGTACAAGATGGATTGCTCAGCTGCAGTGTATCGCCTCGTGACTTCAGGTGTTCCAGCTACTGTGGAGCACCGAGCTGCTGCGGTGGCTTCGACTTCGAGCTCTGCTTCTGTTGTAGCTGAGTGTGTTCAGAATTTCATTACTTCCATGGATTCTCTCAAGCTTAACATGGTCGCTGTTGATCAGGTGTATCCGTTGCTGTCTGATCTCTCTGCTTCTCTGAATAAGCTGAGCATTTTGCCGCCGGATTTCGAAGGGAAGATCAAGATGAAAGAGTGGCTCTTGAGGCTGTCTAAGATGGGTGCTTCTGATGAGCTCACTGAGCAGCAGGCGAGGCAACTTCATTTTGATCTTGAGTCGTCTTATAACTCATTCATGGCTGCTTTGCCTAATGCTGGTAACTAACCAACGTGATGTGTGTTCGGTTGCTTTTTGTTTAGACTATTTGGCTTTATGTAGTTATAATGATGGCTTGATTTTGGTCTTAGACAATTTGCTAGTTGCTACATTCTGGAGATGAAATGTTGTAGACCTATCTTTTGTTGTGTAAAAGATCATATGATGCCAAAGCAAGAAAATTGATTTTGTACTTTGTTTATTCTTGGCTATATGTTGTTAAATTGGTGGCTTTTAATTTAAATACAGTCTGAAACAAGATAATGCCAAGCTAGAAATGTGAACTTTGTTTTCTGAAAAGACAAATCAAAACGCCAATTATAAGAAATTATAAGTGGAAATCAAATTTCCCATTTTCATTAGCTGCGAGTTTAGATAAGTAATGAGCTCTGCAGAGTGTATATTTAACTGCCCTTTATCTACATATATGATCAAAAAGCGCAGAGCCTGTGGTGTTAAGAAGGTAATTATCACTAGAAGCTTTCTGGTTTCTTTCTGCCATCATTATCTATTCACCTTGTAGCAGCAATAGGAGTCTGCAAAAGTCTAGATGGAGCTTGGTTTGGTGTTTGCAAGTGCAACTTCTATTTTCCCCAAGCTGGCCAACAGCGGAAGATACATAGGTGGTGAGCTTGGTGGTGGTGGCTTGAAGCTAGTGTCATCATGATGCAGAGACTTGTTCTCGGTACTTGCATTAGAGCCAGGCAGAGATTCTTCGTCTTTCTCTGGTTGGAAATTCAAATCTATCTGGGCTTTCAAAGCAGAAGCATGATTCTTGTGGAGCTTACTGGTGTTTCTACTGTTGTTAGCAGATTGGTGAAGTTTCTTTTGTGACTCCAGCTTCTCTTTTGCTTTGTTTTCTTTCTCTATCTGCTTCTTCTTCTTTCTCCGTAGCAACAGAGAACGCCTACGTCGCTTGACCGTATCGCAGATCGAGCAAGAACAGCATCGGTCGTGTTTGGGACCTTTCCCACTTGGGGATTGTATGCAAACGATGCAAGTGCAGCCACTTCTATGCCGTGGGTGCTTTGTGGTTGCATTAGGTGACATCAAGACTCCTTTAGTTTCCTCCATGGCTTTCTCATCGTGATCGTCAGCTAGGAGTTCTTGATCTCCAGACCATGCTGATCTGAAACGACGATACAATTCAAAGAAAGCAAATCATTAGCAGAAATCCAAGAGCTTCAAGAAAGCTATTTACTGTATCCAATGATAGAAGATGCTTTTCAATATCTGACTAGTACTAGTACACCTTATTTGAATCCTACCAGCATCAATTTCAAACAACTGACAGCAAAGAGGATTGAAGCAAGAGGTATGGGATATTGAGAATTAGGCAATTTACCCTGTAATTGGCTCGCCGATGATTGGGGCATCCTATTGACACAATAAATAAACAAAGTAACAACGCAGTGAGTAATATGTTCCAAAGAGAGAAAAAAGTAACACATAAGATGGCAAATCAAAAGTGGAGACAAATCAACGCAGCTGGTTTATCAGGTGTTATTGCATCTAAAGGATAACTGCACACTAAGATTCTCAGTCATGGTAAAAAAAAGAACTGCAATTTCCAGTCATTACACCTTTTATCTCTCTTTCTGTTTAGCTAAGAGCAGTCTAAAGTCAACTACGCTTACATGAAGCACGCAAAAGAAAATTTAGCTTTGAGACTTCTAGCACCCAATGTGTATATTCTAGCATGAGCGCAACACTTAATTTCAAAATCCAAGAGAAAAAAAACTCTTATCTGGTGAATATATGAATATCAGATTATTTTTAGTATCATTAAACTATAGAAACTACTGTTCAATTGAAAAGAGAAAATAGAGGAAGGCAAAATCATATGGATGTACCTCATACTCCTCAAACTCAAAACCCTCGATCTTAATTACAGATGGAGTGGAGTTGGGAGGAGGCAACATAAATCCTTGAGCTTCTTCACATGTTAGCATTAGCTCATTGTGGTCTCCCTTTTTAATTTTTTGACGTTTGCTTCTTCTTGTAATCATCATGCTGCTTTTCTTCTTTCCGGAAGAAAATTCTGTAGTTTCTTTAGATGGTGAATCCGCATCAACTGGTTCAGCCTGCTAATGGAAATGCAGAAGAGATGTAATCCTATGTTATCTCACACAAGCTAACTTGTCAAGAGAGAGTATCAGTTTGGGTTCTAAACACTTACATCTCCGTTTGTGCAACTGTCACGATTGTTATGCGTTGAGTCAGTTTCCTGCAAACACATATTTGATGAATAACAAATATTATACTGGATTGTAGAAGAGACAAGCCTTTTTCGCAATAGCACAAAATCTGCTTCTAACATAAATCCATATAGAAGTAGAATCAATCATTCCTTGTTTATTTCATCTCTCCGAAGGAAGAAATGATGATCATAAACCTGAATTCGAACTGCTTACTTCAGAATTTTGTCCAACCTATCTAATTACTTTACACAAACTGAACATAGTATACAGAAGTAAACAATGCGTTTTCACTCATTATACTTCATCGTGTTATTCCTATTTGTGTGTCGAATATATTCTGGAGTGCAGCTCAGGAAAGCAGCTGAAAACTTAGCAGTTTGTTGTCTAGTAAATTAAAGGTGTAATTTTAGTGTACCAAAAGTGTTAACAAGCAAAAGCTAACCTGATCAGATGATTGAGGAACCGAAGCCTTTCTGAATCCCATGATTAGCTTCCCTTCTGGATCCAATCGACTAAATATGACTGAAAAGAAAATGGAATTCAGTTCTCCGAGCATAAGCTCTAGAAAAATGATAATAACTCAAAAGAACAGAAGATGCAACCACATAAAACATATTTAAGCTTTAGCTACATGGTTAACCAAATTAGTATATTACCAACGACATACCTGTATCACCAGCCTGAAGCTGCATGCTCTGTATGCATGGATTTACTCCCTCTAGAACATACAGTCTACTATTGGTGTTGGGCCAAAAGCGAAACTGAAATGTCCACTCTTTACCCATTGAGTCCTGTACCTTGAGAGGCACACCTCCAGTGGTGGTAATTCGGGGCAAGAAAGCCTGTTACATGACATATGCCTTTTCAATTTAGCATCTTTTATTTAATCTGAGACGACTGTAAAGTTTACAGATTTTATGACCACTATATTCATGATACAAAAATCCCCAGTCACATCCCCAGTTCTGTCCACATGAATCACCCATTTATATAAGAAAAGAAGAATCCGTAATTGCATAAACAAACAGTTATGTACCTCTGCAAACTTCTTTGGTATCACCAGCCGCCCAACTCGTCCAGTATCACTTGCACTCAGTATCTTCTCGAAGAGGGGAGTGACAACGGATTCAGATCTTATCAGTTGTTAAGGTTTTGGTAACTTCAATGTAAAATGTCATGAACTTCAGCGGCTAAGTATCCAAGCAGAAAAGTAAAACCATTCTATCGGAAAGGCTTACATCCACCCTATTCTAAAACCTAGTAAAGGCAGATTCACATCAAATGATAGAAAGAAAACAAAAAGGCAGAAGAACACGACAGAGAAGTATAGAAATAAGAAAAGCATGATGATTCATATGCTTATGGAGACCATACAGAGTTATATTCCAATGTATTCTCTATATGACAAGAAGGATACTCTTTGAATGGATTCTGCAGAACTTGACTTTCGTATGAAACCTTAGGCCAATATCGTGGAACAACCTGATATTTTCCTGGAGTATCAACATGAGTCCTCGAATTCCAACTCTTGCTTCCGAATGGCAAGTCTGCTCCACCATTCAAGTCTGCTTTAGGTGTATGCCATAAATTACTTCCATCTAGTCCCGAGTGTCCATTCGTCTGAATTGGTGTTGTAATTGGCACAGGAAAATCACGCTGTGTCCCATACGGACCCTCCTTTAATGAGATCAGTGGATGATATACATTGACGTTTGGGCGTGGTACTTTAAAATCAGGTCCTGCATTGAAAGATTCACGTTTAAGCAGCCAGCTTTAACAAAATATTCAAAATCCTCTCATCATGAATATAGGACTGAGATTGCAATAAAAGTAATGCGAGAATTTTCTTATGTAAGAAGACTACGAACCTGCTTTCTGATAATTAAGTATGTCGCTTGTATGACATTTCGAGTTGTCACCCATTAATATCCCCATCAAGTCATTAGTTCCCCTTTTTTTCTCTGCGGAATATGCAGTAGCCTTGTCTTTAGAAGTAGGTTGACTAAATTCATAATTATCTCGACGATTAAGCAGATCAAATTGCAGAACAGGACGTCCTAAAAAACTAGGAGGCCGGAAGTTCATCTGATTTGGCCCGGTTGAAGAACTCCAATTGATAGACAAGTCCTTGAACTTCTGAGCAATTGGAGACTGGAAAAGATAGGATGGTGGTGTCGAAAATTTGGGTCCCTGAAACACATGAAACAAATACATGAAACAGACAGTTATAGCAAGTGGTTTATAACCCCAAAAAGACTTTTAGCAGGAAAGGATCTTTGTACAGCTGAATTTAATTTCTTAGCATAAGATATATGATTAGTGAGAGTTAATGAACATCGTGAACCATATTGATTCAGGTAACATCATGCCTCCGAGAAAAATATAAGAGTAGAATTCTGTAATATGACATAAAAGTAAAATACTTCCTTACCAAAGCAAATTTTTTTCTTGCGCAAGCCAAGCACTCAACTCCTCCAGCATCCAGCAATATAAAGTTGGATGTAGAAACAACACAACCACAGTGAATTTTCTGCACGGAATTCTAATAGTGAGAGACTTCATATCTGGAAACCCCAAGTAGGATTTTGTGAAAACAAACAGACTTAAAACAAATATAACCAAATAAACCATTGTCTTCGTTTACCTTTCCACATGACTCACAACACCTCCATCCAGAAGCCCTCAGGTGAAAGATGTCACAAAACTTTCCTTGCTCGTAAGCAGAGCTGTAACCAATACAATAACGAAGTCAAGGAAATTGATGCAGTGAGCTGGTAAAAGAATCGCGTCTGCAGTGTACTGAAATCAGACTAAGAAAAACCATCCAAGGGCCACTATATCATCAGATTTGGGAAATGATTTCCCATATAAAACCAATCAAACACAGAACACAGGTAGACATATTCACAACCAAGAAGTTTTGTGAGGGTAAAACTCTCTTCCAACACAAAATGCCCCTTAAAACGCCTGAGAATTAGCACAGAATAAGCCTAAGAAACCCATCACGTATACGTTTTTAACTTTTGATGCAGTGGAATATAAAATTTATAAAACCCACCCACTAGTTGACAAATTCTCCATTCTGGTGATCATTGTGCAATGTAGCTTCCTATTTCTTTAATTTTGTTGTCCCCTGGTTTTGCTTCTACTGTCTCTTTCCTATCACTGAAACTTTGAATATCTAGATTCTCTACCATTAATGTGCCAAGCGAACACCCCAAAAAAAAAGATAACCTCTGATTTACCGTTTCAAAAAATAATCACCAGTGACAAGAGACAATCAAGCTACCACAAGTAGCTAACACAAACCCAGATTACAAAAAAAAACGGAGCTACGTTTTCTCTGATTTTTAAAATCGAAAACAAGCAGTCCCATAAACTGAGCTGGTCACTCAAAAAACGGGAAACACAGTGACAGAGTGAAGTAATTCGAAGAAGGAAGTAAGGAAAGGTTGCTTACGCGCAACGATCACAGAGGTCGGCGAAATCGCCAGTACGGAGACGCCAACCAGGACGGTAATGCTTGAGGTTGAACTCAGAACATTCGCGGTTGAAGCAGAATCTGGAAGAAGACGACATGGAGGAAGAGGAAGGAAAAGGAAGCATAAAACCCTAGAAAAGCTTAGATTGATGGATGGAGGAAAAAGGAAAATGGTGAAAGGGACGAAGAGCAGAGAAACAAGTAGAGAAAGGGAGAGAGAGAGAGAGAGAGAGAGAGAGAGATACTGAAAGTGGTTATTGTTGCCTCATCAGCTAAAATAAATAAAACAAATACTCTCTCCTCTCTGAGGTTTTACGGAAAAAGAAAGCTATCATGACTCTTATCACATATTTTCCCTTATTTATTTATTCCACTTTTTGTTCATCTTTTTAATTGATTTTAATAAAGTATCCAATATATACGCCAAGTCATCATTAGTATGGTAGGTCCAAATTAAATTCCAAGGACAATATTATATCATTTGATAAACATGATATGTCGCATCAATTTTTTTGGTTTGCTGCGATAGAATCTCTCTAACTTTTAGTTCATATGCCAGTTGCAAAAAGAATGGGATTTCTTTCATTATCAAGCTATTTAAAAAGGAATTGCGTAACACACTATTTTATCAAGGCATGTTCGTATTTTTGCTTATGCTAGAGGCTGTATTTCTCTAAAACAAGATACGGTTTCAAAAACCGGAATATAGACCCCTGATTAGGTATTATATTTCCAAAACCGGGAGAAAAATTAATTCAGATACGCTAAATCGGAACAGGATGAGTAACGATGTACACAGAAGTCAGAAATAAGTGAAGAATATACAAAAACAACTCACAGATTTTGATATGATTCAAAGAAACTTTTAATGGTAATCCTCAGAAGCAGCCATCTTCTGCTTCTTCCATTTATGAGCAGCTTCAAGAAACTTCAAATTTGCTGTCTGTGATTCCTCTGGGAACAGGTAATCAATAGATTCTTCATACCTGCCAAAGATTCAGACAAAATTTTCACATTAAGCTTTTAGCAACCAATTCTCACATGCCAAAGATAACAAAACGAGAAAGTATATCTGTATATGTATGCAATGCGTACTCTGTAGAGCCGTCTTCTCTACTGATCGGCTTTCTCTTCTTGAGCTTCATAGGGAGCTTCCGTTTAACGACACTACCATCCCCGAGCTCACCAAAACTCTTCTCCATGGTGAGCCACTCCTCCAAAAGCATAGCACGCTCTTCTTTCAGCTCCGGTGTGGAGTCTTTGTAGTGTTCGTTGGCTCTATCGAAGATCGCTGAGTGGAAGAAAAGAATGTAGAGAGGAAAAAACAGTTAGAAACGTGTCACAAGGAATCATCAAAACTCATATAGCAAATAGCTTTAAGGTTTCAACCTCTGGCAAGTCTGATGCAGTCTTTCTTGCGTTCAATAGCATCTTCTTCTTGGTCTTGATCTCCCTTGTCTTCTCTGTGCTCTGCAGCAGAAGCCTCAAACTGTGCATAGCTCACCCAGACCTTCTGATGCTTTGTAGGGTCCAGGAGTCGCTCATACAAAGCCCTTGTCTTCTCTAATTCCCCTTCTGATATCTCAAAATCAATGTACACAACAGAGAGAGTTTAACGATCCAATCGGTTCAAAAGTCTGAGAAATGAATGCATTAGACTAAGAAGAATTTACCTTCCATAGCAGCTCGGGCATGTCTATAGCTGGCTGAGATACTGCAAGTTCGAAAATAGCTCTAGCTCGTTCGGTTTCAGCAAGAGATCTCTCCATTTCAGAGTACTTGATCCAAGCATAGCAATTCTCAGGAGACCATTCAAGATACCGTTCATATAACTTTCTGCATCTATCAATGTTTCCCAACCGGAGTTCGATGTCAATGTATTCCTTGAATATCTGTTTCGCAGGGAAAGAAAACCACCACAGTAAGTAAAACATTAGCAATGAGAAATCATGTAAACCATTTCCAGATTCACCATCGGCAGGCTTACCTTATCTTTTGGAGCTTTCCCAATCGCATTCCCTAATATCTTCCGTGCACCCGTGAGATTCAATTGCCTGATTTCATATTGTGCAGCGAGCAACCATACTTTGGCAAAAGAAAATTTGGTGTGGGGGATAAGCTTGAGGCATTCTCTGTAATGTTTGGTAAGACAAATACAAACAGTCAGCATAAACCGCCACGAGTACTAACACATATATGCATGTAAAGTTGAAACCTCACAAGTTTCCGAATACCTGTAAACATGTCGTGCACGCTCCATATCTTTCATTTCAATCTCTTCATACAATGCATAATTAATCCTACACCAATTAGTCACATCAGTGTCAGTGGTTGAGAAAACCGCAGAAACCAAAATGCAAGAATCTGTTTTTAGCAGATTTTATTCAGTGACTTGAATGTGCTAAAAGATCAGCAAAGATGAAAGAACTAATATCAGAAACTAAACTTAACATTCTTATGCAAACCATGATCAACATAAGAAGCCAATAACTTTACTACCAAAATCTCTAAAGGTTATAGAAAGCAAAAAAGACTCACCACAGGTAGATATATCTTTGCCAATATCGCTTCTCTTCAGCAGGTGGAACATTAGCAACAGCCCTCTCGTAGATTTCTCTAATCCTATCTTTGTTCCCAACAGTCTCTTCTTCTAGCCTAACGTAATCGAACCACGAATCATAGTTCAAAGGGTTCTTCCTCACTTCATCCTCATACTGCAGCCTCCTCTTCCCAACAATGGCGTCCTCAATCCCTTCCTTATCCCCGTACTGTTTCTCAAACGCCACAAACTTACTGTACAGATACTCAGCTTTTCCTTTAGGAATACGATCAAGAGCAAACTTGTAAATGATCCTAGCTCGTTCTACTTCCTTGCATCGTTCTTCAAATTCAGCAAACGCCACAAAGAGAATCTCAGCTTCTTCATCGTCTGGAAACATCTCCGAGGCGCGTTCGTAAACGTTCCTAGCAAGCTCAACGCCACCACTCTTCATCTCAAATTTAGCGTATCGAAGATAAGCAGAAACAGTTGGATGGCAAAGAACAAATCTCTCGTAGATGGATCTAGCTCTTTCGATTTCGTTATACTTCACTTCCATATCCTTCCGGGTCATGTACGCTAGGGCACGGTCGCAATCTTTGCCGGAGGCCATGCGATCCCGTTTGCCTTTTTTTTTTTTTTTTATGGAGAAGAAAAGGATTTAACACTTCCAAAATCTCTCTTTTATAGCCCCATTCCACGTTATCTTAAAAAGTTAATAATTAGATATGGATATCCTTTATATACTAAATCACAAGTCACTCAACCAATGTTGAGTTGACATGTGGCAAGTTAAACAAAATTAGCCTTGTCACGTCATACCCAAGCACGATTAATTTGCAAAAAAAAACATTCGATGTAATTGGGTTTAGCCCACAAGACTTACACGGGCTGTAAACAATTTTTGTAAAGCCTGTTAATGTTGAAAATCAAAAAGCCACAAGTTTTCTTTTGCGAGAGCACGATTTCTGTAACCCCAAAATCGGAAAAGATAAACCCTCAATTATCGCCACCAACATCCCCACGATTTTACGAACAAGGAACGGTTATCAAACATAAAACATGATTCAATCACAAAATCTGTTTCGTGTCCTTTTTCATTTTCTCTGTTCTCTGTTTTCGCTTCAGTTCAACTGAGTTTCATGTTTCTTCTCTGTTTAGGCTTCACCATTTTCTTAATTCATAATCTCTTTCTCTTCGAATTCCTTAGATTGTTTGTGATTTTCTCACAATCATCATGCCATACTCATGTGTCTCAGCTTAATTCCTCGAAATAGAATGGAAATGAGAGTTTTGATTTCTCGAGTTTGGGATTTTCATCAAGATAAACATGACTTATTCTCCGCATGGAAGTCATACTCGGGATGAAAAGGTAACCAATATGTGTAATCTATTAACGCTTGACTATGTCTAAATGATGTTTTGTAGTAAAAGACACCTAATTAAGATTACATTGGTTTATGTTACAGGGAGACATGATTCAAGCTTCTAGAATGATTATTGAAGAAAATCGGTTTTTCCATGGTTCTTTTTTTGTTCTTTCATCTCTTCAATGTCTTAAATCAGTTTCATATTCTATATTACCACATATTGATCAATTCATTTTTCATCTTCTAAGAGTCATCATCTCCTTTGTTGTATCTGATCACTAATTCTGTTCATCTTTACTTCTCCTTTTGTTCACCGCCTCTCTCGCCAAAATAATTGCAACAGGTAAAGAACGCTTCCTATTTCGTACCAAACCCCTAATTGTTATTCTCATTCAACAAAAATGTTTGATTCTTTGTTCATCACTCAAGTTAATCATGCCACTCGACTACACACATGTGTCTCAGGTCAGTTCCTCGAAAAAGAATGGAAAACTAGAGCTTTGGTGTGTCAAATTTGGGATTATTATCCCAAAAGAAAACCTGAACTAATTCTGGGCATGGAAGTCATCATCGTGGATGAAAAGGTACGCATTGAGTATAAAAAGTTATGATTTATTATAGTTTGTTGAGTTGTGGAACACATAAAGGAGATTGATTAGAGTGCTGAAACAAAGTGTTTGATAGGAATTCATAAATCTGCCTACATGTGAATTGCTTGAACAACAAGTGCAGGTCCGTTTTACCTCCATTTTTTTAGTTGGTTTCACGTGTCTTTTGTCCATAGTATGAATATATTTAGAATCAATAGTTTATTTGGTGATGATGTAGTCTAATCATGATTGTAAAGTTCCTTTCTATCACTTCCTACTTATAGGACAATTTTATTGATGATATTTTATAACATAACTTTGTTTACAAATTTTAGGACTCTACACAATTAGAAATGCATATATTTTCAAGTGCATATACTGCATTTCAAGTTACTTATTTATATTTAGTTTTCAAGCTGTACCTAAACATTTTAATGATATGTTAACTTAAACCCGTTTTTTGGCGCAGATGGAGAATACTTCTTCGAAATAAAATAACACTGAATTCAAACTTTGTTCTCCTGATTTCAGCAACAAAAAGACTACCGTGATGACATGATATGAGAAGGAGCTCAAGAACCATCAACCAAGCTTGAGGCAATAGAAAAGAAGAAGGAAAGTCAAATGGAAAAGAAAGGCGAAGACAATAACAAAAAGTGATCTCAAATCTGTTTCCCTTATCTTTTATTAAATAGTCGATCACTTTACCATTTTTCTCGATGACATGTTTTCTGCTTCGAGTCGTTTTACCATTTGTATATTCTCAAGAAAACAAATCATCCCAGTACTTTTTGAATCCAAGTTTCGTTTTTTACAACTTACAGATTTCAAATAACCGGAACACGTGTACTAATTTAACTATTTACCTGTTATGTGCTCTCTTTTCTTCAAAATAACTTCATTTTTATTCTTTATTTGATTTAATTTACTGAAAACAAAAGAAATTGTCCGTGCGTATGCACGGGGGAATACTAGTTATCTTACAAATTACAAGCATGGAAAAAAATCTTTAACTTATAATAATGTTGCAATTTCTGTATAAAGTATGGTCTTATCACTCTTAATTCCCACAACTTTCAACATATATCTCTAGACTGCAACACAAAGAGGACATACAAAGTTTACATTTGAAAGACCCAAAAGAAAAATCAGAACAATACTCTGCCTGATCTTAGATGCCTGATCTTAGAGATTAATTATAAGAGACAAATAATCCCTTTGCTTTTCATTTGTTGTATTTTGATAACTGTACATTTCCATGTATCAAATTACAGTCACATTGGAACAACATTTGAATGTGTTTTCATCTCATCTCGTCTCATACCATGTGTGACATTTTAGCACTCAGAATTATTCAGGAGAGAAGAGAGTAGCTAAACCTTGATCAACTGTTATTTGAAGCTTATCGTAAGACATCAAAGCCTTTTGATCACATTTATACGATCTTCTTCCCCTTGCCAAAACTTCTCCATCCGAATCTATGATTCCTTCCTTGTCTGGTTCGTCTATCCGTGCACCGGGCTCCAACACGAATGCCTTCACCTTTTCGACAGTAAAAATTGAACAGGCAAAATTTTAGTCAAATCAGAAATGCAGATTCACCCAAGAAACATCAAAGCCATCAAATGAAGAATTAAAAACTATATACATGGTGACTGAACATGTGTTCAGATAACATACCTTTAGATATGATACATATGGTGATTGAACATGTGTTCCATCACTCAACTTTGTCATAAGTGATAGCAAGGCAAGCTTAGGGCAGTCTTTCATGACGATCAAATCCAGGAAGCCATCAGAAAACTGTTCATCACACCATATACGTAAGAAGCTTTCACGATTATCTTTGCAAGTAAACAACCCTATGAAGGCTTCTTGCTCCGTGTACCTCAAAAATAAAGATATCCAAAAATGGTGTTTTCCGAGTCTAAAAATGTTACAAAAGGTGTAACTGACCTTTGCATTAGGAGCAGCCAAAGTATTCTCAGCACCCCAGGGAACATTGTGAAGCCATACTGAAACAAATGGGCCTTTGATTTCTCTCCATTCCATAACTTCAAGTTTTGTATCGGGTCCTTGGTATCCAAGTGCCTTATCGCTAACAAACGGCTCTTTGTCAACACTGCAACTGGCTGGTTTCCCAGAGTTTTCAAACCCAGGAGCTGGCACAAATAGGATCCGTCCATTGTATTGCCTTAAGCATATTATTCTCTGGAGACCCTGCAAATACAAGACATAGAAGAGACAACACAAATTATCCCTTAGTTGAATAAGACAACATCCAATTAGAATCATGCGATCCAGCAGAACTTAATGGATATATTTGAATTACTAAACAAACACTTTAAAAAGAGTCAAATTCTGCAACTAAACGTACATAGACATCAAAGCGAGCACTGCCCATCCATCTGAACTTCTCTGACTCGATGTCTATATCAGCCACTAAACCTGAAATAAAATGGACTTATCTTAATACAACCAAACACTATGATTCATCAATCTCAGGCACTAGTTTGATTCGCAAATACATTTCTGAAGTCACTCGCATACCCCAAGCAAGCATCAAGACGCTGAAGAATTTGGTTGTTCCTTGTTTGATAGTTGCCACATCTAAAGAACGTGTACGACCTGGCAATACATGGACAGTGAGCTGAGAGTCATGAGGAAAAAGAAGACGTTTTTCCGTAAGATAGAGTAATGAATGTCAAAGAGAAAGACCTCGGATAATGGAAATAGTAGCACTTGTCGCACTACAAGGGAGTCCAACCGGCTCCAACAATGACTTTATCATGCCATTACCACTTCCTGTCATCAAGAATTTTGCACATGAAGTAACACAGAGGATAAAAAATTTCCAAAGCTTCTCATGCACAAGATATCAAATTTTGTATGATAAACAGCAATTGTTTTTAACTAACTGAAGAATAACCTAATCCAAACTCAGGATATCGTTTTCCACCGTCGATTTCCGCCGTCCAGATTCCGTCCATTGTAGCTCTCCGTCTGCAGTCAACGTTAACGGCGTGACAACGCCATTTATCAGAACTCTGTCGGAAATGATGGCCGGAGACAATAGCTGATCATTCTCCGGCTGAAGATCCATTGAGAGAGAGAGAGAGAGAGTTTACAAATTGACCTGAGAGCTGATCTTTGGTAAGACTTTTCCGATCACGTGGAAAGTGAAAACCACGCGCCTAAGCTGGGGAATGGGTTGATGAAGACGTGGCGGCATTAATCTTCTTAATTATGACGTGTGAGTTTATATTAGGCCAGAAATTTACAGAAGAGGATTAATAGTTTAATACATGGAAACCTGTAAACAAAAGGATAGAATCTTCACAAATTCAAGAAAAGTGTCTCCTAATGAGAAAAATATATAGATAATTTAAATAAACTGAAAATATCAATGAGAAACTGTTTAATTTAACAATTACCTTTCAAGATCGACTTAGCTCCCCACTGGTTAATGCCAAACTTAGACTTCCAAAATCGAAACATCAGAAACAATACAGAACAATCTTCTGTGGAATCTTTAGGATTTTATTATAATAACTCAAGAAAAACTATACACAAATGATCTGTTTTCTTCTCATTTTTTCTGTAATGTAACTGTACATGTGCATCAGTCAAATTAAGACCATATGGGAACGTACAACATATACATAAAGAGATTAAAACAAATAAAACTCACAGAATGTGTCTTCATTTCACGTATAGTAGTGTAACATGATCAATATTCAGGAGAGAAGAGAGTGGCTAAACCTTGATCAACTGTAATTTGAAGCTTGTCATAAGACATCAGAGCCTTTTGATCACATTTATATGTTTTTCTTCCCCTTGCCAACACCTCTCCATCCGAATCTATGATTCCTTCCTTGTCTGGTTCGTCTACGCGTGCACCGGGCTCCAACACGAATGCCTTCACCTTTTATAAAAGTAAATCATCTCAAGCTTTTAGCCAAATCACAAAATGAAAGATAACAACAGTTTAGATATGGTTTTAGCTGACACCTTTAGATAAGAGACATATGGTGAATGAACATGTGTTCCATCACTCAACTGTCTCAGAAGTGATAGCAAGACAAGCTTAGGACAGGTCTTCAAGACAACCAAGTCCAGGAAGCCATCAGAAAACTGCTCAGGGGACCATATACAAAAGAAGCTTCAACAATCTTTTTTAGAAAGTAAACAAAAATGGTGTTGCTATGGTTTGAAAATGTTAAAAAATGTGTAACTGACCTTTGCATCAGGAGCGGCCAGAGTGTTCTCAGCACCCCATGGAACATTATGAAGCCATACCGAAACAAAAGGGCCTTTGATTTCCCTCCATTCCAGATCTTCAAATTTAGCATCAGGTCCTTGGTATCCAAGTTCTTTATCGCTAATAGGTGGTGGCTCTTTGTATAGACTGTTACTGACTAGCTGCCCATAGCTTTCAAAGCCAGGAGCTGGTATAAATAAAATTCGTCCATTGTATTGTCTTAAACATAGTATTCTCTGAAGAGCCTGCATACACAATCCCATAGAGGAGAAGGTAATAAATCATATCTTAAGCTCAATTAGACATTTAATATTCTACCAGTGATTTAGCAGCTTCAATGCAACATTTTTGTCAAAATTTCCAACTAAAAACGTACATAGAAGTCAATGCGAGCACTTCCCATCCATCTGAACTTCTCTGACTCGATGTCAATATCAGCCACCAAACCTGAAATAAACTAAGTAACTCAATACAACAAACAGTATAATTTTCAGCAAGCTATGGAACAAGTTTCATTTACAAATAAATTTCTCAAAGTAAATTAGAACACTTGTGCATACCCCAAGCAAGCATCAAGACACTGAAGAATTTGGTAGTCCCTTGTGAGATAGTGGCCACATCTACTGAGCGTTTATGACCTGCTAAATGTGTTAGAGAGATGATTACTGAGGAAACAGAGAACGTTTTTGAAGGGACATAATTTGTTTATGGCATGGATCCGGACCTCGGATGATAGAAATAGTAGCACTACTTGCACAGCATCGAAGCCCAACCGAGTCCAACAATGACTTTATCATGCCATTACCAGTTCCTAAGGTTCATGAAGAGAAAAAAACAGAGTAAAAAGATATCGCTATGAGTTTCTTATGCACATGACATCACTTTTTTAACATGAAAGTACACAAGAAAACAAAAGTTAGTAAATGATTTGTCGTCTCATGTAAAAGAATACAAACCTGCAGGGACCATCCCAATCGGCAATTTTAAGGCATTTCTCCAGTCTTCTCTTTCTAGCAGTCCATTTACAACCTACTAAATTAGTAACCATTTGCAAGAATCATAAAACAAGAAAGTAATTAGATCATCAAGAGCAAACTATTTCTCTTAAAGAGAGATTATGATAGTTCCACAACAGAAAAGTTTCTTTTCTTACCTCAACAAGAACACCGTCACCGCTAACACAAACAATACCATCGTATTTTGATACATCCATGGACCTAACAATTTCCTTTGCATGCAGCTGATACTTGGTTTCTGAAAAACCATCATCACCATTAATCCAATTGTTAATTTCCCGATCATGAAGAACAAAGAAGATATCAAATGAGAAACCTTGAACATCAAGTTGAATATCAGCATCTTCAAGCAATGGCTTTACTTCTTTAACAAAAATCTTGTTAGCAGATTTCTTCCCGCCAAATGGATTCACAAACACAAGCAATCTCTTAGGCCGACCTATAATAAACATTAAAATTTCCAATTTTAGCATTTTGAGAACTGTAGTGGAGTTTTAGCTCCGTGATGCCCAAGTTTTCAAATTTTTGAATCATAACCAGTACTAACCGAGAGAGTCGAGATATCGACGGAGGCTGTAGCACCATCGGTTTTTAGCATCTTCGTAGAGAGGCTCGAACACGAAATCTTTCCTGGTGAAATCTCCATCGGATTCTCCGCAGCAGATTCCTCCTCCACCTCTCTCCACAACTGCTTTCACTCTAATCTGCTTACCTTCCACGACGAAACCTATCACATCCTTCTTCATCGTCAATTGCCGGCGTTCTTGACCAACTGACCGTAACTCTCCGTCTGCAGTCAACGTCACCACCGCGTATACATCGTCTACAAATACCAAGTCCGTGATTATTACCGCCGGAGACGATTGTTGATCATGATCCATAACATAAACCTCCATCAGAGAGAACAGAGAGAGAGATTCTTTGTTAGCTTCGTAGGTGAGCTAAGAACAAAGAATTGATTGACCTGAAGAATGACTTTTGACACATTTGTCTGATGATCAGATGGAAAGTGATAACCACGCGCTCAATTTGGCGGGTGGAAGAGATGACGTGGCGTAATGCTCTTTAATTATGGGACCCTTTTAATTATGACGAGGAGTATGAAAAGAAGAAATACAACAAACTCTTTGGATGTGAACAAGTCATTAAATAAACGTCACCGTTTAACTAATTTAAGAGACTACTCCCACGTTTACCTTTCTAATACACAAACTTAAAATAATCTACATAACAATCAAAGCCAGCCATTGGATTTGGAGGAGGTTTTACTTGTCCTCAGAGGCTTCTTCTTCGTCTTCATCTTCTTCCAATATATACACCAGAGCACGTCTTTTTTCAGCAAAAACACAAGCCACTCCTCTTGAAGCTGTAGAGAATTTTCAGATAATCAAGCACAAGATTTCTTGTATTTGAAAGCACTTTTCGTTTCAGTGTCTATAAAATGTCCTATGTTGATCAACGACATCGAGTAAAGCTCTCTATTTGCTTCTTAATCCTCATACAGGTCCTAGAGAGAGTACTTAGGCAATCTCTTTTAGTTTAAATTTTGCAGTAACATGTGATGATTGTAGACTCAGAACCTTAAGAGAAACATGAAATATGAATGAGGTGGTTGAATATGAGAACTTACCGCTTACTGCTAGAGGTGCAATGGTTGAATGTGGAACTTTACGAACCTTTTCATCCTCCATTTGCAGGTAAACAATCGATTCCTAGAGAAATACGAGTTGTGAGGATTAGTTGTAGATAAGACTGTTTCAAGATGGGTACGTTTCTTGATAACCTCAGATGGAAGCACAGGGAACGACTAAATGCCGATGAGAATGGTTAAAGTTCCATTTACCTTCAAATTCTCTACCTCCCATTGGTTAAGACAACTAGATCCTGAAATGGAAATGAATGGAAGATCACCAATTTGTACAACCATCATGCAGGCTTCTCCTGAGCCTTCTCGATTTTCACTTGTTATATTCAATAATAAAACCAGTTGCTTATCCTGTGTCAAAATTAGACACGGTTTAAAAAGGAACTCAGAGAGAGAGACACACACAAACAAGTGACCAGAAGAAAGAGAGTTTTTCACCTTGTAGAGGGACAAATCCACACAATGGTGGCCATTAGGTACAGATAACAAAACAGCTTCCAGGGAAGTATAACCATTGTTCTCCTTGTTGGAATTCTGCTTAAAACCCTTAGCTATGCCAATACAGTTTGGAATATCCGGGAACGCTTCATCGGGGACTTGAAAAGTTATGTAATCAGTGTACCCACTTTGACAAGTTGTATCATCAGAAAGTTCATTCTGTACGAATAAATGAAGACTTTAGTACATCAGGAGCAAATTTCAGCTTTGGAGATAGTAAGCAGCAATCTCTTCCTAAGCATGTGATTGTCCATTGGGATCATAGTAATGTGAATTAGGATTGATGCTGCAAGTACCTTATAGAAGGAAAGAGACATGGGAATGGTCGTAGTACGGGTTTGCGTTGTTGACAACTGAAGAGGGCAAAGCGGCAACAACTTCATACATGATATCTTTCTTGATATCGTTGTAAAGGGCATTTGAAGAGCCGTCTTGAAGCTAAAATGTTTAAAGCATTAAAATCAAGTTTAAGAAACGATTTTTTTTTAAGAAATAAAAAGTGAAAACATAAGGGAAAATACCTGGACTCCGTGTGTTGGAATTCCTTAGCCAATGTTCTCCGCAGAAAATCACAATCTGAAAACCCTCCAAACTTAATTAACTCTTTGACTCTTTCAATGGTTTTCCTGGGACATGAAAACAGTACGCAATTATAAGAACTGGAAAAAAAATTTATAGAATGAACAGCCTTAGAGGATTCAGTGGACATTATGCTTCATCCGTATCTGTGATAGGCTAATTTGTGGTCATGTACAAGTCATGTATGTATGCAGAAACTTCAAAGATACATGGATGCAGACAAACGCACACTTTACCCATATATGACATTGGTTTTAGGGTGGTTAAAGAAACCCCACTAGATTTGCTTATGAGACATTACATTGGAGTAACCTACTGAATCTGGTTGTGGATGGTTTAAAAAGTTTGGTAACATGACACAGATTCTGATTGACAATACGATATTACGCAAAAAGGTTGGTGAAAGTGCATATAGAGAAAGGGTAACCTACAGATCAATTTCAATGTCATCGTCAGCTTCAGATAGCTCCACGAGGTCTTTCACCGGATCTTGATCATATAAGAACTTCAAGAATACCACTAGGAGTTCACTGCCACGGAAGCTAACCATGTAACTGCAACGAATTGGCTTTTAATGCCATAAAAAAACATAGAAACACATGTGCATTGCATACCTGTTGTATGGCAATAGCTGATCATTTGGTTCTTGCATAAGATACTTTATGCTTTTGAGGAGCCAGTTGAAGAAATTTGAGAACTGAAACAAAAAGACTAAACCTTTTATTGAAATGATCATTGTGTGGGAAACATGGGACAAAACTTATTCTGAACAACTATGAATTTCATTGTCTAAAGAGCTGCACGCCCGTACCTGTTGGATAACAGACGATAGTACCATCATAAACCGTTGCACTTGTACAAGTAGAAGACCAGCATTTTCAGTTGCTTCATTAAGAAGTCTCTCATCCAAACCAATGCCTTGGTATCTTGCACGCCACCTCGAGAGACCTCTTAATTCACCCATCCTGAATCCAATTATTTCTGCTGCAGGCTGAGAAAGAAAGCCAATTCGTGACAAAACTCTATCTAAACAGTATTTGCAGAGTAAACAAACGTTACTTAGTCTAACAATACACAAATCCATTTCCAGGAATGTGAAGTAAACTAAACCTGAAGATGTTCAAGGACAACCATCTGAAGCTCTTTTCCTGTACCGCATACCGACTTTAAGACGCGCTTCACACCCTACTAAACAAGATAACTACTTAGTGGAATATGATAAAACTAGCTACCTGAAGATGATCAAGCAAGCGAAACTTACCACTTCACCAAGAGTGTTAACTAAAAACTGATTAAGTGCTGGACTTATCCGCGCACCACCTAAAAGGCTAAGAAATTCTTCGTGAGGAGATGATTCCAGTCCTAGGAGAAAAGCAACACAGGCCTGTCAATCTCAGAGCCAACGAGAAAAACTTCAACCAACAAGCGGAGAGTGGGCAAATACCATTATCTATGATCAAGGTGGAAAGAGAATGAAACTTGTCGTGAAAAGTTTTCATAGCATCAGCCCATTGCTTGCTCATAACTGACAGGGACTCTCGAATAACTTCAGTCAAATCTTCAATGTTTGAAGCTTGTTGAGCAACCTGATGAAGCTCATATTTCCTGAAATAAAAATTTGACGAGGGAACGAATATGACAAATGCAACACAGACAAACAACCAAAAATGTATCATCTTGTAACATTTTCTGTATTGAAATCCATACTTAAAACAATGACAAGGAAGAAGGAAAGATGCTGCAGCGAAATATAGATAATTTGGTGAGTAATCATAGTTTCTGCAAAAAAATTACCTCTTCCAAAATATAGATGTGTCCATTGTAAGGCAATGTAAACCATGCAGCTCTTGAACACTATGTTTTTCCTCTCTTGGCTCGATATCACAATCCCTAAGCTCTCCTGTGCACATTACTACCAGGCGACAGAGGTCTTTAGACAAAGCAACCTAAAATATGCAATTAACAATAATTAGTTTGAATCTGAAGACTATTTATCCCTCCTTTCTTTGTTTCCCTCACAGACATTTACTGTCAGAAACATGAAAACTGAAGTATGTCATTTATATCATCTGGAAAACATGGCTTTTGAAAGGATCCAAATACCTTGTAAATGGTAGCATTATATAGTTTGCAAGAGGAATCCTCATCCGGATGGGACACAGGAATTGACAGCTCGTGTATGTTCTGATCATGGTTTTGCAGGATAGCAGAGCAAACACATGAAACGAGATAACATTAGACTTACAGTGAAAATAAAACAAGATTCTATTGGTTATAACTAGAAATGAAGATTAAAATGAAAGCTACTACAATTTCATCAAACTATAGCCCTAACAGTATTAAAGAAAAAAATATTTAATAAGGGAGCAACTAAAGATTTCAGAGAACAATTTACGTATGCAACTGAAAATTTATTAAGCATCCTGCAATTCTAAATCCAAGCACCAACTGGAATGTGATGATACTTCAATGGCTTACTAATTACTTACAGTCAAAAGAGCGACTTACAATCTTCCCTATCTGAAATATTCCAAATATACTGAAGCATATGCTCCCATCACGATCTCCACTGCAGAGAATGTTAAACTTCCGGAATGAGGTATTAGATAGATCTGCTAAAGAGTCTTCACCATCATCCATGAAACTGGAGTCACCAGCTACCAGTCCAGGCATCTTCGGAGCTCTTGGAGCAGGAGGGAAAAAACGGGAGGTCCGGTCCTCATAAACAGAGACATTCCCAATTTCATCCTGAAAACCAAATACTTGGCTTATTTTTTTTCTCTTAATATAAACCAAACATGAGTTCTTGAGCAATTAATCAGAGGAGGAAACATACGGTATTGGCTTGCCCATCCTCTTCCCAGTTAAGACACACGACAGCTACAGCATGGGGCTTCAAGCTCCTTAATAGCTTCCCGTTCTGAACGAAAAAGAGATTCAACCACTTGCTGATAAGCATCATCTTTTTCTATTTCAACCACTAGTTTGCTATAGCATGGCTCAAAAAGAATTGCTGAAAACATGAAGTAGCTTCAATCTAGACTTGCCTCAACATCGTGAAGCTCAATGGTTCCATCCTCGAGCCCAACAGCTATGGCTTTCCCATCAGGACGCCAGCATAAAGAAGTAACGGGCCTTCCTATAAGCCAAAAGAAAGGAAGGAAACAGACTAAG